TATGTAACTAGTTGAATGTTTTTGATAAAACAAATATGGTTTTAAAAGATCGAGTAATAAGGTTTGTGTAAGGTGGGGTAGTTAAAACCTTACATTTATTACAAAAAAGTATATTATAATATTATATTGAATAAAGTTAATGCGTCTATAAAATGGCGGTTTAGAACAAACAAACACTGGCGTTTCATTGATTTTGAAATAAATTTACCGTTTAAAGAATGTAATTTATGTGAGCCCTCGCAATATAAACAATAATATTGTCATTCGATTTGATTTGTTATTTTTTTAAGATGTGCAACGTTAGTTTCATCAGCCGTAAGTGTTGTGTAAGTAAAGATTTTTTCAAAACAAAATATTGCAAAATATTTCTCATGCTATTAGAAATAGACACAGTCGAGTCGTGTGTTTCTTATAAGTATTCTAAATCGTGTTTTGTTTTTTTTTTCTACTAGATATTTTTCCAACTTGGACACGACGTTGGGTAATTATCATTATTAATATACTGACGTCCGATCAGATTAGGTTGCGCACATGTATGGATAAATAAAATAGAGGTATTGTTCGCCGACTATATTAGACGGGTACCTAAGATGTAACTATGTAGTATAAGAGGTTTTCATCGTATCATAACAACAATAACGGATATGTCTCTAACGGCGGCGACAATGATTAATCGGTCGTTAATAAATAATACCATACGCATTGAGTTCATTAGCCCAACAGCGGTTATGACGGTGAATTTCAGTAGCTGTCTACAAATCTAGTAAACGATAACATTATTATTACCAATGTCGCATTGACCACAAAGAGGTCAATTGACCATTCAGACATAACATGATTATTATACTCTTGTTATTGTGTGTTTCTTTGCAACTGTTATACATCATTTCACATGACTTCCCCTTTGCGAATACACTGCAATCACTACACAATAACCCGTTCGCAATGACACTTGGAGTATTATTAACTTTTTGCGCTTGTCAGGTCCACCAGGCACATTGTGCAACGTACATCAGCTTGAATATTTTTAGTCACTGCAATAACGGTAATGCCAAATAAAAGCTTGATTATAAAGAAAAACAAAAAGAGTTTTACTCGTTATGTAAAAGTTGTCGTGAAAATTATATCTTAATTTAATCATGATGTCATTCAAATAAATTTAGAAACTCTTTGCTCTTGTAGTAAAGTACTATAGTGAATCTATAATACTGGCCAGTGATCAATGACCATATTATACTTTAGTCAGTGGACGGAGGCGCATTGGTCTAAATGAAAAAAGAAACTTTCTTTTGTTTCTCCGCGTTTTTTATGATTACCTATTTATTTTATTATTATTATTTTTTTTTTTTTTTACAGCTATTTAGTATTCAAGCACGCAACTGTGAACATTTAAGGCATGGCGCACGCGTTAATCACAAATGACTATTGTCGGTTGATGACTACCTGCTTAGGCGCAATATGGTCACCCGTGGGTGGTAAAAAGTCATACAGTGTAACTTCATATTCTTTAATAATTCTTGTACGCACACAAAAAAACCAAAAACAGTCACGAAATTCAAAAAAGGTAAACGATCATAGTAACGGTAAATAACGTTTTATTAAAATTGCTTTTTATAGTTTTCAAGCGAATTCCAATTTCCAACAGCATAATATAACTGAAACGCCATCAAATGTTTAAAGTATATAACTTTGGTTTTGTTTCTAATTTTCCTTTTGTGCGTCAAGAAATTAAAACAAAACAATTTGAACATAATGAAAATAATTAAAACGATTTTTTACATTTGTTGCGAACATTGCCAAAAATATTTATACGACATATTAAAATACATATATAACTATACTAAACTACCAGTTGCCGAACTTCACAATTGTATTGTGTCTTTATTTTGTTTTCTAGAGTTTTTAATATAATTAACATAAATTCCGATGACGTTATACAGATAAAACGTTTAAGTTCACTGATCTGTTCGGACATCGTAAATAGACGGTATACACCTATACTAGGTTGTGAATAATGATAATAATTATGAGAAGCAATTAGTTAGAAAAAAACGCTGTAGGCACGCGGTATCAATAAACATTTATATAAATAATATATATATATTGATTGTTAATTATCGGTCGTAGTATAGTATAGCAATATATTTTCCGAGGCCCTCGAGGGGATAGAGAACCGCGTTAGACATCCAGTCGTCGGTGCCTTCCTACCCCGCGGTCAGCTGTCCTAAATCCATAAAATTACCACTAAAGAAGAGAGTACAATTCTCAACAGAAAGTGATTTAATGGACTAAGGCAGGATAAAACAAAAAATATGCACACATTTCTGCCGTTCGCAGCATAGTATAATATTATATTCGCTTGTATATATGGGTAATTCTCTGAAACCAAAGAATTTTAAGTCCGCAAACTTTTACTAGACTTGTGTTTTGATTTTTACGAAACTTGTTTACCTACTCTTTGAGTAAAATAGTTCCGGAACAACGTTTTTTTAACAAAATTAAGGTACTTAAACTATCTCCTTCTAATTGAAAAAAAAAAATTTTAATGGTTGAATTGTCAATCCCTCACAATGTGCCACACCCCAGTTTCACATTTTAAACATGTCCTAGATGTTCGACTTCAATTCTCAATTCTCAAAACCCGACATCATTCAGTTAAGCGAGTACTCCAGTTTTCAGAATCAATTATGGTTTTTTGAATACTTCAATAATTTCCTCATTTTACCCCATAAACTATGTGTTCCTTAGGTACTTTTTAGTTCAGGACCTCATATTTTTCTTAAAGTGGCACCAATTCAAAGCTTTTACTTAGAATTGCGTTTTTGAGGACTGAAATTTTACATTTAGTTTTATAAAAGTTCAACGTGATAACCTACTATATTATGTCTAATAATAGTATTATGTTGTTAATTAAAAAAATTTGTTCGTTTATCTGAATATTTGTGCAGTCCTTCGCACTGCAGTTCATCAGTCTCTCACCACTGCCGTCCTGTCCCTTATAATGGCCATATCTTTAATTCGAATTTTCTACTAAACTAAGAATTTCTATGAAGGACCTTTAATGGTCTCCAACGTGAACCCTATGCTTCTTAATCAGAAACCAAAAAAAAAAAAAATCGTAAAAAATTAACTTTTTTTTAAAGTGCAAAACGGATGTTAAAAATCTCTAGTTTCAGAGAATCGCCCATATGTATTTGTATATCCGTTATTGTTATACTCTGGACCGTTGCACAATCGACTTATGCTGTACACAAGTTAATCAACTAAACGACAACGTATTATGAAGGACAGCCTATACAGCTGTATGCTCAACCTCTGCAGCAGAACAAGTGATACAAACGACGAAATTGGACATTTCCGGTGTAGGTATGTCGTCTCTACATAACGGCAGCAGTATCGGTGTTAGATCCTAGACCGAAGCAAGGTGGCTGCGAGGTATACATAATATCTAACCATCGGAATTTAGGCCAACAATCAATTAAAATCACTTGATTCTAAATGATATAACGCCAAGGCTAAGCTGAGAGGGTTATGACACTTCATTTTCTGAATCGAACACTAAGTTTGATTCGTTTTCTAGTAAACTTACCTCTCTCGTTAATGGCATAAATGTTTTGTCTAATCGGGTACAGATGTTAGAAAGTGATATGGCTAACTTATCGCTTGAGTTTATTGTTAATGAATAACTAAGCCGAGCGCCAACAGCGTGCCAATAATATTCTTGTATTCAATCTACCAGAACAAAAAAAATAGCTCTGACCCATCAGATTCTACTACTGCTATATCCTTACATTCTTTGATTCCTAAAATGTTTGAAGATCTTGTTTCTAAACTAATTATTCCTACTCTTAGTTCTAAAATTATTAACGAGCAACATGGTTTTCGAAGTTCCAGGTCAACAGTTACTAATTTACTTGTGTTTAGTTGATGTTTATTCTGATTAGCTATTTAGTTAATTATTATCTTAGTTCTATTTTTTCTTGCGTATTTTAGTTATCTAATATATCACTTAATTCTATTTATATATAAAAATTCATGTTTACTATGTAATCACTCTTTTACTTAACACTGTCATTATGTTCTTGTATATATTATGCAACTGGATCATTTGATCCGTTTAATAAATAAATAAATAAATCATATAGGCGGTTTTATAGGCGATAACAACATTATTCCTTTTGATTTTGTTTTAACGCACAGTAAAAACACTTTGGTCTGTACAAAATTTACACTCATAAACAAATTTCAGTAGAGTTGTATTATTGGTGTCTTGCCCTTTATATTGCCGTTGGTGGCGGAAATAGTAAGTAATCGACCTTACTATATATCTAAAAAATAAATACTAATTATTGCATTTAACTATTATATTTATATGCACTCTAAAAATGAAATGTATGTATTTGTTTCAGTTCAACACTGTTAAAAACAAAACCAACGTGACAACATTAACCATGTGCAAATACTTAAAGGCACAGAAGCACCGTGTAATCCTATAGACAGTCCAGCAGGGATATGTGTAATTTATGTAATCACTCTTCGTATGTTATATATTATGAATATTAATTATTATATATATATATATATATATATATTTTTTTTTTTTTTTTTATATATATACTTATTATACTTATAACTTATTCAAGTTTAGATACCGAGTTTATAGAATTTTTTGGCTTTGGGTGGCGAAGCTTCAAATTCACATTGAATCTCATTTCATAAGTTCAAGTCAAATGTACTTAATTTGGTAGCTTTTTTTTGCATTGAACATAAAAATTATGAGCAATTATATAAACATATTTATATTTAACTAAAAACATATAAATGGCCATTTCATAAATATGATTATAATACAATAATAAAATTATGTATCTGATATATACCAAATACTTTCTATAAACATTTAAGAAGACATATTTAATGTTATGTAACAAATAAATGTTCAACATATCAATATACATTCATATTTGATGATAAAAATAATATTATAATTTTTAATTATTAAAAAAAATGTAACACGATTGTTAATAAATAAATTATAATTTTTGTATACATGACCCTGTAATGATTGTATAATTAAAAAAAGATTTACCTGCATAGTTATTTAAAAAATAAATAAAAGGAACTCTGTATAGATAAATATGTATTTATCTTTAAGGAAGTATAAAAATGCTGATAAATGTCGTAATGTCAAAATCTTGTCAATAACTGTTTAGTAGCTTTGGCCATATTAAATGAACAATTGCGTACTCTTTCGACGCCGGCTTCTAAACACGCACATTCAAGCTGCAGTTGGGTAGTGTTCGTGTTTAACGACCACAATGCTGATTTTATGACATCATCGTTAATACCCTAAACATATAAATTAAAAAAATGTTTGTTTACTTATTTTAGTTATATCTATACACAATATATATATATATATATACTTGATAAACGATAATTACATGTGGAAACAAAGCATTTAACTCAACAATAGCTGCTCTGATTTTATCGGCTCCAGGAACAAATGCTTTGCACGCTTCGGATGATCTAATATTAGTCCAAAGTTCTTGTATACATTTGGTTACGTGGTCAGTGTGACGAATGACTTCTTCTGATAATGGTAAGCTGAAGCCCGCCTGTTAAACGTAAACACCCGGATCGGTTAATACTATTGAACTTGCTATTGTATTTTAGTTGCATAAGTTTTTGTACTTGGTATGTATGTACAGTAGTACATAGCAGGCTCCTTACTTGTGTGTTACGCTTTATTTCATTCTTCGGTCCCTCTCGTGTTTCATACATAGATACAGGCCTGACTAGTTGTTTCATATCACCGGCTTCGTTTACATGATTTACTGTTGTCGTTGGCTGTCGTTGTCTAATTACCTCACATTTCAATTCGGAATTTTCTTTCGTCACTTCTTCTACCTTTGGTGAAAATTCTCAAGTTAATTATGCTTTACCGACTAATATAAATACAAAGTAAATGCTTACTTTTTTTTTCAACCAGCCAATTTCCGACACTAACTTTGAAATTTGAGCTTCGGATTCAGACAGTTTTGTTTCAAGCGAGTTTCCGTTTAGTATCTGTGAACTAGGTGTAATTGATTGGTTTAAACTAGTTATTTTTGAGCTCATCGCATCTTCTTGTGGTATACAGTTTTCTGTTGGTGATATGTTTTCAATCGTTTTTGACTTCAGCTTATGGGAAGCCATCTGTTAGACAAAATCAGAAAACTATTATACATTTGATAGAAAATCCAATACATGGAAATTAAGCATTTTTTGTTACACTAAATGTGCAAATCAAACTTTAACATTTATTTTCGATCACTTTTTATACTCAGCCAGAATGTTCTGAATACTTTAAATCCAATCACAAGTTATTCTACTCGTCACAATGATAGTAAGAATTTTTTTTTACGTTGAATTTAATAAAATAATATTTAAGATTTACCATGGCAGCAATTTGCTCTGGCGTAGCATAGTCTTCGTCAGATGCCACGTGATCGTACAAAGGTTCGTCATCATCATATTTTAGTTTAGTGATGAATTTGTTCACTAAATTTAAACAATATACAAGATTAATAAAAACTTTACGACATAAATTAAATATGTTTTTAATGTTACCAGGTTGATTTCGTTTGTTTATTTCAATTAGTATATGTGTCACAAGAAATTTAAACTCTTTTTGCGCATAACACGCTAGTTTTTGCCGTCCTTGATTTTTCATTGACGATAAATCAGGATTAACCGGTAGAAATGGTACAGACATATGATCCGGGGATTTTTTTTCTTGCCAATCTAGAAATAACAAAAAAAATTGATTTTTCTCATATAATAGGTATTTATTTTATTAATATATTATAACATACATTTCTCTGTTTCTCTTCTGTCAACTTCGTCGTAGACATCTAATACTAAATCTTCAAATAAATAATTTGGAAGCTGTATAATTTTACATAACATTATTAAAACATTAGTAAACATTATTAAATTTTAAATTTATTACTTGTTGCATTTTCTTAATTCCCTCTTGATAGTTTTCGTCCATGGTGTTCTCGTCAGTGCAATCAATCGCAATCATGTGTTCACCATTTTTGTGATCGGGTTTCCGTCCAAATACATACATGGAAAGAGAATCCAATACTTCGTACAAACTATTATTCAGTCTCTCGTTTATTTCTTTATGGCCTGCTAACCTAAGATTAAAATATATACACATGATAATTAGTTTGCTAAGCAGATTTCATCAAACTTTCTCGAATGCAATTTACTTGGCACACGTTGCCGGAGTATTTTCATTGAAGTCGACAGCACAAGGATCAGCGCCATAAACAAGTAACAGTTCAACTTGTAATAGTTGACCTGCTTTAGCTGCCACGTGTAGCGGGTAATTACGTTTATCCTGTTTGATATTATTAAAAAAAAATTTAAAAAAAGAGATCAGTATCAGTTAAGTAGACATATAAAATATAATATTTAAATATGTAATAATAATTTCTTGCTATTAAAAATAAATACAGGGTAGCAACAGAACCTAATTTATTAAAATCCCAGATTTTGTTTGTTAAATATTTTTTACATTAATATTAATATTTTACAATCAACCGGTCAACAGTTTTAGTAAATTATACTCGACTTATAAGGATAATAAAATAAAATATAAATTACATTTTTTTATTAACCCAAAAACTTCCAACAAAATGTTAACTAAAAATATAATTTATATTTATAATAAATAGTTCTTATGATTTACAGTTTTGCATCAAAGAGTTTATTTTAAAGTTATTTTATCACTTTCAGTTATAATAATTCCTTAAGACTTGTGTTACCACTGTAATCCAAATGGAATTCCAAACGAGATCTCTCAGTGAAACTCAGAAATCTGTTATTACTAATATTGATTATAAAAAAAACCGTATTTTTGCTCGTTCTCACTGTGTTGGCTATTTAATTAACGAAATACAAACCGGATGATAATAATTTGCATCGGCTCCTTGCGCTAAGATCCGAAGACTTGTTTCTAAATTCGACGTTCGAACACTGGAATGTAGTTGTTGGTTTAGATCTTCCCTGGTATCGCTACTTTTCAATATAAACGCTTGTTGTCGATGTTTGGCACGGATAAAATCTTCTTTAATATTTCTACAAAAATAAACCAAAAGTATATAATAAACATCTATAACCAAACGATACCAATAATTACTGTACATTGGATCTTTAGGTGTAGGTTTTTTTTTGTGATTCTTATTATCACTTAGTGCGTGTTCCCAAAGGGTATTAACATTAGCTTGATGTAAAGTTCTCACCATCTGGCAAGTATTCAATCAAATATAATATATAAATATGATGATTATTATATGAGATGTGTATTATAAAATGTATTATACGTACGTTTAAAGTGGAAGGACACCAGTCGGCGTTTAGGCATTTGATTTGTGATATATGTCGTCCTAAGCTGCGATGAACACTACAACACTCGTTGCAAACAAATAGCCCACGATTAACGATCACCCAACTAGGATCTAAAAAATAGATATACATATATTATTATACAAGCTTATATAAAATATTCTATTGATTTTAGTAACTTCAATGTGCAATGTGCAAAATTAGTTTTAACATTAACATTGAAATGTTGAACAATAAAATTGCTGCAACTTGAAAAGTGAAAATCAATTTTTAAACTATTAAACCGCATATCTTTATATTTTTTTAAATATAATAATTTTTTAAAAATAATCTATGCAACTACGTAAAAAAGTTAGAATTTTTTTAATACAACAAATAATTGACATCATTTTTTTTAATTATGAAAATGTTTCGTGATACCGACTGAAGCTTCTTACCATTTACATTAACACGGCTGCTATACAATATTTTTTTTTTTTTTTAAACAAACAATAACTAAAAATTTCAGTCAAAAATCAATATTTTCTAATGTAGTTTGGCAAAAATAATTTATAAATAATACCTTAATAAATTGTGTTGATGCATTGAAATTAATTATGTCGCAGTCATATCATTATTTAAATTTACACAGACACTAAAAAATGAATTGAATGAGGCTGTTGCTATGATAAGGAAAAAACAAAGGTAACATAGGTACTATGCTTGAAAATTATGCTCAAATAAAAGCTTTAGAAAGTTTGGTTCCATTCAAAACATTTGTAATTGCTTTTGAATCTATGAATAGAAAAAAGTGTGAAACAAAATCTTCAATAATGGAAGAAGTACTTATTGCATTTGAAACTAGTTCAAACAACATTTTAGTTATAAATATCTGTGTATAATAAAATTAATTTGCATATAATTAAACTAATTTTAATTCAGTTACACAAGTGGATAGGTGATTTTCAAGAATTGATAACGGAAGTTGACCAAAAGCCAGGTGGTGTAGATGATTATACATAAATAGTATACCAAAGTGCATAGTTGCAAGTTGCAACACAATAGTTTTTAAACTTCTACAATTTTTTTTTTTTTTTTAACTAACAATAACACGTCTTAAATTATTACTTTTACTAATGAGTAAAATGTCAATTTTTTTCAGGGTTAATCGTACTTGTGGAGGAGAGCATACGCTCATACTTTCTCATAAAAAATATTGAAGAACTAAAATATGACCTGTGCAGTATAAGGGAATCCTAGATCATTGAGGCATCTTGTTAATATAATATACTTAACAAGATTTGGTATAAGTGTACAAACATTATGTTGTATTTGGAATAAGCTACATATTTTTAAAAACAAAGTTATTTACCTGGAGCACTGCAGTCAGCACAGACATCATAGTTCTTATACTTAGATGACGACATTGGACGCATAGAAATATAAATACACGAATTTAGTATACAATCACAATGATAACAATTAACTAACAAAAATAATTATTCAAACTATAAAAAAAAAACAACAATTTTAGTATTGAAATTAAATCTCGCTTTATGCTGAATTCTTATCTTTGACAATTGACTGAAAGAAAATGTGTTTCCCGAAGAATCTCAACCTGAAGTATAATTATTTTAATAATCTACCATCGATAGGTAGGTGTAATTTAAAATTTAATTCTATAAAATGAAGTAATGGGAATTGGCAAATAGGTATAAGCCATTAAAAGATAACAGCAATCATGGCACATATATTGGCCCAGGGGTTTCTAAAATTTATCAATATTTTATGACATTCCCATAATTTCACATTCACTTGGTTCTCTCATAGAATAGATAAGGGTTCTCTTTATTCTATGGTCAAAAGTCAAAACCACCATGTCCAGGAGATCTTCTCTACGTCGTGGCCAAAAACTATTAATTGTTGATCAAAAAAGTTGATATATATATATATTTTATTATAAAAGAAGCTAGTAGAATTTAAAGACTTGGGTCAAATACATAATTACTTTAGTCCTTCTGGTTATGCTGTGGTCATACAAACAATTCTCATTAATAACAATTACTGGATACAACTTCATACTAATAAACATGGGTGTAAATATTACAATATAATGGGTGTGATGTGATACCAAGTGACAACAGAAATTATATATTTTTATTTACAAGAATTTCTAAGATATTTTTTAGAAATTAAGTATTAATTTTTTTTACAATTTTTTATTAGAATTATTTAACCTACAATTTTAGTTCAGTTCCATCGTTTATTACTTTTGATCTTATTTTTGTTTTTCCATTATGAATAGCATAGTTAACATACTTTTGGCCCTCGTAGTGGTCAGTGTAACCATCCAATTGAGTGAGTAAATTTTTTACTATTTTTTTCTACTTTTTATGCACGTATAATAGTCATATTTACTTGAATTCCATTTTGTCGTATTGGACGAAATGTGACGTATTTTTATCGTTTTAATTATATTCAGGTTACTCGTTGGAATGTTATGTGTGCACTAATCAAGATCAAAATCACGAAAAATGTTTGAACACAATCAAAACTTGCGAGCCCGAAGAGGATATGTGTTTGTCAGAAATCAGTTGGGGATGTAAGACGATATTATAAAGAAATTGATTTGCAACTCGCTAATTATAATTTGTTTACTACCTGTGCAGCTCCTCCGTACTGGGTGGAAGGCGGTCTAAAACAATACTACGTATCTAAACGATGTGCCACTCGTGCTACGTGTGAATCGGTCAAAGCGAAAACTATGCCTTTATGCACCTATTTATGGTATCAAGATTGGAAGTGTGCTGAATGTTGTTTAGGAGATCGATGCAATTATTATATAACAGTAATTAATTGGGATATATTATCATAGTGTGCTGTTTGTTGTAAATGCTAACCATTGTTTGTTTCAGATGGGAAGTAGTTCGATAAAATCAAATTTGACAGTCATAGTAGGATGTATTGCAGCATTAGTTGGATTTTACATTACCAAAACCGTTTGATTTTGTGTCTCCGAATGAAATAATAAATGAACTTGAAGGCCAGATGCAAAATATATTTTCAAATATTTATATTCAAAGCATATTTTTTAAGTTTACCATTTTTTTTTTTTTAATAAACTATTTTAATTTTATAATAAAACCGATCTCGATTGACAAATTCATTGTCATACGAACGTATAACATTTATTATTATATTAAATTTACTAAATGGTCAATTTTTTTACAAAGACAAGATTTTTAACAATTACTGTGTTCATTTTTTATCGTCTATCATTTTATCTTAGACACGAAGCTGTTTTTATTATATTTTTTTAGTTTAAATGTTACAATGATATACTTACCTAATTTAAAGCAACTATTCCGTCCAAAATACTTGTTTATACGTTTATATTGTTATACTTAGTAATTAATGTAAGAGTAATGTTATTTTTGTATGTTATTGGAACAATGATCATTTCAGTATTCAGAAATAAAATAATTGTATTTAGAAGTATTGTAAGCTTATACAAATTTTTCAACTGTATTTCAATAAATCATTATAATTTTATAATAATACATTTTCTCTTCACAGTACAGATATTATTAACAATCACCAATATTTGAATGCTTCGTCAAGGGGAATTGTGTGATCAATTAACAATTTAATGGTTAGTGCTGATAGTTTTTGCACCAAACCCTCCACTCTTTCCTGGGAATACTTTTAAATAACAATAACGTTAACGACAACAACAAAATTATCGACTGGGATGAAGTTAAGAAGTTAGGTAAAAACTAATTTTAAAAAAACCAATAACATTGTTTTGTTTAAGTACAACGATCATAATTTAATATTATAAGTATCAAGTCGTAAAATCTTAAAAAAATATATAATAATATTACAAGAAGGGGAATACATAAAATTGTTGTATACGGTTGCTCATCCCAAAAATTAAATCCTGACCTGGTGGTTACTGTAACTACACATTTAACACCGATTACACACGTTTTTAATTATTTTTCTTTTATATATATATATATATTTATATAATAGCAAGTTAAATATAAAAAAAATAGTCATAAATCAATACTTAATCTTTACAACACCTAAATACCAACAAAAAAAGTTATTTTTTAATGGATGGATGAAGTACACGGTCAAAATGAAAATCAGTCGATTAAAAAAAATGTTGAAATATTATACTTGTTTTGAACATCGAATGTCGTTAGTTAACTGTGCTAGATTAGCCACAAACGTTGGTAATTCCTAATAAAAAGTAAAATATTATATTTTTACTCATCACATATTGTATGTACACAAATAATTGTAATTGATATTACTTTGACTGGTTGCATGCGCTTTTGTCTCAAAAACTGTCGTTGATCATTACGTATGTTATCTGTCTGCTTGAGGTAATCGGGTAAAAATTTCGAAAAGAAATATTCAAAGTTGACACTCGCCATATTGTAAATTGCCACCGATATTTCATCGCATAATAATGTATGACTTTTATTGACCATTATATTAAGAAGGACGGTCATATACTTGCTTAGGAAATAATGCTTAAAATAATCCTGTAAATTCATTTTAAAAAAAAACTCCATTAGATCGCCAAAGCGTTTTCTACCGACAAAGTATTTCTCACCTTTGCGTATAAATTCCATTTTGAATGTAGTTCTTCGATTGCTCTTAAATTCTGTGAAAAAATACTTATGTCATTTGTCATAAATGAATATCCTACAACTTCTAGAATTGTCGTAAACTGTTCAGAGTTGTCAATATTATTGCCATTGTTGGAATTCATAGTCATCGAAGGAGCAGATGGGAAAAAATATCTCCATTTGTACATTAAAATGCTGTAACAAAAAAAAATGTTTTTTTTCTATACATTTTTATGTTACCGCGCTTCTGTAACTCTTTGTCAATTACCAATAGAGCAAATTGAACAGTGCTGGCACTGTTGGAGGATAACAATTTGACGCCACCAACGGAATTAATTTCTCCAATGCTAATTTAATTACTGCAGACGTAAATTCTTTATTGGACTTGGAAGAATTTTTCACGATCAACGATAATACCTCGAGCATTTTAATAGTCAACGTCATGCTAGCCGACCATATTCTAAAAAAATAATTAACATTATTTACAGTTGGAGTGTTTTTTTATAGCGTTGATGCAGAACACAGCGCACAAGCCTTATGATTATTTATATTTAAATTTAAAAAAAACTATCAAAGTAGACAATAGTTACATGTCCAAATCCACGAATGTCTGCATGAGTACTTGCACAAACTGCGGTGACATGGTGTCGTGCAGTAATTCGTAAATTTCTGAAAGAAAAGTTATCACTCGTTCACATCGATCCATATGCAATTTAAGAGAAGTTTCCGATTGCATATCGTTTTTCAGATGTGTGACCGCTTCAACCAAAAATGGCTACCGAAAAATACCAAAATCAATTAAATATAATATGTAATGATAATTAGTCAATTCGAAGGCTTTAGATTTACTTCGATAGAACGATATATAATTCTTCTGGTAGACATCTTGTAAGGTCCACTATTGACGAGCACGTCGGTCAACATTTTCAAATCGTTCAATCCGGAAGGTGCAAGCGACTTTAGATAATTCATTAGGACCAAAACTTTGATCTCTTCCTCTTGGCTGGGACAAGTCAAAAGAAACTTTAAAGACGTCACGCGTACTGACAAACGAGTCTGCAATAATATATCATAAGAATTCAAGTTGAAAACATATTTCGTCGAGTAACTCGCCAAGGCCCTTTTACCTTTTTATGGAGATGGTTTAAAGAAATTGAACCGTTTAAAAATGGCGAGAGTAAAAGTTCCAGCAGCGATGTGTATTCGCTAATATGGGTAAGCATAGGTTCGGTAACCGTGGGCAACAATATTCCACAAGCGTCGTGTATCTGAGTAGGTTGACTCGTGTCTTGCAACGAATTGACCAAAACGGAAAACAGTTTTTCTCGGTTTTGCTCCATACAAAATTGTTTATTATTGTTTAACAAATGCATCCACCTCGACAACGCAGTAAGGATTTCGCTTTGGCTGTAATATTAAAAAAAAAAAAAAAAACCTCAAACTTGAATGTTTATCATCTAATTATATACAATCCATACATTTGAATCAACGTTTTCGTAGTCGACGGTAGTACGGGCAATTGATAGAGCGGCGTTGTGGCAACGCCTTGAATAGCTATGTCGTTAAGCATTTTTGTAATTGCAATTTTCATGGAGTCTTCATAGTAGTTACTAAGACTAGTCAACGTTCTCGTAGATGGTACCAAGAACATGCATTTGGAGTTATTAAAGTTTTCCAGCAACATTGGTGAATTTAGTATTGTTATATAATCATTAATATAAATTTTCCAGTTGTCAACCTGAAAAAAAATATTCCATTATGTAGTTAACGATATATTAGTGTAGAAATAATACAATGCAAGTCAACTACTAACCACAGATATAGAAACATCAGGGTACAAATGTGCTACATTTGATATAATTTCAATGTTTTTATTCAAAAATATCTGACACTCGGTTTGGCCCTGAAATATTCCGTAAAATACAACTAATAAATAATAATTATTTATTTTTTATTTATTTTATTACAACAAACTTTTAGGCTTACATCATCATCGTAGATTTCATCATTAAAATTACCGTAAGTATTCATTTTTTGAGTGACTTTAACGACAAGATCTAAAAATATTCGACGATATCTAAACAAAAATGAAAAAATGTTGATAAATAACTAAATACCTTCAGATTTAGAAAACTAAAATAAGTTTTTCAAGTATATGATATTAAAATAAAATACAATTTAATCTAAACATTTTTTTTAAAAAAATTACATTATTCAACATTCTATTAGTCGCAGTGTAAAACATGCACCCCAGTCACATTTTATTTAACGGAGGGTTCAAAACCAAACTTGAACTAATAATATTTTTAAAAAAATTGTGTAATAAAATGTACAACTATTACTTTTCCACACATGCTGGTCGATCAGATAATGCTTCGAATATTCCACACCATATATCTAAACATTGATAGTAACAGTCTATTACAAAATGCTGGAATGTAAATTGTAATAACATATCTAAAAACTCTCCGTTGGGAAAGTGATTGTCAAGGAAATTCCAATATTTCCTTATTACGACTGATAAAATTTCAGTAAGTATTGTCAAATACCTGTAAAAATAATACAACTATTGTTTACATCTATGTAAAAAAAATAAAATAAAAAATTTTAAAACTCACGCTTCACTAACGAATCCAATGTCCGGCACAGCAACTATATTTTCAACTAATTGGAATGTATATATACATAATTCAGACAGAATGTAATACCTATCTTCAGTCTGTGTATACGATTTGCTTAACACTTCATTAAATATGGTCAATGTATTAATAGCTGTTGCGTTCTAGAGATATATACATTTGTTTATAAATTAAAATGCTCTAATTTTTTTTTTTTTTTTTTATGAATAATAATATTTACCTCTTTTTTTGCTAATGGTAACAACGTGTGCAACAGGTCTTGAGTCAAATATTTTTCAAATGGTAGCCAAGTGAACATATCGGAAAACACTTTTGTCACGGCTTCATACACTTCATCTAAGTTGGATGTTTTATGAGCATTTTTAAGTATGTCTAAAATTCAACAAAACAAAAGTAAAAAATTATTTTAAAAAAAAAATATATATATATACATATTAAACTTGTTAACATTGATGGCCAAAGAGTAAAAATGAAATGTGTTTTAATTTAAGAAAATTATGGCTCGTATTTTAAATTATGGAAATGTATTATAAAATATCTATAACAAAATATAATATCATTTTTTTTTTCAAAAGAGTAATTTTTTTTTTCTTTCTTATGACCTTTTAGAGTAAACCTTTGGCTTTGGTACAACAATTTTCAGGGATTTTGTTGGCCAAAAAAAAAAAAACCATTGCAAAACCAATACCTTTTTGGCTATGTAGCCAAGTAAAGTGCTAAGTAATAAAATAAATATTTTGTATTTAAAATATAAAACCACTTAAAAAAAAAAACTTCTAATAAAACATTGAAACCATCATAATATTTCTCTACCCAAGGTTTAAAAGTTAGAAGGAGGAGGAGGAGGAGTGGTCAAGTGGGTAAGGCCGCAGTGTGTTAGCGCTCACTGTCACTCAGTGGCGCGTTTGGTCAGGTTGGTTTGGTGATGAAGATTTAAAAGTAGCAAGCATTGAGCTAAATGGTTTAGACTAGTTTCGATACACTTTACCTAGCCGAACCTTATTTTACCTGATAATATTTCAAACAATTTTGGAATGTGTTTTAGAAAATTCACTCTCAAATCTTGTTTTCTTTTTCCTAAAAGATCTTCTTTGGGGCTGATGAATTCTTCGGACGACAATAGTAAAAAGGATAGACCCAATAGGACTTGATCTGGGTTCATGAGCAACTATAAAAAAAAAACATAAAAAAACCGTCAACGAAAATTCTTCCGGAAATAACTTGATAATAAATCACATACTTGAATAATGTGATCAATAAAATTAGGATACCGCACTGGCCAATCGTTTCTAGCTATGTCTACCAGTAGTTTGACCATTTTACTGATCATAAATTTTGGATAATTATCGTGCTTCATTACAATATGATTGAAAATTGCTTCCCTTAGGGTTTCTTGGGATTTCAACGTCATTTTTTCCCATTTCTTGTTGATGATCATCTGAGGAACAAAATAAAGAGCACATTTTGCGTGACAATCAATTTCATAACCCATCCAACATAAGCATAGGCATAAGTATACCTCCATTGTATTCAAACTGAACATCAACAGATATTGATTTCTACTGTTCTCCAGATTATAGCAACACTGCACCCAACACTTGTCTTGTTCGCCAAACTTGTCAAACTCCTCTTGTAATTTGTACTTGAGTTCGTTGGTCGAACTCGGATCGTAGAACTGTGACATCATCACTTCGTACGTCTTCATTTCGTTTTCGTACGCCTATAAAAAAAAAAAAACAACAAAATGAGGACACCGACACTGCAAATATATGGTCAGTGACAAAATGTTTGCTGGTCTGACACAGTTCTCTCGACACTCACGGCTATGTCCTGTGTATTCATGGCGACGGCTGCGGTTTGATTTTGTATAGTACTTCTTTTGAGTAACTATGTTTTTGGAGACTTCAAAACTTAGTAGAGGGAATCCGAGTGGAGATCATTATTCGAGTAGATGTGCTTGGAAAACTCACCACACACACACACACACACTGTTCGGACGCCAACGCGATTACATTATTTGTACAGTTTTTAGATTGAAACCGTGTCTGTGAATTGTGTGCACTTTTAACATAGTCTGTGATCTTGTTTTTTTTTTTTGAGAATCAACTTTCAACAATAATACTATTTACCTTCCTGTTGAAATTAAAAAAAACATTTTCGAACGTTATCTCTCCGTCTCGGCTCTACTGTCTGCTATCACATCAGTGTTGCCAACGACAAGGTATTTAATTATTTTGATAAATACCCAAGTCCCAACTCTAGAAGACTATAGGATTTTTACGTTTTGGATTTTCCGCATTTAAAATAGAAAAGAAAAAAAATACATAATCGGTCCGAAGAGTGGAAAACAATAATGATCGTCTTCACGAAAATGTCCTAGAATCTGAAAACCACAATTTAACCAGGAATCATCTCGATTTTTCAGTCAAGCCATTCTTCAGATAAAAACTTATGTAAATAAGTATATGTTGAACAACGTTGTGAACAGCATTATTTTTAAAAAATAATGTAATAATAACAATACAATTTATTTAATAAAAAAACCAAGTGAGCCGCGAAAAGTTATGTGTAAACATCTTATTTCGGGTTCTACATACATAAAATACAGCTGAACTTATCATATTATGCGAGAACTTTATTGAGAAACGATTAATATTTTATATCGTTAATATTATCGGTTTATGACATAACTATAATGAGATACATAAACACGAGACTGTAAGTTGTACTCACTTGTCTATCTGAGTTTATCTGAAGGTTAAAAGTATATTTCAGAAATTTAATAAGACTCTCTCCTATTCTGTACTGAAGTTGACGTTAATTTAAATATCAATTATATGTAGTTGTAAATTATTTATATTTAATCACACAAAGAAGTTATAAAAAAAAAAAAGAGAAAAACCCAAATTAGTTAAATTGGATACAATTTTATTACTCAAGTACAATATATCATTTATAATGTTGAGAATCAATGTTGAAGAACAAATTCACTTTACCTGACACCTATTATTTTTGAGATTTTTTTTGCCATGTTATAGTGATTTCTACGCTAAGTCAGAATGGAACAATAACATAGGTATACATTTTTTTTAAAAATCTGTAGTCAAACTTTTTTTTTATTAAGGAAAAACCCTCTAAAAAAAAAAAGGGAAATTACCCTGCTGACCGTAGTCAATTTCCAGGCTGCTATGTGTGAGTGAACCAGTCAACAGGTAAGTCAGACGATCATATCTAATACTAAAAATTAATTTTTAAGCACATAATTGTGTAATAACAATAATAGGTACAATTATTTTATGGATATTTGTATTTTTGGACCTCCCTCACTGACACTAATAAAACTAATTCAAACAAAATATTTTATACCTTATATTGAATGAATTTTCACTAAGCTCTGCTGTGGTCTATGGTTTTAGATGAATAGATAAAAAAAAATCACAACATGGGGGTCTTCTTTCAATCACAACTTTTATTTAAAAAAAAAAAAAAAAGTATTTCACATCAGTCATCAATGGTATATATATATATAAATAATCAAGATATATTACAATACAAATTTTGTTTGTACACAAAAAAAAGTCAACAATTTTATTGTAATATTTACAAAGACAGTTGATAATATAAATTATAAAAAGTAGGAAAATAACAGCTATTCAGTGCATTTGACCTTAAAAACTTTCTATTCTTAACTTCATAAAATTATTTGGGTAACTATTCTGAAAATGTAGGCGACATTTACAATAGGTACAAAGTTTACATTTAAGTTAACAATATTTAATAAATAAATAAAAATCGTATGTACAAAAACACAAAAATAACAATGATAAAATAACATTTATCATTTTTAGGTCTACACTCTAAATAGGATTACACATCAAAGGCAGGAATTCTTTGTCTTAACATTACAATGGCACTGGACAGTTTAATTGCTGGGCCCAGAGGAATATTCAAAATGTTCATCAGTTCGTCTTGACCCATCACCAAAAGTGCTCTGCCATCAATTTTCTATAAAAACAACAATTGTGCATACTATTAGTTGGGGAAAACATTTAATATTATTTTACATATTTAATGTAAATTTTACCTGTTTAACAAATTTTTCCGATACAGTGAATTTGTCATCGGTACTTTGATCTACATACTTGGTGGCTACCACCCGGTCGACGTAAGAAGCCACTTCTTCGACGGACCATTTTCTTGCATCGGTAGTGCTGAACATCGGTATACCTAGTTGTGCGTTATGTCTAGTCCACGCCCTACCGCGCATCGATGCGGATAAAGGACCAACATCGTTGGTTATAACAGATAGCCCAACTTCTTGGCGGAGTTCTAAATTGTTAACATTCACGGTGTTTTGCTTAACACTTATGTTTTTATGTTCAGCATTACGTCTGCAAATAAAGAGTGTGATAAAACGGCCGTTTTTGACTTTTCCCATAATAAATATACATATACATTCTTAATATAAGATTTACTCACTTATTTTGTGAATTCTTATTTTTTTGTTTAAACACGTTTTCATTGAAATTAGAATATTTGGGTTTCTTTTTCTCTTCTACGTGTTGAAAATGAGATTTCGAACTGAAAAAAAATGAACATTAAAAGTAATACAACAGTTCAAATATTTAATAGACGAAACACGCTTTACCTGATTGTACATTTTTTTGCGTCTTCTGTTTTTATCCTATCGGGTATTTTCGCAAGTCCTGCCACGGCTTTTTTCCACAAATCCAATTCATAAGGGCAATCTTTTGCCAAACTATGATTGGCTTTCAAACTATTTGCATGACCTTTGCCACTACACCCAACTGTTCTACACAAATCTGTACCGTTGATTTGTATTTTATTCTCAACTATAATAAGAATAAAAAAAAATTATTCTCTCAACATTATTTTATTAGTTAATAAGGTTATTAAATTTTAGTCACTTGTAACTGAGAGTTACATTTTGTACACTTATTAATTATTACCTGGTGGTATCTCGAGAGGATGGTTAGTCCGCACAGCCCATCCGACCGGATGAATATCTGGACTATCATCTTCAACCCAATAGGCGTAGGCGATCCGAAAACCGTCATATAGTATTTTTATTTCATCCCCTTTAACATCTATTACCTTAGCGGTTCTTATTAGTGACGGAACAACGAGATCGACAACTTCAATTGTCATGTTTATACTAAAATCACGCAGTGGTCGTCGAACAAACGCCTCTTCGGGAACAGGTTCACTCTTTGTTTCCATTAAATATTCGGTCCACGAAAAAGGTTTTTTACCTTTAAAATCTAAAAAAAAAAAAATTACAATTATATTTAATTTGACTTATAAATAATAAGCAGCAGTTCTAATAAGGGAGGCAACCAAATAAATCAGTGGACAAGATAGCATTGATGAAGTGTACCATTGTAACCGCTGGGAGGAGATAAAACACGACCATTGTTATCACACCATCTAATAGGATGTATATTGGTCGATGTAACGTCAGTCCAATAGTCGAAATCGTCTGTCCAGCCATCAAAATGAATTCGTAAACGATCTCCTAGAATGTCAGCAACAGTGGCTACACATATTAGCTGTTTTGGCAGAGTACGAGTTAATTTGTCAAGAGCTTCCAATTTGGCTCCAATTTTGAAAAGTTTTATCTGACTATTCTGTAAAAACGATAACATGTTATACATTTACATTTATTCATCTCCAAACAGATAGCCAAATTTATTTATGAAATTATTATATTCTCACTGTGGATTTTTTTATAGAAGAGAAACACCATTTTGGAGCTGGCACAGCACGACATTCTCTAAGATAGCTTCCCCAATCAAACCTCTTTACATAATTTTTGGGTGGCTGTACAATACGCGAGTTTTGCTCACACCATCTTGCATAAAATATATCCGGACAATCTGCATTCACCCAAAAATCATATTCATCTGCATATCCGTCAAAATGTAATTTAATTCGATAACCTAGATAAAAAAAAAAAATTAAAAAAACAAGAAATTTGAAGTAAAACATAATAGTTTTAATTCTAAAAAATAAAATGAAGTTACCTTGGACTTCGACAATAGTCATTACACAAAAAAGAGCTTCGTGTTCAGGATCAATACCTTCCAGTTTCTGTCCAACTTTAAAGAAGTTTTGTTCAAGCGGAAATGGTTTGTTGAATAAACTTTTTGGTGCAGATGTTAATAGCATTTCTTCCATGTAATTTAATAATTTTTGATTACCTTTGACAGACTAAAATGAAAAAAATATAAAATCTTTAATGTGTAATGCACACTATGATACATTGTCAGGCCATAAAGTACCAGAACCGATGCCATAATTTTTTTATTTAAATAATTCATTAAAAATGATTCTCCTTCTCTTCAAAACACTCTCTATTTGTTGCAATGCACTTGTTGTTCCAGTTCCAATTTCATTGCTCAAGAGATCTTTTTCATTTCATAAATGAAAAAGTCACTGGGGGCTAAGTTTGATGAGTAGTGGGCGTGAAAAAGCATTGATAAAATTTAGACACTAAGGAGGACACAGTTGATTTGTCGACAACAAATGGAGAGTATTTTAAAGATGGTGCAGTTTATTTGCATGATTTATCTAAAATAGAAAAATTATGGGCGAACTTCCCACTTTTTAGACAGACATATGAAATATTTTAATTAAATAAAACACCTACTTCAAGATCAAATACTAAATTTCCATCATCGATGTCGTCATCGTCTTCATCATCATAGACATCATCTTCTTCGTCGTTGTTCATTTCATGACAAGTCTCGGTAGGAGGAGAATTCAATGGAGAAGACAAACCATCATTTGGTGGTATGCTACCGGAACTATCAAAAAGTGGTTCGTCCCAACTATCGTTGAGGCCTTTTTTATCCGGACAAGGAGCGGTCAACTGCTGCTTTCTTTTATGAATTCTATTTCCCAACTTAGCTAAAAGCTGTTGTCGGTCTATAATAGGTTTTTTTGGAGCAATCGGTATTGACACTTCTTCTGGTTCATTTATGGGCTCTTCGATGGCCACCACTCCTTTGGAATCCATTTGTTTACACGCTAAGCTGCAGTACAATTTGTCGATTAATTCTGGTTCGTGAACTAGTGTATCACAATATTCATAATGACAAGAAACAAACTGACCCATCTTATCATTATCTATAAAGAAACACATAATTAAATGAATTAGTTTTAATTATGAATAAGCAGAGATGAGTATAATTCAATACATAGTTATTGGAATAATTCATACATTTTTTTCCTTAAAATTAAAAAAAAAACTTTAAGCACCTTATGGTTTTAATATGTATAAAAGGTTTAAATATTAATTTCTTTACTTTAAATTGTATTCACTTTTTTTTAATTTTCTTTTTATTCATGATTGAATACTATTAATCAATAATTAAAAAAACAGTTCATGAATTTTAAAAAAAATTTACTCATTATTCACCAATGACAATGACTTTTATTCATTATACGAATAATTTCTACACGACCCTATAAGTCATTTTTTTTTCTTGTGAGTAAAAATACAGTTATTAGTTTGTTACCTTCTTCCAAAGAATTGGTTTTTTCAACCAAACGATTATTTTCTGTGGTACTGCTGATCGGTGGTTCCCTTAAAGGCTTGTTATTTTCATTACTAGATACGTTTTTATTTGGTTTTCTAACATTCTACAGAAAAGAAAAAAAAATTAATAGAAATTATGAACTTCTCTATTGGCTTTGCTATGAAGCTGTATAAACAAAGTATATAAACCATACTCGTGATCCAAAAGAAGACCGAGATTCATCATTTAAAAGACTTTGTACTCCTCTATTGGCAAAATCATTGTTTTCACAAGCGTTTTCTATTACTTGGTATTCAACTTTTGCAGCAGATGAACAGGCAATTTCATTTGAATTTCTGACAGTTAAATTTGGCTTTGTTTTACTCAAAGATTCCACAGATAAAACTTTTAGGCCAATCTGATTTACTTGTTTTTTGTTTGCAACTTTTCCTAAAAAAAAAATTTTAAAAAATGAATAATAAATAATGGTAAAATAAAAACAAATAACATAACAGCAGTAACAATTCATTTTCAACAAAACTAACCGTATTTCGCAATACTCAACGAATGACTATCCAACGGAACTTTAGTATCTAATGAATTCGGAGATATTCTTATGAAGCCTGGCAAACATACATCTTTAACATCTTGCACAGGATTATTTTCACTGTCATTTGATGAGAAATCATTACTGGATGTAGTTGGTAAACTCGTTTCCTCGTCCAAACATTCTATTTCTATATCGTCATTTGATTGAGAAACATTAACCCATGATGTTCCGGACTGCTGATGTTTCCGATAGGGTCTAATGTTAGTGTCTGGCTTCAAGTTCATAGAATTCATTGTAGTTTGGTTCATTTGAACAAAACCGCCAACTTTTAATTCACTGGCGGCTGTACTTTGAGCGATTTTTTGTTTAACAAAATTAGAATTTCGTTTGAACAGATTTTCCAAATTACCAGGGATGTTTCCTTGAGCTGGTACCATTTTATACTTGCCATCGGGTAATTTTTCCATTCGAGCTACAAATTTCTTTTTATCAATTTGCGAATTTGATGTGTTAATTATAAGTTTTCTCTTTTGGTTTGTTGCATTTACTGTACTTTGCAAACTTTTATTAACGTTTTTTAACGTTGAAAAACTGGTTTTTATAGATGGACTTATGGTTTGACCGAGTTTATTTTTTTCTACTTTTCGAATCATATAATTAACACCGTTGTGCGGAACAACATACATTTCTGTTTTTGAATCGTTTGAAGATATTTTTTTTAGTTCTTGTGTTGTTTTAGTAAAATACTTATTGCTATTACTTTCTAATTCTAATTTCGGTTTCAAAAGCCTTGGCATTGTTGTTGATTTAGGTACACAAGGAGCAGATACAAAAGAAATTAATGGCGTATTATTAAATTTACTCGATGATGTAGATCGTGAATTAAATTTTATATTAGACACATCAGTCTTTTTAGGCACAGCAATTTTTTCTAAATCTAAAGAACCACTTTTATCATATGACATAGTTGAACATGTAGGAATATCCGAAACTGATGTATATGGCATTATCTTTTTAGTTACTATGTGCATGCCTGACGAGTTAAAATTTACAGCAGTACTATCACACATAATTGGGTTAAAGTCTGATGAATTTTTTACCGACGATACGCTTGGTCTGTCTTCTATTTCTAGTAGTTCACTATTACTACTACTATGTGAGCTAATGTCATCTTCCTCCACTATCACCATTGATTCTTCGTCCACTGCATATTGATAATTTTCAGATTGCAAACTACATTCACTCATATTTTCATAATATGTATCTTCGTTATCATCAAACTCATCTACTTCCATAATAGTTTCGACATTTTCATCAGATTCATTGGCATTATCCATGATAAAATATTTACTAAAACAAAATAATAATTAATAATATGCAATAGTTAAACTATTAAACAACTAAAAAAATCTACGAGATTTCAAAAAAACAATTTTTTTTTTTTAACAAAACTCATACAATTAAATTACTTACACCCATACACCTACACTTTAATAAGAAATTATATAGTATAAAGAATTTTTTTGGTATAGTTACAAACCAATACAATTATATAATAATTTCAAATACTTAATTATTATTAAATTAAGAAAGAAAACTAATCATCGCCATCAGGTTTTTAAATAGTATTTTTTTAATGAACTAAAGTAATGTTAAAAGTAAACTTTTTTTTTTTTTTACAAAAACAACTAAATAAACAATTTGTTGACTGTAATATTATAAAAATATCTGTATGATATTAATTTACATGTATACAATTATATATCAATGTACATTATACATAGATACAAATATAAACTAGTTTAGTAATAAAGTTGTAATAATTTAATAATAATAAATAATAATACAGATAAAACTATTTAATATTTGTATTTACTACACAATAGTAAAAGGAATAGAAACAAGTTATTTTGGAAAACAATTTGTATATATTAAAATAGACTTACGGACAATAATAATAATAACAACACTACTACTTCACTATTTTTCTCGCAAGTTCTTTGGTTTTTCTATTTTTACAAAAAAAAAAAATTATCCGTATAACGGCGAGGGGAAAAAAATAAGAAACATTATTTTCTTTCCACACGGTTGAATAGTCAATAGCAGACAAATTATTAGTCAACGGCATTCGACCGAATGATGTGTTTTTTTATCTAGTTAATTATTTTTATATAAATACATTTGAGAAATTTAAATTACACAATAATATCCAATTGTAATTTGTTATATTCTTATAATACGAATGGTGATAAAAAGTAAAAACCGAAGAAATTCGTAAGTTGTAACACAAGCGGAAAATGACCCGACGCTATGGAAGAAAAAATTAAAAAAGGTTACCACTCGCGGTTAATACCTAACCAAAGTGTAGAAATCAAAAGAAATGTCGTTTCTCGTTTTTAACAATCTACGGATCACAACACCAAGTCGTTTTCTCGATAATATTATTATTGTTAACAAACATAATAATATCACTGCGCAATGACCAAAGTTTCATTGTTAACCGCAATAATATGATCTTTTTATTGTCACTCGTGTTGTCTTAGAAAACCGATTACCGAATAAATCTATCGCGGTATTTATTATTGTCAGCTTTATATTATGCTTATAAATTATAATATAACGTGAACTATATCATTTTGAGTTAATTAATTTTTATACTCGCCTTTGTGCCAGGTAGAAAACACAAAATATTAATTTGTACGTACGCGATAATTATTTTAGTTTTTGTTTCGGTTTTTAACAGGTTTTTGTTTTTTTGTAAGTTATACCATATTTCGATTTAAAAAAACAACGTTTTGACTTTCAAAAACAAAAAGACGGGAAGGGGAATGTATATACTCGACATTTTTAAGTGCGGGTTTGCGACAAAAAAACAACCAAACGCATATTTTACATAATAATTACATTAAATATTTCGGCACACGATTTATCTTCTTTCTTGCCCGTCCAATCCCTTAAGGTGGTAAACGTGGTATCATAGGTTGGGTAAGTGGTAACCGGAAATTCGATAATCTCAATGTCGGTTATTATTGCGGCATATTCGATGGTATTATATTATTCGTTGAACTTTAAAAATTTTAAAATAATCTGTAATTTAAGATAAAAATGGTATAGGAACAGTCAACAATTAGCTGTTGTTATATTATACATAGTACGCATAAATAAAATAACGGAACGAAATTATTATACACATTTCCTATTAACTTCTACCTAACGTTTTTGTGCAATTATTGTAGTTTTCAATTATTTTCTTAACAATAATATTGTAATTAGTAATTAATGGTTTCATTTCACTGAGAAGTCCGCGTCTTAAAAATTATAACCAACTACAAAGCTGAAAGCACCGTTTCATGCATATATAACTTATAAGATACTAAAGCCATAAAGCCTGAACAGTGGAGGTAACTATAGAGCGAATTTTTCTGAACTCGTATTGATATTTCATAATAGCAATATAAATAATTGAAATATTTTGGTCACCCATAAATTGTTTGCGTCATTAATACAATTAGTAATTACATCTAAGAACATTATTATAAATGGCCGCCCGTTCGAAGTTGAAAAAATTGACTTCAAGCAGACCTGACTTTTTAAATTCTAATTATAGTTTACGGATTTTAACTTACCAAAAAAAAAAAACTATACTATTAATTATAAGATAAACCTTGGGTTTTTTAAAAACTATTACACTTTATTACAGTGTATAATGCCAAACCAAATTTTGTATTCAGCGTGAACAGATGACAGTCCGCAGTCGAAACTGTATAGATACGTAGATGGACCACGCCGTATACTCTTGTGGCAACTAATTTTTGGACGCAAACATCTTAATAACAAAAGAATAATATTGTAGTCGCGTCCATTGCGTTATCATAGCGCTAAACGTACCTCATTCGATTGTTTTGCGAGTTGTGTTGTAATTTATATACATATAATATATATTATCGATAAAACTACAATAATTTTCATCATACACTGGTGTAATTCATTAAGGGAGCGGTAAAATCTTCTGGACAATTTTAAGTACTATAATAATCGTTCTAATAACGTGTGATTTCACTTTTCACTTTCATCGTAGGTAGGCTAATGTTTTTATCGAGCATCGAGCTTCGACGACACTGATTTTACACAAAATAATAATGTTATCATTGGAACGGCGACTGTGGATAGTCTTGTGTGATAACGTTTCCCAATATTTTCATGTGTCTAAACGTCTAAGAATGTATTACTATTGGCCGTGCTGAGTCAAATCCCAAATGTTTAACATTATTTTTGTTTTGCCTATGAACCGTACGGCTAAATTATTTTGTGCACAGTATTTGATACGATTGAATTTGTATTCGCAGCGTCCTCAAGTAAGTCGGTAATTTGGTTTGAAATCACTGTGTAAAGTTTGAAATTTGTCCCAATTCCCAATCGGATCTTTTCCCCGAGCAATTCGGTTCGGTGTTTTCTAAAATTTCAACACTCTTGACTGCTGTGAAAAATCGTTTTCACAAATACATTAACGTTGAACCATAAACCACCCCAAAAGACAAAACAATTATGACGTTGTCTTTTTTGGAACAGTGTCCAATATTATGTCATGAAATTATCGTAATTTAAATGACGGATTTTAAACAATTGTCCTAATCAAATCTGTATTGCAAAATCAAACTGTATTTTACATGATTCTGTACAGAAGAGAATATATCAGCGCAGAATGTAAAACGCATTATTCCTGACTGCGCCGCCAGCGGACATTTGCATTTTTGAACACCCCCTCCCCACCTACCGGAGCTAAAAAAACATTGAACATTATGTTATTTACAGGGTCTTATTGTAGGTATAAAGAGGACTGCCTAGTATTAAATCAACATGGGTCAAACCGTGAGTCAGACACGCAGCAACGATGAGCTCATCAATATGTTGGTCAACAGAAGATTCATACGCACAATCGATGTTGAAAAAGTGTTACGGTCCGTCGATAGAGGATTCTATTATACCGTCGAGCACAAACGGAATGCGTACAGAGATTCAGCTTGGCAGAGTGGCAAAATTCACTTATCTGCCCCGTGTATATACGCCAAGGCCATGGAATGCCTTGCGTTGAAACCAGGAAATCGATTTTTGAACATTGGTTCTGGAATCGGCTACTTCAGTACTGTAGCTGGCTTGTTGCTGGGTAAATGGTTTTTTCCCTAGACATTTGCTCGTCAAATTGTTTATATTATGTTTTTACGCCATTCTAATTGCTGTACTTTTTCATCAGGCCCAAATGGCGTGAACCACGGTATTGAAATTCACGAGTCGCTCATAGAACACGCTTACACGAAACTAGAAGAATTTAAATTAAATGCGGCCGCAATCGATTACCATGATTTTTGTGAACCAATTTTTATACAAGGTACCCGATTATATTTAAATGCAAAAAAAAAACCGACCAAATATAAAGTATAGTTAAATTTATTGGTATTATAATATTTTTTAATTTTGATTTTTTATGCAGGAAATGCGTGCGAATTGTTGCCAATGGGTTACTATGATAGGGTTTATTGTGGAGCTGGTGTTCCACCAGAGGAAACCGAGTTCATGAAATCACTTATAAATGTAATTAGTATTTTATTTATACTCATAAATACCGATTAAAACATCATAAAATATCAATCATTATTATTTGTCTTCTAGATTGGTGGAATTCTAGTCATGCCTTTAGAAGGTTTTCTCTTGAAAATAACTAGAAAAGATGAACATTCCTGGCAATCTGTTAAAGTATTAGAGGTATCATTTACAGACCTCGTTATACCAGAAAAAACCAGTTTCAAAACAATAGAGTTTCGTAAGTAAATTAAAATTTTTATCTTCCGAGTTTCTAAACCCCTAAAAATATCATTATATGTTCCCCAGCAGGGTTGATAACTATCTTTATTTAATTTTTGAAGTTTAGTTTTAGTATTGAAGGTCTATAATTTAGATTCAAGGTAGATTTAAAACAGCCTAAATAACATAATATACAACCTTTTCCAAAAATATTATGTTGTCAAAACTTTTTTTTTTTTTTTTTAAGTAAAACTGAAGAAAAAAACTCAAAATACTTCTAGTAGTTATGTATTTTGTAAGACCTACTAGTACAATAATTATTTTTAGGAGGTTGAGTGGGTAAGGTGTTTAGCGCTCATTGTCGACAGTTTGACACTCGGTCACATGTTGTTACACACATTTAATATTTTCTGTTAAATAAAAATTACCTACTCTTACTAATTTATTATCATCAAAAAAATATGAAAAATTGTTTTTAAATTAAATTTTTTTAATTTTTTATCGAAAATAATGTTTGTATTTTTTTATTTTATAGCTGTCGTCGAACCACCAAGTTTGCAAGACTTATGCAGATCTAATATCCGTTCGTCGTTACGTGAAACCGTTGAGGACAAATGCGCCTACATACCGATGCGTACAAAATGCACAGAGAAGAATGACACCGACGATAATGAGCACATGTTGCCACATTTTAATAACGAAAACTTTGGCGATCCGTTGACACAGTTTGTGCGCTTACGATTCGGTGGCAGCGAAGAAGGGTTAGCCAGTTTTCGTAACATTGTGGACACGTTGGTAGGCTTGGAAGACATGTCAGAAACTCCGTCGATTTCAGAAGATGATGACGATGATGATGAAAACGATGACGATGATGATGTTGATGATGACAACGATGATGATGAGGAGGACTTTCCAGTTGAAGATTCAGTAGGCTATGAAGAATTGGCAGAAGCTATCTGTGAAGCAGAAGAAGAAGTGGAGGAGTCGAACATAATAGAATCACCTGAACGTCAATCGGACGATTCAACCAAGAGAAAGTCTCCGGAAGCCGAAGTTTCAGACGCAAGCAAAGTCCAGGCAGAAGTGGAAAATCCCAAAAGAATAAAATTGAACTCTTCGACTTCAACAAACTCCAACGAGCCGTCCACGTCGTCGCACAATACCAGCGACATGTGGGAAACCGTATCGACAGAATCGTCACATAGGTCATTGCACAATGAAGACTCCGGAGCGAGTTGGTTTTCGTCTGTGGCCAACGACGACGGCGAGGAGGAGGACAATTTTAGTTTTATCAATAATGACAGATACAGTGATGACAGTGACAGCGATAGTGATAGCGAATCTAAAGTAGATACGATCTTGTACAGTTTCAAAAGCGATTGCAAAGAAAATCCGTGGAGTAAAATGTTAAAAGATAAAATTAACGATTTGCCAATTCCTGTACCACTCAAACATTTCCTCAATTACCACAGGGTCGACTAATACTTAAGCATTTGTTTGTTTTTATGTGATTCATAACTTTGCCAATTTTTGTATTTTCTTGTACATAAAATATTTAACTAGTTATGTCGAATGTTAATTCGGCTGAAATAAGAATGATGATTATTATGTTAACAGATTAAGAGATCATTATATTTTGTCTATGTTTATTTCTTTTCTTTTTTTTTTTTTTTCTTAGGGACTTAATAATAGTTTAAAGATTTGTCCCCTAGACTGTTACTTAAGTATGTGATGATAATAATAAGTCTATCACCCCGTGCTATTGTTTGTTTTCATATGTTAAATATTTCAACTTCTTTGATGTAAATTTATGGTTTGATAATATTATATACGTATATTTTTCTCTTTATATATAATATATACACATATTTATATTTTAAAAAAAGGTGATATTATTATGTTGTTACATTGTTTTGGATTATTTAAATTTGTAATATGTATGGTATTTGTAAAATAAATTGAAATAATTTTTTTCTTTTTATTTTTTTATTCAAACAAATTTCTGTAAACATTTTTTTTGACTATTCACAATTAGATATTACATGTTTACACGACGAGGAAAACCCACATTAGGGGCACTTCATTTGAATGTAAAACAAATTGAGTCTAGGTTAGGTTAGAGGTTGTGTGAAATGACTACAATTATTTCACCTATAAAAACACTGTGTACAGCGTGTGCAATATATTTTTCATTCATAGAATACACAACAGGACTAGTAAATATTTAAATGTTATTTATCAATACAACGTAAAATAAAAACAACTGAAAGAGGTTAAGGACAAAACATAAATATAATAACGCATGTAAGTACTGAAAATTTGAGCGGTGCCCAAAATTAATCTTAGACACTTAATTGTTATTATATATTTATACAATATATATATATAAAACAGTGGCGTACACATTAATACATAGGAACATTGATAGGGTCACCGAGTCTATTCTTTTCAGCGATAGTGTACTCCAAGTCGTCTGGATAAAGGTCCGCCAGTGCCTTGATTGGAACGAAAGCATCAAGTTCAAGACTGAATTGCGTAAAAAATTTACCTATGTTCTTGAAATGATGGTCAGTCGGAATTAGGTTTCTTTCTAGTTTTTCTGTCAAAAAAAAAAAATAACAATGGTAAATTGGACATAATACGGAAGTTCTATAAAATATTAAACACAATTTTAAATTATATTATAAGGTAAAAAGTTTTTTTAGATAAATTGTATTTATAACTTACGAAAATGTATTTTTTTTTTTAATTTTATTGTACAAACAGGTCTAGCCCAATTATTTAACATATTTTAGCTTACAATCGTACGATTGAACTCGATACTTATTGGTATATTTTTAAAAAATGCAAAAAGAAGCATTCGTGTTGATTTTAAATAAATTTGAAATCAACTATTATTCAACTAAATTTAGAAATTGACAACACTTATAGCTCGCTTAACTAATTTTTTTATTATTTAAAAAAATATAGGTAAATCGAGCCTTTCAATTTTCACGTTTAGGTTTTATCATCAAACTGTTTTTAGTCGAATAAATAATTCAATAATCTAGTTACTTTTTTAATTGATAGCCATTAGACATTAGTCATAAGTTGAGTAATTTATTTGTTTGGTAGGTAACTGTAAACTATTCACAAATTGTACTCGAACCGACACAATTTGCCAATTCATTAAACTCACCTTGTCGGGTTTCCCATATTGCTTTTATGACTGGATTTTGTTGCCTAGAAAAGTTACAGTAATGTTCTGGATCGGGTCTCATTAGCACGTAGTAAACAATTAGATTGGGCAACGGTTCCGCATTGGGCATTCCAGTCCAGCCCACGACAACGCCACGTCTTATAATTATGCCCGGATCGTCTATACTTCCTTTTCCAATCACGTCGACCATCATGCCGATTGCAAACTTTGGATCATTGGCTGTGCCACGCCTTTTGGGTACCGAGGGAAACATTTCTTCATACTGTTGCAACAACAAGACAGAAAAATAAATATTTAACAACCAACCGAATGATTTAATAATGCTGGACAAACAACGGTTCACGTACGTCTTGGTACACAGTGTTTCTCTCGTCTATATGATTCGGCGCCTAAATACAAAAACAATTATTGTCGTTATCGTGTGCTTTGATCGTATCGTATCGTGTATAAAATCATTACTTACGCACGGACTCAGCGAGTCTCTAATAAGAGGGCAACGGCAATAGTCGTAAGTATAATGGAATTTCTGACATTTATACTCCACTTCCATGTCTTCTGGTCTCATCAGTTTTTGGAAGTCCAGTACATATTTAAAGGTTGTCGAGGCGAGTTGTTCCATAGACTTACTAAACGTCCAAAACAACTGAAAATCATCGTCAAATTTATTATACAAAACTTTTTTACATTTACTACATCGATTTAATCGTAATATTTATATATTAGATAATTTTCAAAAACACTTGAGAAAAATTCTTTTATATTTTTAATATATGTGTTAAAAATATTAAAAAAAAAAAAATAATAATAACTTGTTAAACAACATCTAACTATAATAAGCAACAATATTAACGAATATCGCAATAATAAAATATAGTAGGCATATAGCGACTAGCGAGTTGTATTTATTTAAAAAAACTTATTGCTCTGCTGAAATTATTTGAAACATATTTTTAAAATATATCATACAAGCTGATGATATTATACAAGGTATGGGAGTATTTTATACACTAGAACGAATCAATATAAATCATTATTTATACCTATAAGTTATGATTATCCATACTCAATATCTAAATGACTGTGAGATAACAATATTGTAAATATTTTATCTAAAAATAGATCAGCATAATTTTCACTTGTACAAGCACTAACACTTTTTGATTTAATATATATTTTTTTTTTTTATAGAAATAGTTGCTTGAATATATTAACAGAGAAAAACTCGTCAGCATGACAAACTTTTAATTAGCGGTACACAACTTGAATGCGCAATAATGGATGATAAGAAAATGTCACAGAACGAGCTCGAAAATTCAAAGGTAAGATTTTCAATTTTAAACAACTCAAATTGTTCATAGTGTACCTGATGACTTTTTTAGATTTCAAAGATGGTAAATATTGACAAAGATAGAAAATATAATAATATTCTTCCGCGACTAAGAGTTTTGTCGCTTTTCGATGGCATCGGAACTGGTAAGCAACAACAAAATATGACAATAAAAAAATGTCTAAAAATTATCAACTTTTTTTTTTCTTCAGGGTACTACGCGTTGAAACAATTACATTTCGATATAGAAGTGTTTTACGCAAGTGAAATAGACCCCAACGCATTATTGTTGACTTGGTCGCATTTCGGAAAAGAGATAAACGAACTAGGATCAGTCACTCAGATTGATCAGTCCACGTTGGATCGAATTGGGCCCATTAACTTACTCATAGGAGGTTCGCCTTGTTCGGACTTGTCCAACGTAAACTACCGCAAAAAGGGCTTATACGGTAGTTTTTATCGCAATACACTTTACATAGTAAATTATTATTAGTACAATTTTTTTTTTTTAATCATAAACCAGATGCTACCGGTACGGGAGTACTGTTTTTTGAGTATTATCGTGTGTGGAATTTGTTGAAGGAAAAAAACAACAAAGAAAATGGTACTTTCTATTGGATGTACGAAAACGTAGCCAATATGGAATTGAAGCACAAGAAAATTATCTCACAGTAATTTCATCGACTGCAAGTAACAATTGAGCGTACCACCCTTTTGACGATTGAATTGTGACAGATTTTTAGAAAGTGATCCGTACGTGTTGGATTCGCTCGACTTGTCGCCACAACGCAGAAGACGATTCTTTTGGTCGAATATACCGAACATTGAAAGTTTGCAGTGTGCGCGTACCGCCAACGATGTCTGTACGCCGTTGTTAGACGAATACTTGGACAAGAATTTAGGCCGCAAAGCCAATGTCGACAAAATCGGAACTATCACGACCAAGCGAAATTGTCTGCAAGACGGTAAGTCATTTGACTGACTACGATAACACCAAAAACCCTGTGAGTGACAAATTAATAATTTTTTTATCTAGCACGAAATGACTTTCTGTTCACACATACGCACACATATTAATTACAATGGCTTACCAAAAGCGTTAATGTAAAAATCTAATTTGTACACAGGTAAATCTCGAGACCCCGTTAACCAGGACGGTATAAATATGGGCTTGTACATCACCGAGTTAGAAAAAATATTTGGCTTTTCACCACATTACACCGATGTTGGAGATTTGTCAATTAACGACCGGCAAAAGTTGTTGGGAAAAGCTTGGAGTGTGCCGGTTGTAAAAAGTATTTTCGAACTTCTAAGCGACAAATTTGCAATAAAGAATAACAATAACAATAATATTTAATGTATAACATGTGTCAAAAATATTACACGATTTATATTTAAGCGTTTTAGTGGGAAGTTATAATACAAAGTCGTTCTTAACATATGCCTACTTTTATTTTTACTTGATTTCGTGTACTAAAAAAAAAAAAAACAAAAGAAAGAGAAATAAAACATTTGTTAGATAGACATAATTTTTTAAGTTTTATAACAAAATATTTATTTTCAGAAAATTGTTTTTAATTTATTACATAGATTTTATTTTGTTAATTACAGTTATTATTTTAACAACAAAATAATGTAATTGTTGTAGTGTAACTTAAATCACACCATTTTTTATTTAAATAACAAATAGTTATTTAAAACTACAGTGTTTTTTTACATACATCTTTGTTAACTATATGTGTTTAAAATAATATTTAATTTTTATTACATTTTCATTTAACTTGTTTCAAATAACCTGCCGTTAAAAAAAAATATATTTAAACAAAAAATTTATTCGGTTTTGTTATTTTAACTTTTACTTAAAAACATTTATATTTTTATCTAAATAATGCAATTGAATGGTCTTATGAATTGTTACGATTTGTTCATTTGTTTAAATCATTACCTAAATGTTATATGAACTGTTTAGCTGATTTTCATAAAACTGATTATATACCATTCTTAATGATCAAAACGATCTTCAAACATTCATTTAGGTTTTTAATGATTTTGATCGAATACTTACGTCGGGTATAGAGTTTCCGTTGTAATGACCCGGCAGTTTTCCCGACACCGGACAAACTGTTGCTAAACGCATAACTCCGCCGCCAGCCACATCTATCAAATAACACGGTCTCGTTTTATGTTTATAACCAGGCCACGAAGACGACCAAGTCACAAAGTTGTGAACAGACGTTGCGGTCAGTTTGACCTTGACGCCTAATCGTCTAGCGACAGACTCGTAAATGACGCACAGCAAAAACACCGAACCTCGATTGTGTTCAAGTACCTAAGAAAAGCGTAAATTATAAAATGTCAAAAATGTATGAGAATTTCCACTGATATACATATTATAATAGTGTCTATGTCTATGCTTTAAACATGACGTATAACATACTTTTTGTAACAAAAAACAATTTATGTCATCGTGGCAATTGCAAATGAACTGAGCGTATTTTACAAACACGACTTGTCTGATGGAGTCGAGTATCGTGATGGTGTTGGATTCGTCAAACAAATCGTAGTCCAAATTTGATTTACTTCGTTCAATCACCTGATCCATATAGTTTTCTTGCTCCACGAGGGGATGTGTCGGGTTTATTGACCATATATGTTTACACACTGCAGCGGAAATATTGTTTAGACAATTGCCTAAAAATGCACAACAATAACGCATGTTAAACGTTGAGTATTAGATACGCAGTACAGCAAAAATAGATTATAACGACATCATTGATGTGGTTAAGACGACAAAAATCAAACTGAAATTCAACTTTAATTTTAAAAGACTTACTCATATCGTTGTACGATGTTTCAACAATAGGACACCACCATCTTCCTAATAGATAGAACCCACGTTCAATAGTTTGAGCAGATTGCGGCAATTTTAAAAAATCTTTTAACTTATATCCAAAAACTACTTGACAAGAATACATTAAAAAATGATGCACCACGTACAACTTGTCGTAATTTTCATTGCAACTGAAAATCAAAACGAATAATTTATTATTGAATGGCAAGATATTAATTTACTGATAACAAACTAGGATTAAATAAAGTTTAACTTACAGATTGCTGTATTTAAGATGTTTATAATGATTTAAAATTGCCGACAAGACGTAAAAACGATGAGCTTGGTAGGAAGAATGCAACTGTGAGCTAAATGGATACAAGTGATAGGGTACATTCTTATACTTTAAGTACTTGCTGGGCATTTCTGAGATCTCTTCGTTAACATAATGTTCTAAGCTCATGCGATAGATGAATTCATTCTTCCAAGTGTTTTGTTCGTCAATAACAATTTCGTATTCGTTCACATCCAACGTTCCATACCTGAAATTTCACACGAGGTCAACGGCCGTGAAATGACAACGTTGGGGCAGATTAAACACAATTGTCAAGTCTTACCTTTGGAAGTATTTGGTTTTCCACAGACTGGAGTTTTGTTCGTCGAATATACACTCGTGGAATTTATGATGGGCTATTGTCAAGTTGACAATATCTTGGTACGTCAGCTGGATATTTCTACATACGTGCACAATCAGTTCGGTCGGCAAATCCAAAATAGTGGTGCAAGCGGATTCCTGTTTGTCCATGGCTCGATCCTCTTGTCTAGTTGGTCAACATTCCATGAGAATTTCGTTGATGTTGGTTTTTGGACATAAACGTCGCTGCCACACTTCAACGTTAGGTTATTTGTTTTTGTTTTTTGTTTATTACTTTTTTTTTTTTTTTTGAGTTAAATATCATTAATCGCCATTTGCATTATATAAGTCACCGAGTTGCTGTTCGATGATGTCACCGCTGAAAATAAATAACTAATTGAATTGAATAATTATTCGAGTGTGTTAAATCTGTAGCCTTCGGACGAAGGCAAACCGTCTTAAACGGGAAACGAGCGGATAACTATGGAGAGATTCATAAACGACAAAAATGACAATGAACACAAATTAAACAATATCAACAACAACCAACATACAGAACACTTCAGCTGATAACGCGGATGGCAACTGATAAGAAGTACCTGATAAGAAGTAATACCTATATTATGTTTTGTTTTTTTTCAAATATACACGGCCACGATCATCGTCATGGGTAATAAAAGAATTATTATCTGTGGACACGATCGCTGGATTAAAACCTTTTGTTCGTTAATAATACATTCATTGCACCTTGTTACACTCAAATTGCAGTGCTTCGTTTGGGGAAAAAAAGATATCAATTATGAAATAATAAGGCATTTCTTTATTGCGACTAAGGTTAAGGTCGGTTTGACAAGTTTTGCTTCTGTGAAATCGTGATGCCGTTAAAGTTTGAATTTGTATACACTAAAAAAAAAACCCTAAGTCTGATAATACTAATTAAAATTAATAAGAATTACCGCATACGGTTTTTTTAGTTAAAAAAAAAAACTAATAATAATAATAAACCTGATTATTTGGACACGGCACGCCAGTATTTAACTATTAGCTTTATAATTTTATAAGTCAAACCAGTCTTGTTTTGAATAATTTATTTAGTCAAAAACACGTCATATTATTACAAAAGTAATAAGAAAGTTATCACATAATGAACAATTAAATATTTCTTAGAAGTGCAAACGTGCCTGTTTGGCTGCTTTAGTAAATAAAATAATAAAATATTATTTTTTTTATGCGTTTTAACAAAAAGACTAGATAGAATAATATGACATCTGTTATAAATTCCTCGAAATATAAAAATTGTAATTATTAATTTTTTTTAATATATATATATATATATATGGTCTTATCCTTAAAATAAGCATAATAAACTTATTAATTACTATGTTGTTTGTATACGTTTTATGGTATTATAGTTTTAGTGTATACAGTTAAAGTAATTTTAGTGGTACAAGAAACAGATTTTTCCCAGATTTTTGAATAACCGTTTCGTTTACTTATAAAAATCAACTAAGAAGTGGATGCTAAAAAATTTGAAATTTTCCAATAGAATATTATACACAATTTCAATTGAAATATCAAAAATCACAATACCCTAAAATAGAGGCCGTCCTACTTAAAAATGTGTTTTATACATATATATTTTACATTTTAAAAGTGTAAATATTCAGTACCTAATATTATTACATAACTAATTAGTATAGTATGAGTTATTAATTACCTTATCAAGATGGCATTATTGAAGGTCGCAATCATTAAAACGAACTTTATTTTTTTCCTCTATTCGACGAAAACACTTGAAGCACTTTACAACAAAACGAACACATCAAAACATTAGTAAATAAATAGTTATAAAAAAAAAAAGTATAACATACTTGTGTAAGCAACGACAAGTGCGGTGCACAACCATTATTTTGTTATTGTGTTTGAGCACACGAGTCTGCTACCATCGTTTGCGTTTTCTACTTTTGTTGAATATAATACAATATAATAAATATTTAACATATAAATATCATTATAATTAACGTCTAATAGTCTTCGTTGCTTGTCTTGTCAACACATCAATAGCGACCCATATGTAAGGTCTTTTATTGTGGTTACCTATTCGACTTGCAACGGACTGATGGTTTTTATTTTTTTTCTGCTCTGGTCGATTATTACTAAGGGCCGTCTATATTTATTCCGGAATTTCAAACAACCGAAAGCTTCAAACGGGGTTTTTTAACAGTATTATCAATATATATATAAATAATAATACAAATATTATGTACTTGACTCGAGAAGAGCATATGCCGTCCAGTCCACTGAAGCGTTTAACCAACCGTGAAATGATACCTTCCTTAAATGTCTTGTATAGGTACTGCAAAATTTTTAAATTGTACCCAACTATTTATAGTATTCCACCAACTAAAAGTGTACAAATCAAAATATGTTAAGCACAACATCGCCTTTACAATGCTTTTTATCGATATTTAATATTGTGCTTTCTGCGCTCTCGGTATTATAATATAATTCTTACAGTCCTCCTATGATATTGGTTTTCCCCATGAAATCATAAAGCTGTTTGGGGTGTTACAATGGCAATTATTCATTTTTTTTTTTAACCAAATATGAAATATGTAAAAACAATTACCTCATATTATTAAATTTGTTCTATTGTATATTTTAACGAATGGCTTTTGTAAAAAAAAAAATCCTATACCTATTACAATGGTATTATTTTTAATGGTACCAACCATTTACCAAGATACATTTAGTAAAGTCTATATTATGTCTTAGGTAAAATCACATATAATACGATAAACGATATAGTGTGTGATACAATAAGAACAAATAACAAGTTTATGAAATTGAATATAATTGTTTAGGACACCAGTTTCTTGTCAGTGTATATTTTTCCTGTTAATCGTGTATAGATTATGTTATACTGGTTTTACCTACCCACTGTTGTAGTGTAATTATAACATTGGTACTTAGCAGTCATTATACCATTGAGTTAATTTTTTTTTTTTAGGGAGCATAAAATAATTTAATACCTTTATATATATTTCATTATTTTTCTAGTCAAGTGTGTTTAAAGCACTCAGCCCAACTGTTTTGAGTTAGTTTATTGCGTGCTATAAAGTACCTCTCAAAAGAAGTATTGCAATTTGCGACCAAGACAAGTGTATGTAATAACTATTAAGAATCACAACGAACATTTCTAACCTAACCTACTGATGACTAATCTTATCCATATGGCATACCTATTCAATTATACCTGAATATCCAATAACTTGTAAACATATTTTGTTTCCCACCTTGGACTTCTCTGCGGATACACACAGGATTTTTCTGTACGGTGGGAGATTAGATTTAAAATTAAAATTAAAAAATTCTAAAAATGTAGGTAATAATCAAGTTTTACACTAAAAACCAAAGTATAAAAAAAAAATCTAGTAAAATGTATCTTAAAAGACTATCTATATATGTATAAGATTATAATATAATAAATAATATAATTATAATAATATTATTATAATTATAATTATAATTATTATTATTATAATAATATAATATAATTAATGATTATAATTAAAGGTACATTACCTAACTAACAATCAAATAGTTACCCTAACCCCTAAGTTACCTGAAATAGTCTAATTGGCAACCTGACCTAAGTCAGAGTTGCAAAGTGTTTTAAACGAAATATTTTAAACATATGATTAAAACGTTTTAAACAAAACGGTATTGTTTTGAACGTTTTAACTTTACTATATAATTACATTTATTTTTTATTTTTCACAATACTTATATTTATATTTAATAATATGTCATAAATGATGTATACCTGTTTGTTATTTTAATTTAAGTAATCGATTTGTATTTGTGGAACATCAAACATACAGAATACAGATTTTAAGGTATAATATAATAATTAATATCAAATTTGTATTATTTTTATGTACACATAAAACTAAAAAATGTGCCCAAGGGTTTGCTCTGTAGTCTGTATAGTGTCTGTCTCTAGAACTATTTAAATGGGACTATTGTTTATTTCCAAAGAGTAAATATCTAATAAAATAATTAACTAGAATTAAAAAAAAAAAAAATCATCCTTTGTATTGGTAAGTATTTAGTAAATATGTAATATTTATCTAATGTCTACATAATTATACACCATACAGTATATTAAATTAAATTAAAATTTGTTTAAAACATAATTTTTAATTATATTAAAAACAGTATAAAATATAAGTTTTTTTTTTTTTTAAACTGTTTATTTTGCAACTTTGACCCTAACTATTTGATTGTCGACACCCATGTGTAAACATATTATATTTAAAAAAATATCGTAGGTACATTAAACATAACAATATAGTCTCCGGTATTATTTACCGATTACCTTTCGCTTTGGGGGGGGGGGGGGGTGGGTAAACGAATATGTTTTTTTTTTAACCCGACGTCGACAAAATGTCAGTCGGTTTACCGGAACATTGTGAAAACCAAATTTTTATTTTTCAAGTCCAACATTAATAGGCTCGATAGTTGATGCGTCTCCTCTGTTGCACGCACAGCTCGCCGTCGATGCGGAGTGAATTGTTTTTGATCTCCAGCTGCGTGTCGATTCGGACAAACGACTGTTTCAGGTGTCTAAGACATTCCGACGAGCCGGCCATCGTGCCGCGCAAGCCCCGGACGTTGCCCTGCAATTCGGCCACTTCGGCGTGCAGTTTCGCCTCCAGTTCGTCCCTGCACAGCTCGACGCCTTCCCTGAGCGTGCGGTTCTTGAGTCTGGTGTGCGCCAGGGCTATGTACGCTTCTTTGTCGGCAATGGCGTTTTGCATTTTCCCGACGGTTTCTCGGACTTGTTCGATTTTCGAAGCTGTCTAAAATCATACACAGGCGGTAATAACGACACGACAGTGAATGCGCGAATCTGACATTGGTCGTACATTGATTAAACGACAAACGCTGTAAAGAGCGAACAACGCCGCGAGAGAGAGGCGGTAATAGTTGTTTTTAGTCATTTAGTTTTAACAGCGAGTCAGTAGGATTGTATCGAATGATCCGATTTAAAATTTCGGAAACATATAGAGCGTGCTGGATTTTAAGAGGGCGTCGCACCGGTGATTTTCTGTGGTAAAAACACACGTTCAAGCAGACTATGAAAATAACTCGCTCGATTTTGGTTTAAAAGCACCCGTTATAAAATTAAAAGAAAACAATATTCCGGAGGGCAAGACACGGTGCGTTTTTTTTAAAAAATTAATTTTTTGAAAAGTTACAGTCATTTAAAAATGTCAAAACAGTCGTTATTTCTAAACAATGTATTGAGCGTTATACTTGGAATAATAATGAAAAAAACGCACCCGGTCTTGCCCTCCGAAATATTGTTACATTTTAATTGTATAACGGGTGCTTTTACTCTAAATCCAAAATTGAGCGAGTTATTTTCAGTCTGCTTAAACAAGTTGAGATGAAAAAAACATTTTTAAATCGCTTTCGAGGATGCTGCGATAGTCCAAAAAATAAATTAACTACCAAAACGGAGTCCCAGTTATTGAACTAATAATTACACATCTTAGTTTAAATTAAGATTTTGTAAAAAATTGCCTATACTTTGCTCCTTAAAAATGAGCGGTGCGACGCCCTCTTAACGTTAACAAATAAGTAACATTATAATATTATAGTGTTTATTGCATTTTTTTAAGGGGAAGAGGTGGCCTTTATCAACGCGTATGTATCGCGACAAAGTATTTTTGGTGTTGGATTGTGAAGGGTGAAATCGTCGAACGTTCTAAGCGGTTAAAAATTTAGCTAATAATTTTCGATTTCGGTTTTATTCATTCTAAAGGGCACGCACTCTGGCTCGTTGCTGATGGAGCTTTGCGATCATTTCACGGTACTCTTCCGACCGCAATCTCAACGCTTCGTCGACCGCGCTGGATTGTCTGTGTAGATCGTCGATCATTTTGCTCAGGCACTTGTCGAAGAAAGCCCGCAGCGGTCTGCCCTCGACCAGCGTCTTGTTGGCCGCCGTTATGTTGTTCAGCGAGTAACGGTCCCATTCTTCGCCGGAAATCTTACTGAATAGGCAAACACACACACACACACACACATGAGACGGACAAAATACATACACTTGCACAATGCTCGTCAACGTTATAAGTAAAGTCCGGATTTATATGTTTTTACATATTGTTACTGAGTATATGCAGTCTTATGAGGGTAAAAAATGTGGACGATTCATTCATCACAGAGATCACAGGAAAAAGTTTTTTTTGCATATTTGAGAATATTTCATGGTTTAGGGAATATTTAGCTTATTTAGCATATTTTGGAATACTTTGTAAATTGTGAGAAAAACATAATAATTTATTTTAATTTTAAAATTATTATAATTAATATTTTCATAAAAAAATACACGCAGTGATAGTACTATTAAGTCGCCGCGTCGTGCCGTGCTGTTTACCAAACATGGTGGCTAACCTGCATACTGCATCGTTTTCATGCTGATAAGAACAACAAAAATTTACAAAATGACCAATAACCTGGTGAAAAGGGTAACATTATAAAAACCAAAGTGACTCAATTATGTGAAAAAAATAAAGGCTACCAAATGTTAGGAAAAGTTGGGAACATTTTATCTGGAAACAATGAAAATCTCCCAGAACATTTCACCCCTAGTGTAGTTGCTGATATGAAGTTTGCTCATTTAACAGCAGTTGATGTTGAACGTTTATTTAGCCTCTACAAACACTTTTAAGCGATAGAAGAACTAACATGAGCCCAGAGAATATCGAGAAATTCATAATTATTAACTCATATAATAAAATTTAAATAAGTGGTAAGTAATTTAAATTGTACTTCAATTTAATTCAAGTCAGAATTAAATTTAGAAGAATATTTAGTAAATATTCAATTTCAATAAAAGAAATATTGATTTTCATTCATTATTTTTGTTTATTTTTCTAATTTTTAAGAGAATATATGGAGAATATTTGTTGGTTTTTTAGAGAATATTAGAATCATATTTTAGGTGTTTTAAGAGAATATTTATCCGGACCTTAGTTATAAGTATAAGGTCACTCACGCCGGTGCGAATATGTCGTTGGAGTTGACGACCGATATTTGAACGCTGTTCTCGTTCAGCGATTCGTTGTGCGCTTCGATCTCCAACACGTTGTGCTTGTACTGCAAGTCCACGGACAAGTTGTACACGAACGACCTGAGTTTCCTGAGTTGTAGCACGACTTTGTCGAGCAGGTCTTCCAGCCGCTCGTTAATGCCCACAATCAACTGGCGTTCGCGCAACAGTTCTTTTTCCACGTCGTCCAACACCAAGTCAATGCCGACACGCTGACTCCTACAGGGATCCAACATATAGATCATTATATATGGTGGGTAATATCGTTGCATGGCGCCCATGCTCAACAACCCCGTCGAGTATGTTTGTACGCCTGTGACTTACCTGAGCCTAACGCACTCGGCGATAACGTCCAAAGCGTCGCCCACAAGTGAACGGTTAGCGTTTTCTATGCGCGTCTTGTACCCAGACAGCGTTTCGATTTCTTCTTCCAAATCGCCTTTCTTGTTTTCGATTTCTTTGCGTTTGAACTCGATATCCTTGACTTTCACCTTGGACTGGTGGTCGATTTCCAATTTGTTTTTCACCACCGAGTCTTTGGCCTGTACGATTTGCCGGTCGGCCTCGACCGTTAGTCTCTCGGCCCATTCTTGTTGCGTCTCGGCCGCCTTTATCTGCTGATCGTTATTGCGACACCATTCGGCCGGTGTGTGATAAACACGGTCGTAAACGTTTTTGTAATTGTCGCAGTTCATTAGTATTTATATTCAGACGGTAATAATAATAATAATAAAAACAATGAAAAAAAAATATTTATATATATTATAAAAAAATAGTTTATTTTAAAATCAAACAGTTTCTCGGTAGACACTAAATTATTGTTATTTTGTAAAGACCATTACAGAGTTCAACATTTATTGTCTTGTTTACATATCGCTATAGCAATATAGAAGTGAGCATAATATTGATTTATAGTGAACAGTGTACACAAAACTAAGTTCTGACGTTCTGAATAACCATTTTTAAGTAACAATATTAAAAACACTATTGAAAAAAATCATAATAAAATGAAAAACAATAATAATGCACATTATTATTATAGTTTTTTTTTAATACATACAGAATATATTAAAAATATATACTCAAAAAGGCCACAAAAAGTTAATTACATCATCTTTAAACATAAGAAAAATAATTAATAATAATGATACACAAACTTTTTTTTTTATTGTATTACAATTAAAAAAAAAAAAAGTACTATGCTTATCAAAACAAATTTTCTTAATAATAAAGTTATCACAGGTTTTTAGTTCCATCGTCCAATGCATACATAAGTTATAAAAATTAAACAAATTTAATCTTTTTAATTCGTTTGATTACGCTAAGTACTGTTGTCAAAGACAAAAGAAAAAAACATACAAAAGGAAAAAAATACAATAATTATTTTTACGTACACGTTTTTTAAAGAACAAGAAAATCAGATTGAGGTCAAACTTACATACTTTTTCAAATAAACATATATAAAAAATAATATTCCAAGAGTATCAATAACAAAAAAGATAAAAAAAAACCCCCGAAAATTGAGTAATACTTATTAGAGTTAACATACATTACCGGCTAGGTGTTGTTTACTCACATTAAATAATATAATACATAAAAATTAACGACACACATTATAACTGTCAATAAAATAATAAAGTAAATATTTGCTAATACAAAAAAAATTATACATAATAAGATTCCGATAACATTACTAAAATACACAAAGTAATCAGACCATTCATAAAATACTGTTAGTATACAATATATATATATATATATGTGTATATATTTATATTTATATTTGTAGGAAAAACATGCTCAGCACTCTTTGACATTTATAAAAATATACATTTATATAATTAAATTTATTTTTTTTGTTATTTTAATATCGGGACGAATTATTAAAGATAAAGAGATAGAGAGAGAGAGAGAGGAAAATTTGAGCATTAATTATATCAAGTTCAGTTACATCAACAATAATGAATATTATTATAAAATGTCTTTTTTTTTTTTTTTTAAATAAGTACACTACACTTAAATCATAGTTAATTGAGCCAAATCGAAACCGATTTCCGTTCTTTGTTCATTGAGGACGTTATCAATAGTTTTCAAAACATTTTCTGGCAAATGGTCCAACAACATGCGCGGCATGACTCGAAGTTCCTTGAAGTCTTCGGGTGAGGCCCATCGCATTTCATAGTTGTATTCATTGCTGTCGGTACCGGATTTCCTGCAACGTCGAATAATACACTTGTGTTAATCATAAGATATGAGGAGGGAAGCGTTATATTTTTTTAAGCGCTATACTTGTCGGCTTTTTTCTGTTCTTTGCTTTTCTTTTTCTTTGTTATATGTAATATGTGACCTGGTGTGTACAAACGTATCTTCGAGTATCTCCTGGTTTCCTGAAAACACATTAAACGTACGGCATATAAATCTAAAAACAGATTATGTAACACTACAACAAAATGTAGTTTTTCAATTTTTCGGCTAAATTTCCTAAAAAAAAAACTACTTTTACTCACTAGATTATAAGTAGACGATATGGAGATAGGTTGTTCGTAGGGATACGAAGACGTGGTCGGGACTAGATGATGATTGCTTATGTTATCTGTTGGAAAGCCGTCGTTTTGCGTAATCATGGATAGAACGGGCGAGTGTGCCGACAACAGCGGTGAATTGCGTATCTCTGAAGGAGACCGATGACGCCACGTAGACTCGAGATCTCTAGACGGTACGCCGAATAGAGCGTATCCAAATCCGTTAAGAAACACTCGATACTAGGAGAAAAAATGTAATTAGTACTGGAGTTGCTGAGATTCATCGTAACCCCCCCAATCCGTTACCTTTGGCAATCGGCACGCTTGCAGCACATTCAGCATGTTAGTGCGCAGATCTTCCACGTTGTCTATTGTCATGTGCATGACCATATCGTCACCGACGCCGACGGATAAGGTAAACTCTTCGGCTATCCGTGCAGCCTCTCGACTCAATAACCCAGCTGTAACGATATTTTGATTTCAAACGAAAACATAGTGTTTAATATTTTTTTTTTCCTCTCATTACCTGGCGTCGCAAAAGCGTACACTTTGAGATTAGGGTAAGTCGGTCGCATGTAGAATGCCAGCAGCACCGAAGTGCCGGCGCCCAAACTATGACCGGTGATAACGAGATTGTACTCGGGAAAATTTATTAACGCTTTTTCAATGACGTTATGATCTTCCAGTTCGTTTTTAATGTATTTGGCGCAGCAAAGCATTCCTTTGTGTGCCTGAAAAAACAAACACCAAAACGTGTGCCGTGCAATCAAATTGTACACTAAAGAATACTGTTGGCAAATTACTAATAATGATTACATAGCTGTCCGGAGGTGCGCCTTCTGCGTCGAGTTTTTCGACCACGGCCGTTAAATCTGTGAAAATATCTCGCATCGACAATGATCCCCTGATGGATATCACTATACTGCTCGTCTCGTGATCGACCGCTACAAAGAAGGGCAACTCGAATATATGATTGACGAACGACGCAAATAGAATGTCTTTGGAATGCAGCTTAGACATATAACGGATGGCCGCAAAGTTACAAAGACAGCAGTTATCTTCTTTGACGATGGTAGGTTTGGATCTGGAAAAAAAAAAAAAGGTAATTACGTCAATTATCGTATTTGTCATAAACTAAGTATTTGTCACTATAATGTAAAAATGACGACGACGCGCCATTTACCGAAAACAAGCGCAGCACAGGAACTTTGGCATCATTTTGAACAGGCCGGTAATACAATAACGATAGATCAAGAAAGGCCAACCGTAGATGGCAATGGACAACTGGAGGTAATGCCTCGCTCTTTTCAGACACATCCAACTGGGTTTGCTAGTGAAACACTCAGAAACGACTGGAAACAGAAATTAACAACACGCATACAGTTATATCAATCGACTCGCCAAAGCCATTCCCCGGTCGGGTATAAATGTGTATTACAGGCGTTTTTTTTCCCCCACAAGAGCCGGGTTATGTTTAAGTTATGGTTCAGACTCACCGGACGTGCAGTTGTACCGCTGTTCGGCCAACAAAGCCAACCGCCTTTGTTCTCTGGATTCGCGCTTCTGTTTCACCCTCAACAACACGAAGCCGGCGATGAAGTCCGAGGGCACAATGTCGGTGTTCCTGAACATGGAGCTCATCAGACTGGCGGCCTGCGAGAACGCCTCGTGCGAATGCTCGTCCCTTATCAGCCAGCAAAAGAACCACCGGAACCGTCTGACCCAGATGCGCGTGACCTTGCGGTGCAACAGCGTGTCCGTGTCCACGTTGCCGTTGGCGCCCTCTTGAAGTTTCAACGAGCCCACCGGATCCAGGATCATGGCCAACACGAATATCAGACCGCCCAACACGACCCAGTTGAACAGCACGCTGACTAGTAACACCGAACAACGTGAACGTTACGCTACTTCACAATTTGTAATCACACACGGAACAAAATATGTTTTTCATACTGTCCGGACAGCGTTACTCACTCTCGACCACCGTGTTGGTGAAGTGTTCGCTGCCGCACTGTATGCAATTGGTGTACGTCCAAATGGTGCCGAACACGTTGAGCGTTATTTCCGGTACGAGCAAGACGATCCTGAGGGAACAGACGACAGAATAAACTTGAGCAAAAAACAGTTATGATCCGCGACCGGATATCCGATACATCCGGCGCGAGAGATGATTATAGAACGGTGGGTAATTTTTTTTTTTACTTGGCCACCAACAGGTGCGGTACGGCTCGCCTGGCCTTCGTGTCGTAAATGGCTCCTTGTGCGCTCCGGTTGACCAACACCATCACCAGAAGGATAATTATAGAATGCATTACCACAATGCCGATCAGGTAGATCCGGACAAACAATCCGCCAGTCACGCAGTTGAACGTCCAATGATAGTACCGACACAGCGCACAACTCATCAGCGCCAGCCTGGAAAAAAATTTGTTATTAAGAGGACGCCACACCGGCCATTTCTAAGGAGTAAAGTATAGGCAATTTTTCGAAAAATCTTAATTTAGAGTTTGAACTATAATATTGTATACTTATTAATACAGTATTAAGGATAATTCGTTGATTGCCATTTTTTTTTTGTCAAACTATCACAGTCATTTCTACGAGATAAAATACAATTTTTTTGCCATCAAAACTGCTTTGCGCGGTTTGATTTTTCTTAGGCTTCATACAAAGTTAAGGAAAGAAATGCATACATATTATTTATGACAAAATTATCTGTGTTCCATCATCCGTATTTTTTCGATATACCTAATACAACCAACGCTATATCATTTTTAAAAAAGTAAAAAAAGTCCTTTCTTAATTAATTAACTACTCATTAACTGGTTGAAATATTAAAAAAAGAGCGACAGTAGAACACAGACAATGTTGTTGTCTATATTATGTAAAAATTTGGTTTCTTAGTTTTGATTATAGCCTTTGTAAAATTTCTCTTCACCTCACCATCCTCTTCACCAAGTTAGTTTAGCTGGTGTGTTCTCAAAGACGTTTAAACAACTCAAAGACTCTTTTAAACATTCTTAGACAATCCCAAAAAGATGCCCGCGTTGGACCCGGTTGTCGCCGCAAAACGATATTGTACTAGTAAAGTACCTAATTATTTTTATAATACAAAAAAATTGATAGTTAACAAACGAGAACAAAATTAAAAGAGCAGTGACGATCAATCATTACTTGTCAATGATACAATTTTTACAAGAGTTACTGGGAAAAACTAACCAACACGTTGAAAAACAATTTTTATTTTGTACTCTTGTAAAATGTTATAAAAACCACCGCTAGTGCATAATTTATTATTTCACCATATTTTTTTAATTTATAACGTGAAACATGATTTTGAACCAACTAAAAGTATATTATTTTTACATCAATGAAAAAAAAAGAGTTGTCACAAACGTCTGGATAGAAAAAGTAGGTAACTAAAATAAAAAAATCGCTATTTTTATTTACCAAGTGAAACATTTGTAACCATTAACTAAATTACATTAAAACTCTAATGTTATATTGAATCCATGTCTAGATTTTGTAAGAACCACCTCTCATATGATAATATTATACAACACACCATTTCGAAACACGCTAGTTAAGTGTGTTTTGTACTTAAAAAAATCTAACAATTTTTTTTTAATTATGGCTAATAAACAATTTTCGTCTGTTGAATTCTAAACTGGCCTCGAAATTAATATAATATGAATTTAGATTCGGTACAAAGCTGAAAAGGTGTTTAATACAAGCACATATAAAATCTAAACAATTCATATTGCACTTGTTTGTTTTAATGAAGTTTTAAAAACTTATAGGGTTCTTACACGGAGTCGGATCGTTCAGAAGGAGTTTTTTTTAAATAAATACTTTCACATTTTTTTTTTTACCTACAAGGCCGTGTATCCAAATGGGTTTTAAAAAAGGATTCACTATGTTATATTTGTATCTCGATCCTCCAAACATTTGTACGTTTAAAACAAGACTAGATAAAATTATATTACATAGAACACTACAGGTATAATAATACATCTAACTTGTTTTATTATTACAAAAAAAAAAATTGCAGATAAAATATAGAGTTGAATACAATTTTTTTTTTTTGTTTGTTCTTAGTTCTAGTTATTATTATGAGAAAATGTGTAATGCGTTATAAGCATTTTATTGTAATGACATTTATGCTTTTAATTTAATCACAATTTCCTATCGATCGAATTACAGCCATAGTAGCAACTAAATGATAAAGTTAAGGTATGTTTAAAGTACTTGGAAACGTGTAGTTTTTCATATTTAAAAAAAGACATTAAAATTTTAATAGTTGAAAAAAAAAAAATACTATTTCTAAACAATTTTATCTGCTATTTGTTTATTGCTTTACTATGTTTTTTTATTGTGAGTACTTGTGTATTGCGATAGTAAAAATAAAGCTTAAATCCGAAAACCAAAGTAACGTCAAGAAAGTGTGAATCAGAAGAAGTCTATTTTAGTGTAAGTAATGCGACTGAAAATTGCATCCAAATCAAATTTTCTACTATTTTGTTTAAGGGGGGAAAAATAGACGATGCAGTTTAATAAAAATAATACATTAAGTAGTAATTTATTAAACGAAAAAGTTATTGGCAAACCTCAAACTGATCTTCTACCAACAAGATTATAGTATAGCTTCATATAGAAACTGCCAAAAATAAAATCACAGATTGATCATGTTAAACTGAAGTATACCACATGTATAATTACAATTTAGAAAATTCTATAGTCTATACAATATGCATACAAAGGTTAAACGAAAAAAAAAATATGTTAACAAAAATTATTGTTCAGCTAACACTTAACACACAGTCAGCTCATGAAGTTTTTTTTTTAGTAAAAGGTCAACGCACCGTATTTATAGGTATTTTTTTAGGTTATGCTGGCCATTGGAAATGCGAAACGCGACACACGACGCAAACTATGAATGCTTACATAATTTGCATTAATATCAATTCAATATAAAACAAATAGTAATAAAAACATTTTAAATAGGTGGCACATAATTTACAAAGGACACAATGGGACGCACAAGAATGTTTTATAGTTTCTACTTAAGTCTTTGTAAAATCATATTTTTTCTATAAATAATTATTTACAATAATTTTTACTATTATTGTTATACCTAACCGGTACGTAGTCAAGGCAATATTTTAACTACTGGGCAAAATAAAATATTTTATTATGTCTAATTATTTTTTGGGTTCAACTATAATAGACGCTTAAGGGCGGAAGTTTTTTAAAATTATACATTTTTTTATAAGATAACCTCTCTAGCTAGGTATTATCTCTGTTGGTGTAAAACAGTGAATATGCCAATGAATTCAAATGGATTAGCTCAACATTTCTTTAAGCCCCATTAGAAAATATTTCAATGCATACAAATAATAATTAGCAAATTGGATTTAACAAAACACGTTCTTAACACGTTTTGATGGTACTTATTGTACAATAACAAAAAACATTTTAAAAAATGTAATATATATATTATATTAAAAGTTTTACTGTCACCACTCGTTCGACTTTCAGAGTAATTTCAACAAATTATGAATGGTAACTTCACAGCTGAAAACCTAAGTCTTGAAAGTTTGATAAAACATGCGTTCACTTTCTGGCATAATTTATTTGAACAGATTTAAAAAAAATGTAAAAAAAGGTCACATGCACTGTGATGGCTAAAAGGCCCATTTGATTTTGTTATGAGAAACAACAATATATTAAGGTAAACATTAAAAAAAAATCAACTTGGAAAGTGACTTGGCGTTGTTTTGGTCTTATTTTCTCCCCCGATTTGGCTGATTGCACATTGCATTTTTTTCAGCGGTAGTTTTTTAGTGTAAATTTTTCAAAACTCATTTTTAACATAAATACTTTTAAATTGGCTTCTTCGGTATGTATAGTTTTTACCGCTCAACAGCAATTATTAGAGTTAATACAACTATATTTTCCGGGAGAAGCTATTATAAGTAGACAATTACAAACAACATCAGGAAATCAGAGATAGTACGACGCGACGGAGGAATTAAACTAAATATTTATATATATTTTTTTTTTACAATTAAAAAAATCTACACACAGTGGTCGGTCGTCTGTGCGGTGCGGTGAAGTTGTACAGATAAAATAACATTACAATGCACTATATTGCCTTGCTTGCGTTTTTTTATTTGCTTGCAACATGATAATCAGTCATACATAACTGATTGTCGACAAGCCATTTTTTTCATTTGCTCAAAACATAAGTCGGTTGATGACTAATGGTCGTCTCAATCACATATTATATTTCGACCATCTTACCAGACCCACACAATATTACAATCCAAACGCAATTCAATAAAATCGGACAATTCTGTGTCAAATAAAAAATAACAGATAATGATCATGCATATATATATATATATATATATATATATATATATATATAATATGTAACTTTAACTCAACGTAATAATATATTATTATTACTAATAATTTTTAGTATCTTCAGCGCACGACGATGATACGGCAAAAAATATTTTTAATGCGTTCTCGCAATAAAGTAATACTCATTCAAGGGTACTCTTAATGGACATACTTACGTTCGCTTTAGCGAAGGGCGTTTTACAAATTATTTAAAACTCTAAATCGCAAGTGAAAATTATTTGCAATTTAAAAATTGCATTGGAACACAACAGCAAAATTAATGTGGGACATGTGCTGAAATTATTACATAGTGATTATAATACAAACAAAAGTGTAATGAAAAAAAAAAGATGTTTATTTTTATTTTAACTAGTAATTTGCAATCAACTCTAGTACTGGACAGTTAGCAGAGCTGCTATAGACCTTCGCCTCGATCAGGGGTCTTAATATTACATACAAGTTGGGGCTATGAGAACAGCTTGAGAGATGATGTCTAGAAATAAAATGTTTTGACCACCTTTAAAAATGTCTCAGCAACCAAATCAGCGTATAAGTGACACAATATAAGGTTTTTACTTTATAAGCAAATTCTGAGGTACACCACGGCAGTTGTACTTCTGTATTAGTCAGAAACTTAATAAAAAAAATTGCGATTTTGATGATTATCATAATATAAACACATATTTTAATGTTTAATGTTTTTTCTATTGTTTTCCACCTTAGTCAAAACTCGAACGAATTTAATTGCTATACCTAACAGCTGATATTAAAAACATCAACTGTTATACTTTCATCATTTAATTTACATAAACTAAAAAGTTTGTGCGTTCTAAAACAACATTTATTTCGAAAAGTTCATTATTGATATTAGGTATACAAGCAAAAATTCAAAATTATTTTTTAGCGCAGTTATTGGATTTAAAGTGCTAAAAAAATAGACCAAAGGAAATGTGTACTCACAAAAGGGGCAAGTGCGTTGTCGTCGCAATTATATTATACCTAATCATCGTTGTAATAACAATCGAATAGAACTTAGAAGGCACACTTATGACTGTTGTCACGACAATTGCGCAATTGACTCGGTGTATAGAAAATGTACATTAATTATTATAATTGTACATGCGTTTTTGCAACACATCAATTTTTTTTTACCATGCCGAGTCCGGCGAAAAAATAGTATATAATAATACAAGCTGTGTTATTTATTATTATTATTTTTTTTTTTTCATTCACAGACATTAACAGGAAGGGCAATGACAAATGACTTCTATTTAGACGTATAAACTCTCATAAATGTAGGTAAGGTTACTGTATTTATATTGTAGTTTAATATATATATATATATAAATATGCAATTCAGTATAAGTTATTATGGACATTACATATAAACACACTAGGTATTTGATAACCATCAAAAATGATTAAGGCTAATTACACGTCGACATGACTAAAACATATACGTTCTAACAAACTTGTAATGTATATAATATATATATATATATATATATATATATAGACAAGCACTTGTTCTTTTTTAAATATCGCACAAATAAAAATAATATTATACAGAAACTACCTTGAATCGGTCATAAATGTTGTATACCAGCTTTAAGAATTATGTTTAATTACTATTATCTTCGTCGTCGTTTCCGGCTAGGCGGATAAAAATGGAAAATCACAAATTTTGTATTGTGTCATCAGGGATTATTGTATATTTTTTACCTGATTTTTCTTAAGAGCCGAAAAAAAAATTATTTTTAGTTTTTATGTTATTTTGATTTAAAAAAATACATATTTCCTTTACAGCAAAAATTAATAATTATAAAATATTATAAATATGTGTGTGGTGGGGCTGTAATTATTATTATTATTAATTAATTTAGTAATAAAGTCGGTATTTTTAGTATATTAAAATTTAATAATTGGGTTTTTTTTTTTTTAATTGTATACATAATTCTAAGATTCTAAAATTTCATAATAATTATACTACTTAAATTCAATTTATACATAGGCAAATTTATAATGCTGTACGTGTAAGGAAACTATAGTCCATTGGCCATCTAAAACCTGATAAAAAAAGAAGAACCCTTTGTGCGAGGTGAGTGCAATAAATGTTGCACAACTCGAATAAATATATATATATATGAACATTTTTTTTTAATATAAATATTGTTAAACGCTATCACATCAAATATTGCAAGCGAAAGACGACAAAGGAATGTAATTGTAAATGCAAGCCCGTGTCTGTCTTCAATCGCAGTCATGTTTAGATGAAATAGTAGAATTGTATATTTAGTGAAATCTTTAGCATGGACAACATTTCATTTCTACTTGAAAAATAATTTGAAGTTTATTCTCAAACAAATTTGTCGCGTAAAATAACAGTCACTTTGACAAAAATTGGCCTTATAATTGGTTTTGTTGTTTTATTTTATAATTTTACTACAAAGTACCTACGTCATAGTTCTACCTAGGTAATAACAATGTTGCTATAAGTTATAGCGCGTTGAGTGTATATAATATGTTGTACTCAATGATCATAGCTAGTATGATTATTATGCGAAGTGCACGACGATTGTTAAATTAAAAGAATAAAACGACGACGACGGTCGACTGTAGATGGCAATCAAAACTCGCCTATGTGTGGATACGTGGGAATACAAATTCTAAAAAAAAAATTCATAAATAATAATTTAAAAAAATATTAGCCTATGCTCGCCCATACGGGTTTTGTATTCACTTATCTCGATTTCCTAGAACAGTATTAGTCAATAGCAGCAATAAAATATAGTCATTGTTGTTTATCGCGTGTAAAACGAGCACAAATAAAAACCATAATTAGCTTATGGTTTTTTTTTTCTAAAAGGGCTATAAAACCTTTTAGAATTTTTGTCGATGACGTGCCCAGGAAATTTGTAGAACGCTTACCATATACGAGGCGCTCAGATGCCAAACCGATTAACTCCACTTTTTTCAAATTGTGAATAATAGCATGTGGTTGGATTAAAAAAGTGTACAATTTTCAGTGCCAAGATAAATAACTCCATAGTTGAAGTTTTCACCACTAGAGTGCGCTAAGAAAATTGGCAATTGTACTTGCATACATTGTTTCAAATACCTTTAATTGCCTGTCCTGAAAATTTTCATTTTATAGAGTTAATCAGTTTGGCTTCTGAGCGCCTCATATTATTTACTAACAAATTATTGTTTTTTTTTATTTGTCAAGAGAAAATACAATTTTTTAAGTTTTGATGCGCATCTGAGAAAGTTATTGGTTTTAAAATGATGTTTTTTTGTGCCTGGACCAGGGGGTGGCTATAGTAGTTTTGATGTGACGCAAACTGTAGGACTAAAGTCAGTCTGCCTAGGTAGATGACAGAAAATACTGTTCAATATATCGTGGCGATAAGATATCAATAGTATCTTGAAAAACAAAAACAAAAATATTTTAAGATAACAGGTAAAAACTTTTTTTTATCATATAGAGTGCCAATCGCTTAACAATGTGGACTTTTTCTTTCTTATGTGTGGCCATACCGGTTTTAGTCCTGCTAGCTAAAGCTGGTATATGTTAGTACTCAGTGTAGTAGTATATTATTACCCAATGGCCTGGACGCAGGACCCACATTAACCATATTAACCAATGACAGAACTTCTTCATGTATCAAGTTTAGATAAAGCATGGCTAAGCACAGCACATCTCTTTACTTCAAAAATCGGAAAAAAACACTAAATAATGATAAAAAGAAAATACGAATTTTGGGGGGGTTAGTTTTCGGGTAGAGTCTGAAAATTGGATTGATAGTGGACTTGAATGTACCTACAAAGTTTTATACAAATAATAATTATATTTTTATTTATTATATATATTATTTAATGTTAACAGACTTGATTTATAAGCACATTTAATTACTTTGTCACCTATGGATTGGCATTATTGAGTTTTTTAAACTTTAAGTGATTATACCTGTGACATTTCTGTATCCACTGGTTTCGGTTCCTCGTGCCTACTATAATACTCGACAGAAATGTGCTGGATTTTTAACAATAAAAAATAAATAAAAATATATTTCTGTTAAAAATGTGAAATTACTACATTTTTTTTAAACTACAATAATAATACTAATAGTGGCAACAAAAATAGGAATGTACTTCAGATTTGCACTAGATCTTAAGATGTAAACTTTTAAATGTCAAATAAATTGTTTTTTTAGAATATATTATCTGTTATTCCGGTCTAAAAGGGCTAAATTTACTTTTAGCCGAAGGAAGCTTAATGTTTTACTTTTTAAAAAAATGAAAACTTTTTCATGCGCACAATTAGCTTTTATCGTTTTTGAGTTCAAAACATTTAGCTGTTTGTATATTATTTTATAGTGAAAACTTATATTTAAAAATTTTAAAAAATTAGATTTAGTCACCCGATTGCTAGGAGAAAAAATATTTTGTCTAAAAGAACTTTATGTTATAATTCAGGGTTCAAAGATGTTTGTACAAAGAAATATATATACCTCGAACATTGTGGTATGTACGTTAACTGGTAACTATTGATTATATATTAGGGAAATATATAGAATTTAAGAAAACGAATTTAATTGTTTTGTAATTGGTTATGTTTAAAGTTTTAAAGAATGAATGTAAATTTGTTTTGTACGTCGGACTAACTAGTTATTGATATTATTTATATTCCTAAGGGGAACTTATGGAACTTATATGTATTATGATTGTATAAAACGCGAACCAGTCGAAAAAGTGTTGTACGGCCGTTATACGGAATACTTTCTGGCTTGAGCATTAATTTATGGTAATAATATAGAATTATTGGTTGCTTGAAAAAAATGAAAAAAGGAAGGTTATGACGATTGTGTCTAGGCAACCGTCAAGCGGCGACTATTGTCCTTGAAGTAGTATTAGAGTCATTATTTAGAAAGCTCGAATTATCTAGAAAGATATTTAAATTATCATCTCATTTATCATTACAGCAACATCATCATTTTTAATAAACCAATAGTGTCGAACACATTTTAACAAAACCAATAATCTTAGTTGTTTACAGACACGAACATAAAAAATATTAACCTCCACGTTTTAGGTGTGAGACGATCAATAGTAATGAAATAGTAACAGTTTCATTTAAAAATAGAAATGTAAAGTGGACGTATTAAACCACTTATTTGAAGGGGTCCAGTCAATTTTCCTAAAATCTTCCAGAGTCCATAAAAACGTCCAGTTTTTTTTTTGTTGTTGCACATAATACCAATATTTTTAGATAAATACAAAACATTTTTGGTTTTATTGTTTTTACTTGACCATTTAAAGTGCGAAATCGAGAAACCGAATTCAACATTAATAAAAACTACAATGCATTTAGTGTATTAGTCATAACTTAAAAGGAAAGTATAAATGTGGTAAATATAACAAACGTCGATTTACTTTGTTTTTAAAAACATTTCCTCAAAAGTCATTCTTATTCGGTTTCACAAACTTGCATTTATTAAACCTATCATGGAACAAAATATCAAACTTGTTTACTCTAAAAAAAATAAGAGTATAACGTCATTTTAAAATAAAATAAAAACATTATTTTTGTTGTTAGTAGTGGAAAATACATATTTTAACCGTGCATATTATCGTGATAACTTTGCATTTTTCTATAGTAAATAACTAACAAACCAGCGAAAAATTATTTATTTAATTATTATTAGAAACAATAGTTAAGATTTGTTGGTTTTTTTTATTTCTGTTTTCACGTATAAGTGTTTTTTAACAATTTATTATTTGATACAATGACGCATATTAATAACATAACTAAATTATAAACATTTCTGTGCAAAATATGGGAAATTTAGTGTGCTTGTACGCATTGGCTAGTTGTAAATGTTTTTTTTTTTAGTAAGTATAGGTAAAGGACGGTATGCTCACCATATTCCTCGCATCAACAACTCCAGCAATCCAGGAAATACCAAGTCATCTGTACCCGCGAGCCATCTACGACCAAACATTTTCATAGACGGCATCGTGGTAGTTCGACGCCCTGAAATTAATATTGCAAGTATTTAAAAATAAAATATATATTTTTTTTGATCAGAGGGGGGGGGGGTGTGTTAAGATTAAGTAATAGGAAACACCAAGTCCTCAGTTTGAAAAAAGGAACAGTTATCTATACAGCCGACTACCGACGAGTAGGAGATTTTCAAGTAGGAGTGGGGGGGGGGGGGGTTGAACAATGTTAGGTAGGGTTTATTCCCTGTGTAATACACGGTTGTTTATTGTAAAATTGTAAATGTTTGAGAACTTTATTGAATCATTCAGAGAACGTTATTAGTATTTTAGCAATGCATATTTTGCTGGTACATTGGTTGTGGGTAACACCATTTCAATCGGGAATCGTTGAAAATTATTATGTTTTTCGAGACCCCTTGACCTATCGACGATAATTAATCAAAAAATATGCACACCGCCGTTTCAACAATAAGAAACACCTAACTACTACTTCATCAGTAAGGTGCTGTTGTATCTGCTTTGGGTATTCGAGCTTGTCCAATCCCGTAGGAAGCCTCTAATACATTCGTTAAACGAAACGATTAATCTGTCTTTGCGGATTAGTCTATGCGTCCTACAGTTTCATTGCCAACGGACAGACGGTGTGGTAGTGTGTGTTGTACACATATTTTTCGACCTTGGCCCTTAAATAATAATTATCTCAGGACGTCCGTGGTTGTGGCTACTGCTATAAGAACACAATTACCGGAAAATATTGGAAGGCACATTGGTAAATTCTATTATGGTTACGCAATACACATAGTAAGACACTTTAGTGGTTACCGGTTTGGTTTAAATACGCATATTTTCTTCTTAAATACAAATTAAAATTTTTTTCGACACGTCTCGATCAAAAAATAAAATAAAAATAGGTATAATTCACATATCATATTGTTACCTAAGAGCAGTGATACAAATAAGTATAATATTATGTTGTTGACAATGAACTCAATGCATATGAAATTATTTATTTCAAGCTTACTGTCATATTATAGACCATCAATTATTGGGAGATTTAGGAAATAAAATAATATACATACATTATTATTATTATTTTAATACTCATATGTAAAAATATTGCCGAACGTCGGATTTAAATACATTTATTCATACTAATTATTTTTGTATACCCTTCACATGATATTTGCCATTTTAGTTTAAATTTATATTGTTTTTTTTTGTACGGATTATATTTTAATATAATATTCCCAACAATGCTTATAGCTTCGATGTCGTTAAGTCGAGGAAGTATTGAGTTTTTAATTTATTAAAACGCATCCATAGTAACTCGCAGATTACACATGGGATTAAAATACTATATGTTGTTGTTATTGTATTCAAAAAAATATTTATCATCAAGTGATCAATTAAAATTTTGAAATAAGACAGTCACACGAAATGGTTATTTGAATTTCTTAGTCGAAAATGTTTTCGTTTACAATATTATACAAATAATGTATTACTTAATTTTTGTAATCTTATTTATAGTATACTGAACATTTTGTCTGGTCAATGTTTTAATAAAATACTCTTAGATTTATTAGGGTTTAACAGTTTAAGCGAGTAAGGAAGTGAACACAGATAAAAATAATATCAGGCCGCACCGGAAGAGATTCTGTCAATTATTTTAGCAGTAAGCAGTTAGAGTTAGCAGTAATAATTTTTTTCTAAATGAAAGCTCGATACTAAATTAAAAAATAATTTTATTTGTAAAACAATTAAATTACAATACATTAGGATTAACATACAGAATGTATTAAAGTACTTACTTTATGATGACGTGCTTATCTAGTAGTGTCATAATACATATTGCGTTGGGGTTTCAAGTCCATTGCTTAAGAAATCGTTGCACCTAGAACAAGAATAAAGACTATTAAACGCTTTGTGTAAGGTGACTGTCAGTCCTCACTTGATGTTTTCATAAGCATATATTAAATAATTATATTTTATTGTGATTGAAATAGAATCTTAAGGTGATTAAGCATGTTTGAAGCGTGTCAAACAATATAAACTGATGTATTATAAAAGCTTAATTGACACAATACGGCCTAAAAGTAAATCGTCGATAAAAAAAAAAAATAATTATTCAGTAGAACAGCGATAAAGGGCTAATGAATAATGATCGTACTTGGCTTATTTTTTTTTTTTTTTAATAACGATAATTTTAGATTAATGCTAATTTTGTCTGGTTACTACCAGTTAACAAATTCAAATGCCAATACGTTTTCACTCACAACCTCTGAAAATCTCCTCAATTATACTCAACAACAGGCCGTAAATATCTGATTGTGGACAAGCCAACAAACAAACTGAAGTGTTAAAGGTAGGAAGGAGTGAGATTCCTGCTCGAGTATTTATGTACATAATATTACCAGACTAGATTGATACATAATATAATATAATAAATTAAGATGATAAGGTATAAACAACAAAACGGAATAGGTACATCAAAATGCTTCTCAGTCTCGTTAAAAACCCGTAAACGATAATGATATAGGAAAAACCTGTAGTAACTGCTCCGTGCACTAGAGGCTAGTAATTAATTTTAAAACATATAGGTATAATATCATGAATTGTTAATAATACCCTAAATCACAAAAGTAGATACTACGTGTAGGTATACAAGTAGTATTTCAGCAACAACGTTAACGTCATCGGCGCTCACCAGTGTCGATGGTAAATAATGAGTTTTTTTTTTTTTAAGTCATGACAATTGATTTTAAACGTTAATTTTTGAAGACACAAAACAAACAAAAACCATTGTACAATCAACACCTTCTCGTAGAAGATAAAAAAAAGAAAAAAAAACATGCACCGACGTTCTGGAAATATTTATACAAATATTATTATAAGCGAACAGAATAAGAAAAAGAGCAATTTGATTTGCTATTTTTTTTTTCCTCGTTTGATTACACACACAATATTGTATAATATTATTTTATACAATGAAAGTGAGCCTGTTCTGATAATTTTTCAAACGCGCCGTATAAAAGGGAAAACATAAATTCCGTGACTAATCTTTTCCAATAATTTTTACTTTCTACCAAAACATGAAAACATCATGTTCGCTAATTTTCCGGCGTATGCATTTCAACTAATCACAAGATAACTATTCTACCTGCGCGCAGGAGAAAACACTAGTGTAATAGATGAAAACTAATGAAATATAATGGTCTTAACCGTTCATCCAATTCTGCCCAAAGTAGAAGCTACATAGGCTATGTCAAACACGAGGACAAAATATGGTTAAAGGTCTATTACACGGTAGGTTAAATGACTGGCTAAGTTCAGCTTGGGCAATGGAGGTGGTTAGCTTGTAAAATTATATCTGACATTTTTATCTTAATAATTATATTTCTGTTAGTCTCGTCATTATATTTCATTTTTATGTGTATTTTTAATTGGCCCTAGTGATAATATTTAATACATAAATACAATTCAGAAAATAAAAAAAGATAATAATTGATACATTTTTGCGTTATTCGTATGATCATTTAATATAATTATTACTACAATATAATCAATAGTATGCTATACGTTTTATATATTATTAAATATAGTATGCGAATGCAATAACATCAAATGGGTAAATATGAAAAAGAATCGTCGAGGTGTAAATCTTTTTTTATAATAAAAAAAAAAAAGTAATTCACCTAAAACGGTTTACAGTTCATATTTAACATACAAAGTTTAAACACAAACGCAAATAAAACGCATTGATAACCGATTGATGATATAATAATCGTTAAGTGTGTACATTTAATAATTGGTTTGAACAGTTGGTCATTTCAAACAGTAATGTACATTTCGCTCTGTTTACTCATATCGATGGAACGCTATAATATATACCAGTATTACTAATTACTTCATCAAAGTATGTTAGGGTTATAATAATAATAATAGATCGTTTACAAGACTCGTATGAGCATGGACAATCTCTATAAGTAAGACCTATTAATAATATAGCATATTAATAGTTAAAATACAATAATGTTATTATTATTATTTACAATCAACAATTGGTGGTTGATATAACATAATTGCTGATCATTGAACTCATTAAACAAAAATAAATATTTACCTAGTTCAAGGAAGGTTTGTTCGACGGTGAATTGAGCACTTGAGCCGTTAACCTCTTGTACCGGAATAGATAAACGTTTACCTATCGAATTATGGGTGATTTATATTAAAGTACTGAGCCCGCGAAAATCAATTAAATATAAATACACAAGTAGTTGCTATAAATAGTATTTTTATAAGCGTAATTTGTTTCGCTGTCTAGAAGCATTAAAAATTTGTTATATGCAAATTGTCGTTTATTAATAAATACATAAATATATATATATATATATGTATACATTACTAATGATATTACCTACTACCGGCTGTTGTTGTTATATATTTTAAAGTAGACTAAGGGCCGGTTTACCAGTGGTATTTAACTGACGGTTAGACTGATTTAACTGGCAGCCAAATCAGGTTTATGCATCGGGAAATTTCTTAATTTTAACTGCCCATTTTATAGCAGTTAGTAAGAGTTTCGGCATGCAACATAAAACGGAATGTAATTTTTTTAACGACAATATAATTATTGGAATACATTTTATTTCGTACAATAATTATTCCTATCGTACAAATTGTTCGCTAAAACTCAAAACGTTTTAATAATACAATTTTGAACACATTATTGTAATTACAACGCCTTTTAATATTTTTACTATCTACACTATTCGTGACGAAATGTCTATTTCAAAGTCATTCCATAATATTATTTTCAGTTATAATTCCTATAGACATGTCTTAAAAAAAAAAAATTGTCTTGTAAGGTTCGGTTTACCAGTTGAAGTACCGTTGATAATAATGATAATATTTATAGTATTTTAGATAATATTGGTTAACCTTGACAAAATTTTAATTTAAAGTGGTACGTCTCGTTTTATCAAGGCTAACACAATTAATGCTATAAAATATGAATATTTTCATTTTTCTAATACATTTTCATAATTATTATGACATTTAAACTGAAACCATGAGATCACGCTTAGTTGTTCACAGGCGTCGAACAGTTAGAAACGAGGAAGGTACCTTCATTCAACTGATAAACCGAGCCTTGTAAAACATTTTTTTTTTTTTTTAAATGCAACTAATTGTGACCAGGTTTAGGTATCACAGTGGTGGGTAATCGAAAGCGTTTACACCTGCGAGTAAATAATTGATTATACAGGCAGATTCGGTTACATAATAATTAGCATCAGAATATTACCGTAACTAGCCTAGCCCTAGTACTAGCCGTACAAAGCGGTTAGATACAAAACCCAAACCGAGAAATTTATATGATGCATTGAATTCCACTTAAAAATTACTACAGTCATATTGTGGTATATACTATGACACTATGACAGGATATTGTGAAACAACCAGGGAATCTCGGAAACGTGAACTAATCCGACTATAAAGTATAGTATAGACTATAGTAGTAGAATTAACCCTCGTTTATGGTCAGAGAGTGAAAGCAAACCTGATATTTTTTTTTTTTTTTTTAAACGGTCAGTATACTTTTTGTATAGAAGCTGGTCACTGTCAGATTGGCGCAAGGTCATGGCGGACGTCGGTCGTCGCTCGGATAGAGACAAAATTGTATTATTTTTTATTTGGAGAGAGGGGAATTTTAATTATTCCATACGTCCATAAAAATTCGACAGTTTTTTTTTTTAATTGAATATTTGTTAGTAAGGCCTATTTGGTGGCCTATATTCGAGACGCTGCTTGGAAAAAAAATTAGGTAGGTAACCTGTTTTTTGTTTACCTACTTCAATTAAAATATTATTCAATGTTTTTTCTAACGACAAAGACATGAAATAGCACTATATTAGATTTTGCTGGATTCAAATACAAATCCTAGCCCATTTGTTGTTTAGCATACACAAGCCTCCTAATAGCATTCATATATTTGGGTAAATACCAAATTTTATTGTGTTTTTTTTTAAAAACATAATGTTTTTGCCTTTACCACATTTTTTGTTGGTAACAACTCATATTGTTAAAGTGTTTTTTCTGCCCGAGTGCTATTAAGACCGTGATAACATAACACAAAAAATTGGTAAGCTTTATTAACACAAGTGCACAAAAAAATAAGAGATTAGTCATGCACACTTAAAGAACTTCTTAACAGGATTTTCACGAGTGTGTAACTACTGACACACATAATATTATACATATATATTATAACAATGTAGTAGTTTTTATGTTAAGTTATTATATTTTGAAATGGAATTATAGTGATGGTTCTAGAGGTTATTCAAGTGAAGAGCGAATGTTTCGAAATAACGTCAGAAGGAAATAATTATTTATAATTACATGTTTTCGATTTATTAACGAATAATTTTAAATACATTATACGACTGTTTAGAAACAAAGTATAACTATAACGTTTTTTTTTTTTGTAGTGATACTACATGAATATGTTTTGATGTTTAGGGAGACTACTAAATGTTTAAACTTAAAACTTGTTTTGATCAACGATCCCTTAGCCTATTAAATACCTACCTACACATACCAAATTACTGTTTAATTTTTATATTTGAGTATGACAACTGTATGCCATTTTTCAATATCAAAGGCTTATTACGTTCAATAAATTACAATTTTTTTCAAATAAACTTTATTGTTTTTTATCAATATTACACACATAATTTTTCGTTTTTACAAACATAGGCGCAACTAGGGGGGGGGGGGTGCTGCTAGCCGCTAGGGGCACTTTATCACCCCCAAAAATGCAATTTGTATGCATACAATTTCAATAATATACATACAACTGTTTGAATTTTTTGTTTTAGAATATTTTTGTTTACAAATATTTTATATCTTATATGGTTTGAAGATAACAATTATGTTTAGTCGGGTATATCTACTTAATTTTAGCACCCCCCTTAAAAACGTTTGCTCTAAATGTGTGCCTATACGACCGTACAAAAAAACTTAACGAAATCCATATTTGTGGACAATATGGAGAGATATTTACTGGGCTTGATGTTTGGAAAAAAATCCACAGTCAACACAGTTGTACGTTCGACACAGATAAAAACACTACGGTAGGTATTTAACAAAAAAAAAAAAAATGATAGCGAGAGAGAAAGAGGAGAAAGATGTAAGATTGAGTGAGAGAGAGAACCCCCCCCCCTTCACCGAGTGTATACAGGTAGGTCTTGTTCATTGCTCACCGATGACGTTTTCTCTTCCATTGACGTCTGCTGGCTTAAAGATGTGGTTTATATGTTATATTATACTTATATATAAACATAATATTTAAGCGCGGTTTACACAGCTGTCTTAGTCGATTACCCGTCGCGGCCAACATGAATTGCAATATCGGCGTGGAAAGAAGAAAAAAAAAATACATCAACGAGTCCACAGCATAATATAGTATTATATGAAGAAAAAAAAATGGCAAACGAGTCGACCTTGGGGATTTTACAATAACGATTATGGATTACCAGCAGCGAGTCGCTAATGAGTGACCGAAGAATATCTCCTCTATATCGGTTAACCGTTTTCGAAAAAACCTCGCACGTGATTTAAATATACCAGGTTATTGTATATCCACCCCCTCTTCCTAACATTTTCAAAATGGCACCATAACGGGCGGCGTTTTTATTGGTTTAAATTTATTCACTGATAAGCTATTTTTCTCTTATCAGTTTACAGTGTTATAAGCCTTACACATGACCGAAATATAAGAAATTCTAGTTTTTAATTTGGATTTTTTTATTCGATACAGGTTTTATAATTGTCTACATATTCGCAATGTGAAATTAAAAATGTATCTAAATAAGAAGAACGAACAAATAAATAAGTGTTTATAGTTTATAATTAATATTAGTTGTTTATTAACTATAATTATAATTTTTCGGCTTGTTCGATTAATTTATTCTTGTTTTTCTTCTATTTCTTTTTTCAGTTTTTGTGCGTTTAATATTTGATTTTGTTTTTCATCATAACTAAGTTTCATTTTTTTATTTTCTAGGGGCTCTTGTAGGTGGTAATAGTAACTTGTATTAAAATAAGTATTTCTTAATTGATAAAACTGTAAAAATACAATTTTTGTTTTCAAATTTGTGCGGGTAAATATCGACCAATGAGAATGCCGCCCGTTCCGCTGCCATTTTGTGAAAAAATAATCACACTGAGTGAGGATATGCAATAGCCTGGTTTATTTTAATCATGGCCTCGCACAAATAAAAAAAAAACAATAATATTGAAATCAAATCAAATTTCATTACACGAAAAAAACAATTTTTAAGATCTGTAGAGGCGCGCGGCTGTTTCTAACATTTATAGTTACATATTTTATATGGGGCATTTGATTTGGTTTGTGTTATTATTGAGTAGAAATGTTAAAATGCGAACAATTAACGCGCCTACTGCTAATAATATCACGAGGAATGTCTACAATATTTTATTCCACCGCGTTAATATGTATAATAATAATATGTATGTTGATGACATAGTTGCATCACGTGGACGCAAGAGAAGGGTGTGCTACTGTGAAAGTTGTTAGGTCAGTGCTCACCTCCAAAGGACACACGCACGCGCATATATATATATATATATATATATATATATATGATTCTAAAAAACATAAGTACACACATACACGCACAAAAAAGACAATATTGATATAAGAATTTCGTTTAAGTACAATTAAACGCACAAATAAACAATACCGTTTTTTTTTTTTAATAGGTTATAACGATTTTGGTTTAGGACAATGAAAATTATTAATTAGCTATATACTAGGTACCTGTTGTTTAATTTTTTTTTTTTTTAATTGTTTTTACATAATAGTAATTTGCGCGAGTTAACAAGAACAAGGGAAAATCGATTAGTTATTAAATCTAAAATTAAAATTGTTTTTCTATTATATACAATAAATCTAATATATAATTATCCAATTTCCAATAGTGTGAAATGTGAAATGTCCAAAACAATTTAAACATTTACATGGTACAAATTATGTATTTTAGCTGTTATAAGAATGTATAATTTGACATTTGTACATGTGTTTTTTGTTTTCATTGAGAAAAATATATTGTTTTATTCATCCATATATATTATAATATTAGGTAGGTATGAGCAATATACCTATCTATCAAATATCACATTTAATTAAAAATTGTTGATTTATCATATACCTTGATGTAACTGAAAAAAAAATAACTTAAGCTAGGCTTGTGGTTAAATTATGATAGTAAGAATAAAAAAAAAAAAAAACACCACTTAGTTTACTGAAATTTCTGAGCAAAATGTAATACAAGTATAATATATTTACAAAATATTGTTTTACACCTTCTTCTACACAAGATAATATCCTTACAAACAACTATTGAAGCCATTTAAAAAAACATTTCAGGTTTAAAAACCAGAAATCTAGCACACGACCTAACTTTAACGATAATTATACTTTCAACTTGAATATTCGCTTAGGTATAATTTGTAAATTACTCATTAACAATTTTCTTTAAAAAATCTTGTTGAAATGAATACTTCATTTAGGTAATAATTTTTTTTTAGTTCCAATTTTACTTGTAAAATAATTATATACTTTTAATACTAGTATACATGACAAACATTACATAGTGAATAACTATAATTATTTACAAAACTCTTATTTAGGTTAAAATACCTACTTGATCTCATAATTTAAGGGTAGGTTTATACAAAATGTATTCTTAAGCAGTGAAAATGCAGGAAAATTAAAAATACCATCAATTTGTGTACTGAAATACTATTTAAATATAAACAAATATTTACAAATTGCTATCGGGACAAATACAAATTAGCGGTCAGATAAAAAAATGTATTTGTGTTAATCTAGAAAAAAACTTAAGGCAAACTTGTGATTCTATATATTAAAAAAATAAAATATTTAAAAAACCTTTAACTACAAAAAATAATAAACTTTATCGAATCAAAGTACTTCGGCAGCAATGTTACCTTCATCAGTACTGATTAAAAGTAAGTTAATGTGAATCACTGATTGTAAGCAAGTTTATTTGAATACTATAAATATGACACTATACCCCAATAACGTATTAAACAATCAATTAAAGTTCGACTAAAACTCCCAAAAACCAGAGAAGCGATACAACTGCAACAATGAAAAGCCAACTTCTATGATTATCAATAACTTTTTAGTTAGTGAACTAGACAAAAAAAAAAATTCAACAGAAGATCGAGCTCTGTGGACTAGGGTGGCCGACTCCATGTAGTTGGCAGTGTAAGGGCGAAGATAAAGCAGACACATAACTGACAAAACGTTAATTACCTATTTGTACAAATTCAGAACTGAAGCAAAATTAAAATAAGAGCTATCGCTAAATGTTGAACAAATTTTCAAAATAAGTACCAACGTTAATGACTTGAAAATTATTATTTTGTAAGCTTCCATGAGTAGTAAAAAGCAATCCCTGGTGTGGTTAAGAACAAATAAAAATACATTTTGACTGACACCACTTGTATGCTCATATTCCACTATGTTATGATTCACACAGAATTATCTCAGCGGCCTAATTTAGTTTACGTTAGGATATGGCGAACTAATTGTCGTAGACGGTAAAACACTCTGTCCATAAAACGAGTATCTATAATTAAGTCCAAGTAAGGGCTGAGCAAATTAATTTTTTTCTATAGAAACATAATTTACTTATATACTTACATTGCATTATTAAATATAACTAATATGGAAATTGTAATAGTACATTTTGTTTTAACCTGGCGTCATAAAACACATCAACGATACATATTATGTGATCTTATTACAAAAATTCACTATTTACCTATACAATGTTTTCCTTAAGACTTGAACTGTATAGTTATGGCAAGTCAAAAATCAAGTGATTAAAAAGAAATTTTCAAAAACTACCCGAGTAGGCCAACTGTGAGTGAGTGGTCCACTGGGGGACTAAAAACTCGGTTATCGTTAACCGATTTGTCGACGGGTATTTTGTGCGTTGTAAAAATCGGTTAAAAAGATTATGAAACGCGAAATCAAAACACGGCCAATGTTGAAATAAAATAAATAAAACGGACAAGACTTACCATAATGGTTTATTCCGACGGCATGATGACGTGTGTTTGACAATAGTAATATGAATTATTTTTATTTTCAATTAAAACCCAACGATTAACGGATGGCATAAACCGTTTGGAATGCCGCGAAGAAATAAAAAAAAAAAAAGCTGTCGCGACCTACTTCGTACGAAAAAACGCACTTATTGCATAAAAATTTCACCGACGAAAACCGACGACGGTCGTCGCACGTATCTAAAAATTGAATTTTACCGACGTGAATCGCCTGTTTTTTAACGATAATTAATTTGTCCAACGCGAAAACGGAAATCGTTTGTACGAAAAATTAAACTGAAAATTTTCAAACTTGATAAAAAAAAAAAAAAAAAAAACTCAACTCGCGAACGGAGATATTCGGAGATAACAGGCTATCACGTCTGCAACACAGCAGTGTTTTGTTGTGAAACTGCCCGCCGCCGCGCGCCACTGACAACTGTTGCGCACGCAGTCGCTCTGCAACTGAACCGAAACGATACCCGGGGATACTCTCTCGCGCGCGCGCAAGTGACCGTCGTCCGTACGCACTACGCGGTCGAAGACGCTACGGTGTCTGCCGGCGACCGTGTACCACCGCGCCGGTTACCTCTTTGGGAATCCCCCTCCGTACGGCGCAGCCGCCGCCGCCGCAGAACGCAACACGTTGCGTGCGTGATTCGTGTAAAATTAATAATTACAAACAGGCGTACACCCAATTCGTGGGTGCTGGAGGGGGGCTGGAGGCACTTGGCCCCCTTTTTAGGAAATGGAAAACAAGGTAAATATTTCTTCAACAGGATAATGAAAAAACTTGTTTTGCACTACCCTGTATAAATATTAGAATTCATAAAAATTAATAACAAAGTTGCTCGACTTAAATCTCATCGAGAGTTGAATTCACTCGTTTTTTAATAAAAGGGTCGTTTTAATGATAATAATATTTCGTTATTTTTCAATATAACATCCTATAATACGTTTTTAACATTAATCGTGACAAAATAACAACTTTATTTTTATATTAGGCATGTTTTATTTGTTGATTTTTGTCATTTTTAGCTTTTCAAGATATTTTACCCGGATAATTGTAGCTTTTTGATTTGGCTCGACATTTTTACTCGAGTCGGTGGTTCTTCATACGGGTGGTTTTTAACAATTAAGGCGATTATCGAATTTCGATTTCATAATCGTATTGCCGCTAGCAAACACTACAAACGACAAGACTAGAAATGTAGAGGAAGTTTTACTCTCGATTTTGTTAAGGAGTTAAGTATAGGCAATTTTGTTGCAAAGTCTTAATTTCCAACGTTAAACTATGGTGTGTATGATGTGTTCTGGAGTAATTAGGACTGTTTTTTTTTTTTTTTGTAGTTAAACTCAGGCACGTGTGTACTCAGGTGGGTGTGTTTTGGGTGTTCAATCACCCCCCCCCCATCCCATCCCTGAGATTGTCAGCTGGTCCTGGAGAAGCGTTAAGTTGGATAATTTAATAAAAAAAAATATGTCTACTATTAAAAGTTTATACCAACATTTTTTATCTTTTGAAAACTACCATTTTTTTTTTTAATAATTCTAAAATAATATACTATAACAATTTTTATAGGAAGCCAAGCTCGTTAATGATAATTATCAGGGAATGGCAACGTTACCAAACTAAAATTTACATTAATCGTTTTGATGACTACGGTACAATATGTTAGATTAATATAATATTATATTCTGATAAGTCCGAGTTTGAACTTGTAAAAAATACTCAATAAAAAATAGTTTGCAATTAATTTATGCCGTTTGGAACGGTGTAAACGTGTAATTATAAAAAATTTTTGACATTTTCGGTGTAATTTTGAAATTGCACCATTTTTGATCTTTTTATATTTCTCATCTTATTCATCTTTTTTATCCGTTTTATATTTTCACATCATCTCTGTACTGTCTCTGTACACAAAATTTAGAAAACGAATTATTAAATATTATGCCGCAATTACTAAAAATGTTTTTGAAAAATAAACCAACCCGAACTGTGCGAGATAAAATTTCGAATTTCGATTCTTTAAAGTGCTTTCAATACTCCATGTTATAATATAATTAAAACAAATTGTTACATTTGATTATTATTAGTACTTATTTACATTGTTATCGAGAAAGCTGTTTGACTAAATACAAATGTGCCTACAATAAAAATGTGTGTAAATAATGGAGTAAAGATTTTATAGTTAAAAAATGTAATTAAAATATAAACTATAAATCAAATCATTTCACTTGTACAAATTAGTATTGTTATCAAAATATATCGATAACAATGTATCCATATTATTTAATGGCAACTAATATTGTTATCGAGTGTATATTTATTAAATCTGTGATTTACAAATTATGACTTCTTATACAGCGCTTGACATCTTGTTTTCAAAAATTCTGATTCTTATGGTGATAAAAAGCTTTTAAATACTAAAAATTTTATTTAAGCAAATCCTAATGTAGTAAGTTACTTTTTTTCAAAATAATTAAAAAAAAATAATTACTTATTTAGAACTAAATATATATATTATTTACACATCTTTGTCTGTCAATTTCAATTAATAAACCTGTTATTTTAAATATCTATTTATAAACTGAAACTTTCTTTTCTTTTTGCGTTCATTAGTCGAATAAGTTAAGCCTGAAATAATTAAGTATTATTTCCATTGGAAATAAATTGCTGTTTGATAGAAAAATAAAAGTAATCCATTATATTATTAGTATATCATTTTTTTTTTTTTTTTTTTAATAACCAAATTATCACTCAACAAATTTCGTCGCCTTTCAACACTGTATTTTGTAATACATTTTATAGCAAAATAAATACATATAAAACAATTGAGGATTACAAAATATAAAAACGACAATTTCTTAATTACATTAAAATATAATATTAAGAACAACAAATATAAGTATTGAACTTCTGTGTTGAACATTTATTTTTTGCTTTTTTAGTCGACTTGAAATACATGTTATTTTTGTGTTTTTTTTCTGAAAACGTTTTTTTTTAAATTAGAAATTATGATGTTGATGTTGTTTCCGGTTAACAGCGAGGAGGAAGGCGGAAGCCATAATAATATAGTAATAAAAAATATGTTTTACAGTGACTTACCGCATTGATCTATGATAACAAGAGATATTTTACATTCTGATCAGACTTTTTTCCTTTTTTGGAAATATTTCATGGTCGTTGCGTTACAGTGGAAAAATATTTGTGATTTTTTTTTTGCCATTTATTTCCCTTAAGGCCAATATAATGTAAATCGCCCATCTATTTTTCGTGGCTCTCAAATACTATTTAAAGTACACCGAAAATACCTGAAAATAAAAATTTGACAGACCCAATAATAATAATAATAATTAGGTATGATCGTTGAAATACACTAATAATGACAAATAGAAGCACACTGCACGCATAAACCTTGAAGTCTACTTTCGTCCAAAATACCGATTAGCATATAACGCTGTCTTTGATAGTGTTTTTTTTTTTTTTTTTTTTTACCATTTAGATTTATCACGTAGGCAGTATGTACAACAATATGTTTATACTTACTTCCGACAAGCAATATTATAAAAATTAAATGTAGGTATGACATGAATATGAAAATAAGTGTATAATTAGGTATTTTATGACAACTGCGTTGGATAAGGTTGCCTACTTATATATATATATATATATACGTTGACTTATGACTTTGGCACACTCGTTTAATATTCATACCGAAATCTTTTAGAAAAAACTAAAAACGTATTAGGTATTGTAAAATTAGTATACTTTAGTAGCATAACGTTTATTTCGAAAAATCAAACCGTAGGTACATATTAAGACGAAGAGGTTAAGCCTCAACATTTTTATCTTTTTTTATTGATTTGTATTTTTTAAGAAAAAAAATACTACTTACAAAACTGCTAATAGAGACTTAAACAATATTGTTAGAGTTATATTAATGAAAATTGTACTTTTTTTTTATTTTTTAAATTAAATTTCAACAAAATTTATTTGGGAATAAATACTATATAGAGGTTGTGTTAGTATTGTAAACTCACCAATTTTCATAGAAAAATTATGACCAATATTCTTTTGGTAAATCAAAAGGATTGTATTCTATGAATTTTTATTATTGTTCAATAAATTATAAAAAAAAATTATTAGATTGAGTTTTAGACATTTTTAAGCATACGTAGATAAAGTTTTCCTCTGTTCTGTGTTAAAAAATACAGTGATAAAAAAAGTATAGCCAATAAGGAATCTTCACTGCTTTAATAATTAGAATACACAATATTTTACTCATTAATAAATCGACAGTTAGCGTACTCTACAATAGAATTTATCACGGCGCATTGTATAGGCAATTTTCAATACATCCTCAATGTTAACTCAAGTTTCACTTGTGGGAACAGACATTTTTTGATTTAAAAAAAAAAATGTAGTTTTTCAAAATATGTAACGTGTTTTATTGTCGACTTCGTAGTGTGTTTACTAATAACTTGTTATACCATTTTATACTTAAAATACTAAAAGATAGGCAATTTCACCATCTAATTAATTTATATTTTATAATACACCATAACTTTTTTACACGCGAAAACATTTTTTATACTCCTTGAAATTGTGAAAAAGTACATATTTTTTAATAATCTTACCTTTTTTTACATTATATAATTGTTACTTGGGGTTACATCGAGTGTAATACAGTATATAACAAGAATAATTATAAATATTCATAGTATATTTAGTAATTTTAATTTCTTAGCACTAGTTGTACTAATAAGATTTATTTTACCACTTATCATGGTATAAATCGCCTGCAAAAAAAAAAATCAATTTCCAAAACATAACTTATAATTATACTTCTACTCAAAATAAAATCATACTTGTAGTATTAAAAAAAAAAAAAATGGTTTTTATTGTTTACTTATTATATGAATAACGCTAATCACTAATGAGAATGAACTAAAGCCACCGCTTACTAAAAGTGTTTAAGAAAACTACTTGATAACTGATTTATTAACATAAATACACATTTGTAATAAAATATAATAAAATAACAAATTGCATTTGCACTTTACATTTAAGTGTATCTGCATAAACCAGTCAAAACGGCTATAAAGTTGAATAGTGCGTATGTAAATATTTATCAGACTATAAGTTTACAAAATAAGCAATTAACAATCGGCATAGGAATTATAATTCAGGTATTAGAAAAATTTTTTCAAGTCGTTCAAGAAATTAATATAGACGCTTTGTTCATATTGTGTGCTTAAATCTGATAGTTTCTCAACAAATTCGCTGGTAACTCCTTTATCGGCCAAGAATGACATTAACAAGTCGTACAGATCCTGTCGAAATAAAATTATACGTAACATGTATTTTCGCATTCAATTTATTTTTATTTATTTCGTAAACTCACAGCATCTAACGTATCGCCACTCAAAGCGTAATTATTTTCGGGAAAATTGTTTTTGTACACGGTTAATTCATCAATGTGGAATACATCGTCTGAAAAATATTTGAAACATTTATTTAAACATTTTTCTATTAATAATTTAAATAATAGTTTTGTTCGTTACATCTGAACACGGATCTACAAACAGCACTTTATGAAATGGATGACATTTTTTTTTTTTTTACATACAAATTACATATATGTATTTATAAACAACTTTATTTGAAAAAAATATAAGCGGACTGCTCGCTTTGCGAGTTGCCTTTACCACACAGTTTGCCCTTATCAATACACAGCGTACATAGTAAACATAGAATAGAATAAAAGTAATGGTACGTAGTAAACAAAATGAACCCCTAATTAATACATCCCTTAAAGGAAACAGAATATAGCAAGTAAATCAATTTCAATATTTGGGAATCATAATAAGCAATGATGGAAGATCAGAAAAGGAAATAAAAAATAGAATAAGACAAGCAAAAAAGGCATTTCTATTTAAGAGTAAATTACTAACATAAAAAAATGTGGATCTAAGAACAAAAAACGTTTAATTAAAACTTATGTACGAAGTACAGTATTAGATGGTAGTGAAACGTTGAACAAAAAAAGATGAAACCACTCTAGAAGCTTTAGAAATGTGGTGTTGGCGAAAAATGGACGGGAATGAAGACAAACGAAGAAGTGTTTGACTTAGTCAAAGAGAAAAGAACCTTGCTAAGTACTTTAAGATCAAGACGATGGGTCATACTGTCAAAGAATCAAAGATGCAAGAGTCGATTCGTACAAGCAACTCAAGGATAAAGCGCAAGACTGTAAAACATGGAGAGAACATTTATTGTAGACCAATCTACGGATTGAATATTAAAAAAAAAAATTATTAATATTTAATTTTACCATTTGCTTCTTCTAGTTCAGCGCCATCAAATCCACTGGCGTATGAACAATTAAAACCAAGCGTAACATTTCCTCGGATAATATCTACTTCAAAATCTGGCTTAGACCTCAGTGAAATTTTTTCTGAACCTTCAATTTCTTCTTCTTGTACTGAATGGTTTATATTGAATTTTACGGTTATGCTATAAACAAAAATATCCAAATAGATAAGACGAGTTGATTGGTTCGCATGTAAGGTTTTGGTGATGGAATTTTCATGCCAAAGAATAAGTACGTAATAAATCTATAAAATTTGTTTTGTAATTATTTACATGCATCGTCATATTAAGTACTACACGTATAAATACTTGTACCATAGGCGTAAACGTAGTCGTTAAATCTATATTTGACTAAAAAGTAATTCAGTGTTTGTGGACATCCTCTACAACACTCTTTCAAATCCCACAATTATTTTTATTATTAAACGTACCAACTGCTATTTTTATATAACTAGTAGAATTATATATATATTTATTGGTGTAAAAACTATAAGCCTTAACGTTGTTAATAATCCAAGCATTATAATCTGTTGTAGTCATAACATTGATTCATTATATTTTAATTAGCCATTACTTAAATGTTTTTCGCCTTGGCGTTGTTTAGTTAAGCTTATTAATCTGCCTAAGAGTTAACTATTGAAATTAATATTAATTAGAAATATAAACTAGTTAATGTGGCAGCTATTACGTTTCATCATCGAGCGTTTCCTTAACAAGTTCAACTTCGGCAACGTTGAATAACACTTTAAATCCTTCGAACGTACTGGGAAGAGCTCTTTTATCTGACGTCTGTTCTTCAGTTTTGATTTCATTGTCCAAAAATTGATGGAGCTCTTTCTCCACTACAAACCCAAGCCTCACATGAATACAAGTAGGTAATTTTAACAAGTTTTAACTGACTGACCTGACGAGTGTGCGTTACGCGCGCCGTTTCTTTGTAACTGGACTAATCGGCTAGCGTTGGTCCAAAGTGACTGTCTAACGGTAGTTGATGACATTTTTCTGGCGAAATTATTCGTTACAATGTTTGACATTTGAGAGACACGTCCTAGCGATTTGATAAAGTTGTTCATGTTTAAATACTTGAAGTGACAGTTCGGGAGAGCAATAAAGACAACAAATTACAGATTGTATTTGGTATGTAAGAAGTAAAAAGTAAAAAACAAATTATTCAAAACGAGATTTCCTTTGGCAAAGAAAACAGTAATTCAGAGCACTTGCAAGTGAAATGTGTGCAATACAAATGTGATTTCGCAATATACGCTAACTAAATGGACAGTGTTCATGGTTTATCAACATAACCTCAAACTGTTGTTGTTAGGGATGGCAACGATATATCGATATGTTCGATATATCGATAACTCTTTTCGATATATCGATATTTTTTTATCGTTCGGGGACTTAGGTTAAATATCGATTATCGATATCATTTTACGATATTATCGATATATCGAAATTCGCACATGTTCATAAAAAAAATTTATTTCATATTAATAACATAATATGAACTTTTTTTTTAAACATTTTAGTGGTAAAATGAATTTTTGTGCTCTCTGCTAGAGATCATAATATATTGATAAGAGCCCTAGTGATAGTGCTTTTTGGTTTCATAAGTAGCGGAATGGTGTTTACGAGAAATGGCCACACTGGCCCGGAGTGTTTTTAAATTTTAATTTATAGCTTTTTAAGTTAAATAAATACATTTGAAATAATGTGAACTATGATTAGTAGGTGTAGATATTAATAAACGATGATGTATGATGTTTTCAATTATTTAGGTCGAAAAATATTAGGTAGGTACTCATAAATTATAACTATTTTTGAATTTCGGAGGGCTTTAACAATGCCTATAAACAAGAATACACGTCTATGGCAGACGGTTATTACGTTACACAATTATTCTAAATTGTCAATTGTCATTGCTCATATTTCAATTTTCATTTTCATTTAGCACCGTTCGGGATGGTGTGCATAAATTATAATTTTTTTTACGCGTTATAATATATTTTTTTCCAAAAACATTATGATGTGGACGTACCATGTATGTACTTACATGATACAGACTGGTAACTGGTAACAAGTAACTGGTCAAGCTTCGGATTGTCGGTCGGTTTGGTCGCGGGACTCCTCTTCGGCCTGTACGGTGGTAGACTCTGGTTGGCCATTAACCACCGTGGTCATGTTAAATTGTTGGAGTGGGGAGGATAACGGGTCCGTCATGTAGAACCTCCTGCTCCTCGTTGATAGTCAAAAAGGGTAATTGGTAAATAACGGCTTATAAATCTCACGTCCTTACAAAAAAAAAAAAACATATTAAAATCAGTGTATATTTTCATTCAGTTGTACAAAGATGCGTTTTACAAATTATATTTGAATAATACTTTTTTTCAGATAGATAGTTTGGTTAGGTTTTGTCAACTTGCGACATTTAAAGTATTCACTACATGAAAGTGCGACGTTAATAATAAAAAAAGTGTCTGTATTTTGGGAGAAAGCACGTATACCGACGAAGGAGTCCCATCATTGTGTTACACAGCTAGACAAATTGTACAATGACTTGAGAAATTTATAAAAAAAGTGCTTTAAGATCCACTAATTCTCAGAAAGAAAATGTATTTTCTTCGAGACTCAAACAATTACTCGATGTGGCTCGCAAAGATGCAATGGCGATGATAATAGACGATAAAGGGAAAAAGTTTTTAAGAAACCAACGAAAGGATGTGCGACTAGGATGTATCGGTGACATCGAGTCCTGGTACGATGTAGAAGAGAATGCCCGACTCCAGGGGGAAGCTATTGAATTGGAACGATTGGAAAACAGGAGAAAAAGGCAAAAACTTATTCAGGTAAGTTTTTTAAAATTAAAACCATAAAAAATAATCATCTCTGTCAGCAGAAATCTACTTAAACGGGCGCCCTTTTTTTAGATTTTTATTTTTTTTGAAACCTAAGTATTTCAACGTTTTAAGTACGATGACGCAAAAAAAAGTTGCGGAAATCATTAGTTTTTAAATTACACGACTTAAAAGTTCAATCAATTGAAATTATTTTATGTTAAATACCCAAGAATTACCACTCCAGTAAGTACGTTTAGATAGCGTAATGGTCAATAACATGTGCTATAGATCAAGATGTTGATGGTTCATCAAACGAGGGGCAATTCAATTTTTTTGCATTTTTTTTTTTGTTTTTATGCAAAAAACACATATGTTCGAAATAAAATGCAACTTACATGGGATGAGGGCTCGCACACGATATTTGGTATAGTTTTTCTACATGTTTCATAGGGTTTATATTTTATTGTATTAACGAATGTCACTTCAATTATCTTTGTATATCGATGATTATTGTTAACTATTGGGTATTGGAAGTATTTGCCTGTATACAATTAGGTTATGCCCGCTCGTGCGTTTTCTTTTGAATGAAACGTTTGCCAAATTTCTACCGCTGTCGAATATGTACCTATTTCAGTATTTGATTGTTAAATTGTGCTAAGCCCGTACAACTAGTGCATCATACTATATGATCTAATTCTGTACAAAAAATTTCAAGTTTCAAGTGTGTCTAAAATTCGTACACAACGTGTAAGGGGCTCTATCTATTGCTTTATATAACTTAACCTAGAATACCTAGAATAAAAAAAAAATGGGTTTTTCATCATCATCTAGCTTAATAAAATAGAATGTGAGTACCTTATCCTAACCCAATTCTGATCAAATATCTTAACAGCTTTTATCTTTTATCGTACACATTTAATGTACGTTGACATTTTCACAACTTTGAATTGGCCTTAATATTTTTTTATTGTCTATTTTGTCCCTCTTGGTGAACCATCAACCGATTTCGACAACATTTGTTAATGATTTGACTGATCGTTAATTATATTTTACAATAAGTTAGTGGAAATCGGGTTTCGCCGAAATTTGTTAGCCTTAAGGGGGGCTCCATACAGACCATTTTTAAGGAGTTTTGTATAGGCAATATTTAAGAAAAAAATTGGTTTCAATACATTTCGACCATGTCAATAAATTTACCGGTTAATTTGTATAAGCTTCGAGGTATTACTTTTAATTTAAATCATTTTGTCTATGAGTAAAAACCATTTTAGTTAATATAATAGTAAATTTTTTGTCAGGTTAAGGGGATTGCATGCAGTTGGTTTTTAAGGAGTTTTGTATAGGCAATATTTAAGATAAAAGTGGTTTTAATACTTTTCGATCATGTCAATTAATTTACCGGTTAATTTGTATAAGCTTCATAGTATTATTTTTAATTTAAAACACTTTGTCTATGAGTAAAAACCATTTTAGTTACTATAACATACATTTTTTGTTCCATCGCACAGGCTGAACCAGTGATCCGATAAGTTATCTGAAAACAGATTTGAATTCGTCATGAAGTTTACTCATTATCATCGGCCAGGGTGACTTTTTTGATATCTTATTCCTACCATGTATGATAAAACACGTTTGAACATTATATAAAATTTCAAATTTGGAAAGGGTTAAAGTTAAAAATTGAAAAAGTGCACTGACCGATCACAAGTAAACTCTATGGTGAATTCAAATCTGTTTTCAGATAGCTGTGCAGTGGAATAAAAATGATGTGTTTTGACTGAAAAAACCGACCGCGTGCAGTGTATTCTGTTTTGTAAAATAAGTTTTTATTCTATTATCCTACCAGGATCCTAGAGGCTAAGAGCCGCCGGACCGCGGCTGCGGGCCGCCGGGCCGAGGCTACGGCCATCACCGCCGCTGCGTGCTGGGACCCTGGTACCGCGAGCCGCAATGAGAGAACATCGGGCTGAATGTTGAAAATTTCATTCACATTGATACAAGCGACGTCGAGAACAAAAATCTTTACTTTTTTTTCGGTTTTTTTTTTTTAATTTTTAAATTTATTCTAAAATTTAAATTTGACTGTGACGTCACAGAAAAAAAAATTAATTTTTTCTAATTATTTACAATATTAATCCTCACGGTATAAGGTTTCGATTATGCAGCCCTTTGTAAATCTAACGGTTCGTCGTAGATCGTGTATTGTTTCTTTGTACCGTACGAGTATTGTATGAATTACTTTGATATCGCAGTTTATGCATGTCGCGCATCAATTGCAATAGCAAAAGCAGCGTGACGAACAATAATACATATATATATCTTTTATCGAATTGAAACGGCAGGTTGTTTTCAAATGCACGGTAAATTTCGGATAGGCGATTGGGTACCGGCCTTAATTAAGGAGTTGTGGGTAGGCAATTTCTGGTTTTTTTTTTTCTGTTACGCGTTGTCGTTGTGCATGTAGTACATGAACATTAGCGCGAGTGTTGTTATCTTAACCTCCCGTCCTTGCACCCGTCTATTGATGCGATAAGACTTTTGAAAATCAATTTGAGTTCAGCGTCAAGTCTACTCGAGATCGGTCAGGCCACTTTTCCAGTATTATTTAATAGTATTTTTTCAACACTACTACAAGGTTTAACGTTTTTTTCAAAAAATTTAAATCAAACTTGTGGAATTTTGAGGACAAAATTAAAAAATGTAAGCCGACCGATCTTAAGTAGACTTCGTGCCGAATCAATGTATATTTTCAGAAGCCTTATCGCATCAATACGACGATCGGACTGATTGAAGTAAAAATGGGTAGTTTTTGACGGAAAAATTGGCCGGTACCCAATGGCCTTAATTTCAACGGTATGTCATAATATCACTCAAAATTATATTGAAACGCGCCGTTTTGTTGGTAATATTCAATAAATCGAAAATTTATCTAAAAGTTAAGGCTTTTTTGGACAGTTTGATTTGAAGTTTTGGATGATAGAATATGAGTTTAGCCATTCCGCTAAACTGTGTCTTTGATTCTCTTTCTGTATAATACTATAATGATTTCCTGATTTCTATTTAACTTTATTTGTTGTTCAGTAACTATACACTATACATGTGTATTTTACTCGATATTTTAATTAATATAATTTGTATATATTAAAATGTTTAACAAGTCACCCGCCACGTATGTATTTATGTGACAATGTATGTATAATGCATAAATTTATACATTCATAACTTAAATTATATGTAATAATGAGAAGGATAATGTTTTCAATGTACCTACCTAATCAGCGGCGTCAGGCGTTTGTGTAGGTAAATATAAAGTTTACAATTTCGTATTTTATCTTAACAATCAAATGCAAAACGTTAAGTACCAGTTTAGAAACGGATCTTTGTACTCGAAATAATCGCCCGGCCAATTTGTCGGCGTTCGTGCCAATTATTTTATTATTTTATTTTCTTTACCTAGTCCCCCAACACAGGTCCAAAACGAATGTAAATATTTTGCTTTTGACCCAGTTGCCACCACAATGTTTGATTTCTGTAATATTTCCAGACAGATGCGCCAACGATTTCAAAAGTCCGCAGCTTTCAAATCGTTCGATCCAAGTGCCTGCATATACTTCATATTGTGTTAGAGAAACTTATGTTTTTTTTTTCCCCCGTACAATCCTTCTGTGCTCGTGTCCACATACGACTACCGGCTGACCATTAGCCTCTCTTCTTGGCGGGTAACCGCGCATTAGGTACGCGGTATCACTACCTATTATACCATACTTAAACATATGTTATAAACTGTTCTAAAGGCGCGGGCCTTAGAGATTATTGGCCGTGGCACCGGGTATGATTAATATTGCACAACTCATATTATTCACTCACTTAATATCCCCTCCACCTATGTGTTTTGTGTGAAGAAAAAAAAGTAATAATATTGAATGCTGTTATCGGAGTTATTTTTAATCTATAGTCCGTTCAGTGTTTGAACGAGAAACGTACACCATCGGCAAACACACACGCACAAGGTACAGACGTTCAATAATTATCACTTGTGTCGTCCACACTGACTTTCCGTGTGTGCTAATAATTGTGTGTTTATTTATTATTATTTTTTTTTTTTGTTCAATTACAGCAGCCGCCGCCGCCGCCGCAGTCGTCGTCGTCGTTTTGATTGAGAAATAATATTGTTATTATATTGATAATTATATACAACATCACACACTTCGGTCTCGGTCGCGATTCGATAAAAAACCAAACCGAAAAACCAAACCGAACCGACGACAAAAGTATTAAAACAACACCGTCGTCGTCGTCGACACTATGAGAGTTTTTTTTGTTTGTTAATTCGCTGGCATAAAAAAAACACCACCTCCCACGTGGTTTTCGTTGCATACAGGACACGACGACGGATTATTCTTGATCTTCTTCGGACAGGTGGAGAGTGAAAACAACAAAAATGCGAGGTAAGTCGCCGTAAACGTTTTTTTTTTAAATTATTATTATTTTCCAATAAACGACCCATCGAAAGAGAGCGAAAAAAAAAACGGAACGCGTTCATAAAAAAAAATATTTCTAGTAAAGCGCCGCCGGTAGATGTTTAGCAAACGGCACTTCTTTTGACGGGCTCCACTTTGTTACTCAAGATGAGAAAAAATTCTTGCAATATTATATCGATTCGAAAATGTTTATATTATTTATCAACAAAATTACCTTTTTTTTTTTTTTTTGTTTTCATTCGCTTACATCAGATATCCTGACAGAATTAGATAGAATATTTCTGCCGGTTCAAATATTGACTATTTTACTTATCATCAAATTACCATGCAATTCGCTGCAAATTTTCACTTCCTAGTCTTTGTCCGGCTTTATTCATTCGGTAAACAAGTTTTGGCCAAACATATTTTACCTGACCATTTTATTTGTCAATTGTGTGTGTGTGTGTCAATTTAATAAAAATATAACAGTAATTATATTTTTTCTTATTTTATTGCTTCGATTTAAAGCCAAAATTTTATTGGTTTTAGTAAAACTGCAATATTAAAAAAAAAAAATAAATAAATAATGAAACATTATAAGCTGTTATTAAAGAGCAAAATATATAGGTGACATTAGATAACAAAATGAAGTATTTTTTCTAAAATTTATATTATTATTTAATTATATCTCGTATGTATATATATATATATATATATATACATTTTTTGTAAACTTAATTTTCTAAAGGGTGCATAACTTCATGAATATTAACTTTTTTGAATTTTTTTCTCCAAATTCGTATAGTTATTTACGCTTAAAAGAATTATGAAAACAGAAATTGGATACATGGTTACTTTTCACTTATTCATATACTTTCAACCTATTCATTACAAATTTGAGAATTACAAAAAAATATTTAACATTAACACGCCTCATAAACTATTTTCTTAATTACATTTAAACGTCCTCGATGAGGTGTACGCAACACTGAAAACACTGGTGGTATAGATTAATTGCATTGTAAACAAATAACAGTTCAGTGTACAAAATATTCAGCTAATAGCTTTATATATTATTATTATTGTAAATATAAACTTTACACGTTGAAAGTTACGGGCTAAGCACGCAAAAGAGTTTTAAATCAACATCCGCATTGTAAAATATGCTGATGGAGATCAACATCCACAATGCGGATGAGTCTACACAGTTTATTAGATAAACATTAAAAAAAAAAAACCAATAACGATGATAAGCGTAAAGCAATAATTTCAAATGTACGTCGAAAACGTCAAAAATTATTTTCACTGAACACGATAGCGGTGGCGCATAATGTGTACAGACAGATATGAATTTTGTGTAAGAAATAAAATATACATTAGCATAATATAGAATTAAAAAAAAAAAATATTCAAAAAATTCGGATATTCTTGAACAATTTTGACATTTTTGTATAACAATTGTGGTGCAAATCAAAAGCAGACGATATTATATCGAGTGTTGTTTTTCCAAATTGCATAAATTACCAATTTCAACGTTTCTCATCGGTGGGCGAAATTCAAACCGATAAGGACCGTGTGTCACCGGCTGTGTTGGGCAGTCGCTCCGTTAAACATAAAATATCTTAGGTTTGCGGGCTACACGGTCTAGAAGGAGGTTTAAAGTTAAGCTAAAAAAAAAAAAAAAAAAATACACTATAAGAAACTTATCATTGCAAAAAAAAGTTGGAAAAAATGGCCCTTGGTTCGCCGTATATGTTTAGTGTCAGTTCAGTGCGCATAAAGGTAAATCTTAAAGGCATTCGAGCTTTGTGCCGGTAAAATGGTATAAATATGGTTAGATATTGTTGGTTAATAGATATTGTGGTTAGATATAAAATGGTTAGATATTGGTTAAACCTGTTTGTAGGCCGAGTGCATTTAAACGTCACGATTGACGATTAGGCTTGTGGTGACAAACTGGCCGGGTTACAATCTGTGTGTAATTTATATTAATTAAAAAACTAATAATAATTGTTCAACATTCTGAACCGAAAATACTTTGATTTTTCGCCGACCGTCTGTTCAATCTGGTTATTATATTGAAAGTCGGTGAGTCAAACCGGTGATCTCGCTCATGGAAATATTATATTATAATATAGTCTATATATAATTGAACTACCAATGTATTAAGAGTGTGCCCATTTCCAAGTACTGATAGCAGCGGCAGTACCTACCGTAATATTAAGTATTGTATAAAACGTGTTTGAATGGTCAAATTTGTTCTATTGTACGGCTAAATTTATTAGGTCATAAATACACCGAACTTCTAAAATGTTTTATTATGGGTATGTAGATTATTTTTATGGTTATCTGAAAAAACCAATACTGTACATTACCATATCGGCTTATCGGTTAGTAAAAATATATATATTTTTTAATTTAACGATAAGGGGAATTCCGAAGTTTTAAAATTTATCACGTCTTGTTACCCTCATTAAAAAAAAAAGTCACTGTAATGTAGGTTTTATATGGAGTGGAGTCATTGTAGAGTTTATAAGATATTTCATAAAGTTCTCAGATTTTATGAAAAACACTTGCCCTTCTACCATTTGTTAAACGGCGTTGTTAGTTGTTTTCAGGTTTTTTTTAACCAGTAAAATACAAGGCCTTTTTCACGTGTAGTATTAATTTAGAGCTTGTATAGTTTAAATTATTAATGCTATAATTGGTAGTTATTTTTTTTTTTTTTTCGTTAGACTATTACTATTAGTATAGGAATTTCTTTACCCATAACACCATGGTCCTGTTTAATGTGTTGTGTATTTCTGATTAGACCTACGACAAATTACGTTTGAAAAAAGGCCTAGTTTACTAATGTTAATTAATCATGTTTCCATGAGTCATTTTTTAGTAAGCATGTGTGTGCTCTGTGAAATCAAACCTGAACCATAAAGTTGTCTTTCACGTTTTGGTCGGTGTATAATAACAAGTTTTGAAGAAATAAAAAATAATTTGATAAGATACAATTCCTTTATGCAAACCGTGTGAAGTATTTTTACCACTCGTTTGAATTTGTGTTTATTATGATGACACATACTGCCAATTTTTATTTATTAAGAATCACGTTTCTTGTTACACGTGCGTTCATAATAACAACGCTATGATTGTAACAAATTTCATTTTACAAAGCTAAATAGCTTTAATATAAAACCTCAATAAACATCTTATGAAACTATCATTGAAAGAGAACTTGTGCCAAATCAACGGATTTGAACGATAAGAACGCAGCGACTTCAAAAACACTCGAAATGCTATCTATTAGCTAAATAAAAAATTTTAATCAGTGATTTAATTACAATTTTGTTGGATATCGTTTTATTTGAGTATAAGTAAACATTTTAAAATTATGGGACCTTAAATAAAAAACCGTGTGAGCCGTAAAAAGTACTCACAATAGCTATGTGTAAACATCTTATTTCGGATCCTACATAAAATACAAATTAAAAATAGAGCTGAGCTTATCATATGCGAAGAAACTGATTTTGACGTTAAAATGTCCACTGATTAACCAAGGCGGAATGTGATAGTTATTTTTCAAAATACCTGTCGCCTCTTTTGTGTGTGACAGTACCTAGTACAAAGTGGAGAAAATGTATTACTGATTGTACATGTTGGTTTAGGGAAATGTATACAACAATCATAAGTATTGGTTTACCATTTATATATAGTATACACATATAGCTAATAGGCCTTATGGCGCTCTTCATATTCATTCTATTTAGTTTATAAAATAGGTACTTACTTATATTATAAGTCTTACATTGTAATAACAATTATAATTATTAAATAAAAAAACTTTACACTTAACCCTAGTCTCGTTGTCCGCCGTGGTCACTCAACATACACCCCTAGTGCCATTGGACATGTATCCGAAATGTTTACTTCAGTTTGCCGGTCAAATTCAGCTCCGTCAGTCCTACTTCCGTTACCCTTACTTCCGGTATTTGCACAAATTTACTACTGCTAGCCAAAAAATCATACATCAAAAATAATAATAATCAGGTTTTAAGTTAAATATCAAAAATATGAAGAATCTATTTTTATAATAATTATTATTTTTTATTTTAAATGGAGTAATTCTAATATTTCTAAATTATCTCAAAGTACTGTAATAAGGAATAATTAAAAAAACTTTTTTACTAGGACTTGTGGGTTTGACATAAATGAGCACAGAATGCAACAATTATATTGAAATCCCGTGGGAAAACTCCTACTAGAAATACAAATTGAGGATTAATTTTTTTAAATATATCAGTCCACCAGATACTAATAATAATAATAAATTAACACCTACTTCTAATAAGTTATAAATTTTGTGACCATTGTTTGCAACATTAATAGGTCTAATTGAATAATAAACTTATCACTATAATTTTGTTATAATAATTTGTATTGCTTTAATGGGATCTATTAGAGTACAGTACATCATATAAGACTATAGTATTTTATTTCTCGTTTCAGAAAATTGCTATTAGGCACAGCAAATTGCAGTTAGATAAGTGATTTTATTTATTTATTCATATAAACACCCGCAAGTACAGTAAAACAAAATTGGTAAGCACAGAAAACAAACAAAAAAAAAAACAGTATGCAATAAAACATAATTTTTGGACATTATCATGAAACAAATCAAATTCAGAGCAATACTCTTACAATATTTAGGCAGGCGATATAATGCCTTGTGGACTATTTTATAGGTAAATAATAGAACAGCAAGGATTAGCTTTAGACTTGAGGTAAAGTTGGGGATTCTAAAAGCAATTTTTGAGAGAAGCTCGAGAATCAATTAATTCATTGATTAGTTTATAGATAAAGACCACATCAATAAACTTAAGTCTCACAGTAAGAGGTGAAAAATCGCAAATTTTTTTTGATTTATATGCAATTGTAGGTTCCCAGTTTGGTTTAATACTCTTTGTTTTAGGTATTATCTCAATATCACAGTAAAGATGTAACTATTTTGTTTTGTTCATTGGAGACAAATTTTCGGATATTTTTTAGGTCTGTTCAAATGTTGTGTGTGAAATTCTTAAAAATTTCATATTGTAGTCGCACTTGGCTTGGAACAATACAAATTTGAATTTCCACAAGACTCATTATTTTGGCAACATACAAGTCTTATTACAACTCATTTTACATCCAATTTTTAGGGTATGTGTGCATTTAAATTGAACATGTTTAGGTACTGTACACAATAATAACATATGTAGTTACTTGGGCAGTCAACACCGCAGAGTAGTTTGAAGGATAGTTTTGTATTTTTGGTTGACAGTTTTTTTTCAACAAAATTCGGGTAAACTCGTTTTGGTCAATCTCGAGGAGGCTTTAATACATTTAAATGTGCTCCCGGCCTTTTTAATTGGTATTATTTTATTTTTGGAGAGCGGGCAGGCCAGAGCCTATATGGGTATACTCAATTCTATCAAGTGGCGGCTATATGACACTGAATGGCTAATTGTTTATTAATTGCGCGTTAATTGTAGTGTCAGAAGTCAATATAAATTGGCACAAACATTACCAGCACTCTAATAGTATCTTAAAAAAAAAAAAAAAAAAAAAAAACGATAGTAGAATTCCTTTTGAATTTATGTTCATTGTAGTAACGTTTGGATGTAATATTTATCTCTTGTGATGGTAACACTAGGCACCGGAAACTTGTATAGGTGCAAATCAGTTTTAATCCTAGTCTCGATTATGTCAAGGTGTGTCGAAAATTATTGTTTTGTACCAACTGTATACACATTTTCTATTCTATTAGTCATTGTTTAACTTATAAATGGGATTATTGTTAATTCGCAATTATATAACACGGGTAGTCAAATAAAATAAGTATTATCTACTCCTTACCTAGCAATTTATCTCTTTTATTGTTCTTTGTTATTAAAGTGTGACATTAATATATATTTTTTTCATTGTGTAAAAGATTAATTTATCGAGTGTGATTTATGTAATCAAGCGAAACTCATTATTTGGATAGATAAACTAATAATAATGGTAATAATTGTTTTTGTAGAATACCTGTGAGTTTACCTTTAACGGTTTTCAAGTGATATTTATTAGTCAAATACCAAGTGGGTTCCGGTAATTTTTATCTGTTTACATGTTGGCGAATAGTGTGCGTGTGTTAATATAATCTATTTTTTTTTTTTTTTTTTAGGTAATTTTATTTCACTTGTCTACTTAACACGTAGAAAAATAATTACGCAAGCAAGCACTGATTAAGTACAAAGTACCTAATCTGTAGTACTAAGTGTTGATTCCACTTTAATTTCCACAACACCTTAATCATATTACAATAACATCCGATTAAGTGTTACATAACATTTGAGCATTTTCGTGAAAAAAATTCAATTAAAAAAACCCAATAAAACAACGTTATCCAACTCTGATTCAGATCTGATAGCAAGAACTATGGTTATGAGGAGCACAATATAATATCAAAAACTGCTTATGTACCAAAATCTAATATTGATTTTGTGATCTTAATGTTTTGTGATAATAATATAATGCTTTAATTTTTTCTGGAAAATGTCAATTTATAATAATTTATTTAAAAAAATAACCCGCGCATTATTTTCCAACCAAAAATATATTTAAAATGTAACCTTATTTATAAAAATATATATCTGATTATGTGCTCGTTTTAATGTTAATATCTGCAACCATAATTTTACAATACTAATCAAAATGTATTGTCTACATTTCATCAACATACTCTATTTTTTACCTGCAAATTAATTTCGTGTAAGATAAATATATATATACTGCCTGACTATTTGATCATGACATCATAAAATCGTTCGTAACATTAATTATTATTATTATTACTTATCGAAGTTGCAACAATAGGAGTGAAATTTAATAACCAAAACGTTTACCATTAATAATTATTATTGGTTTATTTAGCTTGCGTCCGACTGATGGGTTTCAATAACTTGACACAACATCATATTATAAAGCACTATATAACAACATTTACCAAATATAATTCTAATTTCTATAATTATTATCGTAATAATTAATTTGTTGTCGATAGAGATAAACTGGAAATTTTAAATAAATATCCGAAAAAAAAAACAGTTACCTATTATATTTTGTCGGCGTCTAAACGAAAACAATGTCACTGCAGGCATAAAACGTGTTATTATTTTAAATATCTTATTTGTGTGTGTGTGTGTTGTGTGTTGTTTTTTTGTTCGTCTATTAGCTACCTTGGCATTGTGGTTCCTGGTGTTCTCCGGGTTTGCGTGCAACTACATGATCCGCATAAACCTGAACATAGCCATCGTGGACATGACCACGGTGCGAAGCAAAACCAGCGGAGCGCACATGTGTCCAAATTCCACGGCGTTCAGTAGCATTCGCCCGGCGGATTCGTCAAGTCGCAAAGTAATATTTCAAAGCTATCAAAAAAAAAAAAAAAAAAATCGAATAACATAGTCAGTTGTTAATACAGTTTGTATCAGAAATTGATACCGTGTCTCTCGGTTGGGCCTGTCCAAAGAGGGGGGGGGAGAGGGGGGGAGAGAGAGAGAGAGAGACACCTCCCTTAAAAACGAGTGCACACAGTGGACGGTGGACTTAGATATTTTCCATTGTTGGCAGACAGAATTTCAATGGACCGACCGAGAGAGAGCGATGGTACTGGGCTCGTTCTATTGGTTGCACTGGGCAACTCAACTGCCGGGAGGCATACTGGCACGGACTTACGGTGCTAAACGGATTTTCGGGTTCAGCAACTTGTTCATGTTCGTCATGTCGTTCGTCATGCCTTTCGCCGCTCGATGGGACATCAAAGCTCTGGTGGCCGCTCGGGCGTTGCAAGGTCTAGTCGGGGTAACGTGTGTCAACACAATCGCGGCTAAATTATAGATTGATTTAACCGGTGGTTTTTGTTATTGTTGTTGTTGTATTGCAGGGCATGGCGTGGCCGTCGGTGCATCATCTGACCGCACACTGGATACCGCCGAACAAGAGGAGCAATTTCATCACCGCTTATTTGGGTCATTATTATTATTATTATTATTTTCTGCGCCGATATCGGTTACGCCACCCGACCCGCGCTGTACGTGATAATCGTATTTACTACGGCGCTTAATTTGTATTATCTCGATTTAAAAGGCAGTTCGATCGGGGTCGCTATCACGTATCCGCTGTGCGGTCTCATCATGGAACAATGGGGATGGTCTTATGTGTTCTACGTGTCGGCAGTGGTCGGCGTGCTGTGGTTCCTCGCCTGGTGGCTGCTGGTGTACGACACGCCGGCCGAACATCCGTTCATTTCCCCAAACGAGCTGGCCCACATCACCAGCAGTCTGACCAGCATGGTGTCGGCAGAGCCGGTAAGTCGATTACGTCCGGTCTACCCTTTCTGGACGACGGGCGAGACGGTGCGTTTTTATAAAAAAAAAAAATTCTTGATTTTTCGAAAAGTCACAGTCGTTTGAAAATGTCAAAATAGTCGTTATTCCTAAACCACGTATTGAGCGTTATACTTGGAATAACGATGGAAAAAAAAAACGCACCCGGTCTTGCCCTCCGAAATATTGTTACCTTTTAATTTTTACAACGGGCGCTTTTATTCTAAACCCAAAATTATTGTCGACTTATTTTCAGTCTGCTTAAACACGTCGAGACGGAAAAAACAATTTTTAAATCGCTTTCGAGGATGCACCGTGATGGTGCAAATAATAAATTGACTACCAAAATTGGAGTCCTAGTCGTTGAACTAATAATAATTGCACATCGCGGTTTAACGTTTAAATTAAGATTTTCTAAAAAATTGCCTATACTTTACTCCTTAAAAATGGGCGCTGCGACGCCGTACAAAAGTCAAAACTGTATGCAAAACGCTCGATAATTGAAATATAATTAAAAATAAATTATTATTTATCATATTTCGTTTACTTCAAGTTTGTAAATTACTTCAGACAAGTAACGTTGTAACAATTATACAATAATAAACCTATAATATATCGGTTTTTCGCAATTTTTTCTTGGCTCGGAGGGGCGAGTGGGGGGGGGTTGAACCCGAACCCCCCCCCCCCCCCCGTAAGTACGCCACTGCTTAAGGGGGTGTGAAATCTCGCGGTCTTCTTTATCGTGTTAATTTTTTTTCCAGTTGCCGATACCTTGGAAGTCCGTTTTGACGTCTCTGCCCGTGTGGACGGCCCTGTTCGTCCAATGGGGAACCGGATGGGCTCTGCACACGCTCATGACACAAACGCCGACCTACCTGAACCTGATGTTCGGCTGGAGCCCACAAACGGTCAGTCCGTCCGTCCGTCCGGCCCGCCCGACTGGAGCGGAATATTTTTTATTTTTTTTTTTTTTTTTGTAAAGCGTAACGACCACCGGTTCCGTGTGTTTCTCAGGTCGGCATGTGGTCGGGAATACCGCATTTCACCAGGTTTTTCTTCTCGCTGTTCCTGTCGTTCGGCATCGACTCGCTCATGTCCACCGGCCTGTACAGCCGCACGTGTGTCCGCAAAATATCCACCAACATATGCACCGTGGCGCAAGCCCTACTGGTGTTGGCCGTCGTGTACGCGGGCTGCGATCAAATACTGGTCAACGTGTTTTTGACGTTGGCCATGACCGCCAGCGGAGCTTCGACGTCCGGCCCGTTGTCGATGATGGTAGACCTGGCGCCCAATTTCGCCAGTACGTACAGAGAGAGAGAGATTACCGAGTTTATTATTATTTCCGTGTTGTAAAATATGATGGCAACAAGGGGTTGGTCCTCCAAGTGGGGGGGGGGGGGGAAGGTGCTGGTCAGGTCAGTTAATTTCACACTACTTGTCTATAGGCAATAGGCATGACAAGTAAGAAGCGTTGAAAACGGTATTTTTGAAACGCTGTTCGTACCTCTAAAAATTAGATTCTTCCAGTTTATATTATAAAATAACTAATTATTTTATGCTTTTTTTTTACTTATCGACAATTAACCCGATTGCTTTGGTCAAACGTTTATTTTTTTTTTTCAAATAAAAGATAGTTTGATTAGGCTGAAAAAAGGGTTTTAACGATATTTTTGTTTTCTAGTAAACATAAAAAAAAAAAAAACCAAAAAAATCTACAACACGAAAACCGACAACCTTAACTTTTAGTTTAAAGGAACAGAAATTAAAATTTTTGTTCAAAGCCCCCTTTTTGTTGTTTTTTAACTACTGCGAAAGCGCGCCGTACAAACAGTATTTAGCGTTTTGTACGTACGATAAAACAGTATAACAACGTCAACTATGACAATATCGTTGGGTATTCTGCCACACAGGTGTATTGCAAGGTTTCAGCGGCATAATCGGAGTAGTCCCAGGAATGATATCGCCGTTCGTGCTGTCGTACTTCACCAACGATAACGTATGAGTCCGCTTCAGTGTTAACCGTTTAACTAATCGCCCACTGACAATGCGTTTTGTTTGTACAGAACACGGTCGAGTCTTGGCAACACTTTTTCGCACTCTCGGCCGTCATCATAGCCATGCCAGGATTGATGTACAACTTTGTCGGTTCCAGCGAACTCCAACCGTGGAACGCACCCAACGGCGCCGTGGTCAACCAAGAGCTGGCCATCACCGCCAACGGGCTAACCACCAAAAAGTGATTGTTTAATATTTATTGTACTTTTTTTGTTGTTGTTAATTTACACTTTATGTAAAAACAACGTTTATATTTTGTATACTGTTTGAGTCGTCATTTTAAATTATTGATTTTTATCCAATAATAATTGTTGACGTTTTGTTTCAAACCATATAATTTACTTTCACACCTCGGGGGGGAAATCTGCAGTATTACAATTAAGTTAAGTTTACGAGTCCACAATACAAATACCGAGAAAGGGTATATTATTTAAGATAAAGCGAAGAGAAAAAAAAAAAAAAAGATAGTTAGGTATTAACTCTTATCGGGTCTAAGTATAAAGTGTTTACTACAGCAGATGTTCGTTTTTCGTAAGTACAAGTGATTTTAAAAATAGTGTCAAAATATAAATTACAAAATAAAAGAACTTTAAAATACAATTACAATAAGATGTAAAAAAAAAAAAAAGTGTAATAATTTATTAAAGATATCTTTACAAGACGTATTATGTATAGTGTATATATAAAAAATGTAAACATGAAAAACGGTACAAAATCAAACAACATTTGTGCATATAAAATATATTTACATTAGCAGAATATTAGTATATTGTATGTGTTAATTATAATAAATAAATTATTATCACAGAAAGATAAGTATAGAATAAAAATTGTAAATAATTTACCATTAAAATTAGATATAAATAATTTCAAAATAAACGCATCTAAACGAAATAAAATTTTAAAAAAATAGTTGGTATAACCGCCAAAAGTAGGTTTTTTTTTTTTTTGTTTAAGTCCAGCAAATTTGGTGTTCAACAAAAAAATATAGGCGGCTTACTGTTTTGCCAACTCCGCGGCACAATACCAATAACAATTGTAATAAAATATTAATAGATTTGTAACAAATAAATATTAGAATTAAAAAATATATAATAAAAGTCAGGTATAGATCTTTTACACTGGCCGTTCAAATTTGTTCAGCGTCAACACAAATGTTTTTTAATCTTTAAATAGTTCTATGTAAAACTAAAACAATATAAAATCGTCAAAAATGCAATCACGGTGGTTAATGATTTTCTCATGATATGAGATCTTAACAGAGTTGTGTGTTACAACACAGCGGCGGCGACAATTACAAAAATCGTATACACTGTAACATCAATAATTATTTGGTATTTTTAATCGATTCTCGAGTCATGACTTCTGTCATAGAGTGCGAAATAAAAGTCTCATGTTGTGCGTGAATATCGAAGCGAGACGACCGCAATTCGTATTGATTGTCCTGTTTAATAGGCTCGCAGTCCGTTCCAGAAGGTATTTGGACGGGTCACTACCGAGTTCATACTGTAATACGTACAAAAAAAAAAAAATACTTTAGATGACAACTAGCGAAACAATTAAAAAAAAATAAATCGTTATTATGACTTACCTGGTACATGGCGGTATACACAGCTCGGAACGCGGGTTGTTTGTCCGTCCAGAATGTAGATCGAGAACCGTGGAGAACGTCGATGCCGTTTTCTTCAGCCGATTTGCAATTGCTCATGTACATACAATGATCTGATCGGTAATTGTAGCGACACGGATACACGTAAACTTTATCTAAGATAATAATAACAATAATAATAATACGAGTATTTTTTGTGGATAGATAATTCATTTGGAAATTCACTACCTGGATGGTCGTGGAAAATTATATTAATAATGTCCTGATCGCCCCACGTAAGTTGTTGTCTGTATTTTTCTAAAATTGGAGCCAGTTTACCGATCCAATCGAATTCTCGCATTCGCGTAAGGTTCATCAACATGACGCCGGAATTAAGTCCTAATTTTTATTGTTTATCGTTATAAAAAGTAAATTATGCCAAGTTGTCTACAATCATGTACAAGTAAATACCTAATTTTCCGTAATAAGGATGTTTAGCAAATCGATTATACCATCCAACATTCATATCCTCGTGTTCCGGCACTAAGGCGGCCAATTGAGAAGAGTTCATCAGCGTAAAATGTCTCCAAACGTCTGCTACGTTGTTCAAAAACAATGTATCCGTGTCTACGTATAGAATAGAATCTAAATGGCTCAGAACCGACTGCAACGTTTTCAATAGATTTATAATCAGACGACGTTATGACTGCGTGTTACTTTGTTTTTTATCACTTACTGGTAAAAAAAGTCGTTCTGATGCACATGGTTGAAACAGTTTTCTCCATTCCTCCGAGTGTTCTTTGGGAAAAGTAATACTGTGTATCTCGTACGAAAACGAATCGTTTGTCAACAGTTTCCATTCCCGCAGCTAAAACGAGTAATAAAATTAATAAGAATTCACAATAACTTTGGTGTAGGTAAGTAGTACAGTTTCATCGAATTCTTGTTGAATATTTTTTTCGGCAATAATCACTATCTTCAGATCCGAATCACCGCGAAAAACTATAGCGGATTTAATCATGACCAATGCTTCGGTTGTTAGACTACCGCACACGACGACTGCCACGACTACTTGGTCGTTTTTCCTGTAGAATTTAACATTTTATAAAAACACATAAAAAATCAACTGCAATCAACTTACTTAGTTTGGAATAGCTCGACAGAACGATTCAGTGGCGTCAGCACCGACTGTTTACCGGTGTATCGACTTAGTGATTTTTCAGGTAGACGTAGAAAAAATAGAAATATTATAAGTCCAATCGTTAGAGAGAGTATGTACGAACATTTTATTCGAACCATAGTAAATAATGGAAATGGTCATACATATAAATTGCAAACAATCAGATCCGATCGGTTTACAGACTTTTCAGATTAAAATATACAGATCAACAATGTAATATGTACAAAACGTATTGAATATTTTAATTATTATTTGTATAGACATTTTGAATATTGTTTCGATTTCGTCAACAAATAAATTATTGTGCACAAACTACAAAGCGTTTAGAATAATGATAACGTACCGTTTGATACGGCCGTCTGATAACGTTAACCGTTAATATATAACTCTGGTTGTGGTCATGCGGGGTAACCACTAACCAGAAAAAAAACAATTTATTGAAAAAAACTTCTGTACAAGCTATACCCATATCTTAAAGTGAATTTATTAATTTTATACATATAACCATATGTAGAAATTGCGTTACGAATTTTTGTGTCTTGTCCTACCTCTAACTTGTCTGCTGCGAGGTCTTTTTCAGTCTTAAAAAGAGTCAAGTCCTATTCGAGATCAAGTACTACAAACAAAATGCTAATTCTTTGGCTGTTTTAACTATATAGTCAGATTTAACAAAGAAGTTAGATTATGATGATATCATTGATACGCTCGGCGTAAATTCTACTGCTTTTGCTCGCCTTTTAATGGCGTTTTTTATTGAAAAAGCTCGTCGTAAACATTTTTAATATTCTTATACATATCGGGAATTGTATACATTAAGGGATTTTTTTTCTAAACGTTGTCATTTAACCTATTACATTTAGGTTTTTTGTATAATTAATAATAAATATACCTACTGTAATTATGTAATATGTACTTCAATAAATGTATTTTTACTTGCTTTTCTTTAGCTCGCTAAGCACGTACGTTTGTACGGGTATTTTTCAAATCTTGCAAAATTAATTTAGTAATCTATTCAGCAGTTATTAAATACCTTAATAGGACTAAAAAGTAAAAAAATAAAATAAATAAATTAAAAAAAACTTTTTTAAAAATAGTAAAAAGTGAACTAAAAAGTAAAAAATAATTTTATTACAAGAACAGTTTACCAATCGATTCTAGCATATTTGATTTAAAATGCCAATTACTTTGAAAACAACCGAAAATTAATTTTTGACTAAAAAGAAAAGCGTGGGCCCTGTTCAACAAAGTCCCTAATAAATTTATCGGATAATGTTTTTTGTACTGTAGGTTTTCTTGTAATTTAAATTTGGTTGAATATTAGTGTGTGACACGTACATCTCTTAATACTTAACTCAATAAATTTGGACTTTGTTGAATAACGCCCACGCTTTTCTTTTTAGTCAAAAATTTATTTTCGATTGTTTTCAAAGTAAATGACATTTTAAATAAAGTATGCTACAATTGATTGGTAAAAAAATGTTCTTGTAATAAAATTATTTTTAGTTTTTAATTCACTTTTTACTACTTTTTTTTTTTTTTTTTTTAGAAAAGCATGTTTTTAAAAACTTTTTTTTTTTATATATACCTAATATATACCTTTCAGATTATCTGCGAACTTCAAACGTCCGTAACTTCCAAAGTAAGTGCGAGCGGCCCAAAATTTTTGCAGATTCGATTTAATCACAGCATGCAAAATACTATCGATTAAAAAAAAAAAAAATCGAAAAAAAAAAGGTGTCCGGTAAAGTAGATTTGTTCCTAACTTTTTATTAACGTTTTGTAATAAATATGTTTGACGACAGTTTATGTATCAGTGTAAAAAAGTAATATCGGTGTAAATTACTTGTAAGTTTTTATAATAATAATTTTTTAGAGTAATTTTAAATAGATTTTGTAAATAGTATAGTTTGGTTGATAACTACTAGTATTCATACGAATAAAATCTTTTTAGATAAGTACATATCTATATATTTTAAAACTTTGTGTCAAAAGAAAAATTGCTCGAAACGTTTTTGCACGTGTCTTGAGACGGATGCTTTTTCACTGTAAGTATTTCCGAGAAACCAATAAAAAAAAAACGTTAAACGCACGAATGCGCACAAGAACGATTGATCTTCTCGCGTCCAACACCTTCGTATCACCAGCTCGAGAAAACACGGTTTTGTTTTATTATTATTATTATTATTTGCTGGCCAAGAAAAATATTTTATAAAAAATCGTTTAATACACATGGGCGCCACTGACCATTCGAGTAGGACCCGTCTAACAGACGACAGTGTCGGCATAATTTTAGCGAAGTATACATTTTTTTTTGTGACTTTTATCGACATGATTTTAAATAAATTGTTGCCTAAGCACAAACGGCTATCGACAAAACAACAACTCGTCCTCCGAAGATTATACGCCGACCTCATTCCATGCAGCCCGACCGGTGTTTCGCCGTCTCTCCGAGGTCTCGTGCTCGGGTGTTTCGCCCAAAAAGGCGACACGACCGGCGAAACTCTGACGTTCACACCGACGGCCAGCAAGTTCAACGATTCGCTCGGCGGCAAGTTGATGGAACAATTGCGGTACGCCAAGCCGCCACCGGCCCGCGGAGACGTGCGCACTTTCTACGGGCTCGACCAAACTTACCCTTACGTGTCCGTGGTCGGTCTGGACGACGGGTGTCTCGGCTACAACGAAAAGGAGGGCATAGACGAGCAAAAAGAAACGGTGCGCAACGCCGCGGCATTAGGTATCAGATCCCTGCAAAATTTCGACGTGCAGAAAATCTACTTGGAAAGTTTCGAGTCTGCGGAGAGCTCTGCCGAGGGCGCGTCGATGGGAATGTGGGCGTACCAGGACCTGAAGTGTCGGCGAAATTGGCAGAATATGCCGAAGCTCGAGCTGTACGACAGTTGCGACTGGACCGGTTGGCAAATCGGTCTGCAAAAGGGCTCTGCGCAGAACTTGACGCGGCAGCTACAAGAGATCCCGGCTAATCTGTTGACGCCCAAAGCGTTCGCCCGAAACGCGGTCGCGCTGTTGTCCAACCAGGGCATCGATCTGCAGGTCCGCGGTAAACACTACATGGAGTCCCGGCACATGAACGCGCTGCTTGCCGTGGCCGGCGGGTCTTGCGAAGAGCCACAGCTCCTGGAGGCTACATACGAAGGTTGTGACATCGACGTGCCTCCCGTGGTGCTGATCGCGCCGGGTCTGACTTACAACTCGGGCGGCCTGGGATCGCCGAGGTCGTGCGAAGACCAGAGACACTCCCGCGGTGAAATTTCAGGCGCCGCCGCTCTAGTGGCCGTCCTGCGGGCGGTCAGTGCGCTCAAGCTAGACATCAACCTTAAGGTGATCATACCCTTGGCCGAGCACGTGATCGGTTCAGGCTCGTTGGAACCGGGAGCGGTGTTGATGACGAAAAGCACGAAGACCGTCCTGGTGACCGACACTGTAAAAGCTAACCAACTTATCGTTGCCGACGTCATGTCCATGGCGGGCATGTCCGACTGTTACAACGCCAAAATGATAATCGACATCGGCCCGTACGTAGACTGTTCGGAAATATGGTCTTCCCTGGCGTTGGGAGTATTCACGAAAAATCCGTCGTTAATGGAATCTATAAAAGCGGCGGCCATGCACACCGGCGACCGAGTCTGGAGACTACCGCTGTGGAAACAGTCGACCGTGCACGTCCAATCGGCGGACCAAGCGGACCTTGTAAATTCCAGCAAGCATTTTGGCGCAAACTCCATGCAAGCCGCGGCTTTCTTGCAAGAATTCGTGCCCAGAGACGTGCCTTGGATGCACCTGGACATCAGCGGGCTCCTAAAGACAACGGGTCGCGATGCCGCGTATCTAGCCGAAGGCATGTCCGGTCGACCCACGAGGACGCTTATAGAACTGTTGGCGCAGATGACATGCCAGACAGCGTCTTCGATAACCGCATAAGCCCGAGCCAAAATTGTCGAAAACAAAATTGACCCAAATATAACCGAGTGTTTTTTTTTTTTATCATTATTTGTTGGCGGGTTCAAATATTTCTAATCGAAAATTTGATTGAAAAACAATTTCCAACATTTCGGTTAATGGTTTTTGCACTAGTCGCTACCCAATGCCTCTGAATGAACTGTTTATTTACAGCGAGAAATATTATTAATCAAATCGACCCGCACAACAGCCTAGTAGCTAACAGCCTGACAACAGCTGTTGTTACACGTGTACTGTTGTCGACTAAGTGATTAGTACTGAACCGATGGACTTGGGATTGAAAAAATAGACTATTAGTCCGTTTTGCTACGTGACAAACACGTTTCAAGAACGACCCCCACAGCCATAAGACATGTCCCAATGTCAAAAAAAAAAAAAAACTCCATTGATATTAAAAAAAAAAAAAATACAGTCAGAACGATTGAACCTGGTAACTAATAAAACGAACCCTAAACAGAGGGTGGGCAAATAATATGATTTTTTTGTCAGACCATCACAGCCATGTCTATAGGATAAATTACAATATTTTCCCCATCAAAACTGATGGATTAATTTTTCTCGAGCTTCGTGCATAGTTAAGGAAAGAAAGTCATACGTATTATTTATGACATAATTATCTGTGTTTCATCGTCCGTATTTTTTCGATATACCTAATACAACCAACGCTGTATAATTTTTAAAAAGTCAAAAAGGTTTTTTTTAAATTAATTAATTATTCATCAACTGGTTGAAATATTAATAAAAGGGCAATGGTAGAACACAGACTATGTTGTTGTCTATATTATGTAAAAATTTGGTTTCTTAATTTTTAATATAGCCTTTGTAAAATCAAGTCAGAATGTTAATACTGTACGCGACCACTTTGGGAAAAAACTAGGACAGTTATTTAGTATTCATTTATTTTTACTCCATCGAACAACAGTGTCCAATTAAGAAATATAATAATAATTATCATTGTATTGTTTTCACATTTTTAATAGTGACTAAAGTATATTTTATATTCGTTTGCAGTTGGAACCAGAATGAGGCGGAGTTGACAATTCTGAGTTTATGAATTAAAATATGTTTATGCATTTTTAGCGCGATTGCCGTTATGTTAAGTTGAAAAAAACGATTTACGAGAAATTAAAATCGTTGTTTGTCTATTTCAACTATTATATTGATATGCTTCATTCCAATATTTATAAAGCATTAGTTTTAACTTTTTTAAAAAAAATCAAATTTTTTTCTATAATTTAAGTAGAATTACTTTAGCTTACCCGATCTTCGGTTTCGCCCATTATTATTATTATATTTTTTGCATACGCTGCCATCGCCATATTTTGTTCTCCAATTATTCCAGACCTATGGAGTCTCTTTGCACTTTCCTTATGACCGATTCCCCAGGGCAACGTCGAAGAGAATAGGTGCATCCCCTCGTCTAGAACCAGTTTCTACTGGAAAATCTTCTGACATTACAGAGTTGAATTTTACTTTACATTCCATTCCTTCTGGGAAACAAAATGTTTGTCAGCGCATGTTGTTAGCATTATAATATCATACACAAGTTTGGAAGTAATTGGGATAGTTTTTTTTTTTAAAATATAGTGCGCCGCAATTTTAAATAGAAGTATTTCTACATTTCGTGGGGGTTCTTTTCGATTAAATTAGGGTCTTGGGCTAATAAGCTCACCATTCGGCTTTCTAGGTACGATCATTAGTTTATCGTTTATCGAGTTTCTACATAATTAAATCGGTTCAGCGGCCAGGAGATAATGGGTGTGGGTGCAGACAAAAAAATAAAAACATAATAAACAATTACCATAATAAATAGCTAGTAATAGCTATGGCCAATCAATCGAAGCTAACGAAATAAATTACAATTGTTCTTTTTCAAAAATATTCGTCCAAACACTGTGCACTTATTACAGGGTGATCCATCTGATGTAACATGTTTGTGTATACAAATTTAGTTATTACGGATATTTTCTATACGGTAATTATTCTTTGTATTGTTTTTATTTAGTGATAGGTAAGTATTTATTGTGTTAACTTTTGAATTGCGAAAACTGCGCTTTTAACGGCATTAAAGTGAATATTAGCACTGGTATATACTGGCTTTCGTTATTAATTAAATGAAAATTTACTCTGATCTAGTCTTTGTCCGTCACCGAGGACAGTTATTACTTATTTACTTGGTTATTTTAGCTACTCTGCGAATATAAAGTGGTATATACCAATACTGATTTACTCGTCAGTATACATAGTCATAATTTCTAGTTCTCAGAGAATAATAGAATAAAACAAAACGTAAAACTGTAGTAGAGCAATTGCCAATAAATCTAAAAGATCTACGTTAATCAACGAATGTCACTCGTAAAAATGAATAAGATCAACAAATGTAGACGCAGAATATAACTAATTATTGGTCATGTAAATATCATCCCTGGGAACACACCACAGTGTAGAGAATATACTCTTGCTCGTCCCTAGCAATTTCTATGTATGGTTGGGCTTGAATTGGGAGGTTCATTAAAGTGAATAATAATATCCACCTTACACGAGCGATGCTTATTTTTCTGTGGACAATTTTCAATGGAAAAATAATTAAACGTCCATGGTAAATACAATAACGACCCTCTCTCGATAACAAGACAAGAAAGAAAAAAACATACTTCAGACATATTATATATCAATTTCGAAGATCACGTATTATTTTTTATTCGAATTAAATCTAATTGGTTTTTGGCAGCTATTCGTCGACGACGTAAAAAAATCCGATTAGAACAGTTGAAATATTTTCAAGGTTTTAAAATATGAACTATGTAAAAAAACTTAAACAATAAATATTCTCATGCCGGCTTCTTCTTTGGGTTCCTCGTGTAGTTGTACAATTTCACTTCCAACATCTGAAAACCGTCGTCGACAAACGACAGTCCTACAAACACAACACAACAAAATAAACACCAAAACCGAAACAACGTCGACGTGACGAGACCGTAGACGGCGATGAACTGGAAAAAAAAAAAAAAAAAAGTTAACAAACTCAATTATACTCGACAAGTCACACACTTTTTTTTTTGTCTGGTATTAAAATCGATATAAATAATAGATCAATTCACAAGTTTGTGGTCACCTCGATCAGTGTCCAGAACAGAAAAGCCAAATACAGAGCGTTGTGTGTTGGCGTGTTGTTGTCATTTACAGATGTGGGATCGCGTACAAAAGACGATGTAGCCGCGAAATCGGCTAGTCTCGTTTCTTTTTGGCGCCAAACGTCCATCAACCAAATTTTCAAACCCTCTGCACTTTTTGGCAATTCGGATACGCCGTATCTGCAACACGACGGACATAAACGTCGTCATATATATATGTTTAGATCAAATACACTATAGCCGCCGTCAAAAGGAATCGTGAAAAATGTTTCAAATCAAACACACACCGTTTTATGTGAAAGTGTACGTTTCTAGGAAAGACGCCGCACAAAGCGTCTAATTCGTTTTGGGGAATTGAATCGGGATAGCCGATCGTTAAGTCGTACACCGCGTCGATTTGTTTGTCTAAAAAACAAAAACGTCGAGTTTACACGTTCAACGAGAAAAATAGTCAAACGATTGAGATAAGTCAAACGATTACACTCTCGTTTCGTCGTTGTTATATTGATTTGTTTTTTTACTTTTTTTCATAATATCCGTGAGAAACACAAAACCCGTGGTTTTCGGATGAAGAACGTGCGCGTACTTGGGAAAACCGTTTTGCTCAGCATATTTATCGCTGCGCTCCACGTTGCCACGTGAAAGGTCCGTCCCTTCCGGGAACAACAGTATCTACGGGCGGCACAATGTACGTTAATTTAAAATACCATCGACCGCCGTTGACAAAAAATACGCGTGCGTCTCAATAAATACTTGGTTGGTGTCGTTGACGTTTTTGAAATACTCCAGTTGGTCGGCCATTGAACTCTGATCGTGATCCCAACGTCGTCGGATGTACAGGAATCCCGACATCTGCATCACCCAGCCGGCGAACGGAACGTGGCGGATGGCCGATTTCAGTACCATTTTCAATTTGTGCGCTTTCGGTTCGGTGCCGTAGTACATACCGGCCCACAAAAAATTCCAATCCAGCCGGTTGCGATGATTCATTATCAACAGTGCGCCGTCCAGTGGATTTATAAGGTCGCCGGTCACGACGAAACGCGTTTTGAACAGTAACCGCATCAAGATCTTGGTAAAAATATTAAAAAAAAAAATTAAAAAAATATATATATATATATATATATTACTCGGTCGAGTACAAACGAGTAGACGAAATATCGAAATGAACGTGTAAAAACTCACAGTAGGATACATTTCCCACGCAGAGTGTACGACGCCAATGGCGTAGCGAAAAACTTGAGGACACGCAAACATCAACGGCGTCATGGGACAACACAGTACGAGAAATCCGCTGGCTATGCTCAAGTACCACAAGCCGATGTACGCAAATCCTCGCCACTCCATCGTGTTCGTTTGGTTTTCACTGAGAACAAACGTTCGTACGTTTACAACGATGAGCGGCGTGATCGTCGGGTATAGCCGAGTGTGTACCCTACGACAACGCCACTGCATACGCTGTGTACACAATTATTAATTAGTCAATGGTACAAAATTAAATAACTAGTCGCAAGCGTAAGAATATGACACCGGAACCAAATACAAAAGCAGAATTACAAAAACACACACAGGTTAGATACAGCAAAAAAAAAAAAAAAACACAATACAAAGGTTTGACCATTTAACGCAAATAATCGTAATCGACTGTAAATATTCATATACATTATAAACAGCGTTAGTACTTTTAAAGTTTTTTAGTTAAAAAAAAAAATTACAAAAAAATATACCAGGTGACATTTTTATTTGTACATAACGTGCAAGTTAAATGTTCATCAATTAATTAATAACACAATTAATGAACATTTTTATCGTCTCGATTCCTCCCATTCTTCTCTCCCTTCGCAAGCCTTATCTCAGTTTTGCACTGTTCTACCCATTTATGATAAAAACTGTTGGATACAATAAATATTTGATGACAATATTTTCTTCTTTTGAGTAATTTTTATGACAGATAAAATCGAATAAAAAATGACATTGTTTTACTCAAGAAACCAAAGACTAAAATGTAATATATATATATATATATTAACTTACAATAAGACATGGTTTACAATACTATTTTTTTTCTTTTAATATAAATGCATTTCAAAAAAAGGTAACATCAAAAGGGTTCTTATGGTAAATTCTGACCACTGGAGAGAAAACAAAAAAAATGAATTTACATTAAGTTGTTTTGGAATTATAATCACTTAGTACCTATAAGTTAATAAATAAATATTTTCTATTATAATCAAGCAATAGTGTTTAAAGAATTTTCAATTCAAGTAAAATAATTAAATTTTTACATAAACAAAAAAAAAATATATATATATAAAATTACATTAATAAAACCCAACGTCTAGTTTTTAAAATATATAAGTAACTTAAGTCTAATATTGTTAGAGTTAACGTGTATAAATAAATCATACATACATATATTATATCCTACTTAGGTTTTTCAAATAATAAATTGAACTCCACTTTAGGAATTTTATTTTTAATTAAAAAAAAAAAAAAAAACGTATCATTTAAACTACACCAAAATATAAACAGATAACATGTCTGAAGAATTTGAGTAAAAAAAAAAAATCACATAGTTTAAATGAGTATAGAAAATACAAAAATTTGAACACATAAATAAAGCCTACGATTTCTTGTATTTTAAATACTTCTTAAGCAGTTGATCAGCGTCTGCATCAATTTCTTTGTCCTTAAAAAAAAAAAAAAGTGACGATATTGTAGTTAATTAAAAATGTTTTTTACTATATAATACTCATAAAAAAAATATATATATATGTATATTATTAACCTCTGAATCTTTCGTAGGGAGTTGTAATGCTTGTTCCAACCACTGTACGGCCATTTCGTATTCTTTCGTCGCAATAAAACACTTGGCAAGATGGAGGCGACAGTCTTTTAATTGAATCGGCGATTCTTTTTCAAATTTTAAGAACAATTCAATCGCTTCTGGCACTGTACCTTTGGGAACTTCTCCGTACAACCAGCTGGCGATACGCCGTTCAAACGAAGTCAATATAGCGACCTAAATAAAACGAACAATTAACGTTAATTGAAATTACTGAATATTTGCCATAAACTCGCATAAATAAAAACAAAATATTACTTCATATTCGAGTTTTCCTTTTAAAAAATACAACGTAGGATCTTTAGGATTAATTTTTATGGCTTCGTTAATATGACTCTGGAAAACATATCCACCTTCAATTCTTTCTTTGGTCGATCCCAATTGTCCTCGTGCTCCGCTGCATATGGCAAACCATTTGTGAGCATTACAATTTCCTGGATACATTTCTAAGGCATATTTGGCCCATTTTACACCTGAAAAAAGACACAATTTAGAAAAAAAAATAAACGTTTAAGAGTAAATTTTACAGAAGTATAAAAATTACCTTCGTCAATAACCATTTTGCTTTTTTCCAAATCCTTTTTTGCTGCGGTATAATACTTGGATACAAATTGGCAAGATTTCGCCAATCTCCATAACACTTCGATATCATCGGTTCTCTAAAATTATATTACTAGGGTTATAGTAAAAATCATATAGGGTTTATATATATATAAATCTTAATATATCTTATACATAACTGTCTATAAAAAAATGTTTTTCTAATTAGCCCCTTAATTGATAGTAGCCTATTCAAATAATACATCCCTAAAATTTCAGTTATAAAACCAGACTAGGGAAATTGTGAGTTTCGTGTGCCGCAAAGAATTAAATAAACACGAGACGACAACAAATTTTTTTTATTAGATTTCTATAAAATACGTCATGAATAATCAGAAAATATACACACAATGAGTATGTAAATAAAGTAAGTTGTTTGTGTTTAAACTTTTTGTCTGTACTGTATATACATATAAATAAATAGGACTGACTCAAATTTTTTTTATTGCAACCCTCTCATTTATTTTATTCTGACAAATAAAAAATATTCAGGAAATGGCAAAAATGTTTTCTTCTAGGAAGGTAATAATAATGTATATAGATATATGATAATACATAAAGAAATAAAGACAGTATTATAATATAAAATTTACCTCTTCGTTGAGTTTTACTAAGATGTCATAAGCCTTAAGTTTGTCCTCGTCACAACCTTCGAAGAGTTCATCGACTTGATTAAAAATATCGTCACACAACAACGTAGCACTATAGTTAGAACTTAGATGCGTTTCGGACATTTTTTCATCCAAACTAACAAATATTCAGTCAGATTGATATACTTTTTTTTTTAAAAATTAATTAAATTTAATATTGTATCAGTACTTGTCGGTGAATTGAGGAGAATTCTGAGAATCTTCGTTTTCAGATGACATGTCGTGAAATTCGTCGTCCGTTCCAAGAGCTGTATACAAACTGGCTTCGCTAGTAACACTAGTACAGCTAGACAAGGTTGATCTACCACCAGCCTTTATGACCTTCTTTCTATAATTAAATATATATATAAAAAAAAATATATATATATATATATACTTTTGAAATGATACATCACAGTTATTAATATTTTACTCTATTAATTTTGTTATACACACATATACATATATAGTAGTAGTTGTTACGTTTATATATATATATATATATATATATAAACGTAACAACTACTACACATAAACGTAATAACTATTAATTTACTTTAACGCTTTCAGTTCCGTTTGAAGATCAAGGACCGCAACGTTTAACTCATCGACTTCCTGTTTAAGTAAAATTTTTTCTTTCTTTTCCAATAGTCGAGTTAAAAATACAACACCGACCGAACCGACTGTAATTCCAATGCTAACAGCGACAGCGATTACACCCCTTAGCCAACGCGGATCTGTTGACATTACATTCGGCGCTCCTATACAATAGAACAATGACAAGACAACAACAATAATGATTTCTCTTTGGCATATTGATAATTAAAACTCTGCAAAAAGCTCTCTCCGATTTATTAATGTAGAAATGAAATTTGTTTGAAAATTTTAAACACAAAAGTATTTATTGGAAACTAATTTTTATATGACGTAATATAATTATTACTGGACACAAAACATTTAAAAAAATGTCAAAAATATTTATATCGATTTCGGCCTTGGCCCGAATAATAAGTAAACAAACGAAATGTTGCTGAACTTGAGAATGCAAATTAATAATCTCAAGAATGTACTTTCACTAATTTGTATCAGTAATTAAAATCATATTTATTCAGTATGTTATAAATAATAATATTTTATAAATAAAAATTACATTTAAATATTACAAGTAGTGTAACTATGGTGTTATGGTACAACTAATTTGTATTATTTTCTTTTACGATACATAAATATATTTATATTCAACTATTAAGTTACAATGACAAACCGTTTACATAATAAGTGTAAAGATCGATTTCAAATTTCATCCAAATTAAAACAAAATAATCTATTTAACAACTTTTAATGTTATATAATTTAAATATATATTATGTAAGTCACACAAAAAAAAAACTGTTATGCAATAATGAAGTCTATTTTGAGTTTGATAATAAAACTAAAAAGGTGAAGAGTTTTTTGTATATATAAATTCATAAAAGAGAATGCTGGCACGTTGTTTATATACCAAAAAAAAAAAAAAAATGTAATAATAATATAGTAGATCACTTGAACTTCCTATATAAATTTAGAGATCAAATCATCGACTTAAACTTAAAATGAACATTAAATGTATTTAAGCAAGTTCAGACAAAAAATAAAATGTTAGTATGCAATTCTTAAGTAATATTGAGTCGATCAAGAACGTTAGTATTGATGTCCACGCAATTTGTTATGCTAGAAATAAGCCAAGTCAAATCACCAAATTATATATAAATATGAAATTTTTAAAATTACAACAATAGTTTTAAAGCAAGTACATAAATCATCAGTAAAAGTATACTTATTTTTAATTAATCGATACTCACAAATGTTAACATTGAAATAATATTATTAAGTATATAATATATGTATAATACCACATCCATAGACAACACAAAACATTGTTACAGTTGTCGCCAAATTATTATTATCACAGTATGTTAATTATTAATCAAATAATAATACTGCATTGGTATACATATTCTAAATTCCTTTCCGCCTAACTACCATACTTAATTTTTATCAATCGATAAATTTAATCACTTAGATTTAGATCAAATTTGAGAGCGTACTTTAACATTAATACGTTAGTCCTTTAACTGCTAATCAGTTTTCTTGTGAAATTTAATAAATTTAAAATACGATAGAGCAGTTTATTTTGGTTTTCTATGTTGAATAGATTTTGAATTAGAAATAACGTGTTTACACATCTACATCATTGATGTCCGTACATGTTTACGGAGCTGAAAGGGTTAATTTATTTTGAAGCATGCGCATAATTTACTAATTAACATGTGTACTGTAAAATATGCAAATGTATAATAATAGTATATTAAAAACAAAGGCAACTACCTGTTCAGCATAAGTTTCCCACGCCACCGACATGGTAAAGTCGCTATTAAAATACTTTTGGGTAAATACAAAATATAGCAAAAAAAAATTCTCAATAGATTACGATAAACAATACCTAGAGGTTAACGTATAAAGCTACTGTGGAAAAAACCAAAACGAAACGGTATATTATAATAGTTGGTTATTATATAAAAAAAAAAAAAACTAATGGTTGGTTAATTATACAATTAAATGTTCCGATAGAAAAAAAAAACAATGCGTCAAACCGATTACATTATAAACGTTAACTGTTGTTGTGTTTATGGTGTTGTTAAAACTTAAAAGCCAAATTAGAAATAGACAATAGTTTTATCTGTGTGTGTGTGTTTGTTTGTACACTTACGGTAACGTCCGTTAGTTGAAACGTCCAACGGGCCAAAGGTCGGACCGACACAACAGTCAAGTGTCGACGGGAAATTTGTATTTTAAAAGACTATTTTAAACGAAACAAATCGGGATGTGTTGTAATAAAACGACGGAAACTATCGCTTTTGGCTGCGGATAATCACAACTGTGGCTAAAACTGAAATATCTGACGGCTGACCAATTCCGATTTCTGACTGATAACAGCCGTGATAACGACAATGGCGGTCTCATGATACAATACCATATTGCCCGGTCACTGACCACTGACCAGGGGCTACCGGCTCCCCTCCCCCTTTCACCGGGCAAACGGTTATTGTTATTTAACCGTGTCAGTTGTCACCTGCTCGGCCGGTCAGTTTAAAATTTAAAAGCAAAATGCGAAATATTATTGTTTGGCCGAAATCCGCAGAAATTTGTAAATAAAACGAATTGTAAAAATGCGCCGGGCTGCGTTAACCAACGATAAAAATACAAACGGCGACAAAATACATTTTTCGGTTAAAAAGCTCTCTCCACTTACCGTGGGAGAAACCCCTGTTAATAGTTATGACGACGAAATACAATTTTAAACATATATTATGCAGCTCTGCGGGCTACGTGTAATTAATTAGATAGTTGTCCTTATCCGACGTCAAGATTGAGCTGTAATAAAATATAATATTCAGTATTTTGTTTCGTTATAAGTTTATAGCGTGTAAATAGTAAACGTTGTTTTTTTGTTTACATTGTAAATATACAAGTATTGATGACTATTTAACAATTAAAATATTATAATATATTTTAATGTCATTTCAACTCTACGAGAATAGAATAGAATAAAATATGTAAAAACCCTATTAGTGATCGCACTTTTTAATTACCACATTGGGTATAATCGGATAATATTTTACATAAAACAGTTTTGTTTTCCAAGGATTTTCTTATGACAGAAGCAAGTGTTGTGTGGTAGGCGGTAGCCAAATTTAAGGGTAATTATAGTGGTAATGTTTCTTGCTGTGAACACGTCAATAGGAAAAGTAAAACGTGTACAATTATTATTTGGGTATTTTATTTAAATTAATAATTACCAAACGGTCCACCGTGTGAATTGTAAAATAAATGAAAAATATTTTCAAATTAATAATACTGTTAGTAGCCACCACTTGGAGCGTTGCTTACCCAATAGACGATAAGACTGAAGTGATGATGACACATCTTATCAGGGTAGTCCAATTCCTTATTGTGTGCTTGTCTATATTGTGCTTACACTGCTTAGTATGCTTACAATATTGGAAATCGTATATTTTGCTACTTGCTAGTTTATAGACAAAACTCAAAAGTTGGAATAATTAAAAATCCTGTTTGGTTACATTGGACGTGACGTGCAAGCTACTTTGGAATTACAATGATTATTACTTAAAAGCTGTTAAATAGGTGCGTATTATAATTTTTTTTATTGGCGTTTTATGTTAAATAATACCGAATTGTTCTAAAAGTTATTCTCTCGTTAAACCAGTTTTGACTTTTTACTATAAAATTATTTGCCTATTATTTTTTTAACTACTTACAATCGCAGTTATTAGGTCTATTAATAATTATTTCTTCTAAAATGTCTTCTACGTTAAATTATTTTTCGCAGTTTCAATTACTTGTTTTTACACAAAAATATTATACATTTTATCTGTTTAATAAAAATTATTATTCATTGTACTTGGTCAACTCGTTTATGGGTGTGTTTTCAACTACAAATTTTCATTATTAGGTGTATTATTTTAATTTTAATTAAAAACGCATTTTAGTGTAAACTAGATGAATAACATTATGCTTACCATCTGAGTCATTTTCGGTGATAATTCCTCAACTATTGGTTGTGTTTAACACGTAAATAAAATTATATACTACACTGTCCTATACTGTAGTACAATATAAGTAACACACTTCTTAACAATACCATAGAAGTCTATGGTTTAATAATAAACATTTTGATGATGTACAAAGTAGACGTCCTTGATTTCTCACACTTATGAAATCTTAAGTGGTAGATGGTAAGGAATCAATTCCATAATGAGTTCAGTTTATTTTTTTGCCAATGAAATCTACGAGTCAAAACAGTTGTTGCAATTTTTTTGTGGCATTTTTAGCGATTAACAAAATAATTAAGTTTGTTAAGAACTGCTTAAGCCAAAATAAGTCCTGTTTTTTTGAAGGGGCATAAGAAAATAAAACTTAATCGAAAAAACAATGCTTCAATAGGACATGTACGTTATGTGTGTCGATAAAAAATATTTATGATAATCGATAAAGATTTGTACCTGTTGGCTCCGTTTGTATAGGACAAAACAAAAACAATAATTTTTGTTACATATTATATGCTTCTTTTTTTTTTTAGGTGTTGAATAATATCAATATAATTTATTTGGTATCAAAGTACAACTTAGTGCAAATATATATTATCAATGGCTAAGGCGACGAATAAGATTTTACTGGGTTTCGTGGACGAACCGATTACTGACAATAATTCTGACGATTCATACACGATCAATAAAATTGGAGGATTGCCCGTAAGTTCATTAAGTTGTCTTTTATAATTTCGGTTATTTCATAATACATAATATTTACAGGATTCATCGAATCAGGTTACTTTGCCTGAGTGTTCTCTGTGCGGTTTTCAAACGCCTCTCTTAGCTCAGATCTACGCACCCCTTACCAATTCTAAATATCATCGAACGTTGTATATACACGCTTGTGTAAATCCTGCGTGCTGGAACAAATCCGAAAGGTAAAGGAATTTATTTTAGAAACGTGCAATGAGCCGAAAATTGCATCGATTGGCGGATCGACGGAATGTTAACATGAGTGTCCAAGATGGCATCACAGGTTGCTCAGTGGTCAGTGCAGCTGCCTAGCAAGCCGAAAGTCTGGGTTTGAATCCCAAGGCCGGGTGCTAAATTTTCGACTTGTTTCGGCGTTTCTTACATGTATTATATATATATATTAATTTTTAAAATCGGATTTATATAACAGCGGTTATACTAATTTTTAGTTGGCACTGCTTGAGAAGACAATGGGTGGCTTTGGACAGCGATGTCGAAACCAAACAAACTTCGACATTTATTGAGTGGTGCGACGATGCAGATGATTGGGGCGACACACCTATAGTCGAAGAAAATGGAAACGTCAACGGTGTAAGTCAAGCAGCAGTTGAATCATGTGCAACGGCGAGTGCGGAATTAGAAACTCCTGATGGAGATAACAATGTCGTAGTCGAGAGTATAGAAACTCCAGTCGTCGACGTTCTCCAGTTATTGGATACCAGAAAAGAAATACCGGTTGTAAGTATATTAGAATTTAGTTGTTACAATAATAACTAACATAACTTGTATATTTGTTACTCATTATTTATGAAAATGTATGTTGTTGGCCTTGTTATCCGAATTTGTTGAAAAATTGAAACTTTGTGATATTGAACGATCAATAGTGTAAACTTGTATTCAAGACATGTGCATTTGAAAAAAATGAATGTTTAATATGTAATTTACTATTTAACTATAAGCGTTTAAATAAAATTAATCGTACGCATATTTATAGGCGTTCCACAATGATGTAATGCAATTTGAGCCTTTTTACATATCGGTGGCTTTTGAAGAATCGACAGACACAAAGAAAGCATTGACGGAAAATACTTCAAATAGTATAAAAAATAGTCATATGCTTGTCGAAGACAACAATGAAGGATACGAGAAAAGTGTACCCATACACGGTGACAAATTATTTGAGTCGTTTTCTTCTGCAATAAGAAAAACTCCTGGTCAAGTATTAAGGTAAACTGTAACAAATAAATTTAGCCAAAATTAGTTGAACTTATCTAATGACTTTGATAGGTATTGTCGAGATGGAGGAAAACCATTATTTTTATACGAACAAGAGGAACCACTGAAATGTCGAAATTGCCAGGGAAAATTGAAGTTTGAACTACAAATCCTTCCGTCGTTGATTACGTATTTAAAACTTATGATCGGAAAAGACCAACACGGGAGTGGCCACTTGGAATTTGGAACTGCTTTAGTATACACTTGTGAAAAAAGCTGTTGGACAGAAACAACGGATACATTTAAATACGAAACAATTTTAGTTCAAGAAGAAAAACTCTTTTAAACCTTGTTTCAGTTTGTTCCTAGTTACTATTATAGCACTAATGAAACGTGATATTTCTATAGCATAAGTTATTGATTAAAATAGGCACTAGCGTCCTAACTTTTTTATTGTTGTTTATTTGTTGCAGTTACTTATGAAATATATAAATTATGAAAAAAAGCATAAAGTCATTTTTTTACACCGTGAGTGATTTATTATCTAAACAAATTGTTTCACAGAAAAAATAATATAGTATTTCTAGATAATAAATATTGCCAAGTGACAAGAGACGATTCTCCTAATCATTTCTTGAAACATAACCGACTGTCGGAGAAAAACATCAGCTATGCTTTTGCAATGTTGTTACACTAAACAAAGTACAAAACGACCATTCGCCTGTTTAATTTGTCATCTAGAATAATTTTACACCGAGATATTTTTATTTTATTTTAAAGAAGTCGATTAAAATTGTACTTAGTTAAAATGATGAATCGTATAACTCGAAAGTATATTTTTAGTAACAATCGCATGTTATTATATCAATTTTCTTTTTTTATTTAAATTGTTTATATTGTATTTTTTTTTTTAAACTATCATCAGGTGTTATATACCTTTTAAATACCAAGCAGATCAACAGTATTACTTTTTTTTTGTACATGTAATTGAGACTTCTGTAGTTTTTCATCTGGCAATACGTACGTTATGGTCCTGTAATCATTTAAGTCAAGTATATCGTGTAAATTATAATATTAATTACATATTTAATTAAAAACAAGTTAGTAAAAAGTGACCACATTAACCTCGAATATTGTCATTAAATATTACATCAATTGTGAAAAACAAAATAAACTGTAATATGTGATGGTTTAATAAAAAAAAACTACTATCTATCAACAGAGAGCGCTCGCTCATTGGTGTACTTAAGAGTTAAAATGTACGCTTTTAAGTTTAAATTTAAAAAAAAATTGCTTTTATCGAGCGCCATAACAAATTTAAGGACTATGGTCCTTAACGTTAAGCTTTGATGATGATCATTTGTACCTACAATTTATAGATATGTATTTATCTAAATTTAAAATATTTTCTGAAAAAGATGTTATAAAGTTAGAATTCAATGAAGAAATCTATAAAATTCGAATTGCAACGATTTTTCCGGGTCGGTATAAATTTTAAAACAATCATGTTTGTTTCATATTACTATTGAGGCATTTGCTTAGTAATATTTCATATTTAACTTAAAAATTTTAGGCATTTACATCAGGTTACTCTCGATTTTAAAAGTCCCACCTTAAACCCTAAATCTTAATCTAAAAAGAAAAAGTTTCCACCCCAAAATATATTTACACAAATACCTAATAATTTTGGTCCAAATGCTGTTTATTCAACTGTTTAGGATCCTAATTAAATTACCAAAGTAGTGTTAATTGTAGGTATTACATATGTAATTATTATTGTTGTTACTATGGTAGGTACTAGTTCAATATAGGACAGTATGTATGCAATTATTTTTATAGTAAAATTGTTGGCTAGTTCAAATAAAACATTTTTACTAAGAACATAATATATTAAGTATATTTTCTTTGTGATTAATTTGTCAAGAAAGAACTTTAGCGAGAATGTGCGGTGCTATTATTTACAAATATATAAAGATACAACAAACAGGCGATGAAAGCAAATCATCAGACGCATATACAATTGTGGCGCAGTGATTTATAACAAGGTTAGATTTTCTTTAAGCTTCTAGTATATTTCAAATAAGTAAAATTTGTAATTTTGATTTAAATGACGGTAAGAATTCTACCCTGGAAAGCGATTATCTTAACAAATGGTTAATAACTTTTTTGGACGCAACACCGTTTGGCAAATGGTTGTGGTCACTACAACATAGTAGAAACATTATTTAAATTAAAAAAATGTAAATGAAATCTTTTGTGTTCAAAAATTTGTGCGTATACCAAATTAGTTTACGATTTAACATTTGTTTTATAAAATTCCAATAAAATAAGTCTCCTGGAAAGAAGAGAGACAGTTTATGTTAGGCGGGGTTAGGGCGAGAGTTGAATTTATTATGAAGTTTAACATTACCTATTGTCAAATATTAGTTACTCGATATAATTGGTAATAGGTAACCGAAAAATGCACAGTGATTTCTCTAATTGCTTTTGATACTTATTTCTGTTTTCCTGAAGCACTATTAGAAAGATAAGTGATTTGTAATTTGTTAAATAATTATACCAACAGCGCGCGACAGAATACATAAAAAATTGCAGACGATATTCGAGTTCCAAAGACGCTCTAAAATTCTATGCTGTTTAGTTCGTTTCCAAGGAGATACTTGTTAGACGGTCAAATGTCAGCATATTCTGTGGATTTTTCGTTTTAATATAACACTGTTACCAATAAATACATTTTGTTTGATTCCTAAAAATTAATGACGTTTGGTTTTGATTTTGTGACCAAAAAAAAAAAAAAAAATTAGCTACGCGAAGAAAATCTGCCACCGACCAATAAACTTGTCTTACTTGGTGAAAGATGTGGAAGCCAATTTGCGTTGAAGAATAATTATACGGTAGTTGTTCTACGATACAATTCGAGTTCGATTGTCAGGTCGGATTTTTGTAATACTTAATATTTTTTTTCTAATTTAATAAGATCAGAAAAATTCAGAATTTTAAACGTTAGTGTCTACACAATAATTACATATATTACCCGCTTGGAAAATTGATGTATTCAAATTCTAAAAAATCGTAGATTGAAAAATATATTCTTTCACAAACATACAATTTTAGAATTTTTGTGCACAGATATTTTATAAATAAATATTTTACAACTGACGTTTTGAGTATTAACTAAAAAAATATGTCAAATCTTTTATAAAATAACGTGCAAGAAGTATGTAAATTGCACACGTCTTTTTTTTTTATTAAAAATTGAATACATTTTGTTTTTTTGACCATGCCGTGTACCTAATAAAATTTTAAACAATTGTGAATTTTTTTTTATCTGCTTAAAAACAAATCTAGGTAAAACAGCATTTTATACGAAATGTCATCTTTTAAAATCCCAAAAATCAAATACTCGCAGATTTTAGTTTTCGAGTACAGAATTGTTTTTTTTTGTAAATATATTTAATTGTTGCTATGTTTATTCTCAATATATTATATTTGTCACCTTAGTAAATCGTCTTAAAAACGGGTTGTTTATTTAGAGTTGTATTGATGTTTTGTTTGCAATTTTAAGAAAATTATTATTTTTATTTCTCAGCGATTTTGAACATGATATTAATGCTTAATAACACGGTCAAAATGATAAATTGTATTGGATTAGAAATAAACTAATTCAAACGCGATGTATTTGTTGAACAAGCAGTTAACACAAAGCTTTAAAAATAGTTGTATGGAATAATTTAGGTTAGTTTAATAAATATTAATGATATTGATAAATATTAAGATAATGTTATAGCAAGGCGATTAAATAGTGTTTTAAAAGCCATTTTAGTTGTTGTTGTAAATAATATGGTATATACCTAAATATATAATCATTTATAATACATTTTTATATTGAATTTGTATAATTTAATTATTTTTATTTTAAATGTGAGCTAAGTGAACACAAAAAAACAAATAAATGTTGCCATACTATTTTTGAATTTTGGCGGGCTCGGCAAGTCATCGGTAAAATAATTAGTCATCTTTCCGATGACTTCGGTTAGGCTCGTCTGGTCTATGGCAACGGTTGCTACGTTTTAATATTAATAAATTATAATAGTTCTCATTTTGCATAGTGCATTTTCATTTCATATTTTGTATATGAATGGTGTACATTTTTAAGTTTTTAACTTATTTCAATTTTTTTGTTTTTTTCCCAAACGGAATTATTATCGATGTCTATAAATCCTATACTATATCTTAAATTAAACTTTTATACAATTAAACTGTTTGTCACAATTGACAATGTTTCTCTATGAACATAATACATAATAGGTACTTATTAACCAAATGTATCATTTGTATTTTAAAAATTTTTTATTTCGACCGACTCAACACCGCCCCATCGCCAAATACCAGAGAAGATAAAATGCTGACTCTTCGAAATGGCATAATCGCAAAAGGAGAGCTTTAATCGTTGGTCCCTCTCAAGCCATCCAACAGTAATTTAATTAATATCATTCTATCACTTTTAATTTTTATCATTACATAATGAATTTTACAAATTTCTATAATTATATAAGTCTTATTTTAACGTAATATTGTAGAAAATATTAAATTACCAGCTACTTTCTAACGTGTTATATTATACTAATTACTGAATACTAACTTACTTTAATAAACTGTCGTCCCTTATGGCTATCTAGAAATACACACAACAGACTTAAATTAGTAATTATTAATGAGTGTTATTTTACCGCCAATTGAATATGTTGTATTATATGTTGATTGATATGTATTGGAACCAATTATGACAAATTTGATAGTATTTGTGGATAGAATATGGTTGTCAATTTGAATACAATTTCAACTAATGTTCTTAAAGTTTGTTAGAATAGAAAAAAAGGGTGTTAGATAATGTTTTAGAGTAACCCATGAGTTTTTAAAAAAAAAAAAACAATCGCTTTGGCCTATGTGGGTTTCAGTCTGTAATATCGAAACTAATAAGCTATAGAGTCTGTTCCCCGGGGTAATTGTTACAATTTAGACAAATTATTCAAGTGCAGTTAAATTTAATAAAAAGGTTCATCGGTTGTATGTATTTTTATATAAGTACTTATATTTATGTATGTATAAACTTTTACCTTTTAATTTGAAAGTACATGTTAATGTTCTAATTAATAATTTCTCAGCTTCGCATCGGAGCCAATATTTTTTGGCTTCTGCGTTAATAATTTACAATATTATAGGTGTACACAATAAATTTAAATATATTATATAAAATATACGGTCATATTACGTAATTATATGTTATTATATTATGTGTTTCCTCGTGTTAAAAACATTGAAAGGTGTATGTAATAAAATATAAAAAAATTTAAAAAAAATTTCAAAACCCTTTTATTAATATTAAAATTTGCACAACAATATTTAAAAACTTTACAATCTAAACAATTTATTTTACAGTAATAATATATAATATATTATATTATTCAGGCCCTCCAAATGATTGTTGATAGAAATTTGACATCTTCGTTCTGATTAGTGATCCTTTTTGTGCCATTCCAATACTTAGAGTCAATACTTATAATACCATACAAGTGCGCTAAGCTCTTTTCTTAGTAAATTTACTCATGTTATGCGATCACATATACACATATCGACGGAGAACTCTTCCTCACAGCTCCGTCTTCTCCAGCACCGCCAGCGCACTTAGAAGGGTGACAGACATTGGTTTCATAGAAGCCAGTCTCGGTTAGGTTGGATACTCACTTCTGGTTAAAGGCAAGTTTGATTGCCTTTAAAATGTTATATACAATCTTTGCGGGTTTGATTGGTTTTCTAAATTAAAAAAAAATCACAAAATTAATTATGTTATTTTATCTGGGTTAGGTTAGATACTTACTTCTTCTGAACTTCATCTCAATACATTTATTCATCGATGATAATATGGTACGCAATATTTCAGCTGATGTTAACGGTTTTCTAAATTAAAAAAAAAATCACAAAATTAATTATGTTAACAAAAGATGCGCCAAATTGTGCTACCAAATCGACATTAAGTACAATTGACTTCTTGGATAGCCTCAATTTAAATTATACATATCTCTGGGCTGTCTAAGGATTACACGGCACTGAGAAAACGAAAAATTGAAATCCGTCCAATAGATTTCTATGCTAACACGTACATTGAAGGTGCAACATGGTATAAATGGTAATAAATTGTCAAGTTTTAATATTACATTAGTCGGCAACACGTGGAGAATGTCTTTATTTTATTAAATATCAATTACACACATTTGGGGTTTTCTACGAGTCTATAAGACGAAGATCTTATAGGGTCATAAGTTTAATATGTTTGTTAACGGTTTTTTTTTTTAAATTGAAGTTGCTTAAATGAGTTAATAGTTGTTTAATACTATAAAGTTTACAACATAAAGTACTATTGTAAAACGCAAAAAAAGCTGGCAGTATTTGGTCAGGTATGTTGGAAATACATACCGTCCGATGCGCGCTGATTAATTTGCTCAAATAAAAACATCACAAGAGTAATTATGTTTTTTACATAAATTTTATTAGTTTATATTGTGGAATACGAATATTGTTGAAAAAAAAACAAGTGTTGTATACATCCGGTCATTTATGTTGAAAAACATACATCCGTTGTAAGCACGCAACAATTATTATTAATTACTTCCATACATTATTGGATCTTTTCGGCAATAACTAGTCATCCTAACAATATAACCACTAGAAAATTCAAAAATCGCATGTATTTTAAATGGAAAACTCTAACTGCTTACAGCAGAGCAGGACACATTTCGTCATCCACTCTTAATTCAGTCGAGCCCAAAAAGGTTGACCTATTATTATACATAATATTTTCATATCATCAGTAGAACTGTAATATACTTACTTAACTAGACATATACAATTATGCTTGAGTTATTCTTATAAATATAACTTTATTAACTGCCTTCTCTTCGTAGATATGACCCCGTAATAGTAATGGACAAACTGTCTATTACCGTAGATTAAAGTTAATTTGTATAATAATCATTATTCACTGTGTCTCCTATTATTTAATCGATGGGGCATATCATATGGGTAGTCATCGTTTTAATTTCATAATATCAAACAGAAGGATATCATATTATTATATGGGCGCTATTAATATTATTAGGAGGTTAACGTTGTTGGTAGATGTAAAATAACTAATAACTCTTCAAACCATTACACATTGTGTATAGTTTCCAAAAATAATAGCAATTATATTTCGAGTAGAAAAAACACAAAACTATTACTTACCCCTTGCTTTATAAATATAATAATTAATAACAAATGGTACTCGAAATAAAATAATTAAAAATTAACATATATATTTTTTTAGAAACTGTTTACATAGGTGTAGACGATATGAAATGTTTTTTTATAGTAAACTGTATGCTACTTCCTGATCTATCTAAGTAAAATACTACCCAGTGCTCTAGTGTATTATTTACTTATTAGATAAGACAACAATAAAACAATCGTTTAGCACACAACATAACTGGCGATTAAATTATTTTGTCAACTAGATTAAAATGATTAATAATAAATTGTAAATTAATATTAATCAAGAAGAAAATAACAACTTTTTGAAATTTATAATAAAAACAGAACAAATTTTTTTTTTTTTTGGTAATTGTATATTGTAGGTTAGTGTAGAACATAAAAGTGCATTTTTGCTGCAGGAAAATACTAAGTTATAAAATTTATTAGGACATAAAAAACCGGTCTCTGTACAGTCATAAAGTCAAAAGTCCTTATTCATAAGATAAATTTCAAGTAAAATATAGTTTTAACTTTATTTTAAATAATAGGAAACAATATAATATGTTGTATGAAAAGTACCTAATTGAGTTGTCTTCAAAAATCGCTGGTTATCTCGTATCCTCAATGCCGTCGGGCTTGTGTTCTTGAAAGCATAATAATAATAATAATAATATGAACGATGCTAATGGTAATTAACATTATATTATCGTAACGTGCATGTCATTTATAATGCCTATTATATTATTATTTGGATATATTTTGTTTTTGTGTAGGCGCGACATTCAACTTTTTGAATACATTTTTTTTTTCTACACAAAACCAATGTACTTTAATATGCTAAAAACAGTTTACACTTATACACAATACACAAGCGTTAGGAATAATGATTTTTTTCACACACTTTATTTTCTATACACAATTTATATTATATCAAGGCGCTTCTGGTCGACATAAACATATCATCACCGGTAGCACCCAATAATGTTTTTGGACGGATATCTGATAAAAACGGTCACGGCTCTCTCTCGGTACGGGAAGAGACGCGAATATAATAGTATATTATAAAATAAAAAAAAAATTACACGATATATTTATAAGACAAAAAAAAAAAATGTATAAAAATCAACGAATAAAATAAACGAAAGCCAATTTTAAAACAGCGGTACATTACTACTATAATATGAGTGTAGCCAAAACATAATTGCCGTGGTCCTATTATTTATACACTTAAACAGGACACATTTCGAATCGGATACACTTTCCCTGCGGTTCATAACGATTCTGCGGAAAAATTAGAAAATAATTGATCAAATAACGCTGTAATAAATAATCGTTGGTCGAAGTAATATAATGTCTTATTATACTTCTTGACGCAATAACTAAATTTCAGTCGGTTCGCTCGACTGAACCGTAAAATCAAATGATAATATAAATTGTTCGTGAATCAAAACTGAAACCTTACAATACTTTGTAATTCGGACAAACAGAGAGAATATCATCATAAATGTATAATTTTTAATTTAATAGACAAACAAAACGCAATATAAAAAATATAACTACATATTAACACACATTAAAAAAAAAAAAGGTTTTTATAGCTACATTTTTTTTTTTTTTTTTTTTACTTAACCGACTATAAGTTTTATGAGATAATTATTGTATAAAAATAAAAACATGGTATCGTTTTTTTATAATATTATATAGCTTAACTTAAACGCGAAAGATATTACATATAGGTGTATTGTAGGTAGGTGGTCTCTATGAATTATAATAATATATTATGGTAAATTATAGTGTGTTGGTAATTAACAAAAAAAATAACAAAAAAAACGTTACTCGTTCGATAAACCTTATTAATTACTTTAACGCACACAACACGACTCGTCGACGATAAAAAAAAAAAAAACGGATACCACGATAATACAGATTTATATATTTTATTATATTATTGGTATTGTGTATTGTGGATTATATCTTAGTGGGATTTTTTTTTTTTTTTCCCATAAAAAAAAGGAATATTAATTCGACAATTAATAATAGGATATGCATTTCTTTCGGGGGGGGGGGGGTTATCAGAACAGTCGGGGAATGAGTTTCACCGATAAGGCCATTATCGAGGACAGGAACACCGTGCTTCCGACGTCTGTGGCAGCGTTGCAATAGTCTTGGTCGCATGTGCTGCAGTGTTCGATGCGGATGTGCGCCGGTGTGTTGATGGCGCAAGGGCCGTCGTCGTTGCGGCTGTCGGCCGACCAAGCGCACGACCGCATGATGACCAATTCGCCGTTGACTGTAACCAAAAAAAAAAAAAAAAAATGATACCGTACTTAGAACCACGCTATTCTAATAACAAAATATGTATTTACTCGAACAATCTAATGACGTAATTAATAAAAATAAATGGCATATATTGGTATCAGTTTACTAAATGCCAAATAATGTAAGCCACTACTTAATATCAATAATTTTTGGGCAAACTAATTTGTACGTGGTCGGTTAGCGTAAGCCACAGCGTAACCCTACAGTAATTTTACTCGAATACATAGTTTTAGCCTCTTTACGAAAATTCATAAATTTTCATTGATTTTAATTACAACGTTTGTTCAAATTAAAAAAAAAACGTATATTTGTTGGAAATTAATATTTAAACTGCAGTTATCAATGTTTTTTTCAACGTTGTGGTTACAGTTTTCTGTCAACAAAACTTTACCACTAATTCTATCTTACCTATCACAATAAATTAAAAAAAAAAAAAATTGTTTTGTTATAGTTATAGTAGTTAAACATAAAAAATAAATCGTATGTGTTTTCGGTTTTAGTTTAAGACGCAGCTTTAACAAAATAAGACATTCATATTGACTATTTTTATGGTGTGATTTTAGACATTGGGCATTATTAAAACATAAAAATCAAATATTAATTTCAAATCATTTTCTATTTTTGTCGTTTAATAAACGATTAATGTGTGAAAAATTGAATCTGCGACCCACCCGCCCGACTCTAGTTTATTAAAAAAAAAAAAAAAATTAAAACCTAAAACTGGTACTTAAGTACTCAAAACTTAATAATAGCATCACTCTAAATAGATGTCGATTGTATTTTTTTTTTTTTTTATCACTGATGTTTAAAACGATGCGTTTTTCATTTTACCGAACAATGAGCATCGTCGGCGCTTATCGAGCTACCAGGGTCGCATGTCGATGGCGCACGTGCAAGTGATTGCCGCCGTTCAACGTCGGTGCCGCGGCGGCGGCGGCGGCCACAGAGTACAGCCACAACACCGCCGCGCCGCTGACCGCGTGTTTTCTCATACATTCCTGGTACCTTTTATACATGTTTCGTAATCGTATGGTTTTGAAACTGCACATGCCGTTGTCTAAAACTGCACATGTCGGTTTTTGTCGAAATCTTTATAAAACTTTTTTGTTTTTTTCATTATGATTAATTTCAGATACACTTTTTACGATAAAAGACGATCAATTTTTTCTTTTAACTATATCTTTTTCAATTTTGAAGCTACAAAACTGAAATTTCGTTTCGGGCTTGTTGGAAAGATGATAAAAAAAAAAAAAAGTATTTTTTATGCGGTCGCTATTCGATGGTTTGCAAGGCTCTATTTACTTTTGCAAGTAGTACATTAAATTATACTCAAACTATTTTTGAATCTATTAAAAACAAATTTAACTTTTTAGTCCATAAAATCAATATGCACATGCTATTTTAGTGTCTCGTGTAAAATTTTAGTTTTGAGGGTTCAACCATCGAAGGAATTATTAAGTTTAAAGTGTAAACAACAATCAGTTTAAACATTTTCGTAGAATATGGCAAATATAAGTGAATTATACTTTCAAGTGTGAGGCGTATACGCTATAAAGGGATGAGATTGTACAAATTTGAACTTTATAACAGTCATCCAATAAAGGAATTGATAATACTACTATAAAATAAAGCTATTGCAAAATTGTATGTAATTAATATTGTATTAATTCAAAAATTGAAAGTGTTATATTTGATGACGTTGGTCCAGTTTATACAGTGTACCTACTTTTGCCCATATTATATTCCTACTATATGCATATAGTCCCCAATGTACACAATACCGTGCGGTGTACTTTTCATGTACTGTCGTCGGTACCTAGCACACCAGAAATACCGTATATTATTTCAGAAACACGACTCACCACGGTCACACCGGTATGCATAAGGTACAAACATTATGAAACAATAAGGTTACACCTATTTATGATTTGACTATACACAAGTTTTTTGGGGGCAATGTCATAACCGTGGCTAGAATAACTGAATCACATAATATAAAAATATCTTTTGCTCGCTTGAAGGTATTATAAACACGAGGCGCGCCATTCGTGCAACACGAATCTGCCGCTCTACTGAAGTCTGGATACTAATTTATACCATTAATAGTATTACAAAATAAAGAACACACCGTAGTATAGAGTTTCAATAAAATATTTCATTAAAAAAAAAAAAACCTAAACAATTAGAACAATATACCTATATATATATATATATACAAAATAGTAGGTAAAATATACTAATCTGTGAAAAAGTGCAAAACTCTATAATCACAATTCACTTTTTCCGCAATAAAAAAATATTGACGTTCTTAAGCATATATTTTTAAATGAAAATCAGCGTGTCGCTTGTCAGACATTAGCCAATAAAATGCATTTTGTTCCATAAAAAAAGTTTACCGTCATTCAAAGAAAAACTGTTCTAAGAAAAATAATATAATCGCGGTGTACCTACAACACCTACTTTGTACCGTTTTGCCGTAGACAGTTTTTTCACTAGTCGAGTATTTTTTATTTTTCACTGTAGTTAAAAACGGTGTATTTCAAAACCAACCAAATAAATGTATGGCATATATTTTTCGTTATTATTGTTTTCAAGTAGAACAAAACACGTTAATAGAAGTTAAATACACGCGTTTTGCCGAGTCCCCTTCACAATTGGCTCTATAAATCAAATAAGGTAGACTTATTCAGTACACCGATGAACTAATTATTCCGATTTGTGTAATTAGATTCGTGGGATACTTTACTGTGGTGGGTATTTTGTGCGTGAATAATTAAAACAAACACAAAACGGTAAGGTAAGATCTATGTAGCGTGTATGATCAGACATCACCGAGCAGTTTTTTATGATATATTGATTATTTAAAATATCTTATTTCCCGGCGGCGAAGGTTATACCTATGTATAGACAGTCGTATACGCATCAGTGGATTGTCTAATGACCAAGAGGTTTCACAAATCTCGGACGAACACAAAAACAATGAAACAAAACAAACTGTGTGCCTGTATTTTTTTAGTTTCGCTAACCATATACAAGTTTACAAGTTTATAATAAGTATCGATGTCAGAGAAGTAAGATAATGCTTGATTTTGAACAAGCTAGCATAAATGCTTAAACAATTTTATTTTCTACTGCACGATTAATTAAAGGATGCTTTTTTCACTTTCCACAATCTGTGCGGCGTTATATCAGAGATTCCGGACTTGCAAAACGTTATCGCGAAGACCAAGACTTTGCCTTAAATTTAAAAATGTCAAATGCCTTAGCCTATGTTCCAATCGATTCTGTGGTAATTGCTTCGAAGCACTCTTAGAAACATATTTTTGTCAGCAAAACGAAGCAATCGTAACTCCGTTATTAGATTATTTTGAAAATACACATTTAAATGGAAATAGAAAACGGCGAACTCCTAAATTCCCAATAATATTATGGAACTGTTTTGAATGAATTGAATGAATTAGACACGCGCTCAGGTGTCGTAGATCCACACGGTGGCCGTTATGGGGTTAAAACTATTAAAAAACCTGTACCATATAGGATCAATAATTGAACGCACATTTTTTATTTTTTATTCCGTTAGCTATGTCGACACTACGAATAGTTTTATTTATTTTTTCTCGGCGAATATATAGAACGTTAAAAAAAAAGAACTTGGAGAGAGACGGCCGGTGAGATTGGGCTATCGAGTTAGTCGTTTCGGGTGAATTATTTTGAAGGGGCATGTGAATAGCCGACTCCCCCCCCCCTACTTGGCCAGTTTTATCTTTGTCGGATTTTCTTGTGCGATGCACCGCCGTGTAATCGACCGACGGTTGTGCCGCAGCCCAAGACTGGTCTGTCCGCGTCTAATCGATTTCGATGGAAACGGTGTGAAGAAAAACAAAAGGGGAAGGGAATACTATGTGCAATAACCCAACATCAAACACCACCACGGCAGACGCGCAATACAGATATAATAATAATATTATGGCATTTTTTTTTTGGGCAAATCAACACCGTCGTCGTCGTCGTCCAAGTGACTGGGCGAAATTTATCGTATCGCAATAACCCGAGAAGGAAATGGAGTTGTCGCTGGCAAATCGAAATCGGAGAAAGCGCCGCCGTGATTCCGGAGTCCCGGGAAATCCCCGGGGGGGGGGGAAGGGGGTTTACCCGCCGACAGTTTTGCACTGAAAACCCGGCCGGTGTCTCTAGCCAAGCGATCAAATGAAAACCATAATAATACCTGTATGCGTTACTTTGTTGCATATCTACAAAGTCTCATATTGATGAAATATATTGTATTATGGCAGATCTACGCCAACGGTTTTTGTCTGTCTAGACTCGGCATGGATCAGCGGCACCGTTCGATTTTCATCATCGTTAAGACACGTTGAAAAATGTGCAGTTCTCGATTTTATAAGATCCGTCTTGGTGCCAGAAAGCCAAGCTATTCTCAAATTTTAGTGTCTGGTACATATATGTATATATTCATTATTCTTATATTAATGTAAAAACTGATTTAAGCTTTGTGCGGTTACTAAGGTTTTGTACAGGTTTTGTATCATGTAGTAAAAAAAAAAAAATACCATCACAAATAAGAAAGTAGCCAGGTTTTCTGTTACGTTTCGAAATTGTTGATCTCGTCAATGAAAAATAAAAAAAAATAAACGATGGAGGTTGGACACAATGCTCGACAAACACTATTTATTATAACCGCTGTAGACAAATATACATGTAAAATGTCAAATGATCTGACCGTCACCCTGATCGTCTCCACACGTTCATAGCACCACCTCTTAGAACTAAATAAAAATGTTTTATCGTTTTATTTGTTAGAAGATGTACCTACAGCTTTGATCTCTTGTTTTTGGACCATGTCCGCTGCCCATTCCTTTCGCATATCATAACACTGCTTGCCATAAAAGCGATTCGCCGCATTAAATCTTCTCTATCACTGTAAATATTTGTACCCTATCTTCGAAAATAGCTGAACCCGACTACCGACCATATATGTGTGTGTGTGTGTGTGTGCGAGAGTCATGCTTGTTGCACTTGACGGATTTGAGTTATCAGCAGAAAGATGTGCACTAGTGGTCAGGACTCGAGTGCACTGAACAGGATTGCATAACGTCGCTCACGTACCGTGGAGCATGCTAAATCGAAAACTGTTACCCAAATACATTCGATTTAACAAATGTTATTACATCAAAACCGCTAAATCCAAACGATTTACCATGCGAAGCGCACGCACAAAAACTACTCGTCGATTTAGCGGTGTCTATATTATATAGTTTGGTAATTAATTATAATAATTAACATAGAAACACTGTAATGAACGTCCGACACGGTCTTAGATAGAGGTCCAGTCCGAAAAAATGCAGGCCTATCTTTTTCACGGTTTTCGCGATGGATATTTTTTCATAACGTTATGTGGTATACATATCATGCTAATATAATGGCCTATTTTCTATGCGCTTTTTTTTTTTTACCATAACAATGGAAATCAATTCCGATTAGTCGGTCGGATTAGAAATTTTGCATTTTAATATTATTATTATTATTATTCCCATGACGATTCTTGTAAAACACATTGAACGTATTTATATAACGTACCTATGAAACGATAAAATGTATGCACGTTTCAACCGTTAACAACGCTGTTGTGGTACACAATATCTGCTTAACTGGGAACCTAATATAATAGGTATAAATAATATTACACAAAACACGTATAATATTGTGGTTAATTGATACAAAAAATAACTAATCTGTTCTTACTGGAACAAAAAATTAGATCATGAACATGTCTTTTGGCGTTGCAGTGATCATCACAAAAAAAATGTACACACATTTTTGATAAACATTATCACGTTAACGGGCACATACAAATTGCCTCCGAAAAACTTTGAATTGCCTCCCTTTTTTATCGTAACTTTTAGGGTCATAAACTACTAGTTGCCTCCCAATGGTATCCGAATTGCCTCCGGTAACCTTTATTTCTTTCGAATAAAATGTTTTAGTTGCCTCTCAAGAATATCTGATTTTCAAAAAAATGTCTACTAACAATTTGTTTATAATAATAGTATTTTATACTGTAATATTTTTTTAACCCAACAATTAACAAAATATGACAAATTAACCACGTTTGACGGCTGTCGGCGTAAATGTTATTTGTGAGTACTGAAGAAAGCATGTCGGATCAAAATCATAAAGCTCTGTCAGATGAAGTATTAAAAAGACAAATCATGAGAAATTTTCTCAAAAGAAAAGCTACGTCGGAAATGGTAATATATGAAATTTTGCGCCCATCAAAAAAAAGGTAACTTGTATTGCGTTAAAATAAATTTTAAAAAAAAACTATTATTTTTTTGATAAATTAATTTTTTAAACTTCAACAATTGTGTCGATTGTGACAATTTTTTTTTAATTTTTAACTTATTTTGTGTGATACAAATATTGTTATGACATCATTGTTATAATGTATATATAATAATAAAATAATATTTTATTTTCTTACAACAACCGACAACACTATTGTCTATCGGTTAAACCACGACTTGGTCACCGCCGTTGTGACAAAAAAAAAAATTTTAAATATATTTTTTTGACAATCGACATACTTGATCCTGAAATTGAATGTAATAAATTATGTCAAGCATAATCTATTAAAATAAGTAAGACTGCTCCCAAGACCTAAGACCGAAATCTCTCACTGTAATAGTAATTCTTGTGTCGTTCGTTGTAAAAGTGAATTATCTCTTTGTAAATGAATTTTGAAACAACGAGCTTTTTGAAAATTAATGCGTAGCAAAAAAAAAAAAAATAGAAAACACTGAACAAATATTTGTACCTATTTTTATTTTGTTTATTACAAATCAAAGGTTATACAAATTTATAGTGACTTGTATATTGAAACCACTACATCACTTTTACAACGAACGAACCAATTTGTAATACAGTAGAGTAAAATAATAGTATGCAGATTTCGTGTAAATGAACACTCCTTATCAATTTAATCAATAGTCTGACAACTACTCGCACCTTAAATAAGTGTGCCTAATGAGTTAAAGATAAATGTCATCGTTCTCATCATCGTCACCGTCGTCTACTTAGTTATGACAAGTAAAAAAAACGCAAAATCTATACACGTAAATAATGAAACAAAACAAAAAAACTTGTCAACAATGATATTGTATCACACTGCGGATCACAGATACAATGGGTTGATAATTTACCTTATATATATATATATTATTATGTACCTCACATAAGGTATTGAATGTTAACTACGCATTATAATTAACAATATTATTACCCATAGATTGTCATCCATACAAACCGAAAACCGTTTTGGTCGTTAAACGGCGACGATACACGCCTTATACATATTGAGTATGGATAGTTTCTATACTCAATGATATTATATTAACAAGTTGTGTACAATTTAAATGGGTTTTCACGATCTGAGCGCAAAAACTGAAAAATTAGTTTTACACTTTAGGTATACCAAAATAAAAACAATCTGATGTATTTTTCATAGACAATTTTTAATTAAAATAAACCGAAGAACCAAATTAATCCGTGCTCGCGACTTCCACCAGACTTTTTGTTTATTAAGAAAAAAAAAAATACCTAAGAGTATACAAAAAACGGCAGGTCTCATGTGAATAATAACAACAATTAAAGCATAGCGTGCGGGCTGGGCACAAATTCGAATTTCCGGTATGTCTCATCTGTTGTCTTCGCAGAACCACAAAGACTGTGGACCGAAAGGTTAATAACAATTAAACGAGCAATTAAACGATGGCCATTATATTCCAATTCTCTATTGAAAGAAGAATACACCGTTGAAATGCAGTGGCGCTGCAATCGTTTTAAGACGAAAACACCGCATCTAAAGAATCACGTGTGTTGTCCGAAACGTTAAAGGATGATCGAATTAAGATCTTAATTAATTCTCCCTTTAGGGATACTATAGGTCCCCTAAAAACAAAATGTCTATAGAATTGAAAATATATAATAACAGCTAAAACAAATTATGATTATATTCCAAATGTTTTCTCATTAATACTTATTTCGACTCAATCTACCATAAACCAGACAAATTTTACTACACACGATAAAAAAAATGGAAATCAGTTAAATAAAAATCGCGTTTGATTTGATACAATCATCATTTGGTATTGGTCCTATACATTTTTTCATTACTATAAAGAATTTTTAATAAACTGACACATTATTTAAACACTTGATAAAACATTTAACACGTTAATTAATAGTACATACTTCTACACTTTATAGTAATATACCTATTACTAATTTGTTTATATTGCAATAGCAATAGCTTAGACGATAAAATTATGTGTACAAATAATACGTGTGTATTTATTATGTTAAACAAACCGACAATAAAAAATTGATTGTGTTGCTAAAATGCGTAAATTGCATAAATACAAATTTGATAAATATTTTACTCGACATAGCACACATAAAATTGGGCATATTAATAAAATATGTTTATTAAGGAAAACATATCAAAGTGGGTTGAAAAAATGGACAAATCATTTTTTACTGGGTATGTGTTATTATAGTACAATATAAACCATGTTGGCTCTTAAGAGTTATGGCCATACAACAGGTGATGACTGTTTTTTAACATCAGAACACATAGATTAATTGACCGATTACCGAGGCTAGTAATATTGACTATCACTATAGTTGCGTGATATCTCACGTATTGTTAAATGCACGCGGTTTATTATAGTATATAATATACATAATAATATATAATGTCTCGAAATGATGAGCAAATATTTTGTTTACCTCGCTGTACTTGTTTCTTGCATACAGGCTGCAAAAACGCCGAATGCGGTGCCCTGCTACAGTCTTCCAACGCTCCTCTGGACATGTTGAAAGGGTTTCCACAACGAGGATCCGTGTCGGTGGAACACACCCAACAGTTGACGGCTTGTCCTGTTTTTTGTCAACACAATGCGTTATTATGGAGCGACTTTATTTTAATTGTAGGTGCACGCGTACAAAGTGCGTGTAATCCGTTAAAATATAATAATAATAATAATAATGAAATGCAATTTTACCCGATTTCGGCAACAGCGCCAGACAGCCGAACACGGCGATTGCGATGAAAACTTGACGGCGGATCATGATGATGGATGATATGTCGTCGTCTGTGTAGTGTTCGATATATAATATACTATATAAACGCGGGTCTAAAACCGACTCGAGACGATATATCCAACAGCCGAACGGCGGCGATTTTCGAGATTTGTTTAAAAAATGATTATTATTATTATTCTTCTACACAGACACTGTGACACACTCACTGGTTGCACTCGGCGCAAGACTGATCGGTGACAGTGACAGTACACAATAGCGGAGATGGCACGAGAACCGCGGAGGAAAGCTCTTCGCCGACTCCCCACCCCACCCCACCCCCCCCTTCCGCCTTCCACTGACCCCTTTGTCCCCGTCGACGACACTGACCAGAGTCCTTCGGGGGTATACACCGGCCACAGCGGAACACGCATTTAATATAATATAGGACATGGGTGTATACGATATCGGTACGCGCTGTACCTGTGTGTTTTTGGTTTTTTTTTTTCTGCGATGTGGTCTGTTCAAAACGTCATGTACACGGCCGCAAAACCGTTTTTTAACCGGAGCAACGGTCTTGAGTAGAAGTCTGCCTGCGTCGAAAACGTCCAACGGCATTAACGGTAACCGCTTGTTGTTTGCATTGGTTTTTTTTTTTTTTTTTGCATCACCTTTTAAATTTCAAATTCGGTACAAATGAATCAACACAATACAAACGACAAAGTACAATATTAACTAGACGGCAGACGGCGGGCGTCCGGGCAAATATAGCTAGGTCGCCGGCTAAGACGGTGTACTTACATTATACATATAACATGGTCTGCACGGCACCGAGAAAGGGATGAAATATAATTGAAAATTTCAATTTGACTCTGATCGGCTTTTATACAATTTGATCACAAAATACCGTTATAATTGTTTTAACGCGCGTTGGCATACACCGTACATACAATGTACACGACGCAGCGTTTATACAGTTCCACCTCTTTTTTTTTTTTTTAACGCCTAAAATGTTTCAAAACATATGTGTTAACATTGTAATGATGGAATATAATTAAGCTAAGTAATTTGTCAGTGTGTTGACGTTAACTGTCAATTTTCAAGAGAGATTACAATACAACACGGTAGTTCGGTAAACATAATTTTTATACGCGAGCACGTATAAAAAGAGAAGTTACCTTTGCGTTAAATTTCGTTTTCAATGAAATATTTACGAGCACGTGTATTTTTTGTTTCCAGTTTCTTGCACATTATTGTATTATTATTATTATTATTTGTCTCTTTTTACGACGACGCTGTTATTTGTCCAAAGCCGATAAATACCCCTATGCCGGGGACACGTGACGAATTATCCCCGTGGTATTTAAAAGCGGTTAGGAATAATGTACATAGTGTAATAAAAATTCACCGTCTAAACGATACCCGGGTGCTTGTGCACGGTGTAAGCGTGCACTAGATAGGAATACGGGCACCGCAGCTATATGCAACCGTAGAATAACAATAATAATAATAATAATTATTGACCCTGCCCAATTGAACCCAATCGTGAATAAGCTACCGGATCCCAGAGGTGCGTCTTTTGAGTCATACATAAAAGCCGTTTAATTTCCATTAGCATTGCCCTAATTAAAAACACTCTTACGTCCAGGACTGGGCGACTAATCTGTATTATTATTATTATTTCTTTTTTACAAGAGGAAACTCGACTATACACAGAATGCGCGTTTTGACCGCTCCGTAAATGATTCCTTACAAAAACACTATTATTATGTGCATGACATAAAATAGTACAAAAATATATGCACTTTTTTAAAAATATTTCCTAGAAAAACGTTATGGCTGTTATGAAATAAATGTTTTTTTTTTTAACATTACACATCAATCTTAACAGTCGGTTATTGTCTCCAAAATGTCATCAACAAGCATTGGGGTAATGGCGTAATGTATATTAACGGGTTAATCTGATATTTAGCAACTTTCGGTAGGGTTAGATTGAAAAAAAATTACATTTATCAGTTAAAAAAAAGGGTATTAACGTTAGACTCTCGTTGTTATTACTACTTCAGAATACTTCTGGCGTTGCTAGCCGAATGGAACTGTGCGCCAAAGAGTTTCTAAACAAGTACATTACATATTATACAAATATTAATGCTTAGACCAAACGAATTACCAGAGATTAGACATAGATAAAAATATATGGAATATGCCGAGCATATTCTAGGTAGTGTATTTTTTGGTCCTCGAATTTGTACACTACAATCAACCCACAAACGTTTCAAAACTAACAGGTTCGGCTTTCATCACAAGTTGAAAAAATAACGTATGCGTTTGCTAACGCAGGAGACGTTGTGTGCATTCCAAAAACAACACTTGAGCTACTTGGCATACATATGCATAGATAATATACTAACTTGTCTTAGAATATTTTACAAAACAGAGCTTTTTACAAACATCGATTTGTTTGTTTTTTTTTTTTTTGTCTTTTAAGAAAGTCTTCGAAAAGTGTATAATATTACCACCAAACCGGCGTCTTCGGTATAATATTATATTGATTGATTCATTGTTTGAAATATTTTTCCTTCCTTCGCGGCTTTGTACTAACGTTTGCGCGACGGCGGACGTGATGATGACTAGGACGCAACAGCTGATGATCCGTGACAGAATCTTTTTTCTTTTGCTTTATTGTTTTACTGCTGTCACGTTTTCACACATTTGGAATACTATCTACTGAAGCCTAGTTTTTTCCGAACCCACCGGACGTGAGTTGTGCGTTTATTCCAACATAATACAACAAAAAAAAAAAAAACCGTCATCTGGGGCAATCTTCGCCTTGCTAACGTTTTCAGTTAATTATCCATGGTAAAAGATGATCGACGGTGTATTTCATATTTTGCAGATTATTTTTTTTTTTTTGATTTTATTCATATCAAGGCTGTAAACGAATCGCACTATTTATTATATTTCCAACGTCATTAGTCCTTTTTAATTGGAAATTTTGAAGTGAACTCAAAAGTAAAGGTGGATATCAATATCCAGGATTAAAAAAAGACAACTGCTACTGTCTATAAATAGATTGGATCGAATCCAACAATTACCTTTTACGTAAAACAAATTTGCTATAACAGTTTATTTTTAATATTAACAAATAAAAACTAACGTTGAACTTAACGTTATTTTTTCTTGCAATTCGTTTGAAAACATATGCAATTCTATTAGGACTTTAATAAGTACAAATAATACAATAACGGTCATACAGGGATTTTTTACTTTTAAAAATTGCTTTTTATTTAAAATTATTTATCACATTTTTTTTTAATGAAAGTTATTTTAGGAATTATTATAATACCTAACGGAACTTATATTTTTAAAAATTCTTAAATAATAATTGTTTTATTTGTTCCTATAGAGCCATTAAAATTTCTGTAAAAAAAAATGTATTTTTTTCTAGGATCTTTTAGGGCAGTTGAAATGAAAATTTTTAAGACATTTCCAGAACCTCAAAAGTCTTGAAAAATGACAATAATTAATAAACAAATGTCCAATTAGTAAAAAAAAAAAAATACCATACAATACTATAGTTTGAAAATCCGTTTTGTAAACATTCTGCAAAGTCACTTATAGAGTTTTACTATATTTATTATTATGTGGATAGTTTAAAATGCCAATAACAATATTATACTATAAGACATTATGAATTATCAAACATCGAGTATAATATATAAGTATATAAGACAATATTTAAAATATGTACAAAAAATAAATAAAACTCACATTAACATAGACAAATAGGTGTAATTATATTTCATTGCTGTGAAATTCAACAAAATATGAACACTTCGACGGTGTACAAATTAGGTATTAGGTACACGTCCAAAATTTTAAGTAGTCAATTTTAATGGTGACACCTTTGTGAGTTTTGAATAATCAAAGTATAATCAACGCTAAGAATGTACCTAATTTATGCTTTTGTTTTACATGAACACTCGGACGACTTAATATTTTAAATCTTTATGGTTGTCTGTATAATGTTTCCGAGGTACTGAAGTTTTCGGCCAATTAATTAATTTTGTATTCCCAAAAAAAAAAAAACAGATCTACAAGACAACAGAATACGGCCAGTAATTTCCAAAGAATTATCATTATAACTTAATTTATATTTCGAACACTATTACTATTATACTAATAATAGCATTGCTGTTATATCCATTGTTATGGCCTATGTCTACAAAAAACTATTTTTTAAGCATTTTTTTAGATGTAATATGATTATTGTAGAGCGCTTTTTTATTTTTATGACGTTGCACCTGTTGTTCACCCCGCCTTTAGGACATGACTGCACGTGTACAGACATATTTTATATTGTGTGTACAAATCTAATTTGACATAATATTTTGGGACTTAACCAGCGTAGGGCGGCATTAAACGAACCAGCCGGTATATAGTTTTGCCTTTTTTAAATAAAAAAAATATAAAATGATTATTCACGTCTCATCTAGATTCATCGACTAATAAGACAACGCGGTTTCGAGTCCTTGGTCACACTTAAATTGTTTTCTTATTGTCCTTCCGCCATTGACCACAACGCGACGTGTTCAACCTGTAAAACTACAATAATATACATAAAGGACAAACCCATTTGGTTGTTCTGGACCGAAAAATGGTCTTGTAAAAAGATCAACCAAATCACATGACATGTTTGTATATATTTATGCGTTTTTTTAACTAAATAAATTTGAATAACCTTATCGTAACAATAGCTTTAAAAAAAAAACATATATAATATATTAGTTGCTGAAATAGGTATTAAACTTTCTTTTCATAGCTGTAAAATCAAATTCTCCTGCTTCTCATCCACTGTCTAAATCATTGTCGTTATTTGATTTGGATTTACTTTCTTGAAGTTCAACGTCATCCTATAATGGAATGGTTTGTTGTTAATAGTAAAATTTTCAGTAATTTTACATCTAAATAAAGTACTGTAAAAAAATAAAATCGAATGAAACTCGAGTAGTCTCGGTCCAAAGTAAATACATTTGTAATGGCTCTTTCAAAAATTAATATTATTTCAAATGAAATCTAAATACAAAATAATTTGTTTATAATTTTTTGTTTAAATAATTAATTTATTAAAAACATTATGTCTATTTGTATTTAAATTAAAAAAATAACTTAGTTAAAATCCAAAATATCCTCCTGTTGGAGAAACTCCCAAACTGTCTATGTAAAATGTATATAAATTGAATTAATTTAACCACATTTTATTTTCAAAAAATTAAATGAGTTGATCAACAAAATGGCGTTAATGGTTTTTGGTTGTAATCGTTCCGTTCTGTCTGCGTTTTACCTGCGTTAATATCTAATTGTTTTCACGGTGATTCGGCAGATAACTTAAACACCTATTGTCGGAAAAACTGATTTTCCTAAGATTAGGAACATTACAAAAAAAAAAAGTTAAAAGAAAAGAAAATCTAAACAAATCCTATCAAATTATTTTCACACTTGACCGTACACTGTGATCACACACACAATGATCGATGGGTGGAATAAAAAGTTATGTAACTTATTACAATATCAGCAGTTTTTCCACTTCAGTTAGGTACACTAAAACATTGTAAACAGTGTATTTCGAATACAAGTAAAATACATATTTTAGTTTGTAACTGCTGTACACACTCTCGACTGTTGCACCGACGGTAATAACAAATTACCAAAATAATTATGAACTTAACATACACTTCCAAAAAAAAAAAACAAGGCCACATCACTGGGAAACAACAATAATGTTCAAGTACAACAAAGAAAATTATTAGCTGTACTCAATTTAATAACCGCGTTGTTTTTGACGAAAATCAAAAAAACAAAATTACCAAATAGGTAAACCAAAAAAATTGAACAGCCAAACAAACTGAAAGGTACTCTACTTGACACGCCATAAACACTTAAAAACTAAACACTCTGATCTGTTGTTCTATAATATATTATTATGGTAATTATATCATTGTTGTTTTTGAAAATACAGACTTTAGATGACAAAATTTATATTTTTGAAAAGTAGCCTCGACACGTTGGTAATATTTTTAACATAAATCATTTATTATTGCACGTTTTTATTGCCTGCGGTTAGGTTTCCACAAGCTCATGATTTTCCTGCTCATCGAGTCGGTTGCTTATGCAAATATTTATGCACGTTGGTTTATTTATTGCCAAATTTGAAGGCGCAAAATAGTTATCAAAAGATTGAATGTATATTCAATCTTTTGATATCGACGAGAAGACCTCTCAATCGAAAGAGATATTTTCAAAGTTATTCTCATCGAGATAGATAATAATACAATATGGCGCATAGTTATTTTACCTATTTTTGTTTAAGCTGATGTTGATAAAGTTAGACAGATTTCAAAACCTACCGTTTTCCTGTGTGATGTTGATTTCAGACATTGGATATTATTAAAATATTAATTTTTAATCAATTTTATTGAAATCAATTTTGTATTAAAATAAATGTTTAATAGTATAATATATAAAGCACAGCTCATTCGTCAGCTGTCTACAATTGTTATTATCACAATATATATATACATAGTAAAAAAGTTAAAACTATATAGTTTTTTTTTTTTTGAAATTGACAAAATTATTTTACTTTTTCAAACTTGACATTATTATTTTAATCATTTTCATTTAGTAGGATGTATTTTTAGTTACCCGGCTATATCAATATATGGATTTTTAACTTTCCAATCGATATGAATACATATAATAATATTTTATATATTATTTTAAGCGAGTAACACCGCAGACACTCTGTTTTTTAGTCGGTCATTTCCGTGTAGTAATTTTACTAGACTATTTTGATCCGTTTTTGCCGGCTGCCACCTGATTGATTTCAACTGGAAATGCTCTTCAACGCGATGCTGTTGATGGTAGAATAATTGTTAACATTGAGCATTGCAAAAGGCAATAAAGTTATTAAAATTGTATTTATTTAACGGGTTTCCTCAATAAATATTGTTCTCGTTGTTGTTATCCGTGTAATAAGCAATACAATAAAGGTTTGTTTCAGATACATGTTCAAGCTGTTATCAACAGGTAAACAACACAAAATCAAAAACACATTTTTTTGTAAACAAGAAACCAACCAAAAAAAAATACGTGTTAATGTATAAATATAATAAAGCTGCAAAAAAATCTGCAGTTGTGTGTATCCAGCAAAACAGCTCTTCCACCTTGCACCAAACATTGTTTTTTACACTTGCACCAGAATCCGAAAAACATGTAAAAAATACTTATTTGACTGTTTTGACCCGTAGACGTTTTATTTTACACGTACTCGTTTGGATTTTAATCGTCTAAAAAGTTACTATGCATTTTAAATGTGCCGTTATACTGTGCGCGTTGCATCTCTTAACGTCAGCATGGGTAAGGGTGTTCAGATATTTAATTATTTATCTCAGTTGGAATGTCTAAAAAATAAATATATACCTGTGTAGACTATATTATAACGTTGGTTTGACACAACGGCGTATAAAATATGTGTAAATCTGCCACGTCGTCGCAACACACGATTAATTGTAACTGTAACTGATTGTATTTTATTTTAGAGCTTTGGACTGAACATTAATCAACTAAATGAATTTATTGAGCTGGGCAAAAATCCCCATGTGCTTGCAATCGCACGAGTTATGCAAGAATCTTTTGGAATCGAAAAGCCCGAGGCACTTTTTCATAGCGATTCAAGTAACATAGGTAATATTGTTTAAATTGTCCATTCATTATGTTATTATCTACAGGCAATCAAAGTAGATTGTCACTAATTATTATTACTGAGGTACACATACTAAGATACATTATAGCACGTCAATGATATTCCATAAAATTGAGTGTATTACAGTGTACAATTAACATTCAACTGCTAAGTATTGTTGGAAACTTTTATACAGGGTGATTCATTTCGGGCGAGGCACTCATTTTATCATTTTAATATGAATATTTTGAAAAATATTTATTCTCAATAGTCTATATATGCAGTATACACGTATTTTACTATACCTATCAATACTTAGACAATTTTTTTCTCCATTATGAAAACTAACAACTTTTGTAGGAAACAATTTTCGGTAAAATCGCATAATTTGCCAGTTAAGTCTGTTAAACTATTTTCGGTTTTGTTATTTTATTTTGATGCATATCTTGTTTTATTATGTTATGTATATCTGTGTACGCGTGAAGTATATCACCAATATGTGTTATCAATACTCAAACTTTAGTCAGTAAAAACCACCGTTACAATTTTTTATAATAATACCAACACATATTATTATACTATTAAAGCCTGTGGTCAATACATTTTGTATTATTCAGTTAGAATTCAGAAATATAAACAAGTTCAAAACGATACGATACAGATGTAACTGGCTATTGCTATTAATTAGCTATTTATATAATATAATATACCGAATTAAATTTTTAAATGTTCAAATTTTTGCCCATTCGATGATGAAATACAAAATTCTACCTCTTTAAAAGTTACATTTTTTTTTTTTTGCGAATTTCACGATTATCCATAACGGATCACTCTGAAACGAATTGTGTACTCAATCAATTTATATAGATGGGGCCGATTCTGTGGATTTGAAGAACCTACTGTTGGCGTTGTCGTATAACGATGAGAACAGACACGAATGCTTCAAGGTAAATTCGGTGTGAAATATCTTTTTAAAACTAAAAACAAAAAAAATCTACATCAACTGTAATTTTAAATATCATAACATTCTAAATGAATTGATTTTGTGTGTACATTGGGTCTTAGACTGAAATGCTCACGCCTTTGGAAGTGGAGTTTTTCCTCAACGTGTTCGTGGAACACGCAAACGATTCTGACCAAGATGGATGTCTTGGTCTTGAACAGCTGCGAGGTGTATTGAAAGAATTAAAATTAAACGATAGGGATATCGGAAGAGTAGTCGGCAAACTTCAAGCTAAAAAAAAAACGGGTAAAAAAACGTATGCCGGTACTTTAAGGCGTCGATAATTTTAATTTTCAATTCAATTTTAGACGAATTTGCTGTTAAAGAAGCGGATTTCTTATGGACATTAATGGAAATTAAACCAAAAGTAAGTAAATTATATTATGGGCGAAAAAATGGAAAAAAAAATAATCTCTAGCGGATTAATAATAAGAGAATAATGCTAAACAAAAAATGTTTTCAAAAAAACCAAATTCCTTGTTTTCTACATAATATGCGAATTTCCATAATAATATTAACAGTGTACTATATATATATTTCTACCGGTGAGAATGTTCATCTTTAAGTTGTCGCTTTCTCATATGAATACTTATACATATTATAGGGTAATGGTCTAAGTCTAGAGCAAATAGAAGAGTTGAATGATGTGTACAATGGTCCCAAAACCGATACCGGTGGTATTGAACCCGAGGAAATTCAAAAAATCTTCATAGAGTTCAATATGGCCGACCCGAAACATGAATCGAAAATGCTTTTCAAATCCAACCGTGAGAATATAATATTATGTTAACATTACGATGAATCCGGATTTTACGACGGAACCCTTCAACTAAATTACCATAAGTTTTATGTTTCTAGTGAACATATTAATTCTGTAAATCTATATATTAACAGTCGTACACGATACGAACAAAATAAAGCGAGTTATTTTCAGTCTGCTTAAAAATGTACAGATGAAAAAACATTTTTAAATCGCTTTCGAGGATGCTGTGATAGTCCGAAAAATAAATTAACTATCGAAATAGAGCCCTAGTTATTGAACTAATAATTACACATCACAGTTCAACCTTTAAATTAAGATTTTATTTTAAAAATAGCCTATACTTTACTCCTTAAAAATGGGAGATGCGACGCCCTCTGAAACAGAATATAACAAAGCGTGGTCGAATAAAAAATTATTTTACTTATAGAGGAATTGATTTATTTGTTAATTAAAGCAAAAATTGAAAAAAAAAACTAAATACACAGAATACTGGATGATTCATTTAAGGCGCTACACTAGTTTTCTCTTAAAATACTAATAAATTTGTAGTTTTTATTTTTTTACAATATTAGGCAATATTCAAATTTGTATTCTTTTTCTAGAAGTCTATCGACTTTTAAACCTTAACTGGCTAATTAAATTAAATAAATTAATAATTTAATGAAAATTTGACTGGTCGATAACTAGTTACGGATAATTATTTTTTAAGACTTAGAACGGGAGTAAACACAACCGTGGTAACCCAGGTAACAATCATTGTGATAACCTAAGTAACCACAACCGTAGGTAACCACTACTGTGGAAACTACGGTAACCATTACCACCGTTGTTATGTTAACTTTGGTAGATAGTAAATTGTAACCATTGGTAACTTTGGTAAATGTATTGAAAATTTAGCCGTACGCGTGTACGATTAAATCTACGGATTTCTAACGAAAACTCCCAAGTCCGGTTTTCGGAGTTTAAAACTCCGGTTTTTTGAACTTCGCAAAATCCGGATTTTCCCGGATGTCTATTGTTAATGCACATTCGAAATAACGCTAATATATTTAAAAAAACCTGCACAGGTGTCGCCGAGAAAGAGCTGATGGAGTTGGCGTTGCTTACGGCGGAACGCGGTAGGAAGGTACGGTTAACCGGTCTTGCCGGTCTGGACAATTTGTTTTTACTTTGAAAATTCTTCAGGTACACGTTGAAGACAGCGAGGAAGACACGGAAGGAAAGTTCATGGACCCGCCTTTAGTCCGGACTTTCTTGAGCGATTTCGTCAGCTATGACTTGAATAATGATGGTTTCGTTTCCAAGCAAGAGTTGTCTACTTGGTCGGAACTCTTGAAATCTATTTCGCATCCCATGCCAGATTCCGGATATCCTCAGAACGACGACGGTAATATGTTTCTCCGATAATTTGTACAGGATGTACAGTAAAGTTCTACCGAATTTCAGATTTTATATTAAATTATAAATTATCTATTGTACCCATAGAGCATCCCGGCATGTTCTCATTTGAAGCTCGGTAGAACTCAACTAACACCCTCTGCGTGTTAACCGCAATAATTATATTGACCGCGGCTCATTAAAATGCAATTTTTTTTTTTTTGTTTAGATAAAATAAACTTTGCGGAATTCTTGAAAATGATGTTTTTATACTATAAAAAATTAGAAGAGGAAACTGAGCCAATCACTGTTGACGCTGATAGTGATGACGACTGACACGGTATTGTATTCATTTTATCTTGTGCATCTCACAATAATAGTAATTATATTAATTGAAATTTCAAAATAAGGAGTACCGCCGCTCCTTTATGTCGAATATAATTCGAATTTTTTTTTTTGACATGAAACTTGTAGTAATATATAATAACAGTTGAAATATTTCTGTAGTAAACGTTTTATTATTTCAATCACAAACCCATTATACACTGTTAACACGTTTAACCACACAGACATGAGTGTGTAAGCTCTTCTAAGCAGTTTTACTCATAATATACAATTTATAAATCATACATTGAACGCTATCGAAGACATTAGGCGTTATATAATATATTATTATAACGGCTTCTGTGGATTTTTTTTTTTTTGATATGTACCTTCTCCAGAGTAGCATACTTTCAGACAAGTAATCTTTATTTTCTATAATTTTTCTTTTCTTTCTCTCGAAGAAGTTTACACGGCGCGCTAAACAAGTAAACATTACCGTTTTGAAACAAAATTGTTAAGACATATTGTTTTTGGACACCGTTAGTCTCATTATAATAACATCACGGTCGGTCGTTGTATCTATTCAAGTACATTATTTACATAGGTATTGTCTTATTGGGATGTTCCGCCCACGACAAGGTGTACGACCGAAATTTTCAACGTTAATTGACAGGCCAGTCAAAGTGTTATAATTTATGCATACCCATTAGCTTGGACATGTTCAACACCACAAATTTTGCCATGTAGTAGTTATCGTTATGTTTATTAAATTCTAATATATGTTTTTTTTTAATATTGTTCATACTCGACGTCAATCAAACGGCGCTGAAAATACATAAAAAAACAAAAGTATGTTTCATAATAATTTTTATTAGAGTGCAACAAACGTAGAGAATTTTATTAAAATAAAAAAAAATTAAAATATATATTTAGTAACTATTAAACAAACGAAGTATAATGAAAACTCAACAGCGCGCTTTTTCGTTTTCTCATAAATTTACAACAAAAAAAAATTCTCATAAATTTTATCAGTTGAAATAAAAAAAAAACAAAAAACTTATAATAACAACAGTTGTGCTAAAAAAAAAAAAAATTGATTTTCCCAACTATAAACAGGCGAGCGGATTGCAATTTAATGGTAATGTGGACATAATATATTATATCTGTTTAGTAGCAGAAACACATAAGTGTTGATTAACAATATCGTGCGAGTGTACTTAAGACTTTTTTCGATTTTGACATTTTGTGCACAAATTGTTTGTTTTTTTTTACAAAATACTCGAATGTATATATATATATACACATATATAATATCAATTATTGTTTAATATATTTTCATGTGTATTACATACATGCTTGCGCACACTCAGTATAAATCATTATAATTATAACATACCGTATAGTAATATAATATATTGAAATAAAAACAGAGTACTTAAGGAAGAACATAATAACTTAACAAAAACAAAAACATAGGATCAGGTACTAAACGTAGATTGTATATATAGGTATATAGGTATTGTGTGTGTGTTTTTTTTTTTTGTTTTCTTTGGGGGAACTTTTTTTTTCTCTCTCGAAAAACCACCCTTCAACGGAGTCCGTAAAACAAACATGTGGCCGCGGTGGTGAAAATCATGGCCACGGTGGACGGCGATTGCACAGACTCGGCGCCGTTACAGTAGTCGCCGTCGCAAGTGTCGCAGAACTTGAGCGTTTTGATCTCGTCGTCGATTCTTTGCATGCTCCTGCACAAGTCCGCCTTGTGGTACACGCATCCCCGGGCCACCCTGACCCTGTTCTCGCCGCCTAACGCAACGCAATAAGATATATATATATATATGTATAAAAATGTTCAGGATCGCGGTCGGTGTACTATTGTACACTGTACTTACTTTTCAATACGATTTTGGCGCAGCCCACCGAATCCTCGTTGATGTTGGGCAAGTTGAAGTTGTTGTTGCTGTTTTGATTGTTGAAGTTGAAGCCCACCTGGTTGGCGAAGTTCTGCAGGGCGTTGTTGGCCGTGTTGACGGCGTTGCCCAGGCCCTTGTTGAAATCGTTGATCGTTCTAGTGTTGCACTCTTCCAGTATGGAGTCGTGCTTCACAAAAGGATCGTCGCAGTTCTTGCTCCACCAACTGCAAGTGTAGCATTTCAAACCCGAGCCTGAAACGTCAAGCATTGTCAATGTTGTGTGTCGCTTGGAAAAAAATAATAACCTAAAGGGGCCTGGTTTGGTTATAAGGGTACACGGGATTTTTTGATTTTTTTTTTGAAAATGCCATTATAGCTGTGTTTTTTTTTTTGATCGGTTCTAATTAAAAAACCCATTAAATCACGTTGATATTATAAATCACCTGTCAATATGTTAATTTCATCCTTTTGCCTATTAAAATAACAGTTATTTATTTATACAGTTAATATTGATTTTATAAAAAGCTCATAAAATTACACAAAAAATATGATAGCTCGACGATTGTACAATATTACATTATAATATACGGTAACAAACACTGATAATTTTAATGAATAGACTATTTTTAGCATGTGTGTCATACGCTCTTCACAACCCCCGTCTATCTCTTGTACACATTGGTAAGTATATTTTAATATAATTTCAACGATAAAATACTAAGTCCTATTGTTATCAATTGGCCGTTGACTAATAGTAAGTAGTGTAAACACAATAATATGTAAATCTCTATGAAAGTTTGTATTTTGTCACATTTTTAAAAATTTCAAACACAATACGAGAAACAACGCTAATTGTTATTGTTATTATTATTATTATTATTATTCATTTAAGCTGTTGTTTCGCATCCAAGGACATGCCGAAAATTAACAATAATATATAATCTCGCCGAGCAAACGTCATTCGACAATAATAATTATAATTTGTTTTTCAAAGGTAAATTTTTTACGACACGTGCAATTTCATTACCGAACGTTTTTGTTATGTATTTTTGGGCGTGAGTGAGTGTAAAATTGTGCGTTTTTTTTTCACTTTTTATGAACGTTTACTGTTACTCATGAAAAATAACGTCCTCGACACACCGCATACTGAGACAATATAATAATTAATAACGTACCTACTACATACAAAATAATACGTTTCAGTTTATTACACCCTAGTTGCGCCCATATATATATATATCACTCACTCACACTTATGTTTAATACTGCCATTGCTACAACGGCGACGAAATCCAAATTAATTACTGCTCCAATGTTCTCTTGTTCGGTTTGACTGAATGTATAACAACAGTAGTAAAACAACATTTTTACATTTTCGTATAGCGCTTAAAATAATATTATTAATACGAGTGGCGTGTACCAAAAAAAAAAAAAACAACTTTAATAAAAACACACAATTTGCACGTGAAATTCTCCAAACAGCCATAAATTTTTATTACTTCTTTAGGTACGACTATTTGACGTTTCGAAACAGAACTGGGCAAAATCTAATGAAAATATATATAGATAATTCTTCAATTCTTTCGCTATACAAAACCAATTAGACCCGTACACGTGCACACTTCATTCGAAAACAATAATTCCAGTGAAATTGCACAGCGACCGTAATATGTATACCTATACCGTCGTGTACGCAAGCGTTTCTAAACGCATTTAATATTATCACTAAAAATTAAAACCTACAACAATGCAATAATCGGTGGGTTAACAAATTAAGTCGGGTCGTGCGTTCCGACACAGTGTTAATATTACAAAAAAAAACCGTTATTGGAACGCCGTGGGTACCGTGTTGTAATTACCAAGACGGTAATACGGATTATGGCGGTATTTAATTTTGATTTTAATTTTTCATCACACAAAAATAGGTCAGAACACCGTGAAAATCGCCGTAACCGACCATAGCCTTCCGCAAGACCTTGTCAACTGTGCCCACTCGTCACGGGTCCAATTACAAAACAAAACAAAACAACAACAACAACATAACCTGCAGATTATCAATATTGGTATACTCTTTATGCGGTGGGTACCTGATATATTATAATATTATATGCAGTCACGGTCCGTGGCTGGATCGCTCGGCGTGCAAGTCTGTGGATCTGTTATCTGTTATCGATCATCATTAATCATTAACCCGCCGGCGGCCTATATTGTTGCAATTGATTTTAGACACTAGCGTGTACAATGATAACATGCAGATCCCGCTATAGATAACTATATGTCGTAACTCTGCTGTGCATTCGTCCAAACTCAACGCAGAGCTGTTGTTTTGTTTTAACAAAGTAATAGAGATTAAGTTTCTAGATACCCGGAGAAAACCACAGCGAGAATCCAGTACGAATACGCACATTTGCCCAAGAACAAAATTATTTAGGTAAAAAAACGGCAAAGAAAAATCGTCAAAATGTATTGTCAAAATACATTCAACGCGAGAATATGACAACATTAATGTGTTAAATATAAGATACCTTCTACGCCGTAAGATATTGTCGGTGAAAGTCAAAAAAACAACCTGCACCTCACGCCGTTAGTCTGGTCGGTGTACACAATAATAATAAAATATACTCCGTCAGGTCACAACGTAACTGTACATAACACATGTATGTACACTATAATATTATAATTGCCATAATAATATTTAAACATATTTACACGCTGGATTTGGATAAAAAAAAAAAAAAATTGGCAGTCCAAAGAATAATCATTCGGCGCGATAAAAAAATTGTTGTACATTAAATTCGAAAATTGACAGATACGATCAATTTGGGAATAGTTAATTTAAAAAAAAAAAAATATATATACATATACCTATTACAGTGCATTTGCACTAGTATTAATTAATTAATTTTCGTTGTACTCACTGTATCCGAAAACTGCGACGAGGCACACCAACAGCGTTGTCGCTCTCATATTTTTCGCTTTGGGTGGGTGTTTTTTTTTGTGTGTGTGTGTACTTAAAGACACGAGATTTGAGAGTGTAAAAAAAAACACAAAAAAGCAAAGTATAAAATATATATATATATATATCCACAACAAACTGCGGTGTGCGGCAACGACGGTGTCGACGGGTGGACGTCTGTAGCGGTTCTGGCCGAGTTCTGTGCCTGACTATAGTATACCTACTACATCATAGTACACAGCTGCTGCTGCTCTGCTGGCCTTGGGCTTGTCCGCATTAAAAAAAAAAAACATAATACTCGAGAGTTGCGTTTTCACGGAGATTTTTTTTCAGGTTCCTCAAGTATAATGAATAAAACTAAAACATTAAATTTAAAAAAAAAAAAAAACCGTCTATCAATACACGGTGTACACGTACAAATTCGCGCGTTAATGACGTTTAATAAACTCGACACAATATTGTCCGTATAATACATATGTAAAATACATCATACAACTTCATCAGAGTATAATATAATACTTACCTGTGTGTGTGTGTATGTACAATACGTTTGGGACAATGCGGACACGGATTGTCTAAGGACTAAGGAATTAAGTGAACACTACTATTAACTCGGCAGAGGAGACCTTGCTCGATAATAACGGCAAAAAAATGAATATATACATATTATATATTTGCACCGGACAATAAAATACATATATATTTGTTGGTTGTTTTTTATTTTTAATGTTTTTTTTTCCCAAGTTTTTTCCTCGATTAACCGTCAGAGGATGTGTTTGTAGGAAGTCAACACGATTGTGAATTTTCCAAGGACTGCGAAATAAACAGTGTAAACCAAAAAACGGTGAGAAATTACAAAAAAAAAAATAATTTGTTTTTTATAAAAAAAAAATATGTATATATTCTATTATTGTAATATTACTTACCAAGCCTGAAGGTTATAGCAGCTACATTTTTAAATAAAACTTGGAACCCGCCAAAGTCGTCCGCTAACTGCGCGGAATAATTACCTATTAGCATTGTTATAAAAAAAATCGTCTAAAATAAAATTTTAAAAGTAACAGAGATCAAATTTTAATTTCTAATACAACTTTTACTATTTCAAATTAGCCGAAATCGAACGATCTGGCAAACTTGTTTGAGTAAATAGTACAATTTTTATTTTTTTAACCGTTTCTTGTTTTTTTAGAACTTTTGTGATCTAAGTTTCCGCACAACGGTTGATTGATTAGAACGTCATATTTATCATTTACAGTTGTAGATTACAATATATAGTTAACACTGTACAGTTTTAGTTAAACTTATTCAGGCTAATTTATTTTAATGATGATACAAAATAAAGGAATACATCACAAATACATAGGTACATTTTTCTTTTCTTTATTGATTTATTAATGCATGTTTGCATATTTTATCTCCAACGTTTTTTTAGAAATTACTATTCCAATAAGACTTGTTAGAATTTTTTTTTCTTTTTTGTCACTTTTATGAACAATATATATATATAGTAGTGCTACACAACTACATAAGTAGTTAAAATTCAAATGGCCGTAAACAACAATTATAGTAGGTAATTACAATTATTCCAAGGCAAAAAATGATATACATAATTAGTTCTAGCACAATGAGTGGAAATCGTTTGTATTCCGAGGACACGATGAAATAATTGTATCGTTATACCGCAGGGTGGCATCACGGTTTAACAGTGACTGACGATTAATGATTGTAAATAATAGTTACGGTAACGATTTTTGGATAAATCAAAACAATATTGGAAAAAAAAAACAGCCAGAACGAAAAAAAACGTTGAACATTTTTGTCGACATTTGCGGCAAGACGCAATATAATTATTATTGTTTCGGATACTCGTGTGTTCGAGTATGAAAAACCCCAAAGTAATGTGTCCCAATTTGGGAAATTTGGGAAATTTTATGAAATTTGTGTGGCCACTATTTGAAACAACGCAGTAGCTATATTGCCTATTCAAACGCACTGTGTGTACCCGCAATAGGTGTTTTTGTGTAATATATAATTAATATTGTTGAATGTTACAATAATGTAAAATAAAAACGTTTGGCCAATTAAAAAGATATAAATCAAAGAAGAACGTGGGGCGTTATTGTTATATTTTTTCGCGATTAAAACATTAACGTTATTCCTTATGACGTACGTAGTTCTTATATACTTGTAATTTTACCAAAAAAAAAAAAATAATAACAATATTAATTACACTCGGTACAATAAATAAAAAAAATGTGTACAACTACTTAAATTTTCCATACATTCATCGCAAAGTCTAACTATTGACTTAAAGTGAACAAAAAAAAAAAAACGTTTCATACTAAGATTAGACCTGGGAAAAACGGTTGCTTAAAACTGCAGAAGATGTTACTATATTGTAATCGTCTAATTCGCTGTCTTTTTCATAAATATTATAACTACATCATAAGCGAATAATGTAAAATGAGTTCCAGATAATATGCTGCTGATCTGTACGTTGTTTGAGGGTATTCTGCGATGTTCCTACTGGAATACACGGATATGAGTGACGACAATCAATTTCTTATTATTAACACATGATACTTGGGCCATCAAACCAAGGCCTAGTGTGCTAAAACCAAAAAAAAAACGCCGTGTAAGCCACGTTATGTACGCATAAGATCAAACAATCTATAAAATTTACATTTGCAAGCAGCTGTGGGTATTGTATACCCACAACGTTATTATGCGTGTACACCGATTAGGAAAAATAAATCAACAGAGCGTTTTTTATGGATTATAAATCATTTATTTACGGACAACACACAAACGCTTTAGCACGACGTTTAGGTCATCCTTTTACAGGCAAATTTTGCGGTTTTTAGACGACCACGTGTACAACAACAACAACGACGGTTAATAGACATGATAAATAAATTAATACCTTATATAATTAAATTAAAAAAAAAAAAAAAACTGTCGTTTTTTACCCGACGACTTCGCGGAACAGTTTTATTCGTTTTCCGGCGTACCTAATAATGTACACGTTGTACGCGTGGTCGCACGTTCGTTACGGTTGAAGTGTTTAACGGTAAATTATCTTATATTTATATATATATATATTTGTTTTTTTTAAAGCTCATTACAACATTGAAACGACCAGCAAGACTGCTGCGGACAGAGCCGAGGCGAACATCACATTCATCCCGGCCTTGCCGGCCGCGTTACAGAAATCCGTCGAACAAGTGCACACGTCCTGCTTGCCGCCGAAACCAGATCTATGGTAACACTTGTCTTTGTAGTTGGAATCGTCCCAGCCGCAGGTCCTGATGATGCGGTTCTTGTCGGCTTTCACTAGAACGACACACGTATCATTGTGAAAATCTCTTTAAGAACATTTTTTTTTTTTCTTTTGAACATTTCTCTTAAGGTTTAAAAAGTTAAAAAATTAATCATAGGTAAACTACCGGCGCGACGGCGCGTTCAAAATGTATATGTTTGTTATTTTAAACAAAGTAAATTAATTTTGTTGAAACACACAGGATTCCGATTTTAAGGTATAATGTAATATATCAAATATGTATTATTTGTATGCAATACGCATAAAACTAAAAAAAAACGTGCCCAAGGGAGTAAACTCTGTAGTCTGTCTCTAGAACTATATTGTTTATTTCTAAAGAGTAAATATCCAATTAAACAATCGACTCTAATTAAAAATAAAAAAAAAAATTGAATTGGTAAGTATTTAGTAAATATAGGTAATATATTTTTTGAAATTTCTACCTAATCATATAATATATATATACTATTAGTATACTACTAAATTTTGTTTAAAACGTTCTAAATAAATATAAAAAAAACAATGTTTTTAACACGTAGTTTTTAAATTATATTAAAAACAGTTTAAACATTTTTTTTTTTTGTATTTTTTTTTTAAAAAAACTGTTTATTTTGCCACTCTGCCGCACCCCACCCTCTTTAAGCCATTGTTGGCCAAATGTCATATTATTATCACATTCATATAGTGTGTCGCAACTGTGCACACATATTATGCACTTGGGGGGCTGTTAGCGCGTGCCCCGCCACAACGTCACGGTTAGGTTTAAATGTCAATGCACTCTCATTCGCCTTTCATGTTCAAAAAAAAAAATAACGTTCAGACTCATATATTGTAAACGGGTTTCGACAAAAACAATGTGTTTTTTTTTTTTACTTTTAAAAAATACTACTATTACCCAACCGTACGTACCTACAATGTACCGACTTGTGTTGTAAAAAAAAAATAAATAGGTATAGTTTTTACTTGGCCTCTCTAGAAAATCTACCGAGTTCGGAGGCAATTTGAAAAATACCTAAATGTGCTAGCAAAAAAAAAAAAAAATAATAAAGCCCTAATAAAATATATCAAGTATTTATCATGTAGCTCAACATGCCTTATAGGCCTAACGATGCCATCGCGGTGTGATTAATACTGAACGAATTCGGTACATTTAGAAATAATAACTTAAAAAAGCTTAACTATTGATTTTCCTTTGGTCGGCGAACACATAAACCGAGTAAACGAAATTAGTCGCGTTTTGCGATTGAATATCCCCAAAAATGTTATCTAATTTGTTTTAACGATAATATTATACATGTTTCGAAAGCTTTGCTAATTATTATTATAGACTATAACCATTACCCGAGCGAAGAGAAAAGTTATTGCGGTGTAAACACAATATCACCTGGTTTTTTTTTTAAAGCCAACTGTTGTAAAAACAAAGCCTAATGGCCAGTCGTTGTTGACTGATTTGATCAATGTTAGGATTTTACATTTTTTTTTAAAACATTTTTTGGCTAGCTCTCAAACGGACGGCGACCGTTGTGTGGCGAATGTGTGTTGCTGCAGTCTAAATTTAAAATTACACTCCAAACGTCGGATGAAAAGCAAGCAAATTATTTTTCATCTAGTCGCGTTCATAATCCCAAAGTCGAATGTCAAACTAAAAAAAACCAATCGGATATTTTCAATATATTCCCTAGACATATGAACCGTACAGCGTTCATGGTATTGTTTCAACTTTACAGTTTACGACACATCGATAAGTGAACATTTTTTTATTGTTATTTTTTTTTTTTTTTTGGCTACATTCTGACCCATTTATGAGTGTAGGACGCGTTCTCGACGGTATTGTATGTTTGAATTATAAAATTGTCTGCCTGGATGTTTATTTAAATAATTGCCAAACGAGCTCGACCAATAAATAACAATCTGATCTCCCCTTCTGAAAATTGAACACCGGTTTTTATTAGACAACATGATCATTCGCTTACATCCGTTGACCTCTTTTTCAATTGTCTGTATGGTCTTCCTGCACAGAGTGTAGTTTTTAGTTTCATCCTCTGGCACGCCGTAGTTGAGTTTCGAACACTCGGTTTTCAGATATTCCGGAAGGGCTTCTTGGGCACAGGCCGTGTCGTTGTGACTGTTGCACACAAAACATTGTATGCTTTCCACTGTAAACAACACAAAATGCAAAACAAAAAAATATACCATTTATCAAAAGTCGGTTAGCGAGCAATAAGTCTTCTTATCGTTTCTCTGTATTGTGCTTGCAATTTTTTTATTTCGTTACCTTGAAAAATTCAATTTTTTTTTGAACCTAATCATTTTTTTTTTCCCAATGCGATTTAGTATTGTCATGGTAAATGATGTCTGAGAACGAATAAATCCTAGACAAATGTTTAACATTGCCACAAATGTCTGTGTAATGATGTACTATGAAATGGCATTTTTTATTTCAGTTGTTTCAAATTCATAAAATTATTTTTGTTTACTGTTAGTCGATTAATCTTTTTCAAATACAGTTTAAAAAAATTAAAAACCTTTCACACGCTCGCCCTCGTTACACATAATTTCTCAGCTTTATATAAATATTATACAATATACATGATCGATATAATATTGTTATGTCGTAGAATAATATGAGAGAAGAGCTGTTAGACTTTTACCGTGTAATTTACAGGTTTTCGGTTACTAAACTTGATTTTGACCTGTTTAGAGTTTTTTTTCCCCGGATCAAGAGTCTAAATAATTAGTTTGAAGGTAGATCGAGTTTGTGGCTACAATGTGCAGGTATATCGCACATGAAAATTATACCGTTGTAACATAAATTGGTAGAAACATATGTTTTGTAAAAGTAATGTTTTTGTTTCAAAAATTGTTCTCAAAAAAAAAAAAAGAAAGTATTTCAAAGAACTTTTTAATTTATTAGGCATACCAGTGTTTTTTTTTTTCACAAACTAGAAACTTTTTTTCACTAGTACTTTTTGACACATTTCCACAACTATTTCGAACCCTGATTTCAATTTCCATCAAGTGTACAACACGATGAACCATTATTGACAAACAAACAGAGACTCGACACACCGATCACGTGCTTGCTGCCACCAGTTTTTTGGTGGACGGCCAATATGCGGTGTGGACCGTGCATGGGGCTCAAATAAATATATTTATTATTTCAATTTTGCATATTTTTTATTCTACTGACAAATTTTCGAAGAGGGTTTCAATCGAACGAATGAATGTACCTTTTTTCGCTAATTTACGGACATTCACGTGGGAATACTACATTAGAGGTGTTTTAGAAAAACCAAGAAAACCCCAAGGGTGGGTGGGTGGGTGGGGGGGGGCGGCGGTCACTTGCACTCGTGCACTTACCGGTGTGTACGTTGGACACGACGATGGCGACCAGCGCAACGGCATAGCAGCAGACGGCGGCGGCGGCGGCGGTAGACGTGAACATGGTACGACGGTGTGTGGCGTGGTCGGTGGCGAACGACGGCGGCTGCGGCACGACTCGGTCACCGGGACGGCGGCGAATCTATACGCGGGACGCGGCGAGCGCGCAAAGGCCCCGGATCCGGAAAACCAATTAGGCCAATTGGCCGATGCCGTCCGGCCCCTCCTCGGCAAACCGTAAACGTGTATATATATATATATATATACACACACAAGCGTATATTTTGCGCTATTATTATGATTGCGTTTATCCTGTGGGTTCTACCGCGGGTCCCCCTTTGGCCGCATTCGCCCACGACAAACAATATAGTACATTCAATTCGTAACAGTCACACCGTGTCGTTTTTTTACAGATATATATATATATATATATATATATATATATATATATTAGAATCGAGGACGCGAACCGTGTGATGCGACGGCGAGGAACGCAAACGACGCTTTTGGCCGCGGGGGGGAAGTGTGGACGGTTTTTTTTCCGCTAGACCCTAATACAATATGTGGAAGGCAGAGGGGGGGGGCTAAGACCCTGAAATTAAATTCTATTCGTGTCCGTCATGGAAGATCTGGCACGCGCGTACACGGTCCGAGGGAATGGGCGAATTTCGCTTGTGTACGGTATTTTTTATAACAAATACACACGGGAGGGCACCTTAAATCTAAACACGACCAAGCCGTCGTACAAAATTCCCCCAATTTTAGCTTCTTATTCGCAAAGCTGATGATGCACGTTGACGGTTATTGACGGTAAAAAGATGCCTGGAAGTTTCTGAAAATAAAAGCACCGTTTTATTTGGAGAACATTCGACAGCAGTTCTCGAGTACATTAAAAAAAAAACAGTCTCGCAGAAACTTTTATTGATAAATTAAAAAAAAAAAAAGAAACCAGTTTTATTAATAATATCTAAAAAAAAAGTATTTTATTACACGTGTTTTTTTTTTTTGTGAAAATACAAATTTCTTAGTGTTAGTATAGACAACGTTTATTAATACAAATTCTATCCGGAATTTCATATTATTCTCAAACATAATTACTGAAAAAAAAATATTCCGCTAGCGTCTATTTTTTCAAATAAACGAGTTTAAAAAAACTTAATACAGTACACTTTTTTATAAATTGCGCATACATAAGAAATAACTATTACATTTTATTTTTATATATATGTATATGTATAAACTTTTACCATTTAATTTGAAAGTACATGTTAATGATCTAATTAATATTTTTTCAGCGTCGCATCGAAGCCAATGTTTTTTGGCTTCTGCGTTAATAATTTACGATATTATAGGTGTACACAATAAATTTAAATATATTATATAAAATATACAGTCATATAACGTAATCATATATTATGTGTTTCCTCGTGTTAAAAACATTGAAAGGTATATGTAATAAAATATAAAACAATTTAAAAAAATTTCCAAAACGCTTTTATTAATATTACAATTTGCACAAAAATATTAAACTTTACAATCCAAACAATTTATTTCACAGTAATAATATATAATATATTATATACCATCAAGTTTATAATTTTTATACTTATATACTTTTACTAAAAAAAGGTGTGGGTTGTCTAATATACATTAAACACCTCAAACTGGCCCTGGAGACCCTTCATCATTAACTTTATTAAGAAGAGGAGTTCTTTTTATTTTTATTTAAGGGCTTCTTCTCTATTTTCTAATGTAGAGTCAATTGTTTCTTTTGTAAATAGATTTAGCTTAGTACCTGCGGTGTCTATAGAATAATTAAATTTTCAATACATATTTTATAAGTGTATCTTATTTTGTAAATATTAGTAATAGTTATTTTTTTTAATTAATAACTACTGTATTACTAATCGGTAGCATACATTACATACGAAGTGTGTTAAAAAAAAACCCCAGACTAAAATTCCTACCAAAAAATTATTATGTTATAACACTCTTATTTTATAGAAATTAGATAGAGATAATTTTCAATACTCAAATGTATAACCAAAGTCATTATCTCAAACAGAGCGTATTTAAAGTTAGTCATATTGTACAAAACCGCGATTCTATATTGTTGGTTAGAAGTGTTGATCACACATAAATAGTCAACTTAACACACCATTTTAGGGCACATCGTTATTTTGATTTCTCGCTTAGGTATATAGATGTCTTATATTTTTTTTTATTCAATCATTTTTCTGATTTTATCATTTGTTTTGCTTGCCCCACAAAGAGTTATAATATGTTTATTACAAGTTCACAATTGGTTAACAGTTAGTATTTATAACAATAAACGAATATGTTTTTATTTTTATTTTAAAATATCACCAAATAATTGTAATTCAATGTTATCCCTTAAAATACCTTTTTTAATAGGTACCTAACCTAACCTATGTAAAATAATATTATTTGTATTAGTACTATAAGCGTTAAACTCTTCTTAGTCGCTTTGAATAAAGATGCTAAATTATTAAGTACTTACTTTTTTTCGTTCTTCGGGTAAACTCTGAAACAAATACACGCATACAGAATGATTGACATATTAAGTGTTTTTGTTATAAATTTCTTGGCCTATCTTAGACTTCAGTAGAGCCGCTACCAAAAGCCTCATAATCTGGAAAATAAAAACACGATTTATTTTAACACCGAAAAATAATAATACATATCAATTCAACGAGATTTTGTCGGTATAACTTAACATTACACCCTGTATATTAAAAAAATAGTTAGTTAATAATTTTTAGGTAAAAATTAAGTAAACCAATCTAAAGGCAACATTCATAACCAAATTGTGTTGTTCGATACGGTCGGACGCGTTATCGTGTATCGATGGCCGGCGGTCAACGCGGTCAACAGCTGTTTGTAACGTCTTTGACACTCAACGATGGATCGGCCATCTGACACACCGCCTTACCTGTTGCGTACCGTACGGCGGCCATCGTCGTTCGCACAGCTCAATCGCCAATCCCTGGTTTGGGACGATTCCATTTATTTTGCCATCGCGTTCCTGTCGAAAAAGTCAAAAATCATTATTGCAAAACACTCATTCTGCGCGATTTCGTTCACGTGAGTACCAACACCGATTTTGCCGACACATTTTTTACAACACCGCCAGTCTTGCGCATCTAGCGTTACATTTTTTTCTTCATTAAAAATGTCCGTCGTTTTATCTATAGCCGCCGCCGTTGTTGACTGCGGTCATTGAAACCTGACAATACACGCTAATTATTACAACCCGTCGGGAATCGTCGTCGTTTTTTTTCAATTCTTTTTTTTTTTTTTTATACAATATCTCGATTATTGATAACTTAACTCTACTATACACCGCGGTCGCCGTATCGGTATTGTGCATTATTCAACGGTAATATATAATATTTTTTTTTTTTATAGTCGACTATTATGACAAAATTCAACATGAACGTCGTTTCGTCCGACATGAGAGCTAGACTCGAGTTCATGATGAACATTTACAACCGACTTATATTGTCGAATCCGGGTGGCGGCGCGACCACCAAAAACGGTACCGACTATTGCTCGTTGAACGGTTACATAAAACTCATGCAATGCGCGACCAACAGCAAGAAACAAAAGAAACCCAACAAAATAAGCCGTTCCAGTCGTCCGCTGGCCTACAGGAACATCAACATCACGTCCTCGACCAGTCACAAGAGCTACAAGAATTACAGCAGGTAATGTTTGTAACCGACATGTCAATTCGAGTAGTTTGAATCATTTTGTTTTAATTTACCATTTAAATGGTCGGAACCAAAAAAAGGGAGTAAGTGAATTTTTATAAAATTTCATTGTTCTAAGTTTAGTTCTAATGTTGGCTAATTTTTTTATTTTCTCTACGTCTTAGAAAATGTAAGAAAAATTGTAAAACAAATACAAATAGAAAAAGTGTCGATTGACGAATATTAATAGGGAACTATTTCATTTCTTCAAAATTAAAAAAAAAAATAACAGTAATCATTTTTAGCATTCTTTATAGAAAATATACGTCAAATGTGAAACTGTCAATAGTATACATATAAAAAATTATATAATTTGGCACTATCAGACAGGTTCACGAATAATATGGAAGGCTAGTTTTTTTCTTTAATAGTTTAGCAATGGGATAGAATTAACAAAAACCGGGTTAAATGAAATAACAAGAGAAAGCATTATTTTTGTGTTGAAAAATGCATTTACTATTTTTTAAAAATCTTAAAAGAAATATTGCAACAAAGGAAAAAAAAATTTCCAAGCAATAAGGAAATTATTAAAAATTAATACAATTCTACACATTTTGAAGTTTTAGAATAATTTTATTGATTTTTTTACCACACTTACACGAACCGCTTATTTTGGAATGATAATAAGTACAAATGACAACTCCTCCTGTTCTAATTTGTACGAATATAAGCAATTTAAACCAACTTTTTACGGTTTTTTTTTTTAGCACATCGTCTTTGTCTTCGCGTCCCACGATCAGCCGTTCACCGTCGTCGCTGCTGTTCGATTTCGAGAACAACCCGATGTCCACATGTTTCGAAGAAACCAAACGGCTGCTGTGGATGGGTTGCAAAACGGTGGACGACGCGCTGGACGTGAACCGCGACCTGCCCATGTGGGTGCAAACGGTCGATTCGAACAACATCGTCAAACAGCTGCTGGCGTCCGTGGACGCTGGCCGCGTGGATAAAGGCAACGTGCACACGCTGGTAGCCGTGTTCATAAACTTCAGCATCACTATGATCGACATGTTCGCGATGAACGCTAACGTGGACAAACACTGGTGGAAGCACTCGTACAAGATTATGGAGCAGCTGATCGACGACATTAACGTGCACTGTCGGTCTAAAGAGCCGCTAAACGGTACGCTGAAGGTGAAGGGCAAGAGCGGCGACCGGATGCTGAACAAGGCGCTGTCCACCATCACCCAGCTGAAGAAAATCATCCCGTCAGACAAGCCGGAGAACGGCGTACTCAACAGCAACAACAATAACAATCATTTCTTGCACAACCCCGTAACGCCGCTCGTGTCGCCCGTATCCCAACAGCCGGCCGCGTACCAACCACCGCCCATGCCGCCCGCACCCGTCGACTTCAACGGCCCGGCCCAGCAGTACGTCAACTACAGCTACAGCCCCAACCAGAACTACATGAACGGCGGCTACAACTACCCCGGCCAGTACCCGACGCCCGCCCCGCCGCCGCCGCCTCCGCCGCCGCCGCAGCAGATGAACAGACCTCCTTACTGCCCGTTGCAGTACCGTCCGCCGTACCAGCCGCCGCCGCCGCCGCCGTACCAGCAGCAGTACGCGAACCAAGTGCGCGTCAACCAGCCGCAGTATTATCAGTACGTGCAGCAGCAGCAGCAGCAACAACCGCCCAACCCGTGGCCGAACAGCTACCAGAAGCCGGCGTATCCGCCCGTACACAACAACACGCCGCCATTCCCGGCGGCCCAGTTTGCGGTGTCCAATCCGCAGCCGAAGCCTGAAGCCAAGTTGGTCGAGGTGGTCAAGGAAGACGACGAGAAAAAGTGGCTGGAAGCCCAGAAGGACGCCAAACAGCTGGTGAACAACGCCATCGGTCACAGCGCGTTGACGACCCGGTCGACGACGGACAGCAGCAACACGTCGCACGAAAGCGAGGAAGGCCTGATCAACTTGCATGCGACGTTCGAGCGCGTGTCCGACCGGGACAGCGGTAGCGCGCCACTGCCCGACGACACGGACCGCATGTGGAACTTCCTGGCCAGAGAAGTGGACAAGAAGGTCCGGTACAAGTTCCAAAAGATGATCAGAGAAATGCAAGACATACCCAAAGACGAATTCAGCAGAGAACCCGAATTATACGTAAGTTAAACGAGTTTATCAATATTATGCGTTATGATTTACGAATGTATCAATTACGTTATGAAAACGATATTATATTTTTAAAATTGTTTATTTATAAAAATAAAAATATGTTCGCCCTCTCTAATCGAGTGACCGGCTTTTGACAAATATACATATCAATATATTGACGTACATGAAAAATGATAACTTGTCCTCTCGGACTCGGAAGTATAAAAAAAAATGCTGTGTAATTTTTTAAGGACACTACCTACCAGAACGTGGTCAGAATACAACTGTTCGAGCCCATTAGATGTAAAATGATCAATAAAAAATACGAAAACGTCCAGGCTGTCGTCAGAGATTTTCGCTTGGTGTTCAGCACATTTCGTCACATATCTCAGGTACTATAAAAATCGAAACGTATTATGATATTTCATCATTTAACCGTATTGAATTTTTTATCACCGGACCACCGTTTGTTTTCGGTATCCAGTCGTGTCAACTGTCACGTATTTATCTACCTCCTTATTAAAAAAAAAAAAAAAAAACAATAAGAAACTTTATAGGCGATTCGTTTTTAACTTAAACTATTAATAATTTTCAATTTGTTTTTCCCCCGTCAGCAGTCCAACGACATTAAATGTAAACTTATGATGGACTTTATGGAACGCTACTTCAACGAGTGTCTCAGAAAGTATTTCCGCGGATGGAACTTGGACAAGTATCGTCCAGGTGTGGTTGATGTTCTCTGACGGTACAAGTCGAAATGTTAAACTTCCTGTTAAAATAATTCATGTACATTAATAATTTCAAGATGGTTCAAATCTGGATGTATAATATTTCAATTTTTGTATATAAAATAATTAGTGTTTAAGAGTTAGTCAAGAAAAGACACACTATTACTGTGATAATTTTTTTTTTCTTTATGAAATTTTATATTTGTTTTATAACGAACTAATTGTGTATAAATGATGATAGTTACTATTCTTCTTTATATATGTTTTATACGCACTGTTGTCTGTCAAGACAAGAAATAGTACAATTTAATGTACGTTTTTATTTTTTACAAACAAAATTTGTCTCTTTTATTATGGAATCAAATTCATGTAATGATATCATAAACAGTTTTTTTCTTAAATGTTAACAGTTTGTAAATTTAATCTACTAGTGTTCATAATTGATGAATTGTTTTATTTTTTTTGTAATGGAAAAATTTAATTAGTAAATATTATAAAATAAATCATTAGCTGGCATGGTATACTTTGTTTTGTAATTTCAAGTTAATTATTTTAGTCTTTTAACCAAAATGTATGTAATTGTCATTTTAAGCAACGCTATGATCATTCGACAATTTATCCCTTCAATAGTTTTTAACGATAATAAATAACATCTTCGTTTAGTTTCCTTTTTGAGACCATTAGTTCTAAAATCGAGATGTCAAAATTTGTGTAATTAAAAGTTCTTTAATAAAGTCTAATAATTAAACATCTTATATATATTAAATATCCAATAAAAATTATAACTTATACAAAACTTAAGTAAAAAAAAAAAACAATTTTATTCTTTTCTTACAGTACAAGTTACAAGTACTTATTTTCAAGCACAAGAGTTATCAAGAATATTTATAAATTGTAGTATCAGCCTTATTTTTCCTGCCGCTTCTTCTTCTAGATTTTTTCTTCTTGGGTGTTGTATCGTTTGCGTCTACTATTGACGATTTGTCTTCGTCTTCATCTACATTGTGATATCCATTTTGTTCTTTCACATCATCGAAATTGACCAACGAAAAACTGTTCATATCGATATCCTAAAAACAACTATAATAATTAAAATCTCACAGATATTTTACTCCAGTAGAGATTATAATGACAAAAATTACCTCTTTTATATTCAGTCCGTCGTCCTTTAAAATATTATTGACGGCAAATTCGTAAAGCCGTGCGTTAATTCCTAATACTTTATCTAATTCTTCACGCACAGTAAAATCTTCTTTCGCAGTAAGTATTTCATCTTCTTCGTCTTCATAAAGGTCATTATTGCAATACACTTCAATTGTATTACTCTCTTTTTCTTCTTCTTCGTTTTTTTTGAAACTCCTAACGATTACACTGGGATCTAGTTCGTTGGCTGTTAACTGACGAGGGATCAACGTCAAGAACATGTTGACTACAGGGCCTTTGAGCTGTATGGTGCGCAAACACTGCCGACTAGCTATGTGCCACGTTCTCACCGTACTGTCTGTAGAACTAGATACCAACAAATCACCAAACACGGATACACACAGTGACGTCACCGCCTTTGAATGGCCAATAAACTTGACGGCGCTTTCTTTGTCCGACAAATAACATTCACGGGTGCGTGGTGGTGACGTCAGATCAAACGATCGAATGGGACCCAAAGTGGTACCGACATAAACCGCTGTTTCAACAGAATCTACAGTAAGACTCGACAAAACAGCATCGAAAGCTACTGACAGCAACATTACACCCGTTGATAGGTCGTATATCTAAGCAAAACAATTAAAAATTATACATGCGACATTTACATGACAACCATTTTTATAGTATAACTGATAATATTGTTTACTTTGCATGTTTTATCGACGGACGAGGTGAACATTCGTTCACACCTCGTCGTGTTACCAATGTAAATTCCAGTTATTCGAACAGAATGATCAGAGAAAGTGAATTTAGGTGCAGACTGATCAGTTTGATCGCCAGAACGAAATACTTGAGGCATCAAAGTCTGAGATGTACTGACTAATTTTCCTAATGACCAAACGCAAACTAATCCATCTTCTCCACCTAAAAATAACAATCAACAAAAATTTAAATAATAAATCTTAATTTAATGTGTCAATGTGTTTGGTGCAGTGGTACAAGACGTCGTACTCTGTACTAGGGGTTCAGTTCTTGCACCACTGCGAAACATAATATGTTGTCTGCCTCCACCAATCGCCATTTCTATTGGCTATAGGAGGAATAAATAATTACTAATGAACCGATAAAATATGTGCATATTCATCCTTGGACACTCTTACGTGTGTTCTTACGCATAAATAATATGTAAATGTTCAAAACGAAAAATTTACCTGTGACCAAATAAGACCCGTCTGGTGACCATTTGACAATAGTAATAGGCTGGAAATGCCGACTCACAGTCGTCAATAATTTTCCAGAGCAAGCCTGAAATAGGTAGATAAGCCTGATCAAATTGGGTTAGTGAGTGGGTTGTAAGAAAAAACAAAAAATGTACTCACCAACCACACTTGCAGTTTTTCTGCAATCGCTACGGCTATGTAAAGACCATCCGGACTTGCAGCTAATGCATTTATTTTCCCTGAGCAGAGCATGCGCACCTGATGAGTTCTCTCTTGACTGTTGATCGGCCATGTGTGTATTAACGGTCCCTTGTCGGCGGCCAATAGGTAATCTGTTCCTAGCAAGCTCAAACTGTTTTGACCCAAAGATGACGTGTGCCTGTACGTCTTGAGCATAGTACCATTTGCCGTATCCCACACTGAAGCCCCCGTCGTTCCATCGGATACAAAGGCTACCTCCAACGTTTCAGAGAAAGACATAACTGTTGTACAGAAAACGGAACATCTGCAAACGCCAAAATCCAAACAGCAAGCACGTTGCACTGACTTATCAACATTAATTTAAATTTAAATGTTGTATACTTTATAGTACATAAAAACATAACCTCAATTATGACATATGATAACAGAAAACAAGTGCTTAACCATGGTATAGGTTTGCCTAATTGATAACACATAATATTATTGATATTTCTCAAATCTCAATTCCAATTATTGTTATCATCATCATTCATCATTCCGGTTTTTACTTTTTACATCTCTTTACTCATAGGTAAATTCTACTTCTTACTTTTTCTTTAAATTTTGGCTCTGAAGAGCATATATTTTTAGTATACATTATTTTGTATTTATATACTTCATAATACATAGTTTTTTTTTTTTTTTTTTAATTATTGGAGAAGTAAATAATTTTCATTCCATAGTATATTCCATATATTTTTATTATGCTTATTGTGTGCTTTCTTTTGCTTTAAATCTCTATTACTTGTTAAAAATAAAATAACATCAACATGGTTAAAATAAAACCTATGAACATTTTATTTATATTCTTGTCCTCGTTATATTTCGCTCATGGTCTGTATGAAGACCAAGTGGGCAAATTTGATTGGTAAGTTGAAATTATTAAATGAGAAGTTGTTGTAAATTTAATGTACTATAATTAAATATGATTTTTTAGGAAACAAAGTTTTCTAGGTGAAATCAAATTTTCCTCGATTGACGTAGATGTAACGTCTAAACGTGTATATGTAGCAACTAAACAAAATGTAGTCGCTTCTTTAGCTATAGATACAGGTAAATTTTACCATATGCTCCGAGTAATCTTAGTTTACTTATAAATTGTTTTGCATAGGTGATATTGTGTGGCGCCAAATTTTGGAAAAAGGATCCGATGGCGATGTTCAACTCATTCATCCGACCAAATCTAAAATTGTTACTGTTACCGGTACTAATGTAATTAAAGTACGAGGCTGGGATGTCAAAAATGGATACTTAAATTTTGAATGGAGCGCTGAAGTTAATGATGTATTATACTGGTTTGTTTATAATGGACTCCTTCACAAAGTTTACACCTCGGACAATTTAATTGCTGTGGACACTTACTACTTGGAAACTGGCACCAAAGGAAAAGCTACCTTTACGTTTCCAGCTCACACCTTTACTGGTTATGATCGGTAACACAATTTAATAAAAAACATAACATTATGAGATCATCATTTAGGTAATTTAAATTACAGCTGTGTAATGTCGGCCGCAAGTTTGGCTTGTCTTGATGTTGTTGGGAAATTAAATATAATAACTATGACCAAGGCTTATAAAGATCAGATAAATGTTGACATTCAAGGAAACCAAATCAAAGCGGTACCAGGAAGTCCCATACCTGCATTTATTGTAAAAGATAAAAATATTAAAAAATTAGTTTATGTAAAAAACAACAGCGCTCACATTAAGACCTTGTCAAAAACAGCTTCACCATTCATTTACACCTATATGGCCGACAGGCACATTTTGCTACAAGTTTCATCTCCTGCACAAGTTTGTTATACTTACATATTATATAAATTATGATTATTCTATTTCAGCAGTGAAAAGTGTTAATTTGTTAAAACTAAATTTTTCTTTTAATTTATAATTTTTTCAATAACGTTACTATGAATTTATTTACATTCTAAAATATTTAGAACACCGTTGTGACTGAAGGATCAATATTAGAGGATTCCACTGCCATTGAAAGCTTATCATCAAAGGAATCATTCGACTCATTAAAAATTATCGATCCCAGTGTTTCTTCAGCATTTTGTGGACGCAGTAAAGCTAACACTGTAAATTGTGTCGCTCTAGTTACAACTCGTGATCAAACTTTAATGCTTTTAAAAATGCCAGGTAACATTATTATAATCATTTACATGTGTATATGTGTAATATGTTTAAAACATTTTTAAATATACATTTTATTTCTACTTTTAGGGTCGATGAAATGGCATAGAGAAGAATCGTTAAGCGATATTATAAGTGTAGAAATGATCGACTTGCCAGTATCGGATATCGAAGCAGCGATTGAAAAAGAGTTTGGAAACAAAGACTGTAAGTAAATGTTTATTAGCCTAAAAATAAAAAAAAACCTTGTAAAATTATAATATGAATATTTTTATACATCTTTTCGCAAGCGTTTTTGGATCATGACGTATCAAGTGAGTCTTATCAGTGATGAACAGTTTTTTTTTTTGATTTTGTAGAGCCGGTTTCGTTTGTTACATTTATTACTACCCAATTAATAATATTATATACATTTTTGTAGTTTTTCCATATCAAATATTTATTTAGATGTTTTTATTTATGTATATAGTTAAATTAAAAAATGTAAGCAATAAGAGTGTGTCAATAAAAATGTATTTATCTTTTGTAGCCAGTCCGATCGGTATGTTTGTTCGACGTCTACACAGTCAGGTACAACAATTACAAACCCTTTTTGCTACCGTTTTGGGGCTCATAGAATCACCGTCTGAAACTACTGGAACCAAAAGCAATTTAGTTCGAGATCAATTTGGCTTACATAAAATAATAGTTGCAGTAACTAGTGCTGGAAAGGTATTAATAGATAACTATTATCTATAAAAATTACGTACAGTATATTAATAATCTGTCATAATTTACATTGTATCAGGTTTTTGGCATTGATAATTTAAAAGGCGAGATCTTATGGTCTATGTTATTAAGTGGAGTCGGAAAATTCTACACTAATCCAGTAAATGGATCGCCAACGGTTCCGATATATTTACAGAGAAATTCCAAACATTTGTCGTACCCACCGATGTGTACACTATTGTTGAAAAATGAAGTGAATATATTCTTATTTTATTATGTTAATTGGTGTATAATTTTAAACAATTTTGTTTGTAGAACTCCGAAAACACAGTACTACTTACGTTCAACCCGATAAACGGTGAATCGCAAGGTATTAAATTCGAATAATTTATCATTGAAAATATTACAAAGTTATAACATATTACTTGTATTCTTTAGACGTCATTAAACAACTTCAATATCGTGTAGTACAAGCTGTTTCTCTTCAAGTTCTTAACGTTGAATCCGTCCGTAGTCTTATTTTATTCGACAATAACAATATAGCGCATTTGTATCCTGAGAACATTCAACTGTCTTCAAAACCTTCTCCCGTTTACATTTACGTGGCCAATCCTACCGACGGTGTGTTGCGAGGATTTACTGTTGATGTACCGATTTCAGGAAAGGTTAGTTAGTAGTTCTTTACGGAATGCACAAGCCATTTATTCATATTGGTTTTCATACTTATTTCTAGGACATAACCACCAAAGAAGTATGGAAAATCAACTTCAGCAGTCCAACTCGAGTCATAGCTATCGGGTCGAAAGATGCGATGGAACATGTGCACTCTCAAGGCAGAGTCATGAGCGATCGTAGTGTACTGTATAAATATATCAACCCAAACATGGTCGCTGTTTTGACTCTGACACCGGACACTACACATAAAAGTGAGTTTCACTATTAACAAAAAAATACATGTTTATTAAAAACAAAAATTGTTTAAGGTGTTTTGACGCTTCATTTACTGGACACTGTTAGTGGAATAATCATCTACTCTGTAGCCCACAACCGAGCCACCCATCCAATACATTTGATTCACTCAGAAAACTGGCTGCTGTGCTCGTATTATAACGATAAAAACAGGCGTACTGAAATTACATCGTATGAACTGTACGACGGCAATCAGATGTCCAACACTACGGGTACTGTATTGTTTCAAATAACCGTATATTATTATGGTGTTTTTTTTTATTAAGTTACTGCGCTATTTTAAAATTAAATAAATACATTTATATTTTAGAATTCTCTTCAGTCGGAGGTAGTCTGATCCCGCCTATAGTCGAGAAGCAAGCATACATATTCCCTGGATTTTTACAAGCCATGAAACCAACGATAACCGAAAAAGGAATTACAAGCAAACACATATTGAGTAAATACTTTTCATGGTTTTTCTGTATTTAAATTTTATTTCTATATTATAAATCATCATGTATTATGTAATCAACTTGATTCGTTGCATTGATTGTTCTGTAGTGTCTACTACGTCTGGCCATTTATTAGAAGTTCCTTGGACGTTTTTGGATCCTCGCAGACCGTTGGGCGAACCTAAGGAAGAAGGAGCTATACCATATGTTCCCGAACTTCCTACGCCAACCGAATCTATGATCAATTACAATAAAAGTCTGATGCGTGTACAAGGCATTTACACCACTCCTAGTAGCTTAGAGTCGACTTGTCTTGTTTTCGTTTACGGATTAGGTAAACATTTACTAACATCGGGTATTAAAATATACTGCTGATGAACAACATCGATGTATAATGGGTAATGTTATCTCATCAAAGTATACAATTTTTTGAATTTTTTCACAGATCTGTTTTATACAAGAGTCGCACCTTCCAAAACGTTTGACGTGCTTAAAGAAGATTTTGATTATATGGTTATCATTATTGTGACCACTGTGCTTTTAGTGAGCGCTTACGTTACGAAAAATCTCGCTTCACAAAAAGCATTAAAGCAAGCGTGGAAATAATCAGAAAAGCTCAATATAAAACGATTTTGTTTTTGCCAATCTTCTACAATTATTAATTGTAGTGTTTGTTTTGAATATATTTTCATACTTAGTAGAACTTTGTAAATACAACCACCATACTTTGATTTTCTTTTGTTAAGCATTATTATAATTTACCGTAAATTGTTTAGGCTAATTATTTACGGTTGGTATTGTGTGTTTTTAATAAATTTTGTTTTATTATCGAGTGTAATTATTTATTACCAAACATTTTTTTTTTTTTTTTATGGACGATTTAGCTGTAACCAATCAACAAATGTATTTAAACAGCTACGAAGTAGCTTTCTTTTCAACTTCTTATTTATTTACTTTCTATAAAGCATTAACATGAAAAGAACACGAAAAAAAAAAATCCTAAAATGTTAACTAATCAATACAGTGTGTTAAATTTATAACGACAACAATACCCGAGTAGAAAGTTTGTGGGAAATCTTTTGTGAAACTATCATTGTAATTTTTTTTATTATTATTATGGATTTTACATTTATTGTTATAATTATTACGTCCTCTATAGGTACTGTATCAGATATTATCTTATCACCAACGTTATTCGTTATTCAAACAACATTGCTATTTTAATTACCGTTTTAATCGATTATTATGTTTTCATAATTTTTTCTATACATTTTTAGCTAGGTAACCGTACAATTTTATAAAATACACCCAGACCGTAATGTTCAGATAATAATAATACCTAATTGTCATCTATAAAACACTGCTGCTAATTTTTAATGGACACGTTTGACAAGTGATTCAACATTCTAACGGTAATTCCGTTGCTCGAAAATTATAAGTTATTGAACCGTTTTCGCTTAAAAAAAAAAAAGAGACTACTCACAATTTATCACATTAATATACTCGAGTAGAAGCTATAGTGTCGATAGTTTAATCGGTGGAAAAAAAAAATCGTTCCTAGACCAGGAAGGTGTACGGCTGTGGAAAACAAATTTCAGACAATGGTCACGTACATTTTATTACTATATTATTGTGCGCCAACGGTCGAAACGTGTTATAATTTCAAATTGACTCGGCTACAGATGAATATCGCCAAACAGCAGCGGTAATGTTATTTACTTGTCTGACCACACAATTGGCTAGGAATTTTGTTATTTTCCGGGCAGAGTTTATAATTATTATAATGGAGCCCTATTTACAATATTGACCCAAACTTATCCGCAGGGTAACACGGTGCCTGTTTGTAGCTGTTATTCTTCTGACGATGCTCTATTGACACCCTATATGCCGCCCCTCTTCCTTAATTGGGCGTCGAGACTACTCAAACGTTAGTATAATTTGTATACGAACCTAATAAGATTTCATTTCATCTGTTGTTTTAATTGGCGGCAATTGTGGCCGTTCATAGATTGAACGCCAATGCCGAATATTTACCAAAGATCCGTTTCACCAAAGTCTCTCGAGGCTGTGTTTTTTTTTTTTTTTTTTTTTAAATCTCAGATTTTATTTTCCGTTTAGTCGTACAGATTTGCAGCTGGTGTTGTACCAGAAATTTGTTGAATTGTGCCCCAAAACTAGACTCGCGTTGGATTGTTTTCTTGGAAAACCGTTTATTCGTTGTACTTTCGACGCGGCCGATAAACAAAATGGGAATTTCGAAATCAATCGATGAAAACCGGCGAAAGCAGGTTACTTGCGATTTTTTTTTTTTTTATCGTCGCAGTCACATTACCCGTACTCGTTACGGACACGTCCACTTGCAAAGAACAATGCCCTCCCCTCCCCCCTCCTTTGGAACAAATTTTTTCATTAACGTCGCAAGTGTATAATATTGGAAAAACCGTTCTTTTCCCGTCGGAAAGATGGTCAGATTTTCAAATATGCCACCTGTGCGTTTTCCCAGCAACATCCTGACCGCCGCGCCGGTTTTATGGGGGGACCTCCTGATCTTTTTTTTCCAACCAATGCCAAACGATTTTGTCGTTGTCCACCGCGGAATCCACAGCATAACATTTTTATTATCATTAGGGATATTATAGGGAATAGGGACGAGTACTGTACATAGGTAGCCGTGCCGTTGTCGGCCACATGTGCCATCAAATGGGCGGCGGCGGCGGCGGCGGCAGCACCTGCAGGGGTTCGCCGCACGGGCGACAGTCGACACGCGCATATCGGCATATGGGTCAAACAATGCAGATGACGGCCTGTACGTGAAAGCCTTGTGCTCGTTGCACGGCCAAACGGTGGGCGGGGCGCACACGGACGGCGTGTAGCGCCGCCGACGTCGTCGTCCGGAGTCTCGGCGGCCGCCGCCGCCGCGCCGCCGACGTATAGTACCGGCAGCGTACCACACTGTTTCGATAGTGTTCTGTGCTATAGCCGCCCGCCCGTTCGAGTACCCGTACCGTGTACGGAGCCATAGGAGTGAGCGAGACAGAGCGGACGGAGCGGAAAGAGAGAGAAGGACGTTGACGGTCGTCAGTGCGTGCGAGCGAGAGGGGAAAAAAATCCACCTCTCCGTTCATTGATTGAGATTGACATTCCACCGAGCACCAGCACTCGGTAGTCGCTAGTAATAATAATAACCATAATCTTAATAACAGCGTAAAATCGTTTTATTATTTATTATTATCATTATTATTTTTGTTATTGCATTTCGACATCGGTGTACCGTTCTGCCGTGCTAGCTAGCACACAAGTCACAACGTATCGTCGCCGTTGTCCGCACACGCGCCCGCGCCCCGTTTTTTTTTTTTTTGCACACACGGTAAATAATATTATCACCGTCATTGTCTCGGCGACATCATCGGTGTATTGGACAATACGCGCGGACGTGTGTTGTGTGTACTCCCGTGGCCACCAAATAGCGTCCATGACAATTCCGAAGTGCACCGTCGTCGACGTCCACACAACGATCGCATCACCGCTTCCTGTTCCATCGTAGGCGACAGCCGTCGCCGTCCGCATCAAGCTGCAAACGGCATCCAGGGCTTGCCGAACGTCCAGTACAGCTGCATCCGCCAACTACCTGAGAGCAACCGTCGCCATGCAGCCAACCATCCTGTGTCTGGCGCTCGTTTGCGCTACCCTCGTACCTACGGTAAGTGGCCAGTCGTCTCCGATGACCGATTCGTTAGGGACCGCTGTGGTCTATGACCAACATTAGATTTACCCGTACTTCAAATAACATTGACTGATCGAGTTGTATCCTTACTAAGTGCGGAGACGTTGGAAAATAATATTAGGTTGTTGTGCTCCTAGATAGGTAATATGTAATATAATAGTTGGAACTGTGCTATGTGTATGTGTTTTTAGGCTTCGTCAGTCTTGTTATAAATTTGTCCATAGAACTGTTTATAATTTTTGTTCAACCCGTAACATGAATCCACTTAATATTCAAAGCCATACTTTAGTGTTGTAGCCATTGTTTCTACCAGGAAAACTACACATGAAAATTGTATGAGGTATTGAGTATTAAAAATATATTTATGTTACCTTTAGAACCTTTATGTTACCTGTAGGCCGCTGGTTGGTATGTATAATAATTAATAACAATAAATTTAAAGTAATATTTTCTGGATAGAAAACCATTATTTGAAATTTATCAATGTTATTATTTGTTAGTTATCTAAAATAATATATTTTCAAACCAATATATATATATATATATATGTCAATATATTGGGTTTGTTTATAGGTACTAGCTGAATCTAGTAAAAATGTTTCATCCAATCCCATACCACTGAAATCGGATAAAGATGATCTGTTTATAGACGATCCATCAGAGCACGGGGAAGATACTGATACTGACAAAATAGAAGCTGATGATATGATGTTAGGTGAAGAAGGAAGTGGTAACGGTCCTGCCCCTAAAGGAACTGGCGCTGAAGACATGGAATCAAGTGGCTCAGGTTACGGGCCCGACGATGAAGATGCTCAGGTCGGCAACAAAGGCAAAGGAAAAGCTGGACCTGATGCCGAAGACGAAGATGAAGAGGAGGACGAGGACGATAAGGAAGATGAGGATGAAGATGAAGATATAGATGTACCTGATGACAAAATATCGGTACATAAAAGTAATCCTACAACAAGTTCTACATCAACTACTACAACTACTACCACCACAACAACAACAGAGGATCCTAACTCTGAGGAAGAAGAATCAAGAATATTAATCAATAAGGTATGTATGACAAAGTCTAAAACAAGAACTAACATATTAATATTAAAAAAAAATACATCAACATCATCATGGACAATTTAGAGATTGAGATGTCACATTGTTAGGTACTTTTTAAAAATTGAGTAAGTGGGAGGATCTATTTATCGATACGCAAACCTTTGCTTTATGGTTAAATAAAAAACCTATGCTTAGGTTGTTGAGTATTGGTTTTAAATTTAAAAAATATTAAACGGTACCAAAACCTGATGTGTCTCAAAAATTATTTTTTACTTTCCATAAGCGATTAAATCAATTGTACCTATTCATTAACTTAAAAGTAAACACAAGTTGGCTTACAATATAAACAACATTGTTCATTTTAATAAAAAATAAAAAATTGTATTTTGTAGTAACATTAAAAAACTGTAAGGATATTAGATAAATTTAAATAAATAAAGTGTTGACATATTATGTGAGCATATTGTATAGAGTTACGAATGAAAGAAAATGTTTTACAGTATAATGGAGGAAAATGTAGATTTATGAATTTAAGTAAGTAGAGTGAGGAAAAGTAAATAAATTTATTTCAAATTCAAACTAAGGTAGACATTTTTTTTTTTTAATAATTATAGTTTAAAAAAGAATGTATACCCACTAATTTCCACCACTGTCTATGAAGCATATACATTATTATATGAAGAATGTCATCACAATAGTGTTAGTTAAAATGAAAATAAAATATGCAAATTCAGTAGGTGGTTATCAATATGAAGATAACAACATAGTTGTCCATATTCACTGTGAATTGGTGTTTTTTTTATAACGTTTTTATGAACTCACAATCTTGTTTATTATTAACTATAAAATGACTAATTTTTATAAATAAATAATAATAGTAACTTAATGATAAGAATCATGATGTCAGCGTTGGGCCTTCGTGGCCTGTTAAGCTACATGATGATGATGATGAATTTAATGATAAGAATACATTAGCTTTTAGCTAATAAATTCTCTCCCCAAACAATAATGTTTGGGGAGAGAATCTAATTGGTTTTTATAGTTTTATGATAATATTCTTTGTGTTGTATATAGAAAATAGAAATTAGTGTTTTTAACACTAAGGTAATTTTTTTTATGGAATGATAACGGATTAACTCATTTAAAATATTGTTGATGTACTTTACATAATTATTGAAAATTGATACGTATAATAATATACATACTGGTGGTTTTAAGTTTTTAATCAAAGGTTTACTACACGAGCTGTATTAATAATAATACGTAACATTTGTTAGTAATTTTATAACACCTGACTGCAATAAAAAATTCTCTTAAAACGTTAACATAAAGTCATTTTTCCGTTATCTAGAATTGTACGTAGGATGATTCATTGGCGCAAATGAAAATATTTCACTTATCTAATCTAAATAATTATGAACTAATAAAATTTGCAGACAAAATACATTTATACTAAGCTAGGAGGCATGTTAATGACTACCTGAGTTATTGTGTGAAGTGTAATAACTTTTTGCCTACAAAACGTATGTATACTTAGAAAATAAAGAGTTGTTAAATTAAAATAGTTCAATTATTAAACTCAATAATTTTTTTTTAATAGGGTTTAATATTTACATTTAGTCATTAAATGTGTTGAACAGTAGATTTAAAAAAAAATGTATTAAGTGATGATTTTGTATCAACTTGAACAATAGCACACTACATCCCTTTTCCATCGTAATGTTTGTCACTGCATAATTGTTCAGGTGCAAGATTTATTTTATTTCGCTTGTACATTTGTGTAAACAAAATAATATGTTGAATCATTGTTTGACGGGACTATAGATAAAATATAGTACAATATTACAGACAGAACTCTTGAAATTATTAAAAAGAAAAACCTACACAAAAATGTGTATATCAACGGGGTTATATATTACCGCCGTAAGAATTATTATGGAGATCCTTTACTATTAGTATAAATGTATCTACTTATAACTTAATTGTAATGAATACCATATTAGAAAAAAAATATTCTTAAATAGCTGCTAAAATATTTTTGACATACTTCGATAAATTTGCTGTATAAAAAAAATTAATAATAAATATAGATATATATTTATTTTTTTTATTATAGCACATTGTATTATTAAAACATTTTTTTTTTTTTATAAAGTAGCTAAATTTTATAATTATTCCTGATTACTAAAAGTAATTTGTGGCGCTGATAATGTGATATGAAATTAAAACTATATTAAGCTATTAAAAAAAATTTATATATATTTTTTTTTTTACTAGTTTCGTTTTTAAATTATATAGTATTTATTTTAAAAGTACATTGAACTTAAAATATAATTTACATTGAACAATTTATTATATGTCAACTCTACAGTAGACGTGTGTAAGGAATTTTGTATTTGACGACGGTTTTTTTAAAGAAATTTGATTACGCATCTTTTTTTTATATTATGTACATATGCTGTGCCCATCGTTATAAAATCACCAAGAACTTTATAATTGAACAGGTTGCATTTTTCACCTCTTCCTGATGAATTGCACTTTTTATTTTGCAACGATTAATCTGACGCCTTATTTCTTATTTTTATATATTTATTTATGTATTTAGAACTTTATTTGGTTATAGTTTGCAGTACACCTCAGCAAAATATTACATTTTACTTGATAGCTAATTTCTTTGACCATATTATTAAATATGTACATATTTTTGCACTAGTCACTTTTTATTATTAAACGTATACTATGTACGCCATAGACAATGTTTTCGATAAAATATTCGGAATCAATATTTACTTAAAAAGTAGATTTTATAATAGCTTACAACACTTCTACCAATTATTATCATTTAGTTTTAGGTATTATCTTGTCTAATCATTAAATAATTATTGTAGTATCGTTGAACGGAAAAATGATCTTTTTATTAAGTAATTTAATAACTCCATTGTAATTTCAGCCCAAACCGAAATCCAACTATGATACCGTGGAACAGCCTAGTATACCAGAAGTACCTCAGACGTCTACTTCAACTAGCACACTTCCGCCACCGCCGTCAAACGGAATCGATGAGCATTCCAGCAATGGCGTTTACATCAGTCCAAACAGCCATCCGGAGCGGACGACCTCGTTTTTCGCACAACCTGGCATACTTGCGGGTAATGACCAAACACGAATAACTGCTATATTGGAAGATGCTCGTTTATTTATTGTTATAAATTAATATTTGTTTTATTGTGTATTTATTTCAGCGGTCATCGGAGGTGCCGTTGTGGGGTTGCTGTGCGCCATTCTTGTCGTGATGTTCATCGTGTACAGAATGCGTAAAAAAGACGAAGGCTCGTATCCACTTGAAGAAACGAAGCGTTCGCCGGCTACCAACCCATACCTGAAATCCACACACCGAGAGTTCTATGCATGAGCACACGTTCATGAAGAAGTGTGTTTTATTTATGAGCCTTTGAACATAGTATACGTTATCATATTGTATAATCCACTTCCACCACCTTGAAACCCATACATATTTTTGAAACTTTCGGTTATACGCAGTTAACGCGACAATGTTGGCGTGCACACAATTTATTTATTGTATTTTTTTTTTTTTTGCTGTGAATTATACACGTCGCCAAATTTGGTACTAGTTGTTCAAAAGTAAGCTTCACTTTTCAATCAAATTTACTTTAAATAAGTGTAGTATAACTGAATTTTGACTATCCCATGACTTCAAAAAAAAAAATATATATATATATATATATATTACGTAAATTATTGTACAAATTACTATCGCTACTAATGATTTATAGCCGGAGTTTGTCTCACTGTTTCTTTGTGTCTTCCCAATTTCATTTGGAAAACTAGTAAATACGTAAACAAAATTCTATATTGTATAAACTATTAATATTATCGAGTTGGCGTACCATAAAAAAAAAAAAAAACGATAGCCAATAATAATTTATAATAATATCGTCCATCTCGAGTCTTGTTCTTTCAATGAAAAAGGATACTTTTATTCGACTAATTTTCTCAACACGGAGAATAAGACTTAACATTAATATCATATGAAAATAATAGAGGATTTATAATTATGTCGTATTGGTTTGGTACGGATCGCTTTCTATATAGTATCAAAAAAAAAAAAAAAGTACTGATTATCGCAAATTAATTTGAAAACTCAAGTTTTATTATTATTTGTTGAAATCCATTTTTAATTTTTTTTTAATTAAATTTAAGTTTATAGGCAGTATTAAAACGAAATTTTTAAAATTTGTTCATTCAAAAGACCAATTTTAAATGGTTTATTTTGAAAACCAGTAACCATTTAAAGAATCTTAGCCGACACAATTGTGTGCCATCAGTTTTGTTGGTCCTTGGGCCCTGTTTATATATTATATTAAAATGTTTTCCATTTTAAAACACTTTGTAAATAATGTTTAGACATAACAAATTATTATTACTACTTAATAGTTTCTAATATTTTTTATTATATATTAATAATTATATTTATTTAGTTTAGTGTGAAACTAACTACAAGTATACTGTACCCCCACTGCGTTTTATATTCTTTTTTTTTTTATTTTGTACATATATATTTTTACTGATGAAATAAAATCATTACCTAAAATTGGAAAACTACCAAGTATATTGTTTTTTCTTCTAACACGGTTAATATTTAACGATACATTATGTTATTACTTTAATAAACTTGTATTATTTATAAAACTTTAAATAGTTTACAATTTTTTGTCATTAGTTTATCTAACGCTTACAGTCTAATTTGCCTAATTAAGTTTTGACACGATACAACCTTATTTTTGTTCGGCAACATTTTTTTTAATTGGTAATTTTTAAGGCATGAAATTTAAATCATCAACAATTGGCTAAAATAAATAAACGGAAACATTGGAATCAAGTAACCAATACTATTCATGAGAATCTCGTATTTTATTTAGCGTTATTAAATACAAATGTACTATGTATATAACTAAAATTGTCTAATAAAGTGTAAGTCTATAAAAGTCATAAATCTAAATAATATGTATGCTATATAACATTATTTAATCAGTCAATATCATTTGATTTTCAGTATGATAACGCTAAGTAAATAAAATTTCAGCTTTTATGTCTTATAAAATATAAATTAAATAAAAAGTCACTAATTTTTACTCATTTAAATCAACCTATCTCTGGCATAGACTTAGTATTGTATGTTATTCATTTCATGACATTATGGTTTGGCTCCTTTTGCCCCTGAGCACAGTATTAATTTTTAGTACTGTATTTTACTAATGTAAATTTGTATTTTATTTTAATAATCAATTAATGAAGTTCAATCACTACTGTTATTTTTATATTAACAAAATTAATACAAATTCGAATAATAGGTGTAAATTAAAGTTTTAAATATTTATATGTATTTCTTTGGTCCTAATTTTTTACAAAATTTCAATTTGAGTTCAGCGGCTTTTAAAACTCGTAAATTGATGTGAAATATTTAAAAAAAAAAAACGGTAAAATTTATTAATTTATGCGAGGTAATTTTCATATCAGCACACTATGTTGTTGCGGCTGAACGACCCTCACACATGTCGGATATCTATAATATATTATATTAAAATATTATTATATTGTATCTATATACGTACGCGACAAAAGTATAATGCACGCAGACATACCTGCGACCGTCAAAAATCATAATGGAATGAAAATAATGGCTTATAATTTATTGTACAAAAATTAAATTAATTAAACAAATTATAAAGTAATAGCGTCACCAGCGTAGGAAACCCCTAGATAATATTTTTTCGATATCACATAACCTGACCGATGTGTGACCCGAGATTGCACACCCAGCAATAACCGGTTACAGTGAACTTAATCCCACAGCCGTTTTACTCACTCAGCCACACCTAAGACAATTACCAGTGCCAGGCATTCACAACACATCGTACCTTTGGAAGACGCCGTGTTACGTGTAGGATCTGAATTACAAAGGCAAACTGGACATAGGCCGCCATGGAATTACGATAGCTACCAAAGCAAACACAGTCGGGGCGTCGAGATCCACCCGACATAGGTGTACACAATAAATTTAATTATATTATATAAAATATACGGTCATGTTACGTAATCATATGTTATTATATTATATGTTTCCTCATGTTAAAAACATTGCAAGGTATATGTAACAAAATATAAAACAATTTTAAAAATTTTTCAAAACGCTTTTATTAATATTAAAATTTGCACAAAAATATTAAACTTTACAATCTAAACAATTTATTTTACAGTAATAATATATAATATATTATATATCATCACGTTTATAATTTTTATATTTATATACTTTTACTCAAAAAAAAATATTTGTATTTTACATAATTATAATATTTTTAAATAACATATCGAGTCAGAAAAATAACTAATATACAAACATAGATAAAAAATGTATATTATAATTTCTTTAGACTTATCAATAATTTGAATTATAGTATTCAAAAAGTAAAAACAGCGACCTAAATAATTAAAATATATTACATGTTCGTAAAGCATCTGATCATTTAAATAGTTCTATGTAACAATTTTTTTTATAATTTTAATTTTTTATTATAAAATTATAAATAATAATTATAAAAGTAATTAATTTAAGTTTACTGTTTGATTTCAATTCTTTCAAACTGAAAGCAACGAAATATCAACAAAAAGATAATGGAAGGAAAAAATAAACCTATTTACATTGAAAACACCACTTTGGCATTTTTAATTTAATGGAAAAAAAAGACTAACAAAATGAGTATGTCATTAAATTTTTGATTGATTTAAAAATAATCTATTTACTTATTCATTAAGAATTAAAAAGACTTATCAATGTAATTATAATTAAATGCTATGAACGATCAAACCGTTGGTGGGGGAGGCGGTGGTGGTGGAGGTGGAGGTTGTCTGAAAAACATAGTTGAGAAGTACGCTTGTGACGGAGGACTAAAAAGTTTGGGAGGACCGTTGTCGTGGACAGCGGCTGTAGGTAACAAAATGTCTTCTTTAGCACAAGAATAGAGCTGTTCGTTATCAGAGCGTTGATAATATGAATCTAAAAAATGCATACAATACAAAATTAAATCAATAAAAAGTTTAGTTAATTTGACATCAATCATCAAATATTTATACTAAACCACTTACATCGTGCGACGTCTACAGGTGGTGGTACAAAATCCGACGGTGGTGATAATCTCGGATGTCTCTTAGGTAGATCTTCGGTGATGTTAACACCAAATTGTCTCCGCAATCTATCGTTAAGGTTTTCCCATTGTTTAGGTTCTTCTTTAGATATACTAGTTTCGAACAACAATGGTCCAGTCGATTTTTGTGCTAGTTTAGACTCCAATTCCAAAGATTTAGCAATCACTTGTTGTGTGATCTCTTCGTAAGCCGCGAGAGAGGTATTCGGCGATACAGAAGGTGACGGCCTAGATACGTCGCTAAATCCAGACTGAATTTCTTTTTCTTTGGTGGTGGATGCTTGCGATTCTTTACGACGTCTATATTCTGACAATGACAACTGAAAATGCATTTGTTTAGTTAATGGAGTTGTCATATGATCACATACTATTTATATCACATGGTTAAAAAAGAACAAAAAAATACCTTTCGTTTCACTGGCGGTGGTGGTGGCGGCGGCGGCGGAGTTTTTTCAACAACTGGCGGTGGAGGAAGTGGAGGTATTTCAGTAGCCGACGGTAGAACAATGTTCTTAATGTCGTGAGTAGCTTCAAACGACTCTTTGTTCCCTGACACAACAATGTCGGTAATAGTTGTAGTAGTAGCATTATTGGTTTTGGTAGTAATAGGGGATGATTGATCTGTTTTAAAGTCATGCAGCGGAAGTATATTTTCTGACCGAACCGGGCTCGTTTCTAAGTCATCGATCGGTTCATCTTTGGGAATTACAACTTTTGATTCGACGACAAATGTATCATCTTCTGAAATGGTTGGTTTGATGTCAAGTTGTTTTTCTGGTGTGGGTGGCTCAGAACTACCACCTTCATCGTCTGGTTTGAATTCACCCAAGAATGATTCCACCAAGGCAACAGTGTTGGACTTTTGTAAATCTAAGAGCGGCATGCTTTTGTTCTACAATATAAATGTGTTAAAAATTAGAATTTGCTCAATTACTCCATAGAATAAATAGTAACTTACCTTAAATATAGCTAATTTGGAATCGATAGACGCAATATTACGGGATGCTTGTTCAACTTCTTCGTCTTCAATTACATCTTCTTCGGCAAAACTTATGTGTCCCGAACCCGGGACGGTTGGTGACGGACAATCGGACATAGATTCTCGAGCCATTCTTCGCTTTTTTAATGGACCTACTTGCTGGTCTCCGTTGCTAAACCCAATTGAATCTGAAATTCAATATGCACCATTAATTTATATATGTTCATTTATATTTATAAGAGATTATAAAAGTAGTTCGGAAATTATTACTATCTTTGCCATTAGTACCTTGTTCACTAATAGCTTGTTGTAACCATCGTTTTTTAGCACAACCAGATTCACCGACTTTATAATCTTCACTGCCTGTCGGAGAGTTTCCTTCAGATTTTACCCATGAATTAACAAAATCCTATTAAAAAAAAAAAAAAATGTATAAATATTAATGAAAATTCTTTCAAATAGGGTTTTAATTGTATTATTACTTTTTTAGTATTAGGAAATTTAAATCCGGGCGCAAGCGGACCAACAGCCGCTGCCACTAGCATGCAAGTATTGGACAGCGGTGCCGTTGGTGTTCCTTCGCTTCCGCTTGCATCTTCACTATCCATTTTGACTGGTGTATGGGGTGCATTGTTATGAGGCGATCGTCGAAGCATCGATCGTGGGATAGACGATTGGGTCGATGGCCTGTGCTGAAAGCGCACTGAAAATTTACAACGATTCTGGATACGCTTCCTAGAATTCAAGCGACCCTTTCGTTCTTCGTCGTCATCACCATCATCATTGTTGTTGTCGTCTTCGTCAGATGAACTATTATAAGAACGATTTGCAATAGCTGCAGCTCGACGTTGTGGCCTGTTGGCCCTAGTAGATTTTGAACGACTATTTTTTGACGGTCTCTGTTTTCTTCTGTAGACAAATTTAACATTATTAGATATATTTGAACACATTAAATTTGTTTAAATTACATACTTGACAACACTTTTTCGAACCCTATTCCTGTTTATATTCTGCGGAGAGTTATTACAAGAATCATCTTTATGCGACCTTGCCTCTTGTTTTCTAGCTTCTTTTTTTTCCATTCTTTCAAACGCTTTCATAATAGCCACCATTTTCCTTTCTTCTCTAGACTAAAGGTTAAGAAAAAATTGATTTAATCATGAATATTTAATAATAGTTATATTTGATATATTACCATCTCGCTAAGTCTTCTCACCATTTTATTATCATTGTTGTTGGATTTGTTTTCTGGTTCTGGACTTGTCTCTACCTTTTTTACAGGACTTTTAGGTCGCCCTGGCCCATTAGGCTCCTTAGTTTTAGTTATTGGAGGTGGCGGTGAAACGTTAGACTTGGGTATTGACCTTTTAATCATTTTTTTATTTGTCTTTTTAAGACTTCTTTGTTGCCTCGTTCTTTTGGTTCTTTGGGGTTTGTTTTCTTCATCCTCGGACGAGTGACTAACAGTAGGGTCGATAAGTGGGGACGAAGAAGAACTTTCAGGTACAACTGACAATGGCGGGGTTGCAGGAGGTAACAAATTTATTGAAGCTGTACATGTAGACGAATCTCCACAATTACAATACTTCACAGGAACTGCTGTTTGATGATGATTTATAGTAATTTCACTGTTTTTCTCTATATACTGATTAGCCACAATGTATAAATGTATAGAACCTTTTTCGATATAATGTTTCAACTAAATAACACAAAAAAAAAAAATGTAACCGTTAGAAATTACTATCATTCTACCATTATTTACACAAAAAGCTTACCTCAGCATTTGGTTTACATGATCGTCGAACAAAACGAGCATCATTGCCATACGTGCGACAATCCACACATACCTCAATGTCACATTCTGCTGAAAATCGAACTGTATAAAAAAATACATAAGGGTCGGTTCGATTTGGTATTAAATCTTTATACGCCGAGCCGGTCCACGTAAACTTTCCACGGACTTCAATTATAGGTTGGTTATTTGTCAATACCGAACTACTGACTAACATCTGAAATAGAACATTCTATGTTATACAAATTATCCAAAAGACGTAACAACAACCAACATTGCAATAAGAATGAATACATACCTTAATGCCACTGGGAAGTAACGAAATTTTCGTCCTGCTAATAGGTATTTTAACTGGCGTTCGAAGTTCTCCGATGGCTATACTGCCATTAGGTTTAATGGACGACAGCCGAGCTCGGAGTTCTTGAGAATAATGATTGGTTACGGCTTCTTCGTATTTATCAATCCAGTTCCTTAATAACTCGACGGGCTGTTCAGTATTTGACTTGTATTGTTTAGATGATGGTTTGTCAGTTTTAAATATTTTTGGCTCGTCATCAGAAGAATAGTCAATAGTCTGAAAAAGAATTGAATTTCAACTGTTATTCATTCGGAATAATTTTTTTATTTAGTCAACCATTGAAGAGATGGAAATATTTATACTTATCCATTTAATTTTGTCATGCTAAATTATAATAATGTTAAAATAAATTTGGAAAATACAAAACTTTCGACTTGCCTAATAGCAAGATTAACAAAGACAACTAATGGTTTGGAAATAGATATAAAATCTTTTAAAAAAAAAAACGTACACAAGAACCATCTTTAAAATAGTACATATAATTAAGTATTTCACAAAAAAAAAAAAAACTGAGGATTGTTTAATAAACTAAAGTTGTTGGTTTAAATTTTAATTATAACTTATATATATATGTTAAATATTTAGAGTTGGCAAAAAAACACAGGAAGTTATTTTGTTATATCTCCGCAAACAAATTATAAATATCAAAAACTATAGGTTTTATGGGATGTATGCATAATTAAAAAAAAAGGTCAGGTTTTTTTTTTAAAGAAACGTAAGCTACTATCAACTATTTCATAAATTTAATATAAATACATCAAAATTAATTACCTTCTTTTTGGGAATAATTTTTTTATCTTGGTTGACTTTTTTCTTTTTATCCATGGCTGCTATTCGCTTTTTCTCCAACAACATTTCTTTGCGTCTAATCAACATTTTCTTGCGTTCTTCAGCTATTGCTTTTTTCTCGGGCGTCATAGAGCCTTTCTTTTTTGAACCTAATGGAGGTCCGCTTTTTCTACGTTGTTTCATAGGAGGCAAACCGTTGGACTTGCGTTTTTGTGTATTCTTCTGACGACTTTTATATTTTTTCCGTTTAGTTTGCAAATTATTTTGATCTATTAGAAATAAATTGAATTAATAATTATACTATACTAATTTATACCAAAAACACACAACATTGTTTTTTTTTTTTTTTTTTTTAAATATATTTTAATATTACTGTAAAGATTTTAATTTTACCTGGTTCAGAAGAGAGATCAGAGTCACTTGAGTGACGTAAATGTGAAGCAGAGCTCAGAGCTAATCTCTTGGCTATTTTCATATGCTGTAAAGCTGCTGCTGCTTCTTTATTAAAAGGCCTAGGTGAACATCGTTCACATAAATATTCTTCAGGAAGGTTAGTTCTACTTTCCAAGACACAATCAACATGTTGCCAAACACTGAAACAGTTGTTAAAAAAAGAACTTAGTCATTTATTTATATTTGCCTTTTTATTATTTACACAATTTATAATGCAAGTAATACTCACAAACATTTGTCACAGCTGATCATAAAACCATCATCGTGTTCCAATTCACTATTAAAACAAAAATATATAATATTTAAACAATAATAATATATATATATATATATATATATGTTTGTATAAAAAATTGTATTTGTCAAAAGAGAATTACTATAGATGTAAAATACAGGCTGTTTTTTTTTTTTTTTTTTACTCACCAAATGCATCTAGTAACAGCGGGTTCTTCCGACTTGTTAGTCTCTTTTACTTTATCTTTTCCTCCTTCTGCTACAGCTTCTGGTGCTGTATCAGTTTCTTCACCTTGACCGTCTGGATCATGATCACTTGCACTTAGTTCGCTTTCTATTTGAATTGGAGGTTCATGCTTGATTACCGATTGTAAGGACTCGGTAGACATTTTTGGCACATTGTTAGGAATACTCGATGGCTTTTGTACAACTAAACAAATATACAAACATACATATTCAGTGAAATAAGATTATTTTTTTATTTCATAAATACACTATTAAAAAAAAAATGTAGTCTGTGTTACCTCTGTTATTATTGGTTATATTGAATTGATTTTGTATCACTGTGGGCGATACTATACATGATGGAGCAGAGTCAATATTCAATGTAGATACCAAACCATTTATTTGGTTAGGTTTTTGTGGAGACGGCCTCGGGACAAAACAATAGTTATGTTCCACTTTGATTAACTAAAAATAATAATTTAAAAAAATAAGTAACCATTTAAGTTGAATATATTTTATTTAAAATATGAAACTACGTACCTCAGCTGGCTTCTTTGCATCATAAATTGGTCGATGCTCGGTCACTTCCAACAGTTCATCATCACTGGGGCAATTGTCTCGCCTTAATACAGCACTAAACAACAGTATAAAAAATATATATTAAGTTTGTTTTAACAGAATTTAAATGAATATTTCAATATACTTACGCAGAACGGCTTACAGGAACAATACGAGTTCGTTGGTTATTTCCCAACCGATTACGAGGTGGCATATATGTCATTAACATATGAGGTGTTAGACCAACCCGATTGTACGGCATCTGAGGTTGTACAACCGGTGTTGAAACAAAAACATTCTTTCGAACGGATTCCATTTGAATGGAATTGGCGTTTCTCTGCAAAATAATTATTACATTAAATTAACACTTGGATATTATATTTATGAAACTACAATATTACTACATAATATAATAACATAATGGTACCTGGTAAACTGGTATTTGTTTGAAATGTTGATTGGGTGACAATATGTGATTGGCGCTGGCATGATTGAGCTGTAAAGGAAACCTGTGCATGGTAACCGGTTGACTTGCGGTGCGCAAAACAGTTGCACGCGCATGGTGATCTTGCGTTTGACTGCGTGATGGTGTCATTTGGACTATTAGGCTTGGACCTGAGACCTCCTGGCTGGACACAGGGCGACCAACAGGGATGGTCAGTTGGCCAGATACAGCTGGACCACATGGCACGCGACTTGAACCTACAAGAAAGTAAGCAGCGCTTCCCGGTGTCCTGACGTTACCATCCGATTCCATTACCAACCTACTTTAGCTCTATCCTAAAAACAAATATTAACAAATAGTTGTTAATTTCAAATTAATCAAGACCGCCCAAAAAAAAATTACTCAAATAAGCATTCATTATTGGTCATCGATCATAAGGTTTTTTTAGTAATAGCATGAGTTTTAGTTGATTTTTCAACTCACATTAAAATGTGGACAGTTGATTAATCAAAACCAATTCATAAAAAATACATTAGAAATTGGGTACAATATAGGGAGGTGCCTGAGAGACAAGTTTTGGCGGGAAACGCCATTATAACATAAAACATTATTTATTGGAATCGTAGAATTTAATAAAATCGACCCATGAACAATCCAATCCTACTGAAATAATGTAATAATAATATTTCACATTCAGAGGATTATCAACCGGCCATTTCCACAACAAGACAATAATCGTCATCAAGAACATAACCTTGAGGGTCACGATGACGAGTAGTGTAGTAATAATAACAATATTATAATATTTTCGTCCATAATCGGTCAATGTAAACAAAGAACGAAAAGTTTTATAGGGAAATAAAATGAAAAATATCATGACGGGTTATTACTATGTTATTAACTTGGCCAATGAAAAACGCGGAAGTTCGTGTAAGAATATAGGAATAAGATAAGATAATTTTAAAAACAGGAACTCAATAAAAGAAAAAGTAAAAACCGATATTTTTAATTACAATTCTAAATTTATAAAAACAGTGTCTCCAGTTAGAAAAAAAAAAACATTACATTTTTAGCTGTTATTTTCAGAAAATAAATTATCGTATTCCACCCGACTCGAGTTAGAGTATCAACATTGTTCATGGCTTTTATCCGATCAACAGAAACCTTTGCGCCATAACAATAATATTACATTGTATTATTATTATTATACATTTGTCAATGTGGCCGAACAGGACCCACGATTACGTCAAACGTGTATCGTCCGGCATACGGTATGCTAATACATAAAATATATATATTATGTATGTATGTGCCGATATAATAACATGTAATGAACGTGATATTATTTTATCGACTGGGCGAATGAAGTTGGTGGTCGGCGGACAACGCCAAACGTGAATATGCGCGCGCGCAAGTCGCGACTAACCATCAGCGACGGCAACTGGCAAGGCCGAATGAGCGGGCCGCGGGAATTGGGGGCCCCTCATGGGGAAACGCCGCCACCGGTATACCACGCCACGCCGGGGTGCCGGTAAAAGGAGGGAAACGACGGCGCCGCGGCACGGCACGAGTGCGCACCGCGAAAACACAACAATACGGCGTTGTGTACACACACAAATACAATCGCGCGCGCGCACACACGCATAAAAAAACAAAAACAAGATAGTGGAACGTCATCGCCGATAGTAACAAAAAAAAAAATAAAATATTAAATATATAAATAATATAATAATACAAAAACTGTCGTGTCCCGGTTTTTGCCTCCCGTAATGTTTTATTATTGTGACGGACTATACAATAATAGTATATATTAATATAGTATTGCCCTTCCAGGCTTTATTATAACATGAGAACGAGGTAGGGTGATCCCCTCTAACACAACGTTACATCCAAACTTTACGGGAATAGGGGACATTCACACACAAGAATACGCGGTTTTCGTAACGTACGTGTCCCACAATTTAAATTCAAAAATAACAACACTGCGTTTCGCATAATTACTGTACGGTTTAATACATTACATCAATATAATATTTCAAAACAAATATTAATATTTTTATATTAAGGAGTTCTTGTTTTCTTAATTACATAAAATTAAATCGATTTGAGTATAACTGCAGTAAATGTTTGGCAACATGAATTATTAAGGTAGAATCGCTTTGGGAACTTATTTATAGTCAATAAAAAACAATTAACCCTATTTGGCGGGAAAATAGAAATAACAATATTACACACATAGACGCATACAATATTGATAAGGCAGTTCTATAAAATTTATATCTACTATGAATTATCCAACTAAAAACAAAATTTCAAGGTCACTCAGTCAAAAATAAGGTATTTGAAAAAAACTATTATTAACATTTAACCGATAATAACAGTTATGACAATAGTCAGTTGCACAAACGGAAATTCAGTCGTTATTTTATGGAAAAATGTATAAAATAGTTAGATGTGTTGGCACTTGGCAATAAAATAATTGTATGTTATGGTAAGTATAAAGTATGTATATCATAACCATTGTACAATATTAAAAGTACTTTATTCGCGTTAAATTAACAATATAAAAATATGATTTATAATAAAACTATAGTGTTACGATACTTAGCTAAATCAAATTTTATGAATATTGTAATGGTCAGATAAATAAAACAAACCGAAACATAACTGACTATGCCTACATGATAAATAAACTAGATTACACGAGTATAAAAAAAAAAAATAATAATATTGCTGTGACCTATGGATAAGGTTTCTTGAACCTAATTAATAATTCATAATGTGCTTTGAATACTTCAGAATACAACAGTCACCAGTTGGAATTAATAAATATCAGAACTTTTACTTATTTCAATAAACGAAATGTGTACAACAATTACAATAATAAATGTTAATAAGATACATATAAAATAACATCGAAATACACACAAATCACTCGTATTACTTCAATCTACGATAACCACAAATCAATTGGACTCTATAATATCAAACAACACAAATGGACTGAAAATTTAGATTAAAATTGAAAATTGGTTATTTCCACTCAAATTGAAAAAAGAAGTTCTTAGCCCAACGCTGTCATTATGATGATGATGATTTCTAGACGGGTTCGCTGTCTTGGACGGGAGGTCAGTCCATCACCAGTGAGAGGGATGGCGGCTCCTTTTCACCAGACGATTGCCTGCCTGGCAAACTAAGTGCACACGACCAAATTTCGAACTAGGCCACTTTTCCTTCTCTTAGTAATAATAATTAAGTATTAAGTATTGATTTTTTTTTTTTTACATGAGTAGTTATTTTGAAACGAATCAAACAAATTGTATGAAAAAATCCAAATAAACATGCTATTCAATTAAATTCAATAAAAGTCTAAAATATACAAAGAAAATTTAACTTGTACCATCTACAATATTAAGTACAATTTATAAAAATTAAGTAATACTTAATATATTGCAGAAGAGTGGAAATATCCAACATAACAACAATAAAATATGTGAACTTGTAAGGAACTTTATTTAACTGATAGTAATAAGTGTTTACCAAATGTTTGATTAAGGCCAAATCATGATGCAGAATCATGAAAATCACAACAATAAATGTTTACAATTCTAACTTCGATTAAATTTCACTATAAATCACAATGTTATACCGCACAAGAACAAGATTATGAAAATAGGATAAACCTATGAAAATCTATTAATAAAAACAAATATATTTAAAACCCAAGTAGCGTTTGATAGTTTCCAAATTGAAACCGTTATTCAAATTATTGAAATGTTGTATTGTAGTTTCTCGTAACGGGCTTAGTTTCAACAATGGCCTGTATCAACAGGCTCAACGCCGATGATGTCTGTCTACTGAAAGGCGATCAATCAAAATATATGAACACAAAAACGAATAATTCGTGAACTATTGACTTTAGGTAACTACCCAGTGTTGTAAAGTGGAGTGAGCACTTGGCTGTTTGGGGGTAATGTTAGATGGGTTTCGATTTGTGGTCGGTGGCCGAGATTTAGTGTTGTTGCGAGAACGTAAATAAACAGCACACAGTGATCGCGATAAACGGAATCAAACAAAGATATTTACATGACCGGCAGACGAGTGATAAGCCGAGGGAAAAGTTAAGTGTGAAATACCGCCATTTTAGAGTCTGTCAAATGGACTTTTGCAACGCAAACGCCGGTGTCCGGCGGCCACCGAGTTGCCGAGCTGGCCGGCGGACGTCGCCTTTGCGTCGGGCGCGCTATCCGACGGAACAGAGAGCGGAAAACTCACAAACAGCCGAGTAAATATGATGTAAATAATACAATTTGTGCACGTACCTGGAACGTAAACATTACAGAACGTGTCGGTTTGTAGCGCACGGCAAAAACGAACGCGTCGGCCACGGCTTTCGTCGAACGGAACACTTGATCGCCGGTGATATGCACTCCGAAATTTCGTTCAACATTTAATTTAAAACGCGTACGGCGACGGGTTATCGACATAGAAACGTTAAAAAACACTTGATTTAACCTAATCGGCCATCTTGTCCGTGTTCTCGAAGAATAACAAAACATCATCGATTCGGGGGTAACGAGCCGCCAGAGTGGGGATGCGCTGCACGGCCGGCGCGGCGCATGGAATGTGCGAATGGCGCAGCATTAAATCGTATCCTCCATGACTGGTTGCGGTTTTTCTCTCCATGGCCGTGTTGTTTATCCTCATTGCCAGAACCCGGAACGGCGGACTTCTCCGGTTTAAATTCGTTTTTCCCTCTTACCGCTTACATTTTAACCCTTTCGTTCCTGGGAATTTTTTTTTTTCTCGAAAAAAAAATCAATTTTTTTACGTATCGGATTGATTATCAATATAGCTGTGTCGATTTTTTTATCATCAATCTGTACTAGAACTTGTGTTTAAAGACATTTTCGATAATGATGGTACGTTGTTAATATTTTATTCAATTTTTTAAAGTTAAATCCTCGTACGAGGATGTCAGTAACGAAAGGGTTAATAATATGTTATGTTTTAAGGGGAACGGAAAGCGTCAAGTTTTTTTACAAAGAAAGACTAAAACAGAAGTCACTTTATGATTTGTCTACCGGACCGATTTCAGACAATGTTATTTTGTTATATAGTTTAGTATCTTTTCTATACGGGCTAAAATGCCGATTTTTTATTTTCGAAATAATTTTTTAAAGCGTTTAGATTTTTACTCAATTATAGTTATTTCTAATACATCTTAACTAATTTTCTAATTGCTTAATTAAAAAATCAGTCTAGCCCCTATAGAAAAAACAGTAAGCAGTAAGCTTTACATAAGAAAAAAAAAATTGAATTCCGTCCAATAAATACGTCAGAAAATGACTTCTAGTTCTACGAAAGTCATTTTTTATCAAACTTTCACCATACTCGGAAAAAAATAACTTTAAAAGTATTATAACTAGAAAAACTTAATATTTTTTCACCTTAAAATTGGTCGGCATTTTATAAATGGCTTCTAGATTAATTTTTGTCAACTATTGCTATTACTCCTTAATAAATAGCGCTTCCCGTCTCCCTTAATATTTTATCATAATTTATATTTTATTTATAATTCTTATTTTTGGTCACCAATGTCCGGCCGGAAGTATAACATGCGACCTACACTTTATAAATTAAATTTAAAACTTATACTCAATTCCAAGGTCACGAAAAACCGATACGATAAAAATACAAGTGCGGTTATAATTGGATAAATACAATTTAGATGAACTTTATTTTAAAGGTTCAAATCATACTTGTTTCAATGATTCAAATGAGCCAAGAAAATATTCATTGTAGAGGTTCACATATGTTCTTCCAAAATGATTAAATGATAAAAACTAATAAGTACTATAATAAATTATTAAACACTGTGTACAAAATAATTGCAAATATTCAGGGAATTTTTATTTAGAAAAATGAAGTTTGGGATATTCAATAATAATCAAAATTAAAATAACTGTATACTTATTACCTGGTTTATACTTTTTGACATCATCTGTTGTTAGAAATGTGGTAACAAATAAAACAATTTAGCACCAGACTTGGAATCAAATTTAAATCTTCCGCATGTTACCTCTTGAACTGCTAACATTATAAAATGTATTTTACTATAAGAAGAATATATAGAAGTATCCTGTTATATTTTATGAATTTGGGTAATATACATTAATAGTGAAATTAACGTTGCCAGTCACTGCTAATCAATTGCCTACATTTTCTGAAAACGCACTAAATATATTTTATGTTACACTACTTTTTATCCACATTAGCCTGGTGAAAAGATCGACGAGCTTAAATATTTTTACAGAACTAAAGTCCAATCATTCTAAGTAGACGTAATTTTGTCAGACTTTTAGGTCTAAATTGGTCTCTTATTAGAACAACAAAATGGCTTTTACTCGTAGAAAAAATTGTCATGTTATAAATTACACCCTAAGGTTTTACAAATTATCTTAAAAATAAATTGATATGGTGAAAATTCATTATATCCACCTTTTTCTTGAATATTTCCTATATAATACCCCTCGAAAACTGCACGCTTTCAATCCCCTTAATAATATAATATTTGTCTGGTCTTACAGTTAGGTATTTGATATTTCATTATATATATTGGTTATTATAAGTGTGTTCTTTAATCGTAGTATTCATAAAACAAATATTTTTAAACTATAAATTTAATCCTTAGTATTGTAATAATTCAAAATATTATGAGTAAAACAAACAAATTATTAAATAGAATAGAAAGAATATTTTAATACACACATTACAAAATAGGTCTTATCTCAATTTTTTCTAAAAATTTCAGAAAGTCAGAAAACTTAAGTTGGACAAAGTAAGATAAAGCATTTTTGTTGGGAATGTTGATTTGATGTTTAGTATGAACAAAATACAGAAATAAATATCAGGCTAAAAATAATACATACAAAAAAAAAACAATAATTAATAGTTAGAATTTTATAAAGTCTTCTAAAAACACATTGAATAAACATATCAAACATATATTTTTTAATGCTAAAAATAATATAAATAATAAAAAAATTTAAAAAAAGGAACTGTAATGTTTGTTTTTTAAAAAAAAGGTAATACTATATAGGAATATTATTAGTTAAAAATTTGCCGTGCAAATGGTGTAGCTGCCCTAGCGAGCCATAATTTAAAGGGGAGCCAAATTGTATTATAATGACAAAAAAAGGGAGTTTGTTGCATAGGGTAGGTAAAATAGGGGATGGTTAGCACGGCAATAGTTAAGTAAAGACTTTAGTTTATCTTCTCTTCTTTTTGTCTTGTTTTCTTGCTCTGTGGTGAGAATTTGGACGGCGCTGAGTAGCAATTGTACTTCCATCCGAATCATCCTCACTCACATCCCCATTATCCTATACAATTCAAAATATTTTCAATGAAACATACAATAATATAGTACTCAGCACTCAAAATTGCTACATTTATTGTTGTGCAGGCAAACCATCAGTTCTACCAAAATTAAATAATTTAAAGAAAAAAGATAAAACTCTGAAGGTTTCTTTAGAAGAAGAAAAAATACATTTGGACAAGACACACTATTAAAAACAGAATCAAAGAAAGAGTAATTGGAAAAGAGGTTAATAACAAAGGATTTATGTGATACAACAATATAATTAAGTATACTTAAAGGTGTGTTTACATTAGGCTGCGAACAAGAACGAGTGCGAATGAATGCTACCGAACGAATTTGGCCGCCCCGTGCAAACTACTCATTTGGGTTTATTCTCCGGCATTCACCAACCTGAATATCATTTCCTTTGATTTTACTGCCACCGGTCTGAACCGCCATGAAGGCGAACGAATGACACGAACAGCCATTTGTTTGCATTCGGCTCGCTGTTTACACTTACATTTTGAAGTGCCGAATTCGCATTCGCAGCGTAATGTAAATACATAAGTTAAGGAATCATTTTTCAGTAAATAGTAAAGCATGGCAAAATAAAGAGCGCCATGTCGTTTGTACTATTAAATCGTAGAGTAATAATATTAAATTGATACACTACATGCGTTTTAAACAATTATTATCACTAATTAATAATAAGTACATAATGTTAAAAAAAAAAAAATTAAATACACAAATAATTTATAAGCATTGTATGTTCTATATTTTTACTGTTTTTTTTATATACATACAGTAGCCAACAAAAACTCATGGTAATAAGGCATGTCATACATAGGTGCAAATACGAGGGGGCTAGGGTGGGCTTAGCCCCCCCAATGCTAGACATAGCCCTACCAAAAAAATTAGGTTATGCATAAAATTTTAAAATACAAAAATATATTTACTTATATATATATTTTTAAAAAAATGTCCAGGCCCCCCAAGTTAAAAATTGAAATTACGCCTATGATGTCACATTTTTTTTTAAGAATATTGCAATAAAAATTTAATTAAATATTTACTCTACCATAAGTTATAAACAAATTTATATTTTACTAGCTACTGATCTCTTCAATAAGTTATGTTTGATGGAGACAATATATAAACATTTTTGTCTGTGTATTAATATTGCACTATTTATAAATAATTGTAAGTAAATATATTGATAATAATTAATAATGATACATACTTTAGTATTAGGATTCTTGTCAGCATTAAACCACAAATTTGCAATGCACAGTATCTGAAAGAAAGCTGCGAAAAGTAAAGTGGAGCGTAAAAATGTAAAGTACCCTAGGTAGTTTTCTATGTCGAAAAAACTTTTTTCTTCGTTGGTCATCCTTAACGTTTAAACGTTACCTATAAAATAAGAGGATTGTTAATGGCGGTTAATCAAAAAGCCTCGACCACCTTAGTAAGCCAAACATCAACTGCAACTTTGGCATGTTACAACCAAATGTCACAGTAACAAACAAATCTAAGGTTCACCAGAATATCGACATTAGGTGGATCAGTGTGCAATATTTTTCAGTAAGGGGTTTGGTACGCAAGGGTGGACGAGACTTGAAGTATTAGGTTTATAGACAATTCATAAGCCAATGGCAGATTTATAGGATATTCAGTGAAGGCCACACCGAATGAAGTTACAGAAAAAAATAAATCAAATTTAGTCAAGTACTTTAAGGGTGGCTTAATTTTATTAGTTGATTTGTTTTTTGAATCGAGGTGAGGCATTATTTGCACTAACGCCTTTCCCATCTCAAATCTGCCATCGTCGTCCGTCATGAACAATATTTGAATAAAATAATCAGTTAAAGAGTATTTACCAAATGCGCTTACAGCAACAACACACTTCGGTAACCGATCACGACGATTACGATTCAAAAATATTAATATGATGATTGATGAAGAAATACAAGCAATGATTTAAGTCTTGAAAGGAGAACAACATACAAATACAAGATAATAGTTAATACCGCATAATATTATGATGATAGTACCAAACAAATATTATGTACATATATCCCAAACTGCACAGCTGTTAACTGGAATCTAATCAATACAACAGAGGTCAGAGCAGCTGCGCAGAGCAGTCCGGTCACAGCATTATGTATTACTATATCCATGGCTTCGTGATGTATCATACATGTAAGTTGAATATCATCTTATATAGCTGTGGCGCAGGTGCGAGCATCTTTGCTTTTTCTAAGAACGCACTGTGTCCGGGCGAGAGCGCAATTTCAAAATAAGAATAATCAATATATTACTATATACAAGTATTCCTGAGACTGTTAAAATATATTAATTATCGCACTGTACAACACGATTTTAGAACAAGAACCAAATTAATAATTATAATACATCATACACTCTTGTATATTTTATTTCGCTTGAAACGACATTTTCTAGCAAGACTAGTGGTTATTAAAAATTGTCTCCAAAGCGTGTGTTTGGATAATAATTGTTTTTAAATACAAATTTTTTGCAATTTTTATTGCTGAATTCATAACTAGACCCTGCGAATTTTAATACAATTTTTAGTTATATTTTAAACACAATGGGAAATTAGAAAATTCCGATTTACAAACTCAGGGTTAGATTTGATGTGAACAAATCCTATAAAACGTATATCTTGGAGTTTTGTTCCAATAAAAAGACGACATTTTGTTGTGCGGCGGTATAAGTCATAAACAAGTGGTTTACACAAATGTTTTGATCCTTTTAATAAAAAACATAATATATTTTTTTATTATAATCAAACATACAATTGTTTCCATAATAAATTGTAACTATTGAACAAATTGAGTCACGTTATTGGCTTCAATGTTGGTTTACTTGATGTTTTCTTTAAAACTGCAGTCAAATCTTCCACGTTCAGATTCTACTTAAAAATTAAATAAAACGTTCATTAGTACATACTAATTAACAAAAAAAAAATTGATAGATGTTAAAAATGTGTTTAAATTGTATTAAATATTCTATTTAATACAATTTGTTGCATATTTTAATCAGTTATATACTTTTAAAGGTTTTTACCTTTTCGGCAATTTTTAACTCGTTCCAACTGATGTCTTGTACTAAAGCCGAGCTAAAACTTTCTTGGTTAGTAATTTTCAAGAGTTGCAATAGTTTTTTTGACATGAATCTATTGGATTGCAAAGTTAAAAGTTCACAAATAATTATATTTAAATCCAATTCCGTCAAAGTTTATAACCATCCGTTTTTTATAGGTTACCTATTATATGAAATCGGAAGCCTACTTGTTGACCGGAATGCTATAAAGATCAGTACCTAATCCATACAACATAAGAAGCAGGACGCTCAATATCTCTTAAAACAAATGCAGTTTTGTAGTTTTTATTTTTGTAAAATTCAGACATTGTTTGTTTGGGTTATTTTACAATATCATAAACTAACCAAATATTTACCATTTTAAGTAATTTCCAGACATCTTATCAACTTAAATGGTAACATGTAATTAAGTTTTTAAATTAAGGATAATTTTCATAAAATGTTGACTGGTCGATAACTAGTTTTAAAATCTTGCTACAAAATTGCAATTATATTTAAGAAAAATGAGTGTCTCACCTCTTACAGTTAATGAATTACCAGATCACGCACCTTGTACACGGTGGTTTAAATATCATCTAAAAAAAACTTTTCAACAAAGTAAAAATGCATTTTTTTAACGTCAAGGCCTCTACACTAACGTTTATTAAGGCGTTTTGTATAGGCAATTTTTCGCTAAGTCTTAACATCAGACTTGACATTAAGATTAAGGTAAAAATTTTAAACATACTTAGGAAAGAATTATCTATTTTGATAATTATTTTTTTTAAACTTTTGTAACGCATATATAGAATCTATTTTTGTACAAAAACATACGTTTCTACTTCAAACGTAAAAACATATTGAATTCTTCATAACATTTTCAAGGCATCGACTGTGGCACAATTTTAAAATTATTTTTAGTTAATTAATTTTTTTAATGTAAAAAACTGCAATTTTTATTTTTTTAACTAAAATAATTAATTAACTAAAAATAATTTTAAAATTGTGCCACAGTCGATGCCTTTGAAAATGTTATGAAGAATTCAATCATTTTTTCAAAACTTAAATCGGAGTATTTTCTTAGGAACAATACGTTTGAAGTAGAATGAGTTGTTTTAGACCAAAAATATACTGGTGTAGAGGCCTCGTAAATACAACTGAAGTGATTCGAACCAAAAGGATACAAAATACAAGTGACCATTTTTTTTTTATAAATAAAAAGAGTTTTTTTTATTATAAAGTACTTGTCAATGGACGCTATATCTATCAGTGTTTGTTTTATTTTTATCGACGATTATTGTATGGGATATTGAAACAACCGGTGGATATTATCTCCCATACGAAGTAAGAACACATTAAAAAAATAATTTCCAATATGGTCTCCTGTAGAATTATATAAAAACAACTACCTACTACTCTTTTTAGTTTTCCGCTGTAGATCCCCTTCGACCCCTTAAGCTTGACGCAAATATTTTTTAAACTGACACCACCTGGCACCAACATTATTTGCGTTTCTTACATCTTTATAACCAGAGACAACTATAAATTAACAGTTTTTAAGTTTTGTCCCTCCAATTTGTCCCCCCAAAAACAGTCGATTTTCACTCTTCAGCGAATGCTGAATGGTGATTGCTGTGACCGTTGTACCTGATGTCTGCGTTAGCGTCTTCGACGGCGGCCACGCAATTATTGAGCACTAGACGTCTAGCCTCTCTCAGGCCAGGCGCAGTCAACAGCTTTATGGGATCGACTATGGCCGTAACGCAATGCATCAACCGTAACTGAGCTATTTTGACGGCCGGGTTTTTGTGTCGGCAGTTGGCCATCGCCTTGATGGCCATAAGCGACGGCACGCTCATCACCATCTTGTCCAATGCCCAATTGGCGTCAATCCGCAACTGTTGGTTCTTATCCGCGGTCCGATACATCAGTGCCACAACAATATTATCGAACATCTAATTTATTATACAAAGGCGGTCCGGATTATTATAAAATATATTATATCCGTCCAGTATTCTCAGGACTCAGCTACTCGGTAAGCCGATTGTATACGGAGTACTTAATTATAGTACAAATAACAAATGTTGGTAAAAATGTACATTTTAGAAAACAATCTCATCGAATTCGATGCCATAATATAATCCTTAAACAATAAACTTGCCGGACGGTCTGTGCAACGCATTGTCCTAAACAGTTCCCCAGCCGATTGGCACGCCAGTCGAACATTCTGGACGCGCTGGTTGTTGAGAAAATCCACCAATTTCATGCTGATCGCGTTCAGATGAGGTCTCAACACATCTGCATGGTATCGTGCTATCTGCACGGCATCGCATAATGCTCTTTTATGATCTTCTCTGCGGGCAACACACATTAGCGCGGATTATTGAACAATATCATGTTTGGGATTTTTCAAAATCTCAATAAACTTAATAATAATAAATTATAATAAATATAATTATATATTGTAGCACCGAGCTAAGTATTAATGAAATATGGATTTGTGTACAATCAAAGGAGAAAGCAAATAATAATAATCGGTTTGTACTTAGTAATGTACCTGTGTCTATATATATATATATATATTACCTGTGTTCTATGGTGTTGAATTTAAACATATTTTCGGTTTGTAGAAATTAGAATAAACATTAAATTAGGTATTTAAGATAAATAGTCTCACATATTAATGTTTCGGAAGCGGTTTAAAACAGACTTCATAATTTCATTGGGATTGCCCAGCGCAGGTTTATCTGGCAACAAGTCCGTCACACATCCAATAACGGTATCCATTTTCGATAAAAATTTTCTGCGAGCATGGCGGAATAATAACGAAAGGCATGATTAATATCATATTTTTTTATATACATTGATATGTTTGTGCACAGTGGCGTACATGAGCACCAAGAGTAATTTAGCGTGGACTTAGCAATAATTACCCAGTATAAATAAAATAAAACAAAAATTCTGCTTAATCTTTCCTTAAACATATTTTAGTATGTAGTAGACGTTAACAAAAAAAAAAAACCTAGGAAGTTATTCCCAGAAAGATGTTCATCTATAATATGTTGATTATTATAAAATTTCGCTGGTTTTCGTTTGATCATACGATTACCACGATTCCTTCTAGGTACTTGATCGTTTGGGCAAGTCTTTTATAAAAATCAAACATGAAAATCATAGTGTAATTATTTTTAATGTATAATATTTAGTCATTGATCGCTGCTAATTTAGAAATTTACTCGATTAATGATAGGTGATAAGCGTTAAATGGTAATTTTTCATTCAAGTTTACAATAAATTGTGTCCGTTGAAATAAAAAAATAAAAATTAACTATGTAGACCCGTGGGAGGAACAAAATAAGCGCAGTCATTTCGATTTTCTCAAAACTGAAAGTTGGTAGGTATATGCACGCCACTGCTCAAAGCATAAGTATTACAATCAAATTTAAGCACAAGTTATTAGAAGTCGACGATAAGTTTGCATTATCTGCTAATGCTTGACACTGGATAACTGAGGACTCCGTAGACTTGAGACTTGAATAGTTTTCCACACTTTTATCAGTTTGTTTGGATTCTAAATATTATTATTCGATGTAGTTTAAAATTGAATCGGATTGTACAATAAACATTATCCTAATGTTTAGGGGATTTTATTCGTATCTTGTGGAACTTGAATGATAATAATATGTAAATTACTTTGCAAAGAAATACGACCAAGGCCATTGCAAGTAGGACAGTCGACGTAGTCATTTTGTTCGGAAACCTTGAAAACATTTTTTTTCTTCAAAACAAAAAAAAAAATGTATTTATAATCAATTTATTTTACAAAATCTTACGTTACCATCATTTTAATCCTGCTCGAGAAATAATAGTTAAAACTATATTACATAATATAGTCGGCTACGTATAAAGTTGTAAGCACAATATGTATTTGCTCGTATATAGGATTTAATAGATTTTAAACAAAATCATCTCATTTTGTAGTGTTGATGTAACTAGATTCAACATGATATTATCGTTATGGCAATATCATCCAATGGACGAGTAAAAGTATTAGTAGTATAAATAATATATTTTTAATTATTTTTACCGTTTACCAGTAGGTACCTACATCTCTGACAATACTATTATTGCGAATCTTAATTTTCTCATGGATAAATATTGTCAAAACGTTTTGTCTTTGTTACAAAAATGTACTTATTTTTACTTTGTTTCACCAAACTTTAAAATATTTTGTATACCTAATAAATTGTTGTGACGTGCAATCGGTAGATATATTAAATTTTATACGATTGTTTAAAAAGTAACACTGAAATCGTTTAAAAGCTGTATTTTTTTTCTGTTCGCAAGTTGTAACAAAGACTGATAACAATAAAATTGGCCTTCAAACCGTTTAAAATCCTTTTCGACCTTGGCAGTGACGGCACGCAACACTTATATATTTTTGTTATTACCATAAGAATTTTTAGAAACGCCTTATGTATTAATTCGTTTTAAGTCGTGTTTTATAAAAAAAAAACACCCGAGACCAGAGTTCATAAATTAATACAATACAATTAAATAAACCCAAGTTAGTACTTATAGGAACGGTATGATCGAATTGTGGTTACCCGGGATACACGACCAGTCGTATTTAAATATTGATCAAACATAATATTTTGCGAAAAAAGCTGTAATTTGTTTACCACTTTTATATAGTTTCCCAATTAATTATTTTGTACAATTTAAATATGGACGTAGTATCGCAAGGCGAAGTGGATTTGTTTATAGATTGTATCAGCGAATCCAAGTTGGACGAATTGGGCACAAAAAAGTAGGCTGCATATTTTACCTGTGTTAAACATTTGTTGGTAACCCAGAGACATGAATACCTAGGTTTAAGTAAAATATACTATGTATTTTAATTTTTAAACTTAGCTGTAATACATAATTTATAAGTACATACATGGAAACTAATGAGCATACTCGGGGATGATTAATATTTCTTTACAAAGGCTTTATCATTGCAACATAATCATTTTTTAAGTAGGTACCCAATTGTAAATGGAGTTAGACATGGCTTTGAAATTAGCTACCTACTTAAATAATATGAAACTACTTACGATTATTTATGAATAATTGATCAGATAACTGGCGGCATGACCGATCTAACCATTAAAAATTATAAAAATAAATGTTGTTTGGATTTATGATTTAATGGCATTATGCTTCTTATATATATATATATATGTATGATCTAACATTGTGATATTATTTTCTTTTGCAGATGGTTCGAAAACCACGATCGATTGCAAAAACTTAACCAGCAGGCAACATTGGAAGCGACTGAACATCGAGAGGAGTACATCAAAGATCAAATCATCAGTCGTGGAAAAGTAGTGTTAACTAGTCTTTAATAGGGGAGGGGAGGGGCAGGTTGCACCCTGTCAAAAACCAGCAACCAAAGTGACGAAGCACGCCCCTTTATTGTTAGGCTTTGACCACGCAATTCTTTTTCGATCATATCAAAAGTGGAAAAAACTCAATTTTTCCAAAAGTTTAAATTTACCTCAATTTAATACTTTATTAAAATAAAATAAGAGTAACGTTTTTTTTCTTCAAATGTTTACAATTAATGCTTCTTTTAAAAAACTACATTGGGGTTGGCGTCGGACCTGATATTATAAATTGCTCATTTATATTTATACACATTATATATATATATTTAAAAAAAGGTACCGGTGTTAGTGTATGAAGCCGTCTGCGTATCACTGTGGAGGGAAAAAGTGCTACCAGAGCTGTTGCGCATATCGTCAAATGCTGATCAATCGTTTACGGTCTACTTTGTTGTACGATCATAATATTATTAACTATTTGTACTTCTACTAAAATCGTGTATTTCCTATAGCTTTTTCATGAAACCGTTGCTGTAGGATTGTTGCAAAAGATATTGTTCCATGAAGACGGAGTTCAAGCTCTTGGCAACAATGCATTGGATTTATTCGATCACGTAATCATGTCGATCACTCACTTAGCAATAGGGTACATAATTCCTATGGTTATTCTTAATATTTTACAATAAGTCTTATCTCTCGTCTAGAGTGTAGTTGAACACATACGTACTGTGGAAAAAAATTATTGCACAGGTGGTTGTTCCCCAAAAGGTGGGTGGGTACAACTGGGTTGAAGGTGATTATGTCTTGATACCAATATTGTAGCTCACACAAAATGTTTAAACTCAACACATATTACTATTAATTTAATGAAAACAATCTGTATTGGTTAGGGACTCCAACAACTTCTGTATTGGCGTCAAAATGAGAGATGCCGAGGTCAAAGACGATATAGCAGAACAAAAACACAGAATACAATTTGACGTAGGCATCGAGTGCATTGGCATTATGTTCAACATGCTGCTACATTTAAAAAGGTATAGTAAATTCCTATTCCTATCTGTATTTAGTTAGTTTCTTAATAAATAAATGTGTTTTAGAAAAACATTTGTGATGGATTAATAATTTTGAAAAATAGTATTTTATTATTTTTTTAAGTAACTTAATTTAAAACGGGTAACACCTAAAATCTATTTTAAATTGTATTATGACACACTGTTACAGCTTGTCGTTAACTGTTGCCGCTCGGATGACTATGAACAACGACGTGCCAATGTTAATTTGCCATTTGTTAAATACAAAGCCGTGGGTCAAATTAGAAGGTGACAAAACGTACACGTTTCAAGGTAGGTATATACCTATAAAGTAGGAAGGTAGGTCAATAGTTTTAAACTTTGTTCGATTCAGCATGTTTATAATTGATTTAGATAACACATGGAAAGTTAAGAATAAAATTGATAATCAAATACCAAAACATGAAGCTCATTTGTGGATGAGTCTTCACGAATTTTTTATGGCTGAACAATTGCGCAATAATTATGAAATCACTCAGTTCAGGAAAAGAAATCTTGCCCAAGTAGAATCACAAAGATATTTGATTTATGTGATACACAATAACAATCTCTTTATTATTTTACAGTTACAAAATTTGCTCAATGACAACATTTTGAATCAAATATCACCGTTAATAAATTTAAAACAATGTTTATACCGATTAACACTCACCGATGCCCCAACTACTACTAAGCGTCCTCTTTTTATAGAAATTACAGCTGAGGTAAGTCATTATTTGATTTGGGTAAAAATCCATTTAACTAAATGTACGTACATAGATAAGACCTACTCTGCTGAATGCTTATTCTAAGCGATGGAAAAAAATTGCAAAATCACAAGTGTTGCATCTGTTTGGAAATGATTCTCACGATATTGCAAAGTCGTAAGTAAAGAAGTATGAATTAAGTTTAAGCATAATAATTTTGATTATTTTTTAATATTAGATTAAGTGAAACTTATGAGCATATAGCAATTTTCGAAGTTCAAGACAACGTTTGTGCCAACTGTCGACAACCAGCAAAAAATCGTTGTTCTCAATGTAAAAATCAGTGGTACTGTAGCAGGTATATAAGAAAAATAAGTATTTTTTAAATAATTTTTCACCCATAATCTCGTTATGTTTTTAGGAAATGTCAAGTGGGCGATTGGCAACAGCACAAAAAAAACTGTCAATAATATCAACCGATAGCAGATTCGTAGTTCGTCTATTTTCTATTATAACAAATTTGAAATTAAAATACTTCATTCAATAAATTTATCTATTATGTCCATCATCGACTCTGGTTTTGGTTTGTCACATATTCCAGTCAAAGCATATCCGGCTTCTTCAATAGCAGATGCTGTAGTTGGGCCAATAGAAAATATCTGAAAATTGTTTTTTTTTTAATAAATAAAATTAATATAAATTTGATTGCAATATTTATTTTGTATCTGTAAACAATCTGGTTTCACAAATATATACTCAGTGACACATGAAAAACTAACACCCCCAAACAGTCCACTACAAAAATAATTTTTTTCTTTTTCTTCTACAATTAACAACTGAAATTATTTAACAGTTAAATACTTACGTGTAATTTGTTTACAAATTCTTTTGGGATCAGTTTAATGCAAGCTTGAAAACCTGACGGACTGAAAAAAACTAATCCTATCCGATATTTTATGGTATCAAAAGCCAATTTTAAGTTTTTTTCCAGATCACTATGTGGTACTGTTCTGTATATTTCGACATTTTCTAATTTAACTGTGTTTAAATTATCAGCCAATATGTTGAGGTTTAAATTTCCACACGGGGCTAACAAAGGTTTGGATAATTCATCTGAAATAAGCAACGTTACACTATTAATTGTGTTTTTATTACATTAAATATACTTAATATTTTTCTGATAAAATTGTATTTACTAACACTCGAATATATTTATATAAATATATTTAAAAACCATGTACTGGCCATTGTAACTTGAGAAATTTCTGACTAACTAACACCTTTTACAAATTTTAAGAATTTTGTAAAGTAAATAGATATTTTTTATCATCATCAAGTTTATTAACTTTTACATTTATTGTTCTTATGAAAGACGCTATACATTTTAAAATAATTGGCACCAGTGCCGTGGCATTTCCAGTGTTTGCTCCAATGGGTTTCTGATTCAATTCTTTAGTTACTAATCTGGCTGTTGCTTCTCCAACAACAAAAATTGGCTTATTATGCCAATTATTATTTAATTTACTATTGTCTAAACATTTTAATACACCTCGGACACATCTTGGACTAGTTAACACCAAACCTGTCAACAAAAATATGTATATTTAATATGAGTATTCTTTCAAATGGGCAAAATAAATCAATAGGTGATTTTTAAATAGCAGTATTTCAATGGATTCTATCTTAACATAAAAAATCACAGTTCCCAGGTTTATCGTGTATCAATGTTACTAAATGAATGCCAGGTTATGTCGAAAAATTGTTTATTGTAACAGTTTATTCAAATTTAATCAACCAACCGCTAGCCACTATTTCATGTTAAAACAAACAACTTAAAAGCAACCGGACATTAGTATGAAATATTTTAACTAATAGGTAAATCATGTTATACAATAACACAAAATGTATCACTAACCCGAGTAGTCTTGTGGATTTTGTAATTTTTTTCTTAACTCATCTAAATTATAATACTCAAATTGCAGCGTAGGAACAAAATGAGCGTCGTATCCTTTCTCGTGTAAAACCTCAATATACGGATCTGTCGATTCGTTCTCTTCGTTTTGAGCTTTCAAAATGATGAAAGACATCTTTCCAGTCATGATTTAACAACCTATGATAAACAAATTTAATGTAAACGTATAGAATACACTTAAATCGAGCACATTATTATTCTTTTTAATTAAGAAGTTTACTAATTTTATTTTTTGTAAAATTATTTTTTACGAATTATGTTTGTTTGAACGTTTTTATTTTTTAGTCTTGTAATTTTTATCGTACAGATTGTAATGACTAATCACAACGTATGAAAATAGTATGCCGTATGCGGATAGTCTGTCTCGCTTAGTGCACGTCGCACGATGACCTTCTTATCAATTACTATACTATAAACTCAGAAGACATAATAATAATAATAATAATACCATATGGCAGGTAGCTAACCTGGTAAATTGTGAATTTTTTTTTTATGATAAAAATTGAATTACTAATACAAGCGACTAGTCGAGCCGAGTCCCTGTGTGAGGTGTACTCAGTACCGACTACTAACTTTGAAGTGATTAATTCGAGGCTTCATTATAGCCAATACTACTACTTTAATAGGTATTATAACATAATATTGTGCACTTTGTATGCAAGTCAGCTTATTTATTTATTTTTATAGTGTAAAAAAACTCAAGTGATTATAGTGACTTATCCGGAGTATTCTAAACTCTAATCAGACGGCACATTTGCTCATCAGTCATCACGGCCTATCCTTCGCAGACACAGTGTCTTTCTGCTTTCCGTCATTTTGAAATATTTCCATTTGGTGTCATGGCCATACTGCTTAAACCAAACCACATTATCACAGACTAGCTGCAGTAGCCAGTAGCAGACTGCAGAGCATACATTTTGATTTTCAATCATAATACATTTTATTTTCATAATATAATATGTTTTCTTTCGGTTCAGTAACTACTAGTTTTAAAATATCAACTTCGGTGTATTGCACTGTACACAAGTTATAAGTTACATTGTATTTGTTCAATTATGATCAGCGATTGGCGAACACCGACGTTGGCCACGGTACAACGACACTGTGAATTGTTATAGAATAGTCAAAATTCAACCACAAGTATACAAAAATGAGAGAATACTGCACTTGGTCGTGCGGCTTCAACAATAGCAATATCATTTTTCTGGATTCGACGTTTTCCGTTGTTTGGGCGTCAGAGAGGATGTAATAACCGAACAACTGTATTCAAGTGGTGTAGGTTTCTAGTAACTTCGAGGAAACTGCACAATGCCAAAATGCGGCTTGCACACAAAGTATTTGCCGGCGACTTTCGCATGGATACTATTGCTCGGTACAACGGGTGCCTTTTTTTATTACCCGTAAGTTGTTTGTAATTGTACCATTTTTTATGTATAATACGTCATGATGGTTTTTGTTGGTATCAGATGTAGATTTTTTGCTCAAAAATATCCATGGATACCGATCGCCCATGCAGTTATAACGTTTTTTGTCATAGCTAATTTTACATTGGCTACTTTTATGGATCCTGGAGTTATACCTAAAGGCAAGTTAAGCGAGTACCCACAATTAAATAATATTTTGTTTAATAACAATTGACTGCGCATGTTTAGCACCAGAAGATGAAGATACTGGCGATGACTTCCAGTCTCCACTGTATAAATCTACAGAAGTAAACACTATACAAGTGCGAATGAAATGGTGTGCTACATGTAGATTTTATAGGCCTCCAAGATGTTCTCATTGTAGTGTCTGCAACTGTTGCATAGAAGTAAGGCGTACATATATATTTATTATTTATTGCCACATTTAAGTTTATTAATGAAAAATGTTTTTTTTTTTATATATATAGACTTTTGATCATCATTGCCCTTGGGTTAATAACTGTATTGGGCGTCGCAACTATCGCTACTTCTTTTTCTTCCTTATATCACTCAGCATACATATGGCATCTATATTCAGTGTATGCTGTTTGTATGTTCTAGTCCACAAGGAAACAATCGGAGATGTCGATACATTAGTTTCGTATCCTTTTTTTTGGACAAAATGTTTTATTTGTTAAAAGAGAACAAATTATAACCAATAGAAAGAAATTGAAAACGGCCATTCATTAAACTATGAAAAAGTTTATACATTGATAGCTCTACTTTATTGGGTAGTATTTTAGCCATTTGGTTCAAATATTATTAATTAAAAATGTATAGTTTTTAAGCGGTGGTATTGTATTTAGTATTGGTAAAATTTAGTAACTTTCAATAATTAAAAAAATTATTATCGTCTTTATCAAACTATTAGTTATAAAGAAAATAGTATTTTTTTTAGCTGATTATTAATCTTAGTTGATTGATTTTTTGGGCTCTATAACTTATTATGTTAAGCCAAACAAGAAGTGTTGTAAAAAGTTTAACAGTTTATTTATTTATTGAGTGTACCAAGGTTGTTCGGCTTGTTAATAAAAGCCATTAATGTAGTACCAGCAGATTCTAAAGTAGATAAAATCATATTTTGTATTAAGAAATAGTAAATATTTTTGATATGAAGTGTTATGTTTTTTAATATTCTCTTAAATTTTTTTACAGTAAAAACACTTGCTGGATCCCACAAAACTTTATTATTTTCGTAAACTGTGTTAGACTTTTTACAATGCGCTAGTAGGACACACCTAAGGCAAAAAGCACGTGTATAACATATGCTCGATGTAATATGTGAGTAATTTATTTTGTTAAGCAACATAAAAATATGCAGACATGAAACGGGTCCAAGGGTTTATGGAACAAGTGAAGTTATGTGCCACTCAACATTAGTACATTATAGCAATAATTTTATAATAATAATAATAATAATAATATAAGACGTTTATCCTTAACCAGCTTATTAGGTTAACATTATGTGGCTTGGTAATTGTTTTATTTATACCAATATTTGGTTTGACTGGATTCCATGCTGTACTAGTGGCACGTGGTAGAACAACCAATGAACAAGTTACTGGTAAATTCAAAGGAGGTTACAATCCATTTTCACATGGTTGTCGCTTGAATTGTATATTTATTTTATTTGGACCTCAATTTCCTAGGTAAGTATAAGTTTATATAATATTTATGATAATACAACAAAGTTTGGTAATTATAATATTTGTTTGATAGTTTGTTAAAAGTGAAAAAGTCTAAGTATCAAAAGCATAAAAAACAAATTCAAAACAGTTTTAATGTTCCGCCACCGTTGTTAACTAAAGAAGAAAATTGTGGGCCACCAGTTGCCAAAACCTATTTGGATAACAGTAATGGCTTGCATCATTCCTCTAATAGTTATAATAAGGTAAGAAAAAAAAATATTTTCTTTGAAAAGATATGCTAAGCCGAGTAATTATTTTTTTTATTTGTCATAGATGTCTCCCGGGAGAGATTGTCCAGAATTGGATATTGAACTGACTGCTTCTCAGTCTCAAGACTGTGAGCCAACTCCACCACTACAACGGCAAGGATCAAAAAATAATTTTTATTTGCCATCGTATGATACAACGGATAGTACTAGGATGAGTTACATGACACGCACAGCCCCTCATCCTACTAGGCCACGGTAATTAAAATATAATTATTGTTTTTCCTAATTTGGAATTTCCTACATTACATGCTATAGCCAGTGTAACAGTTACATTTAGCCGCCCGTTACCACTCGCCTCCAAGTATGCATTAATAGCAGTTTACCCCGATTAGCATGTAAGCCATTATAGGTAGGGGAGACAACAGACACACGGGACAATGCCAGGGGCACCGATGCCCAGTTAGTTGACATACTACCATCTTCGGACCGCGACCTAATTATTCTAAAGCCATTACTTATTATTTCACGTTACATTACTATTTAATATTTCTTTTAACTTTACCCGTACTCGTGTGTCCGTTCAACTCCGCCATTACCTGGACTAACTACAGAGAACGCTTTAGGATCCATGTAGAGGTGTAATATATATGTACATACCTTTACTTATTTAATAAACCTGTTTTCGTTTCTTGGAACACTTGAGAGTTAAGTTATTTAGAGGTACGATCGCCTGTTAAGGAGACTTTATGGATATTTGAGTGTACATACGGCCTAGCCATCGTCCCGTCTTCGGGTCCACTAATTTAACCCTATACTCTGCGCCATGAGAGAAGTAACCCGTTTCGCGCATCACGACTGACGGCCGCGACTGTTCCGAGGTCCCATTTCCCCCACTTTGTGCCATTCAGTGTCGCGCTGAGGCGTGCATACAGCGCGAAACAGGCGATATACAGAGTGATTGTATATAGAGTATATTATTTATTATAATTGTGAATGATTATATTATATTGTCATTTATCAATTATATATATAATTATTTATTTATTTAAAACACATACGATAGTATAACATAGGTAATTAATTTATATATTAATAATATAATATTAATATTAATATTTATATTATTATATTAATAAACTAATATAATTTATTATATTAATTTATAAATATAAATATAATATGTTATTATTATAACATATTTTTACAACCAGGTCAAGTGAGGTCAGAGGTTATTTTAAAATTAAAATTAAATAATATTTAAATTAAAATTAAAGCTAAAACATATTTAAATTAAAATTAAAACTAAAAAATATTTAAATTAAAATGAAAATAAAATATATTTAAATAATATTGTTATATTATTATTATAATAGTAATAAAATAATGTAATAATTCAACAATAAAAGCAAGCGCGTGGTTCAAAGACGTAAGACGTGAGTTTTGTGACTTGTGACATACTGTATCGTGTTTACGTTATGATATACCCTATATAAGCAGCGCCGCCGCTGCCGCCGACCGTGGGTGTGGCCTATCGGTGGTGATGCGCGGAATCGAACGCGTTTCGGTCGAGCAACGGGTTACTTCTCTCGTGGCGCAAGGTATATCGACGGTCGTTTCGGCTTAGCCTAGCCAACTAGCCAAACAGACACGTTACACCAGTATATCAAGTGATTAAAAGGACATGATGTGGTCAGCCACTGCGGCTGAATAATCTCTATTAATAAAACAACATAATTGTAAAAAAATAACCAGTTAATTATATTGGCAATAATAATTTCTAAAATTGATTACTATAGAATGGGTGAAATTGGTAGCAGTCTTTCAAGAGAGACCATGTTTGATCAAAACCGCCAGCCAAATATAGTAATGCAAAGTCCGACTATGCAACAGAGAATGAAAGCAATCGGAGTACCAACGCCTTTGACCATGTCCAGTCCGTTAAGACGGTAAATTAATATTAATATTAAATTCCAGACCACTAATAAATTTGTAGTTCAATTTAAAGATTATTAAAAACAAATGATAGTAAAATTAAATTAATGTAGTAGCATTTAAATAATTTCTATTATTCTTGTATTGTATTTAAGATCAAACCCAGGAACTCCTACTCAGATCAAACGCCCAGACTTCATAGGAGTTGGAACGTCTTCAAAGCACTACGACTACCAAGAACGTAGCCCTCAGAGGCGTTTCCTGTCTGAAGGCGATATTTTGCGTGAACACGACAGACCCCCATCGTATCCACGTATAAACAACACTGTAGACAACATCCAAGAGTTAGCGGGATCACCTCAACGCGGTGTATACACGTGGAAAGACACTCCTGGAACTACCGGTTCATACTATGTTCCTAGACAAGCTCCATCATTTAACTACTGCGCGGCTCATAACGACTATCGATCTAATCCGACCAGTCCCACTACTAAGAGTTATTATCCCGTTCGAGGCGGTGTGCCAGTATACCCCCCACAACCTTCGCCTGTAGGAAAAAAGAAGCCTCCCCCCGTGCAAAACAGAAGACCAATGTCTTTTGCCAGAGCTTTAGATCACGATAATATGGAAATGTCAATTAATAGAGGAAATAACACTGACAGCGGGAGCCCTGATAGAAAAAGTGCGTACGACAAAAACTATGAGATATCCGTGTAAACGTGTTGTTTCCAAATAACTTTTTGTATATTATTATGTTAGGTTATTTTAAGTTATGTGCATTTTGTACAAACTAATGTTGATTGTAAATATATACATTTTTTTTTTTAAATAAAAAAAATTACAAGTTATTGCCGGTAAAGTCGTGTGTTACAGGGTGTTAAAAAGAAAATTATGTTTCATAGCGAACAATTATTATTTAGTTAAAATTACATTTTTATATCATCATAACTAAAGACTCAATCTATGTATAAATATATGTATACATCATAATATATTGCGGCTAATCAACTTAAAGATTTTTGTCATAGTTAAGCATTTAAATAATATTCTAAAATGATTTACTATGTACAGAAATATATATGGAACAAATCTAATTGGTTACAATTTTAATAATAACTATAATAAAAATAAAAATTGTACTATCCTATAATTATGTTACAATTTAAAAATATTTTTAAGTTCATGTTTGACGAGTATTTATTGTGTAAAGTAAGCGAAGTTCTAATAATTTGCCGACACTTCTGTAAGCACCCTGTACTGTTTTTATAGTTTTTACTAACATTGCGAAATTTAGATAACAATTGTTTTCCTTCTCTTTTTGTACTTTGAAAATTGTGTGAAAAAAAAAAATAATAATAAAGAATAGAAATAAATATTATTAGTTTATTTTTTTTTTAAATAAATAATTACTTAATTAGTATCTCAATAAATGCATACTTAATGACCAATATTTATTATTTTATTATTGATCCATTTAAATTAAATCCACAAAATTGGTTTATTTTTATAATATGTACATGTATTTAGATTAACAGTAAAATAAAACGCTCAATTTAACATACTTAAAATTAATCATTACGATCCACTGGCTGATCATCGGCTTGACCATTACCCCAATTGAAACCACCTGGACGAAATTCAGGGGGTGGTACGTGATCGTCCTCCGGTGCTGGATCAAGAAGATGTTTCCTAAAATTGACAATCATAATTATAGTTTTAGTTGTTGCATATTTTGTAATAGTAATTATAAAAAAAAAATTATTACAAAAACTGTGGTGTTTTAATGACTTTCACGTTTGACCGGTGTTGTGGAAGAACGTCTTCTAAATAATAATAACAGTGACCAACGACAATGCCCATTAAGTCAACCCAAGGTGTATTTCCCAACAAGACTGAAAATCCCAGTAATACCCACGGTAAATATGGAGCCTGCGTCAAATAATAAACACAATTTAATTTTTTTCATAGTTATAAAAAAAAAATGCAACATTGCATTTGTTTTTCTGTACGACATTGTACAGAAAAACTAATAACAATTTTTTTATTTCCAACATGCCATAAAAATTTATGTTGAACAGTTACCTGAAAGTTGAGTACACCAAAGAAATTCATCCTGATATAAGGATTTCTTCGAGACCATATATATACCAACATGATTGTAAATGCTTGTCCCAGAAATAATAAATTTATGAAAAAGGCCCAAATCTATTATTGTTTATTAAGTAAAATGTTCCTTAATAAACTATTAAAACATTCTACAGGGTGGGGCGTAGCCGACTGACGAGTTTTGAGGGGCTATAAATTACGAACAGCAAAACTTAGATAAAAACGGTTTGTTTTATTAAAATCATTAACAAATCCCGTTTTTTAAGTTACGTTTTGAAAATGATGTAACCAAAATGGCGGCCGTCATTAGCAATACATTGTTGTAAGTGATTTCCAAAGTTTTCGTACGATCTTCGGCACGTTTCGATGGGTATGACCACGATTTCTTCAGTAATTCTCTGCTTCAGGTCTGTTAAGGTATAGGGTCGATGTTTGAAGACCCTATTCTCAAGGAAGGCCCAGGGGAAAAAAACACACATGCTAAAATCAGGGAAGCGTGCCGGCCAGCCCACGTCACCCCTTGAGAAACCAACCGCCCAGGGAACATTTGCGAATAAAAATCTAGCAAATTTTGAGCTGTGTGCGCTGTAGCCCTATTTAGTTGAAACCATACATCCCCCAAGTCATATTCTTCATCCATTTCCTCCAACTAGTGCTGCAGTTAAGTTTCCAACTTTAAAACATATCGCGCTGAAGTGACAGTCGGATGCGTTTTTTTCCCCTGGGCCTTCCTTAAGAATAGGGTCTTCAAACATCGACCCTATACCTTAGCAGACCTGAATCAGAGAATTACTGAAGAAATCGTGGTCATACCCATCGAAACGTGCCGAAGATCGTACAAAAACTTTGGAAATCACTTACAACAATGTATTGCTAATGACGGCCGCCATTTTGGTTACATCATTTTCAAAACGTAACTTAAAAAACGGGATTTGTTAATGATTTTAATAAAACAAACCGTTTTTATCTAAGTTTTGCTGTTCGTAATTTATAGCCCCTCAAAACTCATCAGTCGGCTACGCCCCACCCTATATAAATTAATATAATAAAACCTTAAAACGCAATTTAAAGTTTATAGCATTATAATAATGTGATAAAAAAATGTTGTACAAAGTTAAATTGCTTATTAGAATTAAATATAGTATGAACTATTCAGTTAAAATAAGTTTAGCTCTAATCGCGTTACAAAATATTATTTTTTTGTTGAAATTTGAGTTTTAAAAGTTATTGTTTGTTAAAAAAAGTTGTGTTGCCACCAGTTTCATTCTGTTATATATTTTCAGCTATCTATGTATAGCAGCCGTGTTGAATTAAATAGTGAAAAACTTCAGTTGGCGTCCAAAACCTTTGACGCATTTTGTTATATTAAAAAAATTTAAACTCGCTCGAAAATGAATATTTTATAGTGCAACTCCCTTTTTGTTCTAACAAAGTTTGTACTTTTTATATATTATAGAGGTTTTACGTTGTTGACATTGTTTTAGAAAAAAAAGGATACAATCATAAGACTAGCACCAAAGAAAAACATCATGACAAAATCGGCAGTCCTAGAACGAAATGATCCTTCTTCTAACATTCGACAGTAGCGATATGTGAAGATCATATTGAATAGGAAGTTGAAGCCAATGTTTCCGAAAAACAAAAATGTCGTAACCAATCTCCATAACTGCAATGGGGATAAAAAAAAAAGAAAAAAAGGTTGAACGTAGCTATAATATCACATTGACGACGCTCGTTTATATCTTTCAACGCTTACCTGAAACTGTTTAAGTATTAACAGCGGATTGAAGTACAACTGAAACGGCGAGACAATTTCCAATTGCTACAAGGCGGACAACGAAATCAAACGTCAATGGATTAATTTTAATTGCGCACATACATGGGTTAGAATTATATGGTAACTTACGACCGCCAAAGTGGTGAGCACGCAAGCCGTGGTGTAAGCTCTTGTAACGGGCGGCATTTGCAGGTATTCCTGCCGTAGTGTGTGATACGCCATAGTCGAGGTGTAAGTTACTATGTATATTTTGGTGTCGGCACCGCAGTAAGTATTCTTGAAACGGCAGCTGCTAATATCGATGTCATTTGACGCTGAACGAGTGCAAGTCGCGAGAACACTCGAAACACTTATTTGTCGGCGAATTACGTGACATCCTAAGACAAACGAATGCGAATCATCCACATACGCAAAGTCAACAGCGGAAAAATCACAATAACAATACTATAATGTAGGTATACACTATACCTACATTATCCATGATAATAATATAGTATTGCAATTTCACACGACTGATAAATAGTGATAAATGATAATGGAAATTATCGGCTGATTATAACCCGTCCAGTTTTCATCTAGACGCCTGGCGACCGTCACGGTACCCCTGATTTGTTCAGACAAATGACGTCACGCAGGAACTTCCAGGGTTATACAATTGATGTGACACAGTTTCCTATAATACCTATTTACTTATTTTACCCTTATTATATAAAATTATATAATAATTATATATAAGCCGTTATTTTTTTAAACCATAAACATTTTTTCCATTTACCATTTGTTCTAAAATATTATAGGATGAAATGTTTGTTGGGACAAATGTATTGTGGAACAAACTCATTTGAAAAAATCGATCGTGGGCCAAATGTATATTGGAACACTCACAAGTTGGACAAAACGTCCGTTGGCATAACTGTTCGGCGGAAAAAGGTGGTTGGAACAATTTATTAATGTCCATTGGAATAAGCCATAATCTTGGATAATAATGTCTTTGGAAGAAATGTCTTATGGAATAAAAAATTTGTGGAACAAAATGTCGTGATTACTCATTTTATGAGAATTACGTTTTGAAAGCGTGGCAACACTGTCCTATTATCGTCCTAGTATTGTATCCATCATAGATATATATAATAAACTAGATTGCTAACTGTACATGCCACCAATAGAGAAGTTTGAAGCAGCCACTTTCCGCCATTTCGGTGGGAATTAGATCACATATATAATTAATATTGATAGAATAATATATACAGATATATATTATATGCATTGATAACACACATAAATCCCACCAGAATGGCGGACCGTCGGCTTCAATTATTCATATCGCTAGTTAGCAATCTAGTTTATTATATATATCTGTGGTATCCATTGACATTATGTGAATTCTCTGAAATGAACTTCCTTCCATTTTGATACAACTCTTACTTTAAGAACTTGAGTTTGATCACATATTTTATACTCTGCAATCCAACTTTCAATATCTTTATTCATATTTTTCTACCAGAAAAGATTTCTTGCAATTATCTTTAATCTAACTTTCCCCTTAATGATGATTCCTATGCAACACGTCCAAAGCGTTTTTGACATTTTCATGTCTTAGCTCTGGCATATAACCGAAAAAAGCATTGCGGACACGGAGATGGGGTTGGGGTTGGAAATGGGGATAGGGTTGTGGGTGGGATTGGGGTTTGGGTGGGAATTAGCTCTGGCACATAACCGAAAAAAGCGTTACGCTGTTATCTGATAGGAGATAAGAGATAGGAGATAAGGGGTAGGGCATGGGAGATAGGGGGGTAGGAGTCAGGGGATAGGGGTAAGAGATAGGGGGTGAAATTTATTCGGTACTACAACGAGACACGAAAATGCTCTATCGTGGTTGCAGAATCGGCTGAAAAACTTTTTTGTAATATTTTATGTGACACTGACCCATCCTCAAAAAAAAAAAGCAATCATCCTGAGTGTTTGATTTTTTTATTTAACATAATATTTGATATTCACTTCTCCGTCATTCGGCTAATCCGTCTTTACAAATTTGTATACTGTAAATAATTCTTTGTCAATCATTAACGCCTCTTTTATTTTCTATAAACTTATGTCCACCTCATGTAATTAACTGAATCTATTTCCACCAGAAATAACGTCGGTTGGACGTTTATGTGCTCGCCGCCAAGGCAGCCACGGTGGTTGCACTGTGGCAAGAGGTCTCCAACTTTTTCCGCGCGGCGCTTGGTCACGGCCGCTCACCATCGTCACATGTGTTAAACGAGCAGTCTGCCCGCTCCGAGAAGTAAGAACCTGACCTAACCTAGATAAACACCATAATTACTTTTGTGCTGTTTTTCGAATTCAACAGGAATGAAGTGCAAGACGCCGACCAGGCATCTCAGGACCAAGTGGTTGACAATATTTACTATGCGGCGTACGCGGGAATAAGATCGTCCAGGATGAATCGTCATCAGGATACAGCAGGGGTGGCTTCGGCGGGGCCAGTTATTTCGGCCCTTCTCCGCGCGTTTGTCAAGAAGATGGAAACGCAGTGTGCCCGCTTGGAGAAGTAAGGACCTATCCTAGCCGAGATAAAAAACATAATTCCTTTCGAATTTAACAGGAATGAAGTGACAAGACGCCGACCGGACAGTCGCAATTCAGGACCAATCGTTTAACGAATACCTGACAAGACGAATGACCAAGTTGCAACGTCAGAACCAAGTGATTGCCGTGATTCTCCATGCGGCGTCCATGGGAATAAAAAACCAAGATTTGGACCAAGAATACCAGCTCCAAGAATACCGCACAGGTGAATTATTATTTGGACCCAATGGTTGCCGTTATTTTTTATAAGTCTGCCATGGGGATAGACGAGCTTTGTGCTCGTCTATCTAAGAGAAAGAGGTAATTTTATCGTTGTGTAGACACTATTAATCTTATAAATATTTTTTAAATAATTTGTCTGATAGCTTTGTCATCGAAGGCAAATCCATGTTGTGTAAATAAATTTTTTATTGAGAAATTGGTAACTTTATCTTTGTATTAAAACACAGTAGACATCTTATACATTTTAATTGTTTTTGTTTTTAATATTGCCATTGAAACAAACAGTAATAATAATAACAACAACAATTTGTTGACATCTAATGTACTCTTTTATTTAGAGTAAAAAAATCTTCAATTTCTAATAACGTTTTATTTTCCGTTTCCGGTAAATAATAATATAAGTATACATTTCCAATTATTCCAATTACGCCGAATAAAATCATAGTATACTCTTGGAAGGTTTCTTTGACGGTCAAATATATACTTGTCGAAAAAAAAATTAGTAAATACGAAAAAGCAGCAGACGCTCCGGTTGCAACTCCTCGGATTCTGTCAACAAAATTAAAAACGAATATTATCGTACTAAAATTTAATAATAACAAGTTGACCACAAACTCCTAACATATTTTTATAAAAAAATAACTAAATATTTGTACCCATATACCAAATACTGGTTGAAGTCTGTACAGGGTATAAGTTTGAATATTCATTGGCAAGTTTTTAAATCCATACAATATAATATATAGTATGCGATTTTGATCGGTGATTCGTTTAGGTTATTTGTGTTCGTGAATGGTTATGCAAATAACAAAATAAACATAAGCATAAGTATATAATACTTTAAATAGTTTTATAGATGATTTCATAAGCCCGCTCTATTCTTCAAAACGTTGTGTACACATTAGTTTTCATTTAGTACACAAAAGGTTGTGTATTTAGCTCAATTTTATATACTATTCCATTTATATCCGTTGGATTTTAGAGACTTCCGTTAAGCTATATTCCCAATACATTGTAATTAATGATAATATATAAAATTAACTAGGTTTATAAGAGTATTTGCTACCTGGAAAAATAATTAAATGTTATAATAATTACCCAGTATTCCCAAATAAGCAAAGTATGTGTGAGGTGGGGTTTTTGTTGATGACTCGGGTAATTGAATCGGCTTACAACACGGTAAATGACTTTTTATTATTACAAAAACGCCTTAGATACTTACTCGTTAGGATATATTTCACTTATGAGCATCCACGGGACACATATAACTCCGTAGGCCGAGAAGAAATATATCAAACAGAGAAGCGTTAACGGTATCAAAGGCAACGGACTCGTGTAACCGTTTTTGATAGCCACCGTGTACCCTCCAAAGGCCAATATGGCCACGGTGTTTGTCGACAATGTGAACAGAGCCAGAAAACGTTTACCAAATCGTTTCAAAGTCACTATTGTTAGAAAACAAGGAGTGATTTGAATAACGGACAAGAGGGCCTAAAAATAAAAATAAATAACATAAATCATCTCAAATTTTCCAGGCTGTACCTATAGCGGTTGCAAATGTATTTGCTCTGAAACTATTATCTACCAATATCCGGTCTTGGTCGTCCACCAGCCCAGCTTCCGTCATCAAGTTCTTCACATACGGCCGGCACGGAATAACGCTGACTATCTGAGAAAAGAAAAAGAAAATCAACACCATTCTCAGTGGCCTATACACCAAAGGGTTTTTGAACATTTTTATCTTGCAAAACATTCCGGTGTTGTTTCGAGCGGTTTCGCCGTTTCCAGTGCCCGACACCTTGCTGTAGTGAACCAAATTTCGGAATTCTTCTTCTATGACCGGCTCTTCCACCCAACCTCTTAGCCAACGTAAAGATTTTTTAGCTTCTTCGGTTTTGCCTTGGGTTATCAGCCAGATTGGCGATTCTGGAATCTATCCAAAATGGAAAAGACGATACGATAATGTTGCAGCAAGAGTGTTTCCGAATAACGGTAAATTACTCACAACGAGAACAAGACATATGCACAGTAAAGGGCACGACGCACTTAACAATGCAATGTATTTCCAGTGATAGAAGCAGCCCAGGATTGAAATCAACACCATTCCAACGCTGGTGCCAGTGTTTGCAACTGAGGACAGAGAACCCCTAATACGTGGTTCGGTTATCTCTCCTATGTATGAGAATATCGGGGCCTCGCTGAACCCTATACTCAGGCCCATCGTCAGTGTAGACGAATAAAGCATCGTAGGCGACCCTGCTAAGTGCAACAGTATCCATCCAATAACACTGGGAATATTCGCCACTATCATGCAGCGCTTTCTACCGAACCTTTCTTGCAAAAACCCCGAAACGAGGCTGCCCGGCGGATGGCAAATGAACAAAATGCTACCTACAGCGTTGTATGTGTAAATAAAATTACATTTGAATTATAATCTATGACGTGAAATGTGAATGTATCTGCACTTTGACGACCGCAATTCGTACTCACCGTACCAAGAAGCTTGGGATATTGTCAAGGAGAAACGGTCTTTGTCTTTGCCGTTGTACAAGTCGCCTAGGACCAGGGAGGATATCATCAATTCCATTCCTAAATTAATCAGTAGGAAACTCTGTGCGACGATGGCCACGGTCTGTACAGAGGATTGTTTAATCGAAATGAACAACACAACGAAATGGCACAATATTTAAAATTTACACAGATACGACGAATTTCACTAAAAAAAAAAATGGACAGGGCACCCCCTCCCAGTTTTTCCTATGACTATCTCAACAACTTGTCATTTGTGATTTAGACGACCGTTTACTAACGTTGTAGCTTTTTTCTATATATTTTTACACTAACGGCATTTTTAAAACGCATATTTTTATCTATGCTTTAAATTATGTAAAATTATTTATTATATACAATTTAAATAGTTATAAATAGTAGAAAAACATATTCACCGATTGATCAATGATTTGTTTTAAATTTTATTTCATCTATTGACCAATAAACGAGCTATACTATTATGTACTCACTTGGGCCAGTGTTGCTCTATGGCCATAATTCAATTTTGCATTTGTATCAGCGAGTTCTTCTACTTTCATGGTGAAACGTCCAACTTAACTATATAATTCAACTATACAATAGCACGTATTCATTTAATAATAATTCTTTACCAAAGTTGTTCACGCAACATCCAACTATAGAACACTGTTGCTGAGTTAAACTTTTGGAGCTCAATAACAATGGTGGCTCACTAATTTAGTTTGACGTCAGGACCACTTAATTATAATGCTATTGTACAGTTATATAGGCGTCTATTGATTCGCAAGGTCATAAATATATTTATATATATATTATATAAATATATATATATTTTTTTTTTATGGTAGTTATAGTCTTTAGAGATAATTATACACAATAGTAATACTTTTTTAAGAACAAAACATACATTTTATGATAAAGATGTTTATGTTAAATATTTATTAATTTACCCATATCTATTTAAAGACCATTGATTAAATTTAATCATTAACTTTCCATTATAACGACGACAATTTAGATAATAATAGATCGTTTACTACTTCGTAAACGAGCTCTAGATTCGTAACTAGGTTGAATTAAGTAATTTACACTTGATACAGTTTTTTTGGCCAATATTATGCTACACTACAGGCGTTATTGAAGAAGTGGCATATCCAGAAACATTTCGTGGTAAATTATCATAAAAAAACGAAGAAGTACATATTTTATAACAATTATTACATTTTCAAACTATATATTTGCTGACAACATTTTTAATTTAAAAATAATAACTGTATAACTACTTATGTCTAGAGGGCGAACCACTAGAATAAATATTTACAATACATTTGAAGTCTGGATAGTTCCAGAGAAACACTGTTTGCCATACACCAAAATCTTACCAAAATGGGCAAGATAAATTTCGGTAGTACACAAAATACCTTCTGCAGATTACGGTTTCCACAAGTCGGGTGTGAGCTCTAAGACAAATATTATGCACTTAAACACTAATCGCATACACGCATTCCCGGTTGAAAATAAATAAATACAATTAATTTTTGTTAAACAAACATTTACATTCACTAGTAAGTAATTAGGTAATTCCAAACCGTCTTCAATGTACTCTTTTATTCAATAGGAAAAATTCTTCAATTTCTAAGAACGTTTTGTTTTCCGTTTCTGGCAGATAATAGTACAGGTATAGTATACCGAAAATTCCAATAACACCGAACAAAATCATCGTTAACTCCAGCGTTAGATACAGTTCAACGGTTAAGTAGGATTTTGTCAAAACAAATATAAGCAAATATGAAAACGCTGCTGACGCGCCAGTCGCAACGCCTCGGCTCCTGTGAAAAAAATTAAATGGCTGCAATTAAATCCAAAATATAGCTATATATAAAAAAAAAAAATACAAGCTATCAATCTTTTGTCGACGGACGAAAGATATGCATATCAAAATCGGTAGCTTCGAATTCTCAATGTTAACTGCGTACTTACTCGTTCGAATAGATTTCACTCAACAGTATCCACGGCATACACGCAATGCCGTAGGCTCCAAAGAAGTAAATCAAACTTATTAACGTGAACGGCATCCACGGGGCCGGGCTGATGTAATTGTTTTTCGTGGCTATTATGTATATGCCAAAAGAAAATATCGCTATGGTGTTTGTGAACAGCGTCAACATGGTCAGACATCTCTTGCCCACCCGGCTGACGGTCAATATGGTCAACGAGCACGCGACGATTTGCAGAACCGACAGAAACACCTTGAGGACAACAATTTATATTCGAGTTGACAAGCGTCGATATTATTAATTTTGGGTCACGGGTCATTTATCGTTATGATTATTATTACTATAAGGCAGTTGTTACAATACCAATAGCAGATCGTGGTGTTCGGTCAGACCGATGTTGATAAATATGCGGTAAAGAAACGGACGGCATGGCACGAGGCAAAGTACTAACGAGAAAAAAAAGAACACCATCACCAGTCTGAGCGGCCTGTAGACCAGCGGGTCTTTGAACAGAGCCAGCTTGTGAAATAATCCGGCAGGCTTAGAAACGGCCGGGGTTTCGCCGTTTTGAGTGCCCGACACCAAGTTGTAGCGGACCAGCTCGTGAAATTCGCCTTTGACAACGCTCGGCTCCACCCAACCTCTTAGCCAGCATATGGCTTTTTCCGCTTTCTCGGTCTGCCCCTGAGCTATTAACCACATCGGCGACTCGGGAATCTATAAATAATCACAAGATTATTAAGGCTTAAATCGTTTAGACTTAATTAAAAAAAAAAAAAAAAAATTTCTCATGAAGTTTCATTTTCAAGAAACGTCAAAGCACAGTCTTTTTGTTATAAATTATGATCGATTGTCGATCAATAAAGGCCAATATAAAGTTGCTTACCAAGCTCCAAGTATTATTTTATTTACCAGCTTCGTTTTTTTTTGTACACAATTTCAATTGATTTTCAGAATTATTTACAAATTGTCTTGTAATACGACAAGGGAAAAAAATTACCAACTATGCCGTATGTACTTTCTCATAAACTGATTAAAAATTTAATTTTTTTTCAAATAAATCAAAAAGTATCGACTAACAAGAATAAAAAGGGCTTTGTAAAATTTGAAACCCTTTTTAAATTTATTCCAGTCCTAAAAATGTCAAACTGTAAAACAAAATAATATTATACATATTAAGAGGGCTCCATACAGACCATTTTTTCAGTCAAAACACATCATTTTCATTCCATCGCACAGGCCTAACCAGTGATCTGATAAGCAATCTAAAAACAGATTTGAATTTGTCATAAAGGGTTCTTAGGATCGGTCGAGGTACTTTTTTCAATTTTTAATTTTAACCCTTTCTAAATTGTATTTTAAAATGTTGAAATTTTATAAAATGTTCAAACGTGTTTTATACATAGTAGAGATAAGATATCAAAAAAGTACGTCAACCGATCTCAAGTTAATTTCATGACGAATTCAAATCTGTTTTTATATTACTTATCGGATCACTGGTTAAGTCTGTGCGATGGAACAAAAAATGTATGTTACATTGACGAAAATGGCTTTTACTCACAGACAAAATGATTTAAATTAAAAATAATACCTTGAAGCTTATACAAATTAACCGGTAAATTTATTGACATTGTCGAAATTTATTTAAACCAATTTTTTCTTAAATATTGCCTATACAAAACTCCTTAAAAATGGTCTGTATGGAGCCCCCTTAATTAATCACTCCAGAAAGAGTGTACAGTTTTTTAACACCGGATATTATTATTTTCAAACTAAACAAAGTGCCTGGCAAATGGTGATAATTTATGCGAAATTATTGCTGTCAATTTATAATACATCTCATAGCTGTGGTTGTTTGTTCAGGTTTGGTCGTATTCATCAAATAAAATTGTAAAAAGGGAAAAAGGTATTTGAAACATTATTAATTTTAGGTGCACCGCGTCAAGAGTCAATAAAAGTTAAGTTTTTTAATGCCTCGTAATGTCCTTGGCCACATTACTTGGCGATTGTCGTTAAATGTAATACTTCTTTTCGAGTAAACGCGGAGGACTCGGTATTTACTTACAAACGAGACAAAGCATATGCACAGGACCGGACACATGGTGCTCAGCAGCGCTACGGTCCTCCACGGAAAGAAGAAACCCAATATCGAGATCAACAGCATGCCGATCATGGACGACAGACTAGCTATGGAAGCCATCGAACCCCTGAGCCTGGGCTCGGTGATTTCGCCGACATACGACAGTATAGGAGCCTCGCTGAACCCTATGCTCATCCCCATTGACAGAGAAGCCGCGTACAGCATGGTCGTGGACTCGGTAAAGTACAGAAGGATCCATCCCAGAATGCTGGGCACGTTGGCCATAAGCATGCACCGTTTCCTGCCGAACCGCTCTTGCAGAAACCCGGACAAGAAGCTGCCGGTGGGGTGACACACGTACAGGATGCTGCCTGTAAGTAAGTAAATAGAAAAGCAAGTAAGCAGGTAAATAGAAAAGTAAATACACGTTGTCGGCCGGGCAAAATATTCTAATGTGGCAAATTTCTCGCTTACCGAACCACGAGGCTTCGGTCGTGGACAGCCGGAACCCCTCGCTTTTGTCTTGGTACAGATCTCCAATCACCAGTGTAGGGATGGTCAGTTCCATGCCGAGACCGATGAGTAGAAAACTCTGGGCGATTGTAGCCAAGCTCTGCGACACGAATGCATAACGGTATTAAGCGTATTTCGTATGTTATAAACCTATGTTTTTTTTATAGAATTTCAATAAAAAAAAAAACGAGGGTGCTTAAGCTCTGCATTTTCTATGTATTATTAATTTTACGAGGTTAATACGAGCAACGACGTTGTTTATCTATTTAACATTAAACATTTTAGTTTATTGGCATTTTTATTTTACAACAAACGAGAGTTGATATATTTTACAACCTAATGCCAACCAAAATAATAATAATACAATGTAAAACACTCACTTGGGCCAACGTCGCTTTCGGGCCGTAGTTTTTCGGTATAACGTGGGTTTTGTTTTCCATCATTGTAACAATGCGGCGATCGGCTTAAAAAAAAAACTTAAAAAAATTAATTTTCAACCGAACGAACGAATCCTTGTGACGTCCAGTTCCGGCAGCACTTGTAATTAATATATTACGCCGCGTAGCGTTTACACCTATACCACAGTAATAACAAATTGATAGTTTGACCAGATAAGACGAGAATCGAACGAATAAGATAAAAATTCGATACGTTCAACAAATATAAATACAAAAAAAAACACAATGCACTTACAAATCCGTATTTATTATATAAATCATTCGGACCGACAGAAAACTACACAAGCGAGTGTTACTACAAAATAATTGGACGTTGGATTTGTAGTTTTTTTTTTATATATTAATCTCGTATGGACCAAACGCTAATTATTTTACGAACCGTGTGTTATGGCCTATCAATTTTGTACACTATTATGTTATAATTCTTTATTACCAGCCCAACGTTTCATTACTCGTATAACAATCATACTATTATAATATTATTATAATTATTGTGCTTGTACAATAATGTCAATGTATATTTTTAAATTAATTTGACAATAATTATTGCTAAGTGTTTTATAAAATATTTATCATTCGACGCGTTAAATGCCGGTTTTAATTTCGTTATAATGTATCTTAAGAACATTTTAAAAATTTCCAATATTTTCATACTAGTACCTAATTTATCGTTAGTGAACCGCTTTTAGTTACCTTCAGGTTAACACACCGCTGGTGAATGTTAATACATATCATAAAAATATTTTTTTTTTTTTAAACACACACACTTATACGACGATTGGTTGATTTAAGACATCCGTTGGGTTGCGTAAATTAATATACAAGATGATATATTGTTTATACATTATTCAACTAAATTCTGAAACGCCCAAAGACAATATAAAGCAGGTCTGTGTTAAATAAAATTAAACTGATCGTTTGACTAGACTGAGCCCGCAGGGCTTACATACATATATGTTTTTACTCAACGATAGTTTGTTGGACAAAAAATTTAAATTGTATTGTATAGTACTTATGTGTAATTTGGCCTAAGGGTTCAGTAACAATATTGTACCTATAATTTAAATTATAACTTCGAGGTCGCGGTAGTAATAAGAAAAACGTCGTTGTTGATTTGATTCTGTATGGCTTTTTTTTCTTTTTTGAACTGGGTTTCAAGAAGAATGTCTTCAGAAGTAAAATTTGGAATTATTTTGTCCATTTTTGGGATGTTATAACGTTTAGCGATCAAGCAACTAAAAATTATATTATACTGTTCATTTTTACGAAGCAGTCATCTTTTTTGATTTGTGCACTAATAAAATATTTCCAGTATACCAACACTGTGTTTCTATTGACTATATTATACATGACGGATTTAATCTTGAAAACTAGTGTAAAACCACATCGTTTTAAAGCCAATTAAAAAACAACGTTAATGTTTCTCTTAAAACAAATAATGTATGCATCGGTGACTAAGACTCATTACTATTATTACTTTATAGACTTTGTGTATTTTAGTGAAATCTCAAATGGAAACAAGTGTTATAAATTTTAATAGATAACCAGTAACGACGACAGGTCACAGTTTATCAATGTTCATCGTTAATAAGGTAGTAATCAAATTATTATTTTTATAAATGTATTTAGGTCGGCTAAATGATACATTTGTTAACGACTAATTACAAAGCATATTGTAGTATTACCGTTTGGTGCTACTGCGTTTTGCTCATTACATTGCAGTAGATGTTTATACTCGATAATTATCGTCAAAAAAATTACATGTACTTAATAGTTTATTACCGTCTAAGGTTTCGCATCGAAGCGTTTATTTGAAAGTGATTATCACTTTCAGTTACAATAGCCGTTGAAGACCCTTGACCTCTCTGTGACGGTTTTTTTTAGACTTTTATACTTTTAGTTCATTTGTATGCGGACAGCGATGCATGTCTGCGCCGAAACTCAAATAATAATAACGTTTCGAGATGTAGAGGCAACGGTTCATTGTGTTCCACAGAGGTTGGGCCAACTTGAATGGTCGGTCATTAAAATGGTGTTTCGAAAGATATGGTTTCAAATTATTCCAATAGTAATTGTATTATTTTTACCTGTACAAAGTACATTTTTTTATAATTAGAACATTGTACCACGTTTATTCGAATCTATTGCTAAAGAGTTATAAAAAAAAAAATACCTTTTATGTTTGTTCTATAATCTATTGAATGCAGTGTTCGGTTGAAGCCTATGTATATTATATTGTACAGTTGTAAGGCATTACACTACATTACACAGAAATACAAATTGTAAAAAAATTGAAAATAAATCCTAAACATTTTATTTTTTTTAGATATTTTAGTAATATGAAAACCCTTTTTCTATTTTTCTTCCATTTTTTTCAGTAAGATCACTTAGGTTTAAAATGATGTACCTAAACTATGACATGCCAGTTTTAATATCTAATATTTTAGAAGACGGCCGGTAATTTCATAGCATAAATACTCAATGTTGCAAATTAAATGAATGTGGGATAAATCAGATTTTTTAATTGCAACTGAAAACTATGTCAACCTAACCTAACCTAACCGACAGTGCAAGGAATCTATTCAGTTTGATAACTCATATTGGGCGGAGTTGATTTAAGTTGAACAATAACGACATTCGTTTGAAATCGTGACATATTTTTATACGTACAAAAAGTATCAAATATACACATATGTTTAAAAAACCAATAAAATAATAATAAAATTTAACATTATAAAATTTAGTTTTAAAAAAAAATCTACAGACTACATTGTAGGAAACATGAAACATTTGTTCACGCCACAAAAGGTGTACAACAAAATTATTTTGTTGTTTTGTAATAATAATAATAATAATAATAATGTGATTTATACAAAAATAGGAGTTTCAAATAAATATTTATTTTCCAATGTCCAGAGCCAGTGTTTCAGTCGATGCGATGCACGACCTAGTCTTCTAGAGGTCTGCTTTCTTGGCTATCTCACGAACCACTTCCCTGTAAATGAGCGGATCCAGATTTTTGCCGAGCACGTACAGTACCCACCAATCGCCTATTGACACTTTGTCGGTCACCGCTCTGGCCACGTCGTCGGTTATCAGCCTGTAGTGACGGTACCGCAGCGCGTTCTTCCTCAAGTTCTTGCTGTACAATATCAAAATCCTGCACAAACGGAAAAACATTTTAAAGAAACTATATCAACATGAAAAGTCTCTCCCGTAAGCCGCCCTAGAACGGCAACAGGATAGTGTGGATAGCCCGTGGGAATACAAGAGGTATGGTGAGATGACCAGACGTCCTCTTTTTAGTAGGACAGTACTGTTTTTTGATCCTAGTGTCCTAGTGTTGTCCTTGACAATAGTGTTAATTACATGAAATTGTATTTATTTTTTTTTTAGTAAGTATTACCGACTAATACATGTTTATGATTTTTTATAATTTGATTATTTTATTTATATAATGTAATAAAATGTTTTAAACTTTAAAATCGGATATTAAGTCACTAAAAACAATTCACGGATCTCAAAAAATGTATATGACTTTTTTATTATGTTAAAATTAAAAATACAATTAAAATTACATTTTAATCATGAAGGAAGCGTGTTATTATTATTGTTTTTTATTTATTTAAATGTTACCTATGTTCTGATATTATACAATTTCAAATGTTATTAACGTTAAATATTTATACTTTTCAATAATCGTATATTAGAATATTTCTTATATTTCCAATGCATTAAGTTTCCAAGTATTTTCATCATAAATACTCACACCTAACGAGCTGACATTTTAATGAAATTATAATTTCAATTAACTAGTTTTTTTTAAATGTACTTTTTTTTTTGGGGATTTTTATATCTGGTCACCTTGCCGGATATAGGTGGCGGCAGCCTTATAAGTCGAGCCTTTCGCAATGCGCGCGTCCCGTGGATCTTACATAAGATTACATCATACGATAGTTTATCCGGTCGTTTATTCTCGGCCACAGCACAGGCTGCTTCCGGTGGTTTTTATATTGTACACATAGGTACACACGTTTTACACTGTACACCTACCGCCGCCCATTCGGACGCGATCCAGTTTCACAAGATCACAATACACACAGTCGTTACACACGTCTGTGTGCAAAGACACGTACTGGCGGGGGGGGGTGGGGGTGGGTTCGTGTACAAGACAAATGTAGAAGAACCGTGTGTTTTTGTACCTGTGACCGACGAGCAAGACCAGCGCGGCCAACAGGAGCATAAACCAGAACCATATGAATATGTAGGTCTTCTCGTTGAGTATGTTCAGCGGCAGTATGCACAGCGAGTCGTGCTTCTGCACGGTGCCGGACGGGCCGAACTTGTGGAACGTGCACTTGGTCACCCGGGGAAAGATGAACACCATCGGGTCGATCCGGTCGTCCTGGTGTTGTTCGGACAGGCCGAGCACCCTTAGCCCGTAGGTGAGGAACTCGCCGCCGAAGAACTTGTTCATCCAGTAGATCTGAAGGACTATGTTGGCGAAACACATGAACTCGCACATCCAATACTTGGCGGCGTACCAGTTGTGTTTCTGGAAAGAAAAAAAAAAGACAAAATATCGTATTTATTATTTTCACCGTTCGCGACAAACGGGCAAAACCCGAGTGAGTTTGATTTTTGACCCGCCCGCTCCCCCCCAAGTCTCCTCTGGCTACCCCCCGAGACCCTGTTTCGCTTTTATAACACCGTCCCCGCTGAGATGTCTTCTCGCGGACTGTGTACACGCTCAATTCCGATTTCTGTCAATGCCTTCTTCGCCACGCGTTTACTTATTTCCTCAAACCGCGTTCAACGACCTAGAAACTCTGCCAGCCGTATTGTTCTGATTTCCACAAGTGCTGATTTTTTTTTCTAACACAAAAAAGTGTACATACATCCGAGTTGTCCTCGGACGAAATGTGTTCCATTGAAAATAATGTTTCTCTGCTGCAGTCTTAACACACACCACACACACACACACAGTCTTTCCGTGTTAATCTAAGGTCGTTGAAACATAATATAACATATTATACGGTCTCAGTAACACAAATAATAATACATTTTTATAAACTATATCATTAATGGACCGAGACGAATAGTTGACCAGCAAGTCTGAATATAAAATCAATAAAATAAGAAAGACATCACTCAGATCGTCCGATACACTTCCGGGGGAAAAAAAGTACCTTCAGGAAACCCAGGTCAAAAATATTTAGTGCCTAACAAATTATTTTTCTTCTTATTGTATGTTATTGTTTTGTATAGAGATAGACAATGAACAAACCATATTTTATAAAATATACAAAGTTATTGATTGTTTTGCAGAACACAACCGTTTTAAAATCTATGAATTAATATTAATTCATTCACAATGCGATCACATATGTACGTCATAGTGTTTGTGTATTGTACACGAGTTGGGTACAACGATAAAGGCTATAATATATGGTTTCAAGGCCAACTGATTTCTATAAGCAGACTTTGTTTTATTTAAATACAAATAGTAATACAAGAAGTTTATACGGTTTTAGTTTAACCGTACAAACGCTTGCATTTGCTTAAAATACCAAAAACCCCAAGTAGATAATAATATGAATTTTTGTTGCGATTCAATCAAACTTTAATCTCTAAAACGATAACTTATTCGATAAACTATTAATTTCTATAGAAACGGCTGCGGTAGTCTGTCAAAAACATAACAACCAATTAGTAATCCACACAACACACGACTGTATGTATTATTAAGTAAACATATTTTGTAGTTTCAAATTTTAATTAAGATTTTGCTAAAAAAATTGCTTATACTTTACAGATCTTCAGAGTCTAGAGAACTTAGACTTTGTTCGACTAAGCCTATCCTTCCCTTCCTTTACGATTAATATATTGCTACATTTTGTAGATTTGTATCAATAAAGATTGGCAAATGGATATTTCTTTTGCCTTTGCTAAGGTTCTATTGCCTTTGAGTGTTGTTGAAAATGTTTATTGTCCAGTGTCAAAAACGTTTACCCTGCGTGTTGGTTAGTGAAACGCGTTTATATAACGACAGAAAGTGTTGTAGATTATTTTTTTTTTTTTGAATCGCAACGCTGTAATGTACTGTTATTATTGTGTTGCACTGTATTGTCATTGGAGTCTACTTGCAGGAAACGAAGAAACACACTAAAGAACGTCAACGTCTTGCGGTACATTTACCGAACGTTCTGCTTCGGTGTACACTTAGGCCTTAGACACTAACATAATGTTATAATTTAAGTCGGACACGACGGTTACACAGTGTGCATACAGGATGATACAAATAGAAAACTGGTGTAGGTCGGCGTCAAAAGAATCACCCGGTATATATTATATAGGTTGGTGCGATTCGATGTATATATATATATATATATTTTTTTTTTTTATTGTTGCTCAATGAATTACTCTCAAACAAGCGGCGTTGTTAGACGGTCTATACGGTTCGTGGTAGAATGCTGTTCGATTGGGATCACAGACACAATCTCGGATGATGAAGATCAAGAAAAACTAATACGAGGCGTGCACAAGCGCATATTTTTGAGCTCACACTGATTTAAGATTTTCTTTAGCCTCGTGTTCGGGGTATATCACCGAATACTGTCGAGCCGTGTAAGGAGTTGCTACGGCAATTATTACACGGCTATGTACACTGACCGACCGACAAAGAGTATTTTTTTTTTATTATTATTATATTTTTTTTTTGTCTAGCGATCGTGATTCACACTAAATACAATAATTTCACGTTGATATTATTAAAAAAAAAAAAAACGGCATTCCGAAATATAGATTAAAAATTATCATTTATTTACTTCATAATAGAAATGCCTACTGTCGTGCTGATCGAACGATTTGTACGTTATTCTATTGTCAAATAGAATATATTTACAATAGGATCTTAATTGTTTTGAGTTTAGAGAACGGCATCTCTCTCCTAGTCGTTGTTGTTGTTGTTGTTGTTGGAGGCCTTCACAATCAAGAAGTCGTCTAGACGGCTGTTTATTGTCCGACAAATTGTATTTGGAATTAAAATCAAATTCAATAAACACCATTTCACAAAACCGTCAAACCTAATTTACCACTAATTGACGGATTAACATATTATTATTATTATATTATGAATATTGTCACGTCGACGGTGTGTTAAAATAGCCATTAAAATATTAATTTATTACCTGTTTATATTAAACGTAACGTGTGTTACTCGTTGATATTTTAATTGCATTTATTTCCGTGTAATATAATTAATGTACAATAATAATAATCGATGCTTGATAATAACGAAGAATGTTTGGGTTGGATTTAAAATCGATTTGCTCGTCTTCCATTCGTTTTGGAGTACCTGCGCCAGAATCGATTTAACGAACAGAAAGGAAAAGGGCGACCGACAAATAAAACGTACACCATATTAATAAAATATTTTAAGTGTATCAGGACTTTTATTACGGTGCAATGGTTTTATCTCTAGAACGTATCTCTACTATCTTAACGTGTACTTAAGGATCGGTCGTTGTAAGTATACCGTGTGTTAATGATTTTTGTGTTTTTTTTTTCTTTCCCCAAGATAAGTATTAGGGTGAAGTTATATTTTCCAGCCGGCTGCAGCCCCTCCTGCTATCCTATTATTACATATTATATACCGGTGGCGAATACCGACAATGGGTTGCCAGTCTATTCCGAAACTAAGTATGGCCAAGGTCTTTGGGTGCACAACACATCCGGCTATCGCAGTGGTCGTCGTTAATTATTGTAATATTGTCAGCTACAAAAAAAAGGTTTGTTAATTCATTACAAAACAGAATAGAATACCATATGCGACTTACTCGAAGAACTACAACCCAGAAGAATGTTCAACTCACCAGTCTCGGTTAAAAAACCCAAACTCGGTGTACTGTAATTTGTTATAGCAACTGCTGGATTTTGAGCCATCGTATTATCGAATAAAAAAAAAAGAAACTGGATTTTGGACATAAGAAGCACTTTGTACAGACCAATTAAACAGTATCAGTTATATTACCTACTTACAATGAATATAATCTATTCATAGTGATACGGTTGATAACGATGATACAGAAACGATAGGCTGTTGATTTTTGAACAAAATGTACTACAAACGACCGGTAAATAATGTGAACCGCATTTTAATAGAAAGATAAAAATGAATAGATTTTTTTTTCTTTAAATTTTAACCGAATTAAATCAAGCGAGCCGTTCTCGGTAGAAAATATAATAATTTTGTTTTTTTGTTTTTCATTCACTTATGACAAAACGTTTGGGCGAAACGATACCTTATTAGGATATCGCAATTATTGTGTTTTGTACACAGTAAGATAACGATATTTGTTTAACTTTTGGTCTCAAAATCAAGACTATGTTCTTAGGAAATTTGCAAAATTCCTATATCTCTCCCGTATATTGAGCCGTTCCCACGTCGGTATCGCATGTACAAACAACCGTCGGTAAGCAAAACAAACGAGCACAATAATAATATAGTGTTTAAGACAAACAAAACATATTCTGTTGCTTATGACATAATGCTGATAATAATAACGATTCGTATTCGTTTGTTTCCCATGCCGAGCCTACGTTAATACATTTTGGACGTTATCGAAGAGCCCGTTTGTTATTAATAATTACCAATTACAACACACCACGAAAGAGCTGCCATTCGAGTATAATATTATCAAGAAAAACGAGTACACCACCTACTCTTATAGGACTTGTTATACATATATATATACACTAGGCGGGATGAGATTCGAATTTCGACACAGAATTCCACCCTCGAATACATTAAAATAATATCTTCTTCGTTTGAATGTGTTGGGGGCATAACGTTTAATATTTCTTTCACCGACGCTCGTGTGATAATAATTACAAATGGAATATTACAATATACAATGGCATGCCTCCTCCGGGCAAACGTTCAAAATCCGCCCCGTTTACAATTATTATTACTATCCGTCGTGGTGTAGGATATACAATCACATCTTGAAGATCTTTACCGGTTTTTCTCGAGTCTAAACGTTTAACTCGTTATTATTACTGTCGGAGAAGTCCGGTCGGTAAAAAAAAAAAAAAACACCCTAACGGCGCGTTCCGACGGTCATAATATTATTATTAGGTACTGTTATTAATACACGTCGGGCACGTGAATCAATTATGAACTTAACAGACGTTGTGGTGTATAATATTATATTTGATTATATTTGATTATTCGTATTATAGTGTGTGTCACGGACCGGAATACAAACTGTTTATATTATGCTTTTTGGAATTTGACCGTTACGATAAATAATAATACTATGTTCCCTATTACTTAATTGATGTCGGTAATTTTTAGGCATAAGGTTTTGTTTTTCCATTGTATTTGCTACCGAAAACCGATAGACAAAACGGAATTTTACTTGAGTATATTTTTCTTCGGTATTGCGTTAAGAGACTTAAGTCAAGTGAAGTTTTCCTCTGCGACTTACCTTGATGTGAGTGAGCAGGTAATTGACGAGTATGGTCTTCTGCTTCTCCTTTTCCTTCTCCTGGCCCAGCCCGTAGTGGAGGCCCATGACCAGCGTGGACATGAGTCCGCCCTCTTGCATGTCCCACACCCATTTGGGGAAATAGCACATCATGGCCTGGAAGAACAACGCGAAGCACACCCACTGGTAGTACGTGTAGTACTTGGCGGGCTCGTCGCCGCCCTCGGGGCCCACGCCGGGATGGGCCGCCCCTACGCCCTGTTGCCGGCGGAACGCGTCGGGCATCGTGAACGTGGACATTATCCAGCAGTACGTGTTCACCGGCCTGGTGGGCAACCCCTCGACGATGCACTGCATGGGGTTGCCCACGTACTGCGTGGCGGTCACCATCAGCGAGCACGCCAGCAGCACCACCGTGGTGAAGGTGACATGCACCCGGAACACGGTGCCCTCGGTGGTCACCTCTTGTCTCTTGACGAACTCCTTGAGGCCGCCCAACAGCTTCAGCATCCTGAGGGCTACTTTGTTCGGTCGACAGATATCACCATGGCCCGCCGCTCAACAATGACCCCGTCCACGGCGGTCGCGCACCACAAAACACCACAGCGGATACGCACGGTCGCACACGACAACAATAATTATTATGGATAATAATATACCTATACCTATTGTTACAAATATCAGCACAACGACACTATGTTTGCGACGAAACGGCGCGCGTGCACGCACCACTACTACTTCTGCCGGTGCTGCTGTTACTACTACTACTACTACTATTACTACTACTACTACTGCTGCTGCTGCTGCTGCTGCTGCTGCTGCGGTTGATACTACCGTCTACCATAGTACTGCGCCACCGTCCTCCCCCTTTTTAACGGTGTCGCGCGAGCGGGATAGTAAAGCAGGACCTCCTGCAGTACTGCCAACACTGGACGAACGCGCCGCCGGATCGTATCGCGGGGCGCATCTCGAAATATACCATTCTTGAACGGCGGCTATCGTTGTCGCCGGCGTGTTACATGTCATAATATGCGGCATAGCGTGTCATGCGCGACCGGCGAGCCCTGCACGGCGTCCGTTTGGGAACCCTTGCGTTGCAGCGGACAGTGCAGGGTGCAGTCGCATACCCACGCACACACACCCCAAGTACGGTAAAGCGCGCGCGCATGCCTATACTGAAGTACATTTACATGTATAGGGTGTAGCGTTTCAGCGTTCACGGGTATTACCCCGATCGATCGGCCAGAAAAACCGACAGTCGGTGTCTTGCACAAAGATCTTTTGGATCTAGATGATCGATCGATCAAGAAAACAAACAAACCCAACGACACACATGGAGTCGTAAAAGACAAGACAGTCAATAGCCGGCGGTTTGATTGATTTTTTACCCGGTTCGACGTATAGCTCTTTGTAATGAAAATTTCAAAACCACCCTTATATACATTTTACAGCGATTGTTTCCTGATCTACAGCAAACTTCAGGTTTTCCTTCTTCCTTCGTTCTGATTTTATTAAAAAATTATGTTGATTAAACTCTCTTTTGAAAATCGACAAACGATTGTAAGACCAATTCAATACTACTATACCTTAACTCATTACGTTGACTGTAAGGTCAACAACTTTTTCTTTTTAATGTCACCTGTACCGTTTGGATTCTCATCACTTAATTTCCAACTTTACCTCACACGTTTCCGTGTCTTTATACGTAACATAATATATCCAAATACTTTTTTTAATGTTTTTATTAGCTATGTAGTGAATACATGTACCTTAAAATAACATATCTCCTCCAAACTCGGTCTATTACCAGTCAAATTTTCAACGAGGATGTAGGATGGTTAGCTGGTTGGCTGTCAGATTGTCTGTATACTATAATATAATATATATATATATCTAAAATGATCGTTGTAACCGAGTGTAATTACATGTTTGGAATTATTTTTGGAACGTTTTTCATTTACCTTACATGAAGTATAATATCTCCGTCGCTGTATACTGTATAAGGTAAAGTGTTGTAGTCAAATAAATCTATACCGTTATAAGTTATAAAGCTATTTGTGACTAATTTGGCCCAATAACAACAGAATGTAGAGGATTTTTTACATTTTTTCCAAGGTTGGACATTTGTTGGGCTAACTGTAAATTCTGTTAATGTAATAAAAAAAAAAAAAAAGCTTTAATATTTTCCTATTGTATAATATGATAGACGAGGACTAAAGGTTTGCCAGAAACGCTATAGAAAGTTACTAAAAGTCGCTAGCGGGGGGGATTGGTAAGGGGGAGACCTAGGGACAATTCCCCCACCATGATCCAAATGTGGTTGCATTTTTTTACTTTTGTTTACACGATTTTTTTAACAGCCTTGATTTATTTTATCTCAAACCGATCACAAAATGTTCTAGATATTGGAAAATACGGTTATTTTGTACGTCATGTATGTACTTACTTATTGGACATTTTTCTTTAAAATTTGCCAAGAAAACCTGTTGACGTATTCTAAGACTATTCCAATTCTAAAACTACTATTTTTTGTATTTATATATATATATATTTATATATTTTTTTTAGGTATTATAAAACGTTTTACATATTTTTATAACAAACAGATCATACCTGTAGCTTTAGCAATTTTCCACCTTCACTTATCAAGGGCGGGCGTTAGTATGTTCAATATGCTAGAACTTCTTGTCCAAATAGTTTGATATCCTTATAAATGACACAGTATATATTAATTATTTAGGTAATCTGACAACTAGACGCTACTCGAAGAACGACAAGAAGAGACAAGTTACTTGGACACACGCTTCGCCACTACTCGGACTACATAGCAGAGCAATAGAAGACGCCATAGGGGGTAAAACGGCAGAGGAAGACAAACACTCGTGTCTACATTGGCAAACATTGAATGATCTGGATTCAAATTTGTATATTTAATTATTATGTTCAGAAGACATAAGCCGTTGCTTCCCAGTAAAGTCTTATTTCCCCGGACGACGGTCGCACGTCCGGTGTGCTTTACCTAACCGCCAAATCAAGACAAACGGGGTTTATGATTTAACGGTAAACACTATTACACTCATCACGTGTGCTCGTTCACGGGCACGGCTGATGTCGTTTATTGTTGCAATGACAAAAACAATTGTTAGAATTATTCTTTTTTACAGGCTTTTACAGCAAAAATCTCAGTCTAAAGACCAAAAAAAAACTTTAGCCAAAAGCTACACATGGAGTATTTTGTTGAATGGTTTTGAAACTTAGGCCTTGACAGTACAAGATAATAAAAAAAAAAAATTAGAAGCAATGGTAATGTGAACCTGGTCCAGAGTATAGGTTGGACTGAAAGGAGCGAAAATAACCCCTGAACCCAAGAGTCGGATGCGACACTCTACGCGTCCATAAGGTCACCGTTGAGCTTCGAGGGCACTTTGGATGCAGCCATCGGTGGTGGAGTCTTCTTTAAGTCGGGGGGGGGGGGTGGGTGTACTTAAGGTCAGTGTCGTGGCGGTGCGGTTTGATCGTAGGCGGCCGCAGGAATCCCGGCTATGATTTTTTTTTTCCCTTCCACGTCTTGGGTTTGAGTTTTTTATTATTATTAGCCCGTTATTATTATTATTAAAAAAAAAAAAATAATAATAATATCTGTTTGTATATTATAATATACCTACTCGTGACCGTGAACCTATATATTATATAAGTGTGCTTTTGTTTTGTGTATGTGATGACGGTCATCGTGTCTAGCACCCGAAAACCGGTTTTCCAGCGCAATCATATCGTTCCATATTGTATTATTCGGTGTGTGCACCAGAAAATTCAATTTTATCGTGGAATCCGAATTAAAAAAAAAATAATAATAATAATAAAAAATCCGAAGACGGCACGGGTCGACCGAACTATACACAACACAACACAATTTATAATATAGCTCTCTGTCTATATACTTATATATATATTGTATTATATACTATAGGCAGACGCTTTTTATAGGTTTTGGGTATAAGCTGTTGTCCGATTTTAATCGATTATATTTAAAAAAAATATATATTAAAATCCACGACCCTTTTTGGGTTCTATCCAAACGACGACGACGACAATCGGCTCGTAAACTACCAGTGTTTAAAACAATAATAATTATTAAGAACAATACAAACACATCAGACAATAGACAAACAAGAAGGTCGCGTCCAAAAATCCAATACAGAGACTCTGCGGTGCCACTAAGTACACCACAATGTGCATACAGTATACAAACCAGAAAACGGTTCATTGTTTAGTTGAAACCTATACAGGGGTTGATAAAATTTCTTGTTTTCGATCTGAACATGGAAAAAAAAAAACAGTTATACAACAGATTACAACTGTCTTGAAAACCTGTCGTAATTGATGATAGCTGATAATTAATTCTAATTAAAACCGATTCAAAAAAAATACCATTTTTTTTTTTTCCATTTAGTAACCTCAGCTTATCCGGGTTTGTTAACGTTTAAACGGATCGTAGCCTACTTTCGATTATTCCTGCCCATGGTCGAGCACACTCACTCTTTATTATCTACATCCCGGATACATCATCAACCCACATTGACATTGTCATACAACAACTACACGTCAGCTGTCCGCTATACACTAGAGCGAACCATATATATATATATATATATCAAACCGAGCATTTTTTAAATTGTTTTATTATATTAAATATTCTGTTTATGTTGTAGGGCACCACACACGAGTATGCAAGAACGTGTGTGAACGGACAAAGTATTTTCTTCGCCAAATTCACTCGGTCAAACTGAAATAATTCACACTTTGATGCACTTACTACACTGTCTTGATCAAATTTGTATCCATGAAAATGGCGAGTACGGATAAAAGAAAATACAATTTGTTTTTTCTAACCTTCTGAGAGATGCCCTTGGGTTGTAGGTTTCCTTGGCTATTATATTATGTCTACTTTAAATTGAAAACGCAAAAAAAAAAAAAAAACAATTCCAAATTCTCGAGACGGCCAATGGGTAGATTTTTTTTTTTAATCTTAATATTAGTTTCGTTCGAAATCTGATAACTCTTACACAAACGCGCCCGATGACTATTATCGATGCTAAAACAAGCAACAGTAACAATCCCGGCACGTTCTGTTGCGGTTTATTATACTTAGTTTTCCGGTAGAGTTGTAATTTATTTCATACACAGTTTTCGATCACAGTGATATTCGCATTTTACTCATGGAAATTTAATCAAAATTATTTAAGTACAATATCACACAACCCGAATTGGATACCGACCGTTTCTAAGGAGTTTTGTATAGGCAATAATCACTCTTATCACTCTCATCACTCTCATCACTCTTATCAGTAGTCATTAAATAATCTATGTATATATCTGTAACAACTGTGAATAAGTGTGCGAGTCAATTTCAGTGATTTTTTTTTTCTGAGCGATTTTAAGCTTGAAAGAAACCGCTCGAGTGCCGCCTCTGAAGTATTTATCATTATAAGAGATCATCAAAATGATCTCTGCTGTGGTAACGGTCCAATTGTTTTTATTATCGCGATGAAATCTAATACTAGGTATAAATGATAATACCGTAAAGTCAATGTTAATATTTTGTATTCAATCAGAATTTTCAATAATGTTGTGTAAAAAAAAAAAAAAATATATCTAGCCGAGCAAGACATTGGTCCATTTAAAATGTTTACTACACGTTTAAAATCTAAAAATCTGCATAATGATAATGTTTGTTTGGTCATCAAAAACAATTTTCGATGACTAACGCATCTGCGTTTATCATATTTTATCAAGAAATTATATTTTATAGTCACTGCTCTTGTAATTGTCTCTTATATAATAGAATTAAAAATTCTATTGTATTCCGTATAATATCTAGACACAAAATATACTTTGTACACACTTCCAAATGAAGTATTAACAAATACTAAATTTACCAATTTTTTTTAAATACATTAATCCACGAATTAAAATAATTTATGGATT